TTTTATAAGTTTTGCAGTTTAAAAAAAAAAAAAAAAAAAGGAAAAAAAAAAAAAAAGGTGGCGTGTGTGTCTCGTGCCTGACCACCACCACCCTGCAAGTAATGTCGATTCATCGTTGCACATATCTTTGTGCGACGAAGCCCTTCTGCATAAATAGCGTAATAATGGCAAAAGAAAAAGAGGAATCCGCCGAATAAGTGCCGAAGAACCTTGGACAAGAAAAAAAAGGTCTTGCCTTATCCCCTGGCCGCCGCCATCGGAGAGCAGGACGCTGGGCGAGTCTTCTTCTGAGGTCGGTCAACGCAGCCCGTAATGATTTTTGGTGCAAGTAAGCGAAAGAGAGAGAGAAAAACAAAAGGAGGCAAACTCTTACACCCCCTTCCCGGGCCGCTGGCATGGGGAACTTTACCACTCTTGTTCAAGCTAGCCAGCCTTGCCAAGTACCGCGCCAAGTCGTTCTCACCAAGTTGTGCCGAGTTTCGCTTACACCTTCACATGCAGAATTAAAGGGAAAAGAATTAAAGGGCATTGGTTAAAAACTCCATAATATTCAGATAAATCTTAAAAAGCCACAGGAACTCCCGGTATGTATGGTATCGATCGGCCGTCGAATGCGGAGCAAAAATCTCAAAAAAGAAAGAACAACAGGGTTGCATCCTTTCACCATCATCATTGCTGCCCCGCAAATGGGAAGCAAAAATGGGCAAAAGAACCCCAAAATGACAAAAAGAAAAGAAAAAGTAAACTCACAAGCTATATAAAAACAAGCTTGCGAATAAATGGATCCCGAAACAACCCAAAGAAACGCCGAAGGCTGTCCAATCTTGGCCCATTGGTCCCCGTGTAGTAGACCTTTGGTATCATGTTTTCCCGCCCAATTCACTCCCCTGCCCATCCGTCATTGCTGTGCTTCGCAGCCAGATTATATTCCAGAAAATCAGACATGGGGGCGAGGAGGGGCCCCCTCCATCGAATCAAAAGCATTAAGTAAAAAAAAAAAAAAAGAGAAGGAGGCGAAGAGGAAGAAACAAAAAAGAATAGATCCTTAGTCTCGCCTTTTCCCTTTCAAGGTGGGGAGGGTGGGGCTGGACCAACAGCCAACTGACAATGGGTTAGTAGCAATGTCTCCGAGGCCTTGACTCCTCAGCCTTGTTGACCTGCAAAGAGCTCGTTTGACCCTCTTTCCCCAACATTCCGTCCACAGCACAGACACATAGACAGACATTTCGTCCACTTTTGCCAAGCTCAAAGGAAAATTGTGCGTTTTTTTTTCCCTTTTTTTTTTTCTTTATATATATATATAATTTTTTTTTTCTTTTTTCGTTCATGGAGCTGCTGGCATACAAGCTGCGGTTGGGGGGGGTAATAAGATGGCGGGATTGGTGGGATGGCTGACGTTGTAGCGTGGGTCGATCCCAAGTCGCATCTGGGACTGCGGCGGCGGCAACTGTTTCCCGTGGAGGTCTTGCGGGGACACGCCCATCGTCTGCAGCACCCCCTGCTGGTGCCCGTACAGCCCTGCGTCCGTGTATGGCGCCAAGTTCGCGAATGACGTGGGGATATCTCTTGCATGGTCACAGGCCTTGTGTTGTTCCATCGAGTAGGCCGCCAGCATGTCGCGACGGTTGTGCCCGCCACCAACGGCACTGTAGATGTCGCTGCCGCCCCGGTGATCGTACGACCCTGGCGTATAGGTACTGTTGGGCTGGTACCCACCAGGCATCCCGCCATGGTAGTCGCTCGCGCCCGCACCGGCGTTCGCAGGGGGGTTTCCGTGCGACGAAGCAGTTCCACCACTGCCACTACCTGGGCTCTTGCTCTTGTCCTTTTGATAGTGGCCTGGCGATCGCCCCCGGACGACAATGTCAGTCGACCGTTGCACTGCGACCTTGACCCAGTCTTCCCTGCCGGGTTCGCTTGCCGCGTTTCCCCACAGCTCGACGACCAGCTGGTAGCGCTGCTGGCCAGCCCTTCGCTCCCCGTTGTTGGCCGTCGCCGACTTGAACTGCATGCGGTCATAGGCAACCTCTGTTGGCAGCGCCTGCACACCGTCGGGCGTCCACCTATCCCCGTAGTGCGTCGACTGCCCCTGCACAACAACATGGCCATGGTGAAAACTGCCACCCAGTTGAGGTGGCGTCATTTGGCCGTGCCTGATCTTGGGGCCCGCGCGCTGCTTCCCTGGTAAAGTAATAGGCCCCTTGTCACGCCTCGTGGTGTGCTGCAGGATCAACACCTCCTGGTGGTGGTGTTCAGAGACAATCGCCGAGAGGCACATGGCGAACCCATACAGTTTCACTGGATCTGCCTGGTTCCCTCGGCTGAACTGCAGTGACACTCCGGGAAAGTATGGCGACAGCGAGAAGGAACAGTTACATGCCATGTAGTTTCGACGATAGCATGTAAAGAATTTCTCGCCCATGAAAAAGTTCTTATGGATTTGTGCTGAGATGTTCACCTCCGCCGATGTGCCGGTGGGGTTCGAGCTTTCATCCACGTACTGCAACTCGCCCAGTTGCTCCGTGATTCCCATGGGAAGAACAACTTCCTCCGCTCCTCGTGACGAATACGACGGGCTGCTAGTAGGCTCCCTCGAATCCTGCGCCATCGGGAGATGGCTGTTTAGGTGCGGATCTGAGTTGGTGTAGCCGCCAGATCCTTGGCTCATGCTGTGTCCGTGGGTACGTGAGACCGATTGTCTGGTCTGATGATCCCTTGGCCTCGCAACGCGGTGCAGTGATGATGATGCGTAGCTTTCTCGCGGCTGCTGGTAATGAGGCTGCGATTGACGTTGGCTTGAGACAGCTGGTGCTGGCGCGGTTGAACTGCAGGAACACGAAATCGTCAGAATGCACGTCGAAAATATAACCCGCCAGGGATTCGGGAACAAATGACTGCCGACAGGGTGACACAAGAAAGTTTCAAGCACTCACTGGCTCGGGATTGGCTGCACGTGAGGCCAGTAGCCGGAGTAGGTACCGGCTCCTGCGCTGACGGTGTTGCTTGCTTGGTAGTTGGCGCTTAAATTCTGAAAGTTCGATGGTTGGGTATCGTAGGGCGCGCTGTGGCTATTTCTATTTATACTAGTTAGTCTCACGATCAGGCGAAAGCGGCGTGGGCCATGTGAGTGGCAAGTACACGGGAATTGAAGTCGTGCGAAGCGGTTGTGCAGCCATGCACAACGCAAGCTCTCTCGTTTCTTCAACGTTACACGACCCGCATGAGTGAGTGTACAATGATTGGGTGATTATGTATAACAGAACAGAGAAGAGTGCCAGGGCAGATTGGGAAGTCAATGCCAGGAAGGTGTGGACATTGGGTTGGCAGTAATGATGCTGGAGAGAGAGGGTGAAAGGGTATTATAAGCAAAGGACGGAGGAAGAGGAGGGACTCTTAGGTGCAGGGGGTAGGTAGCACTGGGATAATACCCGTTAAGGACGGGTGTGCTTGTGTAAGAGAGCTCTGTGAGAGACAAATAAAGCAACGGGACGGGAGTGTAAGGCCCAAAGGAGCGATTGAGCGAGGGAATGGAAGAAGAGAGAGAGATCTTACCTTGGGTCCGCATACTCGACCTCCCCGCTGAGCGCGGTTGGGGTGGAGGAATCGTAGTCCTGCTATAAGACAAGAACATGTTAGGCCTTGTACTGTGCCTGTAAAAAGGACCATGCTCTCTCTATTGTTCGCCAGGCGGGCGCAGTGCGACACCCCGATGGCCCCCTCCGGCGTTGACTTAGGTCAACGTCGTCGCCGTCCATCACACGCCCCTCCATGAGTTTTGCCTAGCTGGCGCTGGGTGGGGGAGGAGAGGCTCATTGCCGGTGTGTCCAGGAGACCCTGCAGTCGGAGATGCATTAGCACGGAAACTCTTTCTGGGCATCCAAAGGACAGGGGAGGAATAAATGAATAATTGGAGGGCAAGGTTATGGTGGTGGTTCAGGTGTGCACACGCTAGCCTTGTCATGCATGGGGGAGCTGCATGGCATGGCTTTTTTTTTTCTTGTATGGCGTTGTGCGGTTGGCCCAGCCTAAAGCCAGCAGGAGCGCAGCGCAGCCGAAGTACTGTACATCCGAGTACTTTTTGGGGCCCGAAGACCGCGCCAGAGTGCGTGGCGTGCGTCTATCCGGCGCACAAAGGGAAGGGAAGGGAAGGGAAGGGCAAAGGGTGCGCGAGGAGGAGAACGATGAGGAGGGGAGGGGGGGTCCTACCGCTGCCTCGTGCTCTTCTCTAGAGCCAGAGCCAGAGCCAGAGCCAGAGCCAGAGCCAGAGCCAGAGCCAGAGCCAGAGCCAGAGCCAGAGCCAGAGCCAGAGCCAGAGCCAGAGCCAGAGCCAGAGCCAGAGCCAGAGCCAGAGCCAGAGCCAGAGCCAGAGCCAGAGCCAGAGCCAGAGCCAGAGCCAGAGCCAGAGCCAGAGCCAGAGCCAGAGCCAGAGCCAGAGCCAGAGCCAGAGCCAGAGCCAGAGCCAGAGCCAGAGCCAGAGCCAGAGCCAGAGCCAGAGCCAGAGCCAGAGCCAGAGCCAGAGCCAGAGCCAGAGCCAGAGCCAGAGCCAGAGCCAGAGCCAGAGCCAGAGCCAGAGCCAGAGCCAGAGCCAGAGCCAGAGCCAGAGCCAGAGCCAGAGCCAGAGCCAGAGCCAGAGCCAGAGCCAGAGCCAGAGCCAGAGCCAGAGCCAGAGCCAGAGCCAGAGCCAGAGCCAGAGCCAGAGCCAGAGCCAGAGCCAGAGCCAGAGCCAGAGCCAGAGCCAGAGCCAGAGCCAGAGCCAGAGCCAGAGCACAGAGCCAGAGCACAGAGTGAGCTTCTTGTGCAAACATCGGCGCGGGTGCATAAGTCGACGCACGCTCCCGCCTGTTACACCAGCACCACCTTGCATTCAAGGCCGACCTTTGTGTGCTTGCCTGCATCAGATCGCCCCTCTCCCGGCCCTGCTGTTGTGCAGCTAGCGATTGGGTACCGCCGGATTGGCTGGCAAGGTGGTATGGGCGAACAGAGTTCAGACGACTTGCAACACAGATGGACGGGCAGGGTTGGGCAAGATCAAAGTGACGGGCTCGATTCTCAAGGGAATGACGATGTGCAAATGGGAAATTGAGGAAGGTGGCACTTACAGAATGGTTTCTTGTTGTTTCGTTGTTCGACAAAGCAACCCCAGTGGTCGTGGACTTAAGTCCAAAATGGCCCAGTCGCCAGCAGATTGCGGGGCGGACACTGCGCTCGAGGCGAACAAAGAGAGAGAGTACAGATCCAGGAGTGTTTGCTTACCGTTGTCTGTTGGATATGCATACGGATTGATGTGATGGTATATTTGTGGTCTTCAAGATGTTTAGCTGTGCGTCCTTCTTCGATTGCTCTGGGTTGGAGGCGGCGTACTGTGGTGGTATGTCGACACAATTGCAGTCGAACTTCAAGCCCCGACTCCGAGTAATGACTACTGGCTTGTTAGCTGATACGCCTTGGAATGCTGCCATGTGCTGTACTGTCTCTTGGATTGTTCGAACGCCGATACTGTTGGGATGTGATGCCCTGGGATGGGCAAGGCCAGACATCCCATGCAGTGGCGACCTTGGAACAAGCCCAAGTATTCGGGGATAGCACAAGAGAGGGTACAAAACTTACCCGTCTGTTTCGAAGCTTGGTGTGATCGGACCGGACTAGGGTGAGGCAAGTGGTGTCAGCGCATCTGGAAATGCAAGATGTATGCGACGATTTGAAGATGTGTTGGCATATGGAGGGTGGGCAATCGTATTAGTTCATGCATGGAAGGCAGCTCGAGCGAAGAGACTCGAGCATGCACAGGTATTGAAGAATGCAGGAGGAGGAAGTTTGGGACAGAAGAGAAGCAGTGAAGCATCCGTTTGACTTGCAAACGGACTCGGTGCGGGGAAGCGTTGGGGCGAAGCGGCGGACTTACAGATGATGGTATGCTTTTGAGCGAAGCAGCAATGGAGATGCTATTCGAACAGAAGAGGAAGCAGAAGCTTTAAAATTGGTATTGTTTATGATAATGAGAGTTGCTTAAAGCTTAAAATGTTTGATGATATGATTGGAAAGGAAGAGAGGTCTGCTGGGTGTGTCCCAGATTTATATATCCTTCGTGTGAGAGGGGGAGATTGGGAGCCTGCTCCTCACCCAGCACCCGTCCCTTCATCACAGCAGATGGTAGATGCACCCTCCACCGAGATAGGGACTATGTGAATAAGAGCAAGAGACGGGGGGCCCGTGTGATGCATGCAGCGATTGGGCAGCTCCAGAGGGGGGACACGAGACTGGGAGAGCGAAAGCGAGAGAGCCCTGGGAGGAGGGGCGTGGCTGCATGACGCGCAGGGCCTGTGAATCACGGCTTCACTGCATTTTGCAAGAATTGGTGATTTCGGGGCGCCAAAGAAACAATTTTGATCCTGCCGCCCACGCACCAGAAAGCAGCAGCCAAGGTCTGGTAGGGGAGCGAGAAGGGGGGCGTATGTTCATCCCGACGGGAAGAGCCAACTCCTCTTTCGAGACCGCCCATTTCGCGTAATTGGGTCAAAAAGGACCTAGAATCCATCCAGCCACATGTGGTCTTGCTAGTAAAGAAAATAAACAATAAATAAATTAAATAAATCAAATAAATGAATAAAAATTGTGGAGGAGACGGGTAGCAAGCAAGTTGTGTTACCGATTCGAGACGGCGCATATTTGCCTCTCTGCTTTGGCGATCCAACGCAACTCGCCTACTTTGGAAATCACGCGCCTAAAGATGGCCTAGCTCAATGAAACCGATGGATCCCTTTGTTCTGTTTTATCAGAAAGAAGCCCTCTTTTTTTCCTTTCTCTTGCCCTTCCCGGGTACGCTGTACTCGGGATGAATCTCGTGGACGCTGTTAGTTCGTTCCTGGCGTCCCGTCGCTGCTCCTGCGAGCAACCGAACACCCGCCATTGTCCCCGATTCAGAGTCACCCAGATCAGGCAGCGGCTATACGCTAGGCTTAAAAAAAGGACTCCCAGTAGAAGCAACAGGAAGTCGGGCATGGGCGGCGCTTTGCGGCCAACAGGACAGTGTGCCTGTGCATGTGTCGTGCCTGGGGCAAAGATTGGCCCCCGGGTGCGCATTGCTCTATTTCGCTGCTCTTTGACGGGAGCGACATGTGGCGACAGGGGTGGCCAGAGAGAGAGAGGGAGCCTCTTTTTCCTTCTCCTCGCTGCAATTCGCTCTTTAAAACACCGACCGACGCCTGGCTGTCTTGTTACGGGAATCGGAACCAGGTACCATATAGGTAGGATGTGCCACCGTAGTTCCTCCTCTTGCAGTTCATGAAATGCGAGACAGACTGGATCACTCACCGCAGGTCATGCATCCGCGTAACATTTCATGCTGGCCAAGAGGACGAACGAGCAGCCGCCGCCGCCACACAACAATCGTCCTCTGCGTAGCTAGTGTGGGCGGACACGGCCTTGGCCCTACGTACTTGACATGTAAGAGATCGGAGGATCCTCAGGGCTGATCAGAGTCGGTGCCCGCCAGACAAGACGACTAGCGCACGACGTTTGGAGCCCTCCACCGGCCGGTGTAAGCCAGTGCTTGAATCGCTTCCGACAAGGGTTGCCCGAAACGGTTTTGATTGTCCGTCCACCAGTGGCGCTGAATGAAAAGAGTCCATTCCAAGCCCCCCGGTGTAGGCCAAAATACAAATTCCATCCGCATGACAAATTTCTTTCTCTCTGTAAGAGAGGGAAGTTTTGAGTGACCAACTTACGCGCCAGGGTTCTTACCACCCGTGATTGAGGCAAATGTGACTGTGTTGGTGCAACACTCCGCCTTCTTGGTGGTAGAGTGAGCATCGCGAGATGGTCGCACGAACTTGTGACTGGACACTTCAATGGCTGGCTGAGGGGACCCAAGAGTGTCTTCGCCAGCCCCATCACGCCTTGCATGAGCTCATTTGCTTGTTGGGCCCAACTATTGACTGACTGGATCCATGACCGCCGTCCGAGACGCAAGGATTATCGAAATGTCTACCTTTTCCGGATATACTCATGCAGGCCATCAAGCCCAGATTATCTCACAGCCTTGAAAGCAGCGTGGGGGGCCGATTCTACTTGTCTGACTGGTTTTGCCCTGTCTTGTTCGAGCAGCAGCACGTCATTTACAAAGGTTTCGGGGCAGAATGGTCCCAAAGGTGGCTGCGGGACGGACCTCTTCCACGCTCGTGACGCTCTGTACGGGCAAAGAATATAGCCTTCCCGGGTGTGATGCACACAAGGACAGGAAGGGGGGGGGGGGTCCGTCAGACCATTGGCTGTGCACAATCGGCCGTATAACTGAATCACGGCTTTGTGAGATGCAAACACCTGACACCCAACAAATTGCCCTACACCGTCGCCACTGATATGCTCCGATTCTCTGACTTGGTGGCTGATGTCGTGCTGCGCCTGCCATGCAGTCTAGATGTGTGTATCGATGCGCTAGGCCGGCTACATTTCACAGCGTCATGTTTGTCAGACCATCTAGCAAACCTGTCTGAGCACAATACCGATCGTAGCACTCTATCGAGAAGAGATGGGATTAACCATCGTTTGCGTATCTTGACATCGTACTCAAAAGTTGGGTGCAGATGGTGGGTGGGTGCAAGTGTGTGGGCACTTGTCCGTGTGGGTGGTCAGAGAATCAGAGGGAGGGAAAGCAACAACTAGTCCTCAGGACATCGGAACTACTGTCTCGTGCAGTTTGTATAGAGCAGCCCTGATAGCAGACGAGAGAGGGCAGCACCAAACAATGAAAGAAGCGCCAGCACTCGTCTCTCACCAGTAGCCTGTAGCCTTGACTGCGTGCTCGTACCGGGCGAGGTGAGTCGTTCCCGTTTTGCTCACGGGACAAGGAACTAATAAAACCAAAACCACCAGGCTATGTCACTCCCCTATGGTTGGACATCTTCCCACATGAAGAGGGTAGTTCTCGTATCGTCGTGCGTCTGCTGCAGGTGTTATGAATACCCTGGTCAAGGTACGTAGTCTTCGGGAAATCATGCAGTCGCAGCTGGATAAAGATTTTCGGTGGCTTGCATAGGAGTATCGAAGCACGGCCCTTTGGCTTGTTTGCGTAGATTCGCCCGCTCGCCACTGAGCGGCTGGGGGGCAATAGTCTGTCTCAAACATTATTTTGTGTAAGGCTGTTTCTCGTACTTCGCAAGGGAAACCAAGGCTACATGGATTACACGATCAGGTCGGTGCCGATGTCGGACAGCGGACGCGCACGTCCAGTATCACGGTATGACCAAAGCAGTGCAACTCAATGTCGGCGCCAGCTATGTGATTGCTTTTATGTGTTGTTGGGGGCGGTGAAGTAAAAACAAGGATTGAACATTGCAGTGGCCAAGGTCGGAGGTTTTGACGAGCAAACGACTAGACCGCTCGTCGAAGACGCACAACAGGAGGAGCTCGGAAAGAGCAGTTCGCTTCGAATTTCCTGTAATGGGTTGCTGTCCGAGATTTCGAACAAGAAGGTGAGTTTCCTTTTTTTTTTGTTTTTGTTTTTGGTTTTGTTTTCATTCAGATAGTTTTTGTGCAGAAGTTGTGTGGCAACCGTCACGGCACAGAATTCGCCAGTGCGAGGGCTGATAAGTGTCAGACCACGCAGTCGTAGTACTGGTGGCATCTTCCACAAGATTGCGGGAAGATTTCGTAGAGAGGGTGTAATTCAGCGGCTGCTGAAGGTCTGTCTGTGAAGCCTGTCATTGCAAAAGACGTTGTCCAGTGTCGCCGCGGGGAAGGGGACAAAGCCTGGGGAGGGGGACAAGGCTGGCGGGAGGCGTACGACTGAGGATAGTCGGGGGCGCCTTTTTCGCCACACGCTGGTGCCGCCGCAATATCCTGGGTAGTAGGGAAGAGGACAGGCTCAAGAGGTGCCTGCAAACCTCGTGGTACGGACGGTATCAGTAGGCGGGCGCAGAAGCTTGGCGGGTGAACCTGAAGCTAGGAGGGGGAGCTTGGACGCTTCGAAGCCAGGGCCTTGCGCTGCTGCGGGAGAAGGACGAGGAGAGAGAGAAAGAGAGAGGCGCTTCGTCCGGACTCTTGTGGCTGTCCTTGTTGGCCATGTCCGTCGTACGACTTTTCGGGAGGCTTTGGTCTGCTCTGGTGATGCACTGGGAGCAGCACAAGCCGTGTTGGGAGGTGTGACAAATGGAGGGCGCTTGGGGAATAGCGATCAATGGACAGATTGCAGCCACGCCCCGCCAGGGCGAGACAGAACAAGGATTGTCCCGCATCGGGGAAACGTCTTGTGACTGATTTGTTTCAACGGCTCCGGGTCGTGGTTCGGTTCGGCGACAAGAATAGCATGCCGCGCGGCGATAACGAGGAAACGAAAAATGGAGAATGGAGAATGGAGAATAGAGAATGGACAACGGAGAATGCGGGCCGTGGTTCCTCGGATAATGCCAGCATAATGGATGGATGGATGTCTGGAGTAAATTGGAGCCGCGCTGATAAATCAGGCTGGGAACTGGTGGGACGGTTAAAGGCAAAAAGGGTAATAAAGAAAAACAGAAAGAAAGAAAGAAAGGGTCGAGGGACAAACAGCAAGGTCTGTCCATGTGACTGAGACGGCAAAGATGATGGACGGGATTTTTATTAAGGTAGGTGAGTACCTATGTATGTATGTACATACATACATACATACATACATACATACATACATACATACATACATACATACATACATACATACATACATACATACATACATACATACATACATACATACATACATACATACATACATACATACATACATACATACATACATACATACATACATACATACATACATACATACATACATACATACATACATACATACATACATACATACATACATAGGTTAGTTAGTGTATGTATGCACCTACAGTACATCGCTGCATGGATGTAGGTTACTGGTAGTACGTACTTGGCTGCAGGTTCGTCGATAGTAGCTTGTACGTAACCTGGCTAACTGATGAACGGATTCTGGCCGGGGTGACATCTTTTTTTAGAAGCCGTTGGTGCTGAGCAAGCAAACCTAGTAGCCCTTGGCCGAGGCGAGGCGTATTGCCTTCGCACTGTTGGTGGTGGTGATGGACCTTACTGGAAGCATCATTGATTGCAGTGATTTGCAGTGATTTGCAGTCATAAAGTACCTAACAGTGCCCAGCAAAAGGGACAAGGGGGAGGGAGGGCCGTGGTCAGTTGGCGCCAGGGCGGGCGCCACTGTGGCGGCTGCAGCTGCAGTAGCGTACCTGTACCTGTAAGGCAGCGGGCCCTTTATTGAGGTATGTACTGCAGGTTGCAGTACTCGACTTGAGGGCTGTTGGCTCGCAGGCGGGCCGAAGCGGGGAGGCACGTTTGCTAGCGTGACATTGGAGATTGGTTCTTTATAATTAGCATGGGAATCAATTGTCAGATGTGTGGCTAAAAACGTCGGCCCGTCCATGGACGTAGGGCGCAAGTTGAAAGCCACTGACTGTCTGTCTGTCTTGAAAGGAGGCTGCGGGGCCGCCTGCAGCAAAGAAGGTTTGCTTGTAAACGAAGCGAGTCCAGTCAGCGAGTTACCAGTTGCCAAGTACTGTAAGTGCCCACCTATGTATGTATGTAGGGTAGGTACATACATACAGTCGGTAGCCTTACCTAACTGTCTTCGAAGGTTTCGAAGGCACCAACAAGCAACAACGGCAAGCCACCCACACAAGAAAGGTGGGGTGATACCCTGTCTGGCCTGACCTCACTTCACTTTCTCCTCTTTCTCGTAGGCAATCATCGTGTCCGCCCTCCCAACAACGCATCATCTCCTGCTTCTACACAGCATTCACTGCCTGCTCTGCTGTACGTATCCGCACAGGCAGAGCACCGACATACCAACCTTTCTTCCTTCCCATCCCCCTCGGGCGCGGCAAGCTACTACTACCTACGTAGTAACTAGGATACTCTGCTCTGTGCTTCCCCCGCTCAGTTTCTGCGTGGCGCGCGCGGCATGCCTAAGAAAAGGCATCACTCCTACCTCAAGTCGCCAAAAACACTGTCGCCCTCATCTAGCGCTGTCAAAGGTGAGTGGGTGGAGCTCTTGCACGCATTCTCCTCTCATCGATCCAAAAGCCGCAGCCATCATTGAGCTCCTAGCTAACCAGCCGCCTGTTTCCGTGCTACCCCTCCACCGCAGACAAACCTCACAAGTCCGTCAACGAACTTCTCACACAGCTACGTCACACATCGCTCGCATCCTCGTCAGCGCCTGGCCCCCCTGCGTCACCGCATCCCAACATCCCTTCCTTCCCCCCGGCCCTCAGGCATATCCTGCAAATCCCAGAGACGCCAGCGCCCCGCCCTAGGCGTGCCGTCAGGTCCAGGTTCGACAGCCATGGCCGTCGTCTTCCCGCCGGGCCCCCTCCGCCACGTAGCTGGACGTCGCATTCCCTAGCTTCACATCATCACCAACAAATCCAACAGATAACCCCTCTGGCAGAGTCTGAGGCTGCTGCTGCTGCTCGCCATGCGCTAGCCAATCTATCCTTGCCCGGCCTGCAGCAGCCTGCGCCCGCCAGCCTCATTGGTCTCGTTGTTTCCCGTCTCGCCGCCAACTGGGCCTTCCACCGTGTCTTTGACCAGCACTACTTGTACGACATTCCCTGTCATCTCAAGCCAGCACTAATGCGGGAGCTCGCTGTTTACAGCCCTGCCGGCCTTGCTCTCGGCGACATCAAGGCCCTGCTCATGCGTCCAAGCCATGGCGACAACAACAGCAGCCATCATGCAGGGGGGTCGCCTCTCTTCTCGGCTGTCGACCCCGAAATTACTGCGCTGGACCTCACTGGGTCCTTGGGAAGATCACTAACCCTGAGGGATGTGACTACCCTGCTCTTCCCCGCTCCGCCGACCTCGCCGATCCCAGACAACGCTCAAGATTCCTGGGATGTTAGTGAGGACGTTCCCGCTGCCTGTCTTTCCCATGCACTTGTGCCCAATCTAACGCACATTTCTCTCGCAATTAACCCCGAACAAACTGATAACGTGTCATGGCGCGACCTCCTTGCCCTGGCTCCTCGACTGGGCTCAATCACGCACCTCAGCCTAGCCTACTGGCCCGAACCTTGCCTCTTGCCAAGTGCCAAGTTTGCAACCGTCGGCTCTCCGCAAGGCTACCATATCCCATACGGTGGAACGAGCTACTATTCGCATTCGATAGACCATGACTGGAGTGAGGCGCTGTTGGTACTCAAGAAGCTGAGCCAGAGCCTCTATACCCTCGAATTTTTAGATCTCACTGGATGTGCCTCTTGGTTTCAGGCTCTGAAGCTCGAAGATGGACATGATTATGTGGACTGGGTCAGTAACTGGGGAAAGATTACACATCTCCGCCTCAAGATGGGCTGGTCTTTGACAGATGATGCTCTACCTGCAACCATAGCCTCGCACCGCGACGCGGCCGCATTGGCCTTATCCATCGAGAGGCACATTACTGCTGCTAGGGGCGGTAGAGGGCGCTTCATCACAGTCGAACGATGATCGCTGTACACTCAGACGTTACTTACACATAAGAAAGAAGTGAATCGAAGATATATTCAACTCGACACGGCCCCTTCTTTATGAGCCGTCATTGCTTATGCGACCTCGACATCTTGACTGTATCACGCCAATCGTCTGTGACTCGCTTCCCAAAGCGCTTGAAATTTGCTGTTCGACTCGAGAAGCTCGCGTGGCTTACCAATCTCCACGACTTTACCCTTGTCAAGGATCACGACTTTGTCAGAGTTAATAATCGTGTCGAGACGATGTGCTACAGCAATTACTGTGTGGCTCTTGAACAGTGAGTCAATCATCTTTTGCACTTGGTCCTCGATTTCACTGTCGACACTAAGTTTTTATTAGATTGGTCAATCCTTTGAGAGCCTGTTCGCTGATTTACCTGTTTGTCACTTCGTCCAGCAGAACGATGCGTCCGGTATCCTTGCGGAACTGGCTCGAGCCAGCGAAAACAGCTGTTTCTGGCCGTGACTCAACATGTCATCCACGAACTTGCCATCCAGACCGCCTTGTCTCTCGATTGCAGACCAGATGCCGGCTTTTTGGAGGGCTTTGATGAGATGCTCCGTTTCAAACGCAGCAAATGAATCTAGATTCTCGCGTACGGTGCCAGGCAGAACGAAGTGATCTTAGCTCACGCTGACAATGCGACTATGAATCAGATCACGCGGGAGTGTATCCAGATGAATACCATCAACAGTGATTCGCCCCGAACTAGCATCAAGAAGTCGCAGGAAAGAAATTAACAAAGATCATTTTCCGCTGCAGCAAGAAACTTGCACTGTTAGCTATGTGTCCTTCAGGTTGAGTCGATAGACTTGCCTTCCGGTGCGGCCACAGATTCCAACCTTCTCACCAGGATTAATAGTAACTTCAATACTATCCAGTGCTTTCGCGGACTCTAAATCGTCGTACGATGCGGTAAGGTTCCGGACTTCGATCTTACCAGCCGAGGGCCGGGTATCGGGCGGCTGAGTCGTCTCGTCGGGTTTGTTCTCGCCACCCGCTTCCTCGGTGAAATTCTTGATGCGTGCAACAGCACCGATGGATATCTCGACCGATGTCCAGAAGTAAATTAGCATGTTGAGCGCCTGGCTCATTGAAATGAGTTGCACAAGCGCCACTCCAGTGAGTCCGACCGAGACCTTGTCTCGTAAGTACACGGCGAAGCTGACAATAAGCAAAGCAAGACCCGCCGTCATGAGGTCCAGCACCATGATAAACCACTTCTGCACGATTATGAGGGGATAGAATGGCTTCTGGGATCGATCGTCCAGTTCATGATTCTTTTAAAAGGCTGCTCTGGCCCAACCAAAGGCACGGATAGTGGGTAGACCAGCGAGTGTCTCAAGGAACTGCGAGTGGGCTGGTGCCTTTTCCTCGAGATCAAGGAAACGAAGCTGGCGTGATGTGCGCAAATAGCCACGCTGAAGGTAGTAGTAAAAGACGGCGATGGACGGGAAGCTGATGGTAATGTAGTACGAGGTGGCAAGCAAGCTAGCCTTGGCAACAACAGAAAAGAGGCTTGCCAGCGAAACTACCAACGCGAGTGGCAGCCGGTTGTCCAGGATTCCAATATCCTGAGAGAACCTAGTGGTCATGACACCAATATCTGTCGAGGTAAATAGAGAGAGTGGTGCGCGCAGTGTTGCTGTGAGGGGTCTCTGGTGCAGGGTAACGCCAGCCTTGCCCGCAATGCTGACCAACCCAAACCAAATCAAGAGAGCAAACTAAAAATCTGTGCAAGGACTTGCATCGTAGCATATGGACCGAGATATTGTGCGGAAGAGGTATGGGAGTCTTGTTGCATATCGCCAGCCCAGAAACTAAGCCAGACAGTCGGGAAGCACTGAAGAAAAGCCCAGCCAATTTCGAGCCCAAGAAGCGCGGCGGCAGAGACGAGTCCAATGCTACCAAAGTAGTAGCTGTATACAGTTCGGTCACCAAGCTGCCGTCTTTTATCATCGGCTTGCTTCGTTTCCTTGACCCTGTATTCCTTTCTGACGGGTTCGTCTTGGGTCAGGTCATTTTGCCCGCTGCCCGTGGTAGGCCCCTCGCCGGTGTTGGATTGCACAAGGCTTTGCGTGTAGCCATTTGCCTTGCTTGAATATTGATATCGACCAATCTCCGAGATACGGCCAGACTCAACCAGCGAAATAATGAAATCGGAAGATGGCAGGAAGGCGGCAGATTGGGTTGCCAGGAGGATAGCGGCACCGCTCTCATGAAGCAGACCACCTTCAGCGAACACGTGGCGGAACACGTGGCGTGCGGTTTGGCTATCTAGACCGCTGAAGGTGTCGTCAAATATTGCAATTTCGGGCTCGGAGTAGACCACCCGCGCGAGGGCGAGCCGCTGCTTCTGGCCGCCGCTGAGGGACAGGCCCTTGCTGCCGACAACGGTCATTTCACCGCGCGGTAGCTGCTCGAGGTCCTCGCCGAGGGCGCACGCTCGGATGATACGGTCGTAGCGGTCGGCGTCGTAGTGTGCCTCGTATCCGATGATATTTTCTCGGATGGTCCGGTTCAGGATCCAAGGGCTCTGCGCGCACCAGGACACGTGGTTGCTACCGAGCTTGATGGTGCCGGTGGTGTGCGGAACCTCGCCAAGTAGGGACTGAAGGAGTGTGCTCTTTCCGAAGGCGGTTGGCCCGAGAAGCATGCCAAACTGACCCTTGGCGAGGGAGAATGTGACGTCGCTCAGCTCCGTGCGGTCTTGGGACCAGGCGGCGCTCGAGTGACTGGCTTTGATGGCGTCAGTACCTGCGTCGGGCTAGCTTTGTAGTTGTGAGAGCTCGATGCTGCTAGATGACAGCTCGGAATTATCCCTCTCTTGTCCGCAAATAACACGAGTGTCCTGTTTGGTGGCCTCCAGGAGATGCTTTTCAATGCGCTCGAAAGCACCGCAGGCCGCACTCATGTCGAGAACGGCCTCGAGCATCCAGAACCAGGGCTCTGAGAGAAGTGTGATGTATGCCAGGGCGGTGAACATGCGCGTCTCGTCCAGTGTGCGTCCCGTGGTTGCGGAAACGCCCTGGTACAAGGCAAAAGCGACGACGGGAGAGAAGGTGGCGGGGATCTAGGCGAGGGCCGAGGTGATGCTGCCGCAGACCCGAAACACCCGCGAGGCAGCGACCTCGGACTCGCGGAGCCCGGACAGCTTCCGTGCAAGAGGCTCGACCAGCCCGGCCATCTTGATGCTCTTGATGTGCCCCAGCATGGCAGAGGTGATACCTCGTCCAGGTCAGCTGCACGGTCTTTCGTGTTTGCTCATGAGGACAGTGGGCATTTTAGAGTCTACTTACGGACACGTTCCTGCGTTTTGGCCAACCAGCCGACCCGGGACTTCTTGGCACGAGTCGAAACGAAGAAGATGGCGGTCAGGGCGAGGAGGGCGACAATGGCGGGGCCGACGGCAGCGTAGCCTTCTCCTCGGCGAAGGCGCCAATGCGGCAGCAGCAGCACCACCACCGGCACCGCGGAGGATCAGCAGTCGAGTCTTGCTGCGGGCCTCGAGCAGCACCAGGGCGGCCCTTGACGGCAAAGGCGGCGGAGAAGACGACGCGGATGCCTCGCGGCAGCCTCGCCAGCCAGAGGGAGCGAAGCAGGGCGGCGTCGAGGAGCAGCGACAGCAGCAGGAAGACGCCGAGCAGGGACGAGGGCCACGGGGAGCGGGCGTGCTCGAGATACGAGAGGGCACAGGACATGAGGCTAGAGGCACAGGCGACGCACGGGGCGGCGAGGGATACGGTGTTTACCAGGGGGGGCATGCTGCTGGGGGAGGAGAGCCCAGAGTACGACAAGGGCGAGCTGGAGAGCCGCGATGGAAGAGGTGGTGATCTTTGACATGGGGTAGGGGGCACACATTTTAGAGATTCTGGGGGGGGCGGTTGGGCTCACCAGCTTGGCGGCGCGCAGCCTGCCGGGGCGGACTCGGGACGGGCGGCACAGCAGCACGGCGAGGCGCAGAGTCGCAGAGGCGCGAGGAGGAGCAGGATTCCGGCGGGGAAGAGGACGACGATGGACTGCTCGAAGACGAGGGTGAAGTCGACGATGCTGTCACCGCTGCACAGGGGGTCGCGGAGGAGCGGGCCGAAGGAGGCGTCGGCGGTGGGGGCGCACGCGGCGGCGGCAGAGGGGGAGGAGGAGTTCATGACGGGGGGAGGGCTCTAATTAATGAGATGAGATGAGATGTTCGGTCTGTTATAGGAAGGTCGATACAGACACTCTCTATCGATAACAAGATACTTAGCTGGAGTGGCTTATCAACGGTGAAGCTAAAAAGTGAAGCGAGTCTTCCCATCTACATCCATCTACGTCAAGGCATGTAAAGTAGGAAGAAAAAAATCAAATTACCAACCCTCCTTACAATATACCAATTAAGCCCCAATCTTGCCTGAACTCTACTACAATGACTCCTACGTCCCTAATTCGTGTCCATCCTTGGTCAGTCGGCGTCGTCGGCGTGAGTCACTCCGTCGCATCCAACCCCACCCTCAATAACCATCATGCCTACCCTCTACCCTACACCACAACCTTGCGCATTCCCAGGGACGGGTGAACGTCTTCCAGCACTTGCCTTAGATTCAACGCTGGTCATTTAGTGCGGCTGAATTTTCGAAATCTTGAGAGTCAATTTTACGGGGAAAATCAGCTAGTATTCCCGTCCCCGTATTTTCCCACTTTCTCTTCCTTGGTTCGCATTCCCCAACTGGAAGCTAGTGACGCTTGCTTGTACACCATCTGAACACTATAAAACCGATTGATTGCCCTTTCGACAACATTCGTCTCCAGAGCCATCATTGAAAGCAAATAAAACTCTCTTGGTCATTGATCAGACAGAGGGAATCGACTTAAATTACCAGGAGAAGACCGAATCAATTAATCCAAACTCCGGCCAGGCTTCCCACCCACCATGACGTCGATGGCATCCGAGTCCGTCGCGACCATTCTTTGTACCTCGAAGCAAACGCGCTTTCACATTGACCAGGCAAACTATCGAGAGGTGGGTTCAGCTTGGAAAATACCCCCTTCCCTGGCAAACATCATTAACCTTTTGACAAGCTCGATATTGATGGCGTCAACATTACCATCGTCGAAGGCTCCAAACAAGGCGCGTCTGCCAAGGGCAAGTCCAAAGCTCGCAGTCAAGGACTTGAGATCCTGTCCGGCGCCAGACTGCGTCTAAAAGAAGGCCGCCGATATGCTCTCATAGGCCGAAACGGGACGGGAAAATCTAGTATGCGCCGATTGTTACACGACAGCCAACTCACCTCACTAACGGCCTTTCAATGAAGCCCTTCTCAAGGCTATTGCCGAGAAGCTCATCCCAGGCATCCCGGAAGACTCCCGGATTGCTATCCTGCAGCAGACAAAGCTTAACTCCGAAGAACAGCGCAAAGATGAGACTGCAGCAACGCAGATGAATACGCGACAAGAAGTCATTGAACGGGCCACTTCGCGTAGCACCATCGAGCAAGACATCAAGAGTATGGCGTCGCCGCCCATCATCCTATGCCAGACAGACTACGCGCTAACAGCTACAAGCTCTATCTGATGGCATCGACTCAACAGATCCCTTTGCGCCCGTACGCGCTGTCCGCAAACTCAAGCACCATCGTTTACAACAGCGCCACTTTCTGCTTGACAAGGACGCTCGGCTTCGGAGCGGCGCTCGTGGCATGGCCGCCCGCAAGGCCCTCGTCGCCATTGAAAAGATCGTGGACGAGTCGCAAGAGCAGGTCGACCAGCCCTCGGCCGAGATCACGCCCGAAAAGCTACAGGAAGAAACGCAAGAGGCCGCCGACATGCTCGCCGAGCTGCAGATCCAAGTCGAGCCGAGCCGCGTGAGCGAGATCGAGACGAGGGCGCTACGCATCCTCACCGGTCTCGGCTTCACCGAAAAGGTCATGGAACAGCCCCTCTCGAGCCTCTCCGGCGGCTGGCACATGCGCGCGAGCCTCGCCGCGGTGCTCCTGCAGGAGGCCGACATCCTGATCCTCGACGAGCCGACCAACTTCCTGGACCTCCTCGGCATCATCTGGCTGCAGAAGCACCTCGAGGCGATGCAGGACGCCGCCGAAAAGCCGCCCACACTCATCGTCGTCTCGCACGACCGCGCCTTCATCGCCCTCTGCACCGACCTGCTCATCCTCCGCGACAAGGAGCTGACCTACTTCCACGGCGACCTGCCGACTTTTGAGGCGTCGCGTGCCGAGCGCAAGGAGCACCTGGCCAAGGTCAAGGAGGCGCAGGACAAGCAGCGGGCGCACATTGAGAAGACGATTGCGCAGAACATGAAGGCCGGGCGGCAAAACGACGATCAGAACAAGATCCGGCAGGCCAAGTCGCGCCAGCGCAAGCTGGACGACCGCTGGGGCATGCAGGTCAGCGAGAAGGGCCACCGGTTCAGGCTCAACGACATGGTCGGCTTCTTCCACAACAAGCGCCTGGACATCGAGGTCCCCGTCGATGAGCGGCCCGTCTCCCTGGAGCTGCCCGCCCCGACCGAGCTGCGCTTCCCCGGCTCGCTGCTCTCCGTCGAGGGGGCGAGTTTCCGTTACGCGCGCGGCGCCACCCCGGTCGTCAAGGACGTCCACCTGACCGTCGGCATGGGCGACCGCGTCGGCGTGCTCGGGCTCAACGGCGCCGGCAAGTCGACCCTCGTGCGTCTCCTCGTCGGCGAGTCCGCCCCCACCACCGGCACCGTCACCACCCACCCTCGCCTCAAGCTCGGCCACTACGCGCAGCACGAAGTCGAGGCGCTGCAATCCCTCGGCCGCGAGTCGCCCTCCCTCACCGCGCTCGCGCTTCTCACGCGCGACGTGGACGGCACGCTGAACGAGGGCGAGCTCCGCGGGCTCCTCGGCGAGCTCGGGCTGCCCGGCCGGCTGGCGTCGGACGTGCCGGTCCGGAAGCTGTCGGGCGGACAGCTGGTGCGGTGCGCGCTGGCGCGGCTGCTGTGGCGGAGGCCGCACTGCCTGGTGCTGGACGAGATCACGACGCACCTGGACTACGAGACGGTGACGGCGCTGCGGGCGGCGCTGCGGAGGTGGGAGGGCGCGGTGGTGCTGGTCAGCCACGACCGGTGGTTTGTGCGCGGCGTCGTGGAGGGCGTGGACGATGATGGCGATGATGAGGATGATGAGGATGGGAGCGATGAGGGCGGGGAGGGTACGGCGTTTCGGAGACGGGTCGTGTACAGGCTCAAGGGCGGCGAGATGTCGGCGCTCAAGGGCGGCGTGGAGGAGTTTGAGAACATCATGGAGAAGCGCGTCAAGAAGCTCCTGGTGGCGTGATTTTCACGGGGGAAGTAGACATGGCAGGGAGAGACGATGCTGCATTTTTTTTTTTTTTCATTTTTTTAGCATGTCCTCTCGTTGTTATAATTCTACTTCAACCTCGTCACTGCTTCATGCCTGCATGACACGCACATTCTGCAACGTAACGAGCAATAAATGACATGGAGGAAAGTTGGCATCAAGCCGACCTCCACCATCCGAATTTCTCTCACGACTTACATCTTCTAAATCACGCGTGAATCCACCACAATGTTGAACCGGCTCTTCTCCTCCCTCCGTACGCGCACCGTGCCACCCTTGGGAATGTCCACAATCGTGCCGTCGATGCAGACCTTCCTCCAGCGCTCCTCCTCGTCCTCGACCCGGATCGCGAGCTCCTCGATGTCATCGTAGTGCACCCGCAAGCCGTCCTCCCACTGCGCGTCCACGTGCTTGCCGCCGTCATACGCCTTCATCATGGCCTCCATGGTGCGCTCCGGCCCCAGCGGCGTAAAGTGCACGAGCCGCAGCTGCCCGTCGAGCGGCTTGCCCGCGGGCGAGATGGTGAATGTGCGCTCGAGGTTGGACACGAGGGCAGCGAGCACGTACGCGTGCACGTCGCGCGGGACGCGCTCCAGTTCACCGGCACCGGCACCCGGTCGCCGGATCGAGACCTCGGCGGCGTAGGGGTGCGATTCCTTGAGGAGCTCCTGCGCGACCATGCCGAAGCGGGCGGCGCCGTGCGCGCGGTACGCCGGCGTGTCGCTCTCGTAGACGATGCTGGCGTGGAAGCCGTAGCTCGCGACGATGCTGCCGTGCAGGGCGGCGACGTCCGTCTCGTGGCGGTAGAGCTGGGCCTCGGCGGCGGCGACTTCGCTAGGCGTCTCCGCGCCGGACGATGATTCATCCCTGTTCATGTACTTGACGATGCGCGAGCCGGGCGGGAACGAAGCGTGGAAGGTGGGTAGCGGCGCGGCGACGCCACTGAGCAGCGTGCGGAGCGCGAGGACCAGTTCTGAGGGTCCTGTGAAGAGCGGTTTGTGCAGCGAGTTAAAGAGCGCATTGCCGGTTCCGAGCGGTATCAGGACGATGGTAGGCAGGAGCGGAGGTGCGGCCTCATCTTTACCCTCCTTCTCTGGCGGTGACGAGTTGAGCAGGTCTACCACCCCGCCGTCGCCGCTGAGCAGTACAACGGTACGAGGCCCATCCTTTGCGGCCGCATGCTTGCCACGCGCATACTCGCGGACGCTATCATTGCTTTCTGTCACCACCACGTGGTCGGGCTCTGTGTCTTGTGAGAGGGCCTCCGCGGCGAAGCGCAGCAGCGGGCTCAGAACCGCCTCCCAGAACGGCACGGCGCGGCCGGTTCCTGCTTTCGTCGAGAGAACGTAGTCGACGACACCGCCGCCTCCACGGGCAAGATGGGTTGGTAGCTGGGCGACCCGTGGAACCGAGGCGAGCTGCGGCGGCAGCTTTTCGGGCGTTTGGATAGCGACGAGTCGAAACGGCGCGTCGGCATCGTTAGCGGTTTCGATGAGCCCGACTAGGAGCGGCTGTGCGCTCGGCGAAGGCCAGAGGATGGCGATTATTTGGTCAACGGTAAGAGCGGGGTTCTCGCTGACCTCGGTGGCGAGCAGGCCGGCGCTCACGGTGCCGGCATCATCGTCGAATACCAGTGTCTCGGCCTGCACGAGAACGGGCACGGCAGGGTCACTCATTGGGGTGCTGGCGATGATGATGAAAGGCGGAGGGAAACAAATGCAGAAAATAAATAATGACGGGGAGTTGAAGCAGATGCAAGAAAAAAATGTTGAAAAATGTATGGCTAGGTATGAAGAATGCTGTGTTTGTAATGTCGAAAGGAGCCGCGAAACGTCATCAGGTAGGTAGAGGTAGGTGGTGGGCTCCAACTCCACTGCAGTGCAGGAAGGCTGCAAGACGAGGGGGTCTAATAAACTGCTGGCGGAGATGTTGCATCTTATGGAGTCGCCGTTGCGTTATCCGTTATCTGCAGCCTGGTTTGCCCAATAACAGACAATGCCATTGATTCCATCGATTTTATTTCCAACTCGTCGGTCATGCATTCCACCTATTTTAGTTGCTCTTTGCTTTCGTTAGTGGACCCCAGTTCTCCCTCGGATTCATCTGATACCGCACAAGATTTTCTGTCTTGCCCTCTCGCCCCAGTCGGGCGAGTTCGTCGTTGAAGACTAGAGTTTTTCTCAAGTCTTCTTCGGTGAGGACCTTCTTCTCGTTCGTTACCGGTGGCTCAGCACTGGCCTTTTTGTCCTCCTTCTCTTCCGCATCGACGCCCGCCATGGTTACATCATCACCGCCAGCGTCGCCTTGCTGCTCAAGGATGCCCAGCCTCTGCAAAAGTCTCCACGGAGCCGTATCAGGCTTGAATTTCGAAGTCTTAACGGGCGCCTTTTGCCGTATCCATTCCGCCATGATCCACCATATCGTCGACCACGGAGCGTCTGTCTTGATGCTTCCCGGCCTGCAGTGACTGCGACCCGCAACGTAGCCAAGATGCTTCAAAGCCCCTCGGAAGTGGTCATCGCTTGGCGTGGCGCATGAGATAATGCTGCCGAGTTTCCCGGGGATCACGAAGAACGGATAACGGTCAATTTTAGCGTACTCCTTGTCTCGCGGCTCGACCGGAGCCCGCTCTTCGGGTCCAGGAATCAACTCCTCCAGCGCATTCTGTAGCATACCCTCAAGGCGAGGAAGAGTGCGATAGACGTTCTTGTCGGCCTCGGGTATTTGTTTCAGCAATCTCTCGATGAATTCCCGAGAGTGGATGTGACCACCGTACATTGGACCGTTGACATGCATTTTGGTACCGCAGTGCTTGCAAACCTGATCGGCTATTCCCAAAGACATGCCGAACTTGTAAAATGCCCCGTTGCCTTTTTTATTGGGCACTGCCTTGGCGCGCATAAGGTACTGGGTCTCCCAGGCACTGCAGCCGCTATCACAACTGTATACAACCATGGTTTTGGAGCCAAGGAACTTGACGGCTTGGGGAGATTTTGTGACTTTGATAAACACCTTGGTATAAAAGTCGATAGAAAGAGACAGCTGTGGTTCGATGGTAAGTCCATAACGAGCCGCCGATGTGGCCACTGCATTGATGATCAGGCGCAGGCCAGCCTCGTGGGAGTGCATGCCGTGAATCGGGGTGCCACCGTAGAGGGAGAAAGACTTTTCGCAGTATGCATGTCCAGCCCATACCGCGCTATCGGTGCAGGTAATGCACAAAAGCCCACCGTCGTCGCGCACGGCCTGGACGGCCGCGTCAAAGAATGGAGCTGCTGTTCCATATGGATCTAGGTCGATAACGTCAAACTTGGATGTCTTGGATGTCTTGTTCCATGGCTTGTTGGCCTCGCCGTTTGCAAGTGAATCCGCAATTGTTCTGTACATGACCGCCAGAGCATCGCCGTTGGTTACCGAAACAATATCCTCGACGTCGTTATGTTTGACATTTTGCTTGATTGACTTGGCAGCAGATGCTGACAGATCGTTGGCAGTAATGGAAGTGACGAAGGGAAGCTCGCGCGCATATCGCAATGCTCGAAGGCCCGAAGCTGAGAGGGCATCTAGCACTTTGAACGAAGGCTTGGTTGTGTTGCCAGCGTTTTGGCCCGCTGCGCCAGACTGCGATTCTGACTGCTGCTCAGCTTGCGCAGGTTCTGAACCTGGCTGCTTCTCTGCTTGCGCAGGCTGCGCGGGTTCCGACCCTGGGCGCTTAGTCTCTTCGGATTTTGTGCCATTTTCGTCCCCCCTCTTGCGCTTCTTTCCGTGTTTGGCGTCCTTCGCCTGCTTGCGACTTTTTCTCTTCTCCAAAGCCTCTTCGCCGTAGGCCTTGATGGCAAGCACGGAGAGGTCGCGGTTGTACTGCTGAATCGGGTTGTAGAAAACTTGCTGTACTTCGCCACCATCCTCTCCTACTTTGGCGCCTTGAGGAACCAGGATTGTCGCGAGACCCTCCGTCACCGTTGTGAACTGCGCGCCGTCCACCTCTAGCGTCGCATTTTCGGTCGTGTTGTCGGGCATGGTCGTCGCGGAGTATCGACGAAATGGTGACGGCATGACGGTAATGAATGGGCTCGTAGGTCGCAAAGCGATCCGGTGAGTAGCAATTCGGGACAATTGAAGCAATTGCAGCATGCAGAACTGACGGTGACGGGATGTCGCGAGGTGAAGTACTTCAAGTTCGTGGAGCTGTTCATTTTTAGAATTCTGCCAAGCCTGGAAATTGGGCGGTGTAGTGACGGTCGTGTGGATGCGGCTCACTGCCTGGGTCCGCCGACTCTCCAGTAACTTATCAAGTGCCTTCATACACCGTCTGTTCATACGGGGTCGCGTACTTGATTTCCAATGTTCCAGGGCTCAATAAGGCTCCTGGCGTCCTTGCCCCTGTCTTGAGCTGGCTTGCTCGGCTAGCTATGTACTCTCTCTCCCCTTCCGTTCTTAGGATGCCTCCTACCTTTATGTTTTGCTACGAGGCCTCGCTACTGCCTTGAATGTGGCTTCGCAATGATGTCTACCTCTCGGGAGTCTCCTTTTGGCTTGTTTTCCTCTTTTCCGTCGCTCAAACACGAATTGTACGTCTGCCGAATCTCCCGCATTGATGCAATATCCGCTGCTAACGCACAATACAGATTGCCGAGTCCTGCCGCCCCATTATCTCCGCCGACCTGAATTACGATCCTCCCCAACGCCGGTTATTAATAACAAGAACGACAACTTACTATAACCTCAAGTACCCCTGTTCCAGTTCCTCAGAATGTCTAACCAAAAGAAGTTGAGCTCCTCTGCCCCGGAGAAACCCGACTCCGGCTCCCCTGTTCATGGAGCGTCTGATGAAGTACTCTTCGATAGAGGCGACTTCATGCCGCGGCTGCATGCACCGGCGCCTGACAGTCGGCCACCGATGGGCGCGGCCTCGGAACCGTCATCTGGTCATCACACTCATAAAATCCCGCCACACAGATTTCTCACGCCACATGAATAGTCCGTCATTGCCCGTGGAATCGGTGGAATCAAGGATATGGAGCAGCTCCGACCAGTGCATCCATTCTCTTGGTGGTGGCCGCCGCGAGGCATGGCCAACGGCCTATACCGAGATGTCGTGGGAAGACGCAGCAAATGCATGATGTTATTCTGTGCGGCTACATTGATGCAGTGGATGTTCATGTTACTGCAGCTTTGCATTTCTGCCACACTCACGGCACTTGGTTCTGTCGCTCTCAAAACTGGTACACCCATTACAGTTCTTGGTGCCATCAATACTGTCAGTGCTGGCATTCTGGCCTTTCTCCACAACAGCGGTATCCCCGATCGGTATCGCAAGGACATGGAAGAGCTCAGGGAAGTGGAAGACCACATTAAAGAGCTTCTAGATTCGGGCATTGCCCCAGCGGAGCTTTCCACGGAGCAAATCATTGCCGAGTGCTTTGATCTGTATCAAGATGCCAAGGCTACAGTTATGGCCAATTTGCCAGATACTTATCGCCAGCGTCAAACTACACCGGTGCGGCGAACCCCTCCGACCCCAAATCCTGGCGAGCCGACCGGCACGACTGTAGCGGGCTCGGCGCCGGGTAGCTCCTCCGCTACAAGAGCCAGTGCTGCAAAGTGACGAACATAATGCAGCCCATTCAACTGATCCGCATGCGTTATGAACATGTCTTGGTTCACGCCTCCAGTTAGTTCCTTGTTGATGGCTCAGCTTGGAGGGCAGGCACCTCGACAAGCAAATTCTGGGGCAATTCTACTCCTTTGCGTGCCTAGATCTTACGAAACTGGACCCGATTACATGACTACCAGTCACCTTAGCGTTATCAGCGTTATCACCGTCACGGCCATCCTCATCGTCATCGGCATGGTTATGGAAGCGAATGGGGTTCAACTCTGGGTTGATTCTTTTCAAAGAACGGGCAACAAGGTTTCTGGCCAGCTAGCTTTGGTAATAATAAACCCAAATGTAAACCTATTCCATGCAATGGTTAATTAAGGTGCACGAGCTGGTTTCACGGCGAAATCGGTGCTTGGCGAGGCTGCGCCGCTCTGCTTGATATCACGGACCCGTCGGGCACTTACGCAGCCATTGCGGCGCATGTTAATCGCCAACGTTTCCACCAGGATAAAACCTTGCCCAAAATATACAAGATGTGGAATGACTTTGGGAAAGCTCCTGCCTGAAGCTGCATTTTCAGCGAGGATCACAGGGGCGGATCAGCACATTATCCATCGTCTCATCCATACGACTCGTCGGGCCCACCTCTATCTATTCTCTTGCACGCCTTCTTGCATTGATGGCTTCGGCCTGCCGTTTCACAAGCAAGCAAGGATCATTTGTAGCATGGCAAATAAAATGCTTGTCGTCCCAACGCCAAGGGTAGGACAAAGTATGGCTGCCGGATGTCGTCTCAACTTGATATCAGACCCTTTTCAACGTTCGTTCCCACGTCACGTCACTTTCGCTCGCCTTGCTTCTGCACCGACCTCCAGCTCTTGGTCTCAGAGGGACAGGATACACTCATTTAAATCGCACTGTTTTTTTTTTCGATCTGTTGTTCAGCGTGACGTACTGAGAGATAGTTTTTCTTTATCAACGAGCCCTCGAAAATCCAAGTACTGCCTCAAAATTTCCTTGGGCGCGACTAGCTAGCTGTGTTGGCCAACGGTGACGGCAATGGGGCAGTTGGCTGCGAGTGGATTTTCGTTGCCACGAAGGCTGGTGTCCACGCTCTTCATCTCGGCGTTGCTTGCTTACACGTTGATCTTGGTCCAAACATGTGCTTTCGATATCGAACTGTCGAAGATCTTCGCAAGTCAGCATGAGCGAGCTTCGCACGAGCTGAGTCATGAAACAGACAGCTACTTGGACGAGCTGCTTCGCAAACACGACCTCTCGCCTCGGGTCGAGTGGGCGGCATGGAACATACTCTCCACACAGAGACAAGAGAGATGGGCATCAGTCACCCGCGTGCCCCGCCACTTCCAGCCACGACAATTGCGCCTGTTCGACCCGCGCGGACAGGAGCGCCGTTCGTCCACGCAGATGCCCTTTGGGACGCTGGTACTGCCCTCGCCGCGGAGCTGGCGCCCTGGTCACTTTGATGCATCGGGCTTCCTATTTGGCGTGTCAACCACGTACGAGCGGCTGATGGCCGACGACCGCGCGGTGCTGAAGAACTGGCAGTGGTGGCTGACGGACGGGCAACAGGCCGGCAGCGGCGCCCACCTGGTGGTCATGCTGGACCGGGCCGATGACGGGCAGATGGAGGAGGTTGAGGGCGCGCTTGCGGAACTGGCAATCCCAGCCATGGTGTACAATGCCCAGGAGGAGTTGTCCGCCGCGACGCGGTACGCGCAGCTGGCTGGGGAGCTGCAGGCCTACGGCTCGGCCCTGTCGGCCGTGGGTGTCGACAAACTGTGGCATGTGCTGATCGATGACACCGTCTTCTTCCCCAGCCTGTCGTACCTAGACGAGACGTTGGGCGCGTACAATGCCCGGGATAAGGTGTACATTGGCGTGCCGAGCGAGCGGGAAGACTGGCAGATGAGGGACGGCGTGCTGTCGACCGACGGCGGCGGTGTGATCATTCTCTCCCGCCGCGCCCTGGGCCACTACATCTCCCTCTCGTGCGCTGAGCCAGACGCCGCACCCGGCGAGAAGTCGCGCGGAAAGTCTCGGGCCAAACGACACTGGGCTTCGACGCTACGCGAGTGCCTGACCGGGCGGGGCGAACTGTCGATGCACGTCGTGCCCGGCCTGTTCTCGCCCGTCGCCGAGGCCGGTTTGCCGTTGCCGTCCTCCCGGGCTGAGGACCTCGAGAGCGGCGTTCGACCGCTTGCGCTGCGGAACCGTGGTCCGGGTCTCGACGTGGACACGGCCACGGCGTACGTCGTCGCTGACGGGTGCGGCGAGGCGTGCTTCGCGCAGCGGTTCCTCTTCCGCGACGGCTGGGTCCTCGTAAACGGTGTGTCCATCAGCCAGTACGAGTACCCGCCCATGCTCCAGCGAGGGAGCAGCGGCCTCGCCGAGGACCTGTCGCCGCCTAGGGTGCGGCCGGCGCTTGCAGCGCAGTTGCACCTCGAGGAGGCGGCCGGCGGAGCTGGACTGCGCCTCACAACCGGCGGTGCGCGACACGTCTGGCGGCTCCTAGACTCATCGGTGGACGACTACGGCGCTGTTTGGCAGGCTTATGTTAAGAGGGACGTAAGAGAGAAGCGCGCGGTGCCGGCAGATGAACAGGCGGCGGACGACGAGCCGTTGGACTCGGTCATTATTCTGGTCTGGAATGGGGCCAAGCGGACATGAGACAAGTTTGATTTGAAAAGCTGAGCTTTGAAATCTTTCCCTTTCTTCTTGTATTTATACATCATGACAGCAGCGAGGACCGTATATACTTTTTCTTCGTCTTTGAATTCTCACTCCGGCCCTCACGCATTGACACCCTTTTTCGCAGCGACAATCTCCTGCCAGTCCTCCTTGGTGAGTTCATAGTACAGCTCCGTCACGCCCTCCTGGCCCTCCTCCTCCGAGGGCCGGCGCGTGCCGCGGCCGCGCAGGCCGAGCTTGCCCCCCGCCAGCCGCACCATGGCCTCGTTGTCCGCGCTCGTCGTCAGCGTCACCAGGTCCAGCTGCGGCCCGCCCCCCTCCGCCGCCGCCGGCGTAAACGCCCACTCAATCGCCAGCCGGATCGCCTCCGTCGCGTACCCGCGCCCGCGGTGCGCCGGGTCGATCATCGCGCCCACGTCCCCGGCGCGCACCGCCCTGCCCGCGCGCGTCCAGTCCTTGACCGCCCCGAAGCCGCCGAGGCCGATCACCAGCGGCCCCGGCGACGAGGAGAGCAGCTCGACGACCATGTTGACGCGCGGGGGCCCGCGGAGGACGCGACCCGTGGTGGGGTCGAGGACGGTGGGCACGGCGGCGGAGGCGCGCTGCTTGGTGATGATGGAGGAGGCGGTGGCGGGGTCGAGGGGTTGGCCGGCGTGAGGGTCGGAGGAGTTGGCGGGGTCGGAGAGGATGGCGGCGAAGCGGGCGGCGTCGGAGGGGAGAGTGGTGCGCAGCACGATGGGAAGTGTAGGGGAGACGAGGCGCGTGTCGAGGTGGGAGACCTCGATGGTGGTGCTTTGGGTAGCCATGATGTGTGTGTGTGTGTGTAAGTGATTGGTGTGGTGTTGGTGTTGTGTTGATGCTCAGCGTGGAACGTCGGCTCTATTTTTAAATCGCGGGGTTTGTAAAAAAATAAAATAAAATAATAGGCCGTTTATTAAGCTGCTTGGCTCAGGCCTTTGCGGAATAACATCTTGGTCAATTCTATTACGTCCTTTGAGTCACTGAATGGCTTGAGCGTCGAGGATCATCATGCCAAGACGCCACCGGAAGATGCTGCACGGCAGGCATCGTACTACGGCCCAATGGCGATTCTCAATTTCCTCTGGAGGTTTCCTTTCTGGGAGATCCATTTGCAGAGGCTTTTGTGAGTCACAAGTAGCTCTCTGGTTGGCTTTTAAATCTCACTCGAACCAGTCATTGGTGGGGGCTGCTAGTTGAAGTTGGCGCTGCGGATGACCTGCACTGCAAGCACTGCAAGTATTCCGAAGCGGCATTTCTGTTGCCAAACTTTTTCAAGTCGGGAATATTCCACCTCATGAGTCTCGGAATCCCATCTTATCAATTGGTGCAGAAGAGATCCTGCGAAGCTTGATAACATCACGATGGTGCATGTAGGGGACGACAGGAAGTCACACGGTACACGCTCTGTGGCCAGAAACAGTAACAGCTAGAGGCAAATTATGATTCAATTGACGCCGGTATTCGCTATTTAACACATAGTCGCAGTAGAAATGATGCTTTCATTTTGCCTGGGACTTGTCCCTGGGCGTCCCGCTAGCACTGCGAAGCACTCTGCCACTCTCCGCGACGGACGCGTCTCCCGACAGCGGAGACGGTGGCAGGTCTGGCGTAACCGACCGAGACTCTGAGCCTTGCTTCCTCGACTTGGGCAGACTGGTGGCCTTTTTTCGCCGCTTCTCATTGAGGCTCGAGATTGAGCCGGTCCTGCGCGTTGTCGGGTGGCCATCATCAAGGTCAAAAGAGGGCGTGCCGCTGCGTGTTGAGCTGACTGACCCGCGCCGTACACTGCTACTGCGGCGCTTGTGCAGCTTCTCGGTACTTATGTGGCTCTTGTGAAGGGCCTTGGGCGTCTCTTGGCGTTTAACCTGTGCCTTTTTCCAGGGCAGCCGCCATAGCCAGCCATGCTGGGCCTTGGCCATTTTCATGTCGTATTCCTTTACTTTCTCCCGAAGCAGCGCTCGGCGCTCGTTTTCCCGTTCCCAGTACTCCGTTCTGTATAACTCCCAGTTCTCGCGGAATGTCGGAGAGAATGGCTTTGCAAGAAGCAGTAGCTTGACGTAGTCGCCCCCAGGAGCAAGATCCTCCTCGTGTCCGCCACGCGCATCGTCTTGGTGGGGTAGTATCAATGTCGGGTGGCTGCCGTCGCCGGACAGTTGCAACTCTTTTTCGACCTCGCGCAGCAGGGAAGGGTCGACATGTCGGTAGGAGGAGCTCGCAGTGTGGGAGAAGAGTCCGTAGGTGAGGAAGAAGCCGACGGAGGAGAGCGCCTCGGCCCACCAGGGTCGGCGAATGAGCACAAGTTTGCAGTTGAAGCCGCGCAAGCCGCGGTTGGAGATGGCGAACCAGCGGCGGGGCCAGCGGATGCCTCTCTCCCATATGCCGGTGGCCCAGACGAGGACGGCGGTGATAATGCCGCCCATGAAACACACCTTTTGGGCACCCTCAACGGCCCAATAGATGGAGCCGCCGACACCCTGGCCGTCTTCGCGGGGCGCAAAGTACAGCTTGTAGCCAAAGAAGCAGACCCAGACGCTGAGGAGGGTGAGGAAAAAGGTATGATGGCGCTTGCGGGCGCGCAACTCGAGGAATTGGGCTCGCAGGGAGGCTTCGAGGATGAGGAGGTTGAGGTAGATCATAGATGGTGAGCTAGGGGTGTTGTGCAAGGGGTCTCCTTGCTTGACATCTTCGTGGAGGATTGGGCTGGTACCGGCGGCGGCGGCGGCAGCCTTGATGGCCGGGGAGACCACGGGGGCCCCCTTGACGATGGAATCAATGTCGTCGGTCATGGGTGTGTAGGTCGGCAGCGGAGACGTATATTAGGTGTTTAAACCTGCGGTGAGGACAACACGGCGAGATGGTGCCGTAACCTTTGTCCTTGACCAACGTAGCGAGCCGATGGAGGATTGCCGGCGCGCGGGCAGGCCGTCCCACGCGACAGGCGCTGGTGGTTGGGAGGCGGTCGGGATCGAGGTCCAAGAGGCGAGCTCTAAGCGGCAATTGAATGTGCATCGACAAGCATCTAGCCGCGGGAGTCGCCTTGGGCTATGCAGGAAGGCGGCGATGGGGGACGGAGTGCGGTGCTCGGCAAGTTGACGGCGGACGGACGGGCAAGGGGAAAAAAGGCGAGGGATGAATGAGAGTACCTACAGTAGCTGGTGGGTCTCGGTTGTTGCGAGTGGTAAGAAAGACAGCAGTCTGGCAGCTATGTACATGCTACTGAGTCGAGCACCGCAATACAAAGGCTGATGATAGACGAGGGGGGGTCAAGAAGCTGGGTGAAGAGGGTCCATCAGGAACGGACGTCATTGACAACATGGGCGAGGCGAAACATTGTGACGAGAAGCCGAAAAGGGCTGCAGCTTGTGAGGGAGCTGGTTCGTAAAGAGGCACAGTGGGCTACAGTGCAGCTCCAGGGAAGCGGGCCACGGTGATAGAGAGCCGAACTGCAGGGGTTGACCCCGCTATAACAAGCAGTTGATTTAAGTAATTCGTAGAAGTTAGAGACATAGACATAGCAGCTCAAGTACTGCGCAGAGGGAATTAGCGGAATGACCCTAAAAGACAATACTGCAGATACTACGGATAACCTTTTCGTGATTTTCTAGCAGTTTTTAACTCCTCAAAGCCCTTTGGCAACTTGGCATCTGACAGGCATGCACAGTAAGCCAACCCTCAACACACGTTGGGGAAGCCCACTAAAAGTCGGTTTCCAGTTGCCCACTCAGCGGGGTCACCAAAGCTCAACGTGCCCCAACTAAAATCGCTCCAGCGGTTGCTCAGCCCATCAACCACGTTATTACAGCGCCCATCGTGTTGGAACAATTGGTTCTCACCACATCTCGAACAGTGAAAGGCAGTGGCACTGACGAAATATTCTTAGCACTTGTCATCGACAGGGACGGACCATCTCGGCTCTCCCAACCGATCCAGCAGAAAGGGGAAAAAACCATCAACTTCCTCCTCCCTCTTCCATCTCCATCCCATCCCATCTCGACTCCTCCTCTTTTGCTCTTCCGTCTTGGACAGTCTATCCCTCGTCCTCTTCGCATCGCCGCCGCCGTCGTCGACTTTTCTCCCCGTCCTGCAATGAACAAACCTTGAACCCGCGTCGAGCCGTAGCGTCGGAAACCGGATCGACGCAAACTCCGATACCCAGAGCCTGCATCCGCTGGCTGAGCGACACCATCCTTAAATCCGGGCGGCCTTTTGCCTTCTAGAATATCCGCAACAAACCACACCACACAGCCCTTTTCCTCGTGCGCCGCAATTGACGCTCTGTGACGCGTGGACAGGCTCACGTACCTCCGTTCCAGCCTAATTCCAGCGCTGTCAGCGCCCCTCCCCTCCGACCGGGCTTGGAGCTGACCGTGTCGACCGCCCCGTGCCTCTCCGCTGGTGGACTTTGTTGCCTACCTGGCACTCGGCCGATCCTTTAGAGTTTGCGCAATCAGGGACACGCTGTTGCATGGGGCTTGTTTGTTTAAAAGCCCCGTCACAGCCCTGTTCCTGACAAAAGAGTCGGAATGCTTAAACAGCAAAAGGCTACCGTCTTTTTCCAACGCTCGCGCATCACCCTGGCCTCATCCTTTCCAACATCATCTAGAATTGCCAAGATGGCTGCCGAGAACGGGTCTGCTCCCGCCCAGCATGGCGATGCCACCCAAATCAAGCAAGACAGACAGACGCGGCCGCCCTCAGTCTACTTCCCCCTTGGCTACAAGGAAGCCGCCTATCAATGGGTACGAAACCTTTGTCATTCGCGCGAATATGCGCCTCGGTTGCTAACCTCGACAATCAGTGGACAAGCGTAACACCGCCCATGGTCGAGCGTAAAGTTCTCTCCTTCATCCCGACCCTCCGCGAAGCCGCCGACAGCGCCTCCAACCCCAATGCCTCGTCCACACCCGACCCCTTTGGCACGCGCGTCTGGCGCCGCACCATGGTCCAGCTCTCGGGCAAGAACCGCGCCCTCAATGAGGTCTGCGTCGAAAAGGTCGGCGAGCGCACCGACGAGACCCTCGTCGTCGTCCACGGCTACGGCGCCGGCCTCGGCTTCTTCTACAAGAACCTCGAACCCCTTAGCCGCATGTCCGGCCTGAAGCTCTACGCCCTCGACATGCTCGGCATGGGCAACTCATCGCGCCCCGCCTTCCGCATCCACGCCAAGGACAAGGAGAAGCAGGTCATTGAGGCCGAGGACTGGTTTATCGACGCCCTCGAGGAGTGGCGCCAGAAGCGCAAGATTGAGCGCTTCACCCTGCTCGGCCACTCACTTGGCGGCTACCTCGCCGTCTCCTACGCCCTCAAGTACCCTGGCCATCTCAAGAAGCTCATCCTGGCCTCGCCCGTCGGCATCCCCGAGGACCCCTACGCCGTCAACGCCTCGATGCCCGACCCTAACGAGTCCACTCTCGAGAACGAGTTCACCCAGGACCAGCAGCAGGTCACTGAAAATGACCACAGCACCGCACAGGCCGCCAAGGCTGCCGCTGCCGCTGCCAGCAAAGCCGGCGGCGCGCCTGCCGCTCCCAGACGTCCCATCCCCAGTTGGCTCGTCTGGCTTTGGGACGCCAACGTTTCGCCCTTTAGTATCATCCGCATGACGGGTCCCCTCGGCCCGCGCTTCGTCTCGGGCTGGACCTCGCGCCGCTTCAACCACCTGCCCGGCCCCGAGGCCCAGACCCTCCACGACTACGCCTTCTCCATCTTCAAGCAAAAGGGCAGCGGCGAGTACGCCCTCGCCTACATCCTCGCTCCGGGCGCGTACGCCCGCCGTCCCGTCATCAACCGCATCCAAGACGTCGGTCGCCAGCCCCTCCCTGCCAACCAGACCGCCACGACGGCCGGCCTCACGAAGGAAACGGGCTTCCCCATCGTGTTCATGTACGGAGAGAACGACTGGATGGACGTCGCCGGCGGCCTCGCCTCCGAGGAGAAGCTCAAAAAGGCCAAGGCTGACGCGCTTGCCCGCGCGACGGAGGAGGAGCGCCGCGCGGAGAATGGCAGCGTCAAGGTCGTCATCGTTCCCAAGGCCGGGCACCACCTCTACCTCGACAACGCGGAGTTCTTCAACGACGCGGTGCAAAAAGAGATGGACGACGTCGTCGCCACGTCGAAGAAGAACAAGGAATATTGATACGCAGGCAAGTATGATTTGGGAGGGGAGTTGGGATCACTTTTCCGGCGTTTTCTGGCTGGGCGTATTTTTCCAACCATGGTTCTTTCTTCGTTTCTCTTTGGACACACAAAAATGTGTTCTTCTTCACAGCATGAGCGGCGTTCATCTCGAATGACGCTCCTCGGACGTCCAAGTCCCTCTACGGCATCTTCTTTTTTATATTGGATGAGGCGTTTTCAAAGCAACATATAGATACACAGCATGTGCAGGGAAGAAAACCCCACATTGGTATATAATTTTTACATCAATAGATTCTAGACCTCTTCTATTTGGAATCATGTCCCCCATATTCTAATAGTTTGTTCACTCCGTTCCATGCTCGTCGACGACCCCATCGCCGTCCCCATCTAACTCTTTCCACGCCAAATGGTTCTAAAACAACGGCTGGCAGAATGAAACGAAATAAGCCCACAGTCTCCAGCATAGTGAGCAATGATATGTGCTAAAGGCAGTAATGAAACAGGTAGGAAAAGGAACCAATCAGGTCGTAAAAACAAACGGAGGCGAGTCCGCCATGACTGATTTGAATGATGGCTATGCAAAGGAGTGAGTGACTGGTGCTAGACCGTGTCGTGTATGTCGTGTATGTGTCGATTTTTGTGAGCCGTCATTTCCCTTTACAGGTTGATCACGTCAACCTCGGAAAAGTCGGGTGGATGCCTGCCGTAGACCACGCGCAGTTTACTATCGAGCGCTGTGCCTTCGTTGCTGATCCAAATATTCTCACTAAACGCACGCGTGCGCCTAATCTCGTCCTCGCTGATGCCCAGGTCGTCGCGCGGGATCCAGACAGCCGGGCGACGGGCGCGCAGGGCATAGTGCAGGAAGGCGTGCCGCGTTAGCATGTCCCTCTCTTCGGGCGTAAGGTCTTCGATTTCGTCGTGGACACCGCCGAAAAGGGCATTACCCATCGCGCGCTGCGCCTCGAGATCTTTCTTACGTTGCTGCCGACGGTACCGTGCAGCTTGGGAGTTGCGATCGGCCCCGGTAAGACGTAGCAGTTGGTTGCCGCCGCCTTTGGCCCATCCTCCCACATGCTTGCCGCCTTCCACGGCCCATGTACCGACCTGCTTCACCGGTTTAAGAGCACGCAGACCAGCTTGGTGACGGCGCTCTTGTTCCAGATTATTCAGCTCGATGCCATCTTCACCCTCAGTCAGAGAATGGGACTTTTCCTGAACTCCTCGCATTTCTTTGATATCCTCCTCTTCGTCATCTTCCTCGACACCTAGTCGGCTGTCCTGAGCTCGCTGGAATGCCTCATCGCGTAAGACTGCTTCGTCTTCAAAAGTGATGGGCAAATAGCGAAATAGTGGCGAGAAGGACCGGTTCAGGAGATACTGATAAATCATTGTCAACACCATGACAACCAACATTATGACACCGTGTGTAATGCATGCGAGTTCACCCTTTGCATCCTTGACAAGGAAGAAGAGCCCCGACATGCACAGTTGCATAAAATAAAGGCCGGTGAATGTCTGGTTGATGGCGCGTGGGTACAAGACACCGCCGGTATCGCTCTCCATACGGTAGACGTAAACCATGGCGTATCGTTGCGCAAGCCACAGAAGACCAAAGGTAACAATGGCAAAGATTGAAATCAAGGGTGAGATGACGCAGTAGAATATGGCGATGCAGGCGAAGTTCGTGTACACGGGGAAGAAGGCTCCCCACTCGACATTGTTCAAGTTCGTGTTCCTCGCCCATTTGTTCCGTGCTGTGCTATCAAACATGGGCCCGAAAACGAACCAGAAGAGAAGCGAGACAACCTGCAGTAGCGTACCAGAGCTAGTGGTCAACGCTTGCAGCACCATGTAGGAGAAGAAGTAATTTGCCGCTTTGGGAAGGTTGGTTGCCAGGAGGTCCAACACCTTCTGGGGAGTTGACAGTTGCTCTTGGATATTCGCCACGAATTTGTTGATAGACGCAGCGAAGAAGGAAGCGATTGAAACGACAAGGAAGACTTGTATGAACAGGAAGACAAAGTAGAAAAACTGGACGAATTCAGTCTTTTGCGCCTTAGTCTTGGCTCCTCGCATGCCGGCCAGAAAGTTCAAAATCAGGGGTACCAAAACAAGCAGAAGGGCGAGGAGGGTGGCAGGCAAGACACCCGCAATTATCTTAGCAACGTTCTCGACATTTTGGTTGCTTTTGATGAACTCCAACCAGTGGAACTGCCGGATGAGCTCGTCAAGCTGGCTCAGCGCAGCCGTCCAGGCAACCGGTATTGCCCAAAGAAAGGCCATTGTGCACACAATTCCAATAACGATGAAGGCACGCAGGCCTTCTCCCCACCAAGATATGGCCATGTTGTCCCAGACAACATCTCGGGGCGATATTTCGATGATCCTCGGCGCCATATAGCGAGGGATGTGATGTACAGCACTTTGACAAGCCATGTGTGCCGCCACCTGGTGATTGAACTGAACAAACGCCGAGTTCATTAGCGGGTAGCGTTCAGGGTGCTTCTGATCCTCTTCAATCTCAAGGTTCAGGCGAGCAAGTTCTTTTCGGCAATAGTAGATGGTGTCGACCTTTTTCGTGATTCCAGGGATCCCAAAAAGCCAGGTGACGCCGAACAAAGGAAGATGATGTGTAGGGCGATGCTTCTTCTTAAGATACTTGCGCCATTCAGCACCTTCCTCCTCAGTGTCGTCATTCTCTGGATTGAAACCCGGAGGGTAGTGTATGTCTTCTTCGTCCTCACCCATGAACGGAATGAAGCTCTTGATGTTTTGCCACAACGCCGCCTTGTCCTGTTGCTGGCCAGCAGACATATAATCCTCGGCCTCGGAGCCTTGGGGGACCGGAGAAGCGTATCCACCTGAAGGAGGCTTCCAAAATTGCCAGAAGCGGTTCCTTCGATTATCCATGAAGTCAATCTCGTCTGCTTTCCGAACCGTGTTACCACCCACACCATGGTCCTCCTCCCTCTTAATAGCGCTGGTGGACGTGGCAGAGCCGACTGAGCCATCGCGCGAATGGCTTGGGCGAGAATCAGTAGTTCCAGGGCGCTTGACGGGAAGAGACAAGCTTTTCTTGCTAGTCGGGGATAGTGGTGCAAAGCCATGCGTGGTCCCGAGGCCAACTTCAATTCCTTTGCCAGATTTGCTGACCACGTTCCTCAATTCGCCCGCGACTTTGGAGGTGGTTTTGGTTAACCCAGTTAGGGAATTGTTTCTGCCATGTTCTTTGTCGTGGGCCATGCTGTGATCATGGTACTCCTTTTCTTCCATTTCCATGGCAGATTCCTCGACGCCAGCGGTGACCGTGTGGGGGGTTTCGTGCTTATCGCCAGCGCCCTCGCCTGTTCCACTGCTTGCGAGTTCCTTGGCCTCTTTGTCTTGCTTCGCACTTCTGGCTGCCCTTTCTCCCCTGCTTAGAGCGCCAAGCTTCATTTTCTTGCGCTCTAGCTTCTCGTCCTTCCTCTGTTTCTTGACTTGAGCCTTCTTGGCAGCCTTGATGAGCTCCGTTTCGGCGTTTTCCAAAGCGGCGTGGATCTGTGCACGGAGGTTCACCTTGTCGAGAAGCTTGGTCATGTCGCGGTTCAGCCACACATTCCTGACACCGCCAGGGAAGACGTCAAGAAGTCCTCGAAGCGCGTCTTCGCTCAGCCATTTTTTCGGGATAGAGTTTAGAAGTACTGTAGTAGCAGAAGCTCGCAGGCGGTGCTCCGCACTGGTGAGGTAGTCTTGTCGAACCTTGATATAGGCCTTGAGCTCGAAGAAGAAGACGGTGCAGATCCATATCACTACCAAGATGGCCAGCACAAGATGCGCCGCGTAACGGCTGGAGTTTTCAGGGCGGATGTTTGACCAGGCCAGCGTATCCAAGCCAGTTACGGTCGTCTTGTCATTGCCAGTACTGTTGTCGGCATTCATATCGATTCGCTGTCCAATACCTCCGACATAGTTAAGTGGGATCAGAATGGGCAGGACGATAGCACAAATGGGTGTAAAAATAATGAGCAGGGTCTTGAGGTAGCGCAGGAAGAAATAGGCGTCGAGGCCACATTTTTTGATGATTTCGCGGTCTTTGAAACGAATGACGGTTCTGGTCATGGCAAAGAAGTTGTTGGGAGGCGGATCAGTTCTTTCGCGCTCGGGGACAAGATATGTTTTTGGTTTACTAGAATGCGTTAATGCGTCAGTCAATACTGAGGGGGGGAGTATGTGGCATAATTACAAAATGCGCGCGAGTTTATTGCGAAGCATCGCAAAGAGAGATATTTGAATGGCAAAGATGATGAGGGCTGTGGCAATGGAGGAGACGAAGGTTACGATGCCGATGCCCGACTGTCCTTGGGCTTTTGAAGGCCCGGGAGTATCGTCTCTGCGAAAAGGCATATTTGGATGTCCAAGATCGATCGGCTCGAGATTCGAGGCTGCCATGGCTTGTAAGGGCAGCAGCCAGGCCGACCCAAACAGCACAAGGCCGACGGGGGAGAAAACGAGTCGCGGCTGCACCCTCTCCATGGTGATGCGAAACGCGCAGGGCGTAAACCAGTTTGTTGACAAGCGAGCCCGTCTGTTGGTTTTTGAGTTTCTCCCCGCGCGCGGGGAGGGAGACTTTTTGTGGACAGAGGCGTGAAGTTGTGCAGGGAAGGGAGGAAGGCTGTGTCAGAAGAGAAGCCCCTGTCGAGATGAAGTCGGTCGTCTCAGATTGAAAGTAAGTGGTACAGGATCATGCCGTCGGTATTATCGTGCGGGCGAGGTGCTCGAAGCGAAGATGTTGGCGACGACGGAGCTTGGTGGCGAGAATACTGGCACGAAAAGAAGAAGAAGACGGAGAGATGACGACAAGGTGCAATCGAGGAAGTTTGATCTGGGGAAATCAATTTTACTACCAAGTTACCTGACTACTAAGGTACCCGCTTGCCGCTATCGACATTGTTCGCTGGGACGATTTTGGTGGGACCCCCCTGGAAGTTGGTGATGTCACAGGCGGGATGAAGTGAAGGTGAATCTAGCAGGTGGTTGGCTGCAGCTGGCCTTGTGCCTTGTTTCGTCTCTGGACGCTGCAGTGCCTGACCACTGTAGAGGCTCATACGACGCCACGCGACCAATGAGGCACTGTTGTGGCTGCGCTAATAATGCTCTGCCGAATCTTGGTTGCACTGCAGTTGGCCTGAGAGTTACTATACGTTATTAATCTGTACAAGGCACATACAAAGTCCAAGCATCCATCCGCCTTCTTTATTCTAGACACCTTTGCTCGTTGTGTTCTTATTTTTGTAGTTCAACCCAATTCTTGCCCCTTTTTGTCCCTAGGCTCTTTGTCGCCCTGCTCAACGGCAACCTGGCGCGTATCCTCCCTGCGGCAGCAATGGCCCACCCATGCCTGACCAGTGACATGCAGCCTTTCTTTCGAGTCGTGATTCACTGGCTGGCAACGCTTTGCGCTGAGACTGCACGACAGCTGGCAGAACTCGGCACTGGGTACCTGCAGCCAAGAGTCAATATGCAGGGAATATTGATAGCGCAGTACTCAGGCAGTTGGGCATCTACAAGCATACAATTTGATCAAGTTGATAAAATCGCTTTCCATCCCTCGCGTTGAGGACTTGCACAGTTCAACAGCAAGAGAATGTATTAAAAAACATCTAAAAATTACAAAGGAAAAGCAGAGAATAGTTTTCTGTCTCTCCAACGCCGGCAAAGAAGCAAATACCGACCAAGTATCCCTCAAGAAAACACCATCCAAGTCCCATACCCCGCGATCCGATTCAGCGCGTCGTGATACCAGCGCAATGACACATTCAGTTCTCAAACGTCCTCTCCTCTAATAAATCATATATCGAACGATTTAAAACAGCATGTCCATGCAGCAGCAGCACGCGCAAGCCGCAGCGAGACCGCCGAGAATGCCAGTAGCAGCCCCCATGCCTCTGTCGTTGTTGCCGGAGTTGCCTTGGGGAGGACCCTGCTGTTGGTAATAAGGACCTTGCTGATACGGTCCCTGCTGGTATTGTCCTTGAGGAGGGCCGTATGGCTGCTGTCCATATGGCTGTTGGCCGTACTGCGGTTGGCCGTAAGGGCCTTGCTGTTGTTGGTGGTATCCCATCTGCGGGCCGGGCTGGTAGTATTGCTGCTGCCCCTGCTGCTGAGGAGGATTGTATGGTTCGTTTTGTTGATATGGCGATTGCGATGGGCCTGGGCCTGGGTATGTGGCCTTGGGAGGATTAGGGGCACCTCCGTAAGGCGGCGGCTGCTCCTCGGTTTTGCCAGACATTTTTTGTAGCGGGGATCGGTCGCGAACGGATAACTGCTATGAAAGGCTAATCAAAAGGATGGTGTTCGATTGGTAAACGGTAGGTGGAAAATCAAAAGACAGGAGTCCTAGATATTTGGAGGGAAGGCGTTGGGGAATATTTAAAGTCGAAACCCGCGGCGTCTCGGTTGAGACGGCAGAACGACGGATGCGGGTTGACAGGATTACGCACTTCACAGTGGCGGACTTGGGCAGTGGCCATTTTAGACGCTGCGCTGGCTGCGCCACGCTTGGCTTCCCACCCAAAGCAACCCTTGGCATGTAGTCTGGGGGAAGTCGGGTTGCGAAGTCGGTGGCTGCCAAGACGACGTTGAAATTGCGGAATGCCGGTCTTAGAACACAGACACGAACGTTTTTTATTTACTTATGTCGCATTGGATTAGATGAAAAAAAAAATAACAATAAATATTGGTTGAATGCTGCCATGGCCTTCAGCCTCTCTCCGGCGGCTTAGACGGAAGCCTCGTCACCGCATTACAAAGAAAGTTTAACGCAGCCACACTTCGGGAAACTTGGCTATTTTCAGAGTGATTGCTGACTATGAAGGGCGATAGCAATTAAATTAAAACAGCCTTTCAAATTCGGCCAATTTTGTTGATATTTGCATCTCATCCCCGGATCGCCTGCTCCTCGCAACCCTCCAAGCTCAAGAATCACGTGACTTGAAACGCGTTCGCCACAGTTCGCGTTGTGGCGAGAACACCAAAGCCCCACTGTGGCTAGTATCACACCACGAAAAAGTGGTAAATTCAGAGTTGAACGAGAAACCCCACGAAAGAGTCGAACACATTCACGCCGCCCTCAAACCGACGCCATACGCAGCTGCGAAGCAGGATACATACACAATCCGCATAGCTACCGCACAGAACCGAAATCATGGCTTCCACGGCTCCCACCAAGGCCAAGTGAGTTTGCTCACCCGCGAGCAGGCAAGCTGGCAGTGACTAACCCCACCATTCTCCCAGGCACGACTGGGCCGACGACGATGATATCGAGGAGACCAGCACCGAGCTGCCCGCGCCCCAGACCATCGCCAACAAGGACGGCACCAAGACCATCATCACATACCGCCTCAACGACGAGGGCCAAAAAGTGAAGACGACGCGCCGCATCCGCTACATCACGCACACGGAAAAGGTCAACCCGCGCGTGGCCGACCGCAAGAGCTGGGCCAAGTTTGGCGCCAGCTCCAACGACGGCGCCGGCCCGGCGCCAGACACCACCTCCATCGCTGAGAACATGATCTTCCGGCCGAGCGTCAGCTGGCGCAAGGACGCGAAGGACGAGAGCGCCGACCCCAACGCGCAGGCCATGAAGGACAAGCTCAAGGACAAGAAGGTCAAGTGCCGCATCTGCAACGGCGAACATTTCACGGCGAGGTGTCCGTACAAGGACACCATGGCCCCGATCGGCGAGAACGGCGCCGCCGACGTCGCGGCGGGCATGGGCGACGAACCCTCCGCCGGTGGCGCGGGCGGTGCGGGCGGCGTGGGCGCCAAGAAGGGCTCCTACGTGCCGCCAGCGCTGCGCGGAGGCGCCACGGCAGGGAGCACCATGGCGGGCTCCAAGTATGGCGAGCGGGACGACCTCGCTACGCTGCGTGTTACCAACGTGAGTAGTGAACCTGGCTGCCTCGGCGCGACAGGTATGCGGCGGCTGCTGCTGCTGCTGCCGCTGCTGAGGGTGGTGATGATGATAATGCTGACGGTATTGGACTACAGGTTTCGGAAATGGCCGAGGAAGGGGAGCTGCGCGACATGTTCGAGCGCTTTGGACGTGTTACCAGAGTATACCTGGCCAAGGACAGGGACACGGGTATGGCGAAGGGATTCGCCTTCATCAGTTTTGCGGATCGGGGCGACGCCGTCAAGGCGTGCAGCAAGATGGACGGATTTGGTTTCAAGCATCTTATTCTGCGTGTGGAGTTCGCGAAGAAGCCCCAGTAAAAGTACATGGTTGTTGCATTGTAGCTTTAGAAAGGTTCATGGGGCATGGTAATGGGATTTACGACTTTACCTTATCGCTTGTGGTGCTGGCATGTGGTCGTATGTTTGATGACTGGTATGGTTGTGGCGGCGTTGTATGTTGCGGGACTGTGATGTCAATTTGGACATGAGCCGCTGCCATGAAAGTAAATGAGCAATTTGCGGGTTGCTTCAGAGGGATATTGTTGGGAAGAGGGCTGAATTGTTGAATGTAGTTGTAATAATTGGCATGTGAAAGAGGGACATTCAGCAGGGGTTGAGGTTGTTTCCACTCTGGCGTGATGCTGCGCCAGGTGGTGCTTTCAGAAAGCCAGGTGTAAGCCATGTTTCTTTTTCATGTGTGCGTAAATAAAGACAAGCAGAACATAGTCAGTCCCCCTTCATAGTAAATGGTGTATGCTATAACAGCGAGTTTTTAGGTTTCTTCTTGATCGTCGACGCGACAGGCCATCACGCAAGAGGTGGCGGCCGGATAAGGCAGCGCCACGTTGCAATGCGTCGGTCTGAATAGTCTCAAATTGTGAAAAGAAATGACTAACTATTTACGGAAGGTGTGTTTTGTCTTGTCCCGATCAGGAGCTGCATCACGCGGTTCAAAAAGAGTGCCAATACGCAGCATGTACATGGTCGTCGCCCTTGAGAATGTGTCAAGCCGCTGAGATAGACATGGCATCGGCACTGGACAGGTACCCGCAAAGAAATTGTTAATGCCGCAGTGAAGGGGGACTGACAGAAGGGCCATACATACTAGAAGATGCATGCAACTGCGGCTCAAGAGTTCTGTAGATTAATCTAGCATCTCATTAGATGCGTGGTTAGAGGCGGTTTACTCTTCCAGAGCCTGTCTGGAAAGAACCTGACCTTGCGGATGCCGGCCACTGAAAAACAGGTACCTCTCTAATAATAAAGCAGGAGAGGTTATGTACATAAGTGATGACGGGGACAATGGTGACAATGGTGGTGATGGTGATGATAGAAACGAAATAGCAGTACTGATAGTTACTCTAGTGATAATTTGAACTTGAAGAAAGCATATTTCCAGGATCCTCCATATCCTATGCTCAATCTCTCCCTTCCTTCTTCCAAGCTCTTCCGGTCTCTTCCACCTGATCTTTCAAGCTCCCGCGATCTTCCAGCGCGCTCAGCGCCGTGCATGAGCTCTGCAGCGCTAATGGCAGCCTCGCGACCGCTGAAAAGGACGCTGACATCTGATTTGGCTGCCTGGGGGGGGAGCTGGAATCGCCCCCGCCATAGAGCCTGTGCTCTCCATGTTTAGCCTCCTTCCAAACAGCAAACCTCCACTAAATCTCGTCTCGAGTCCCCTCCTTCACCCAACAATCAGCCCTCAATTCTCCTTCATTCAACTCCATTCAACCCACCGCTGTCGCGCGACACAAGCCGAGTTCAACACTCCGTTCCCCCGTCATCCCCATATCGTATCGTACCGCCCCAGGTTGCAGCGCAGTAGCCTGCGCGTCTCTACTAGTCGCTCTTGCTGCAACGAATCAATTTACCCGGCTACCACTGCTCTCTCGTCAATCATTGCCTGGTCAGCTCCCGTCCTCCATCGTTCGCTTTGCCGCAATCCATACGATTGATTCAAGCCGAGCCCACACGCTTCTCACACACTGCCACGCTAATTGCTGCACCTCACGTTCCAGCGGAGCCGTGACGTTGTGGTTGAACAAACGGTGGTGCGCCCCGGCTCTTCTCGACGGACGCCTCGCTCGCCCCCCCACCAGAGATTTATGTGCGCCGATCCCAACCGGAAACCAGACCGTATTTAACCAACCCGCATTCCACTCCGCGTCCGCCGTTGCCCACTTTGCCTTTTCCCGTCTTCTCCTGCTCCTGCAGTAGTTCTCCCTCTGCATCTTGCCCAATACATTGTTCGCCATCTGGATTCAACCCCAATCGCTCGCAATGGCTACTACCGCTGCATTTTCGGAGCTGCGGAAGCGGCAACAATACCGCGACGATGCCGCCGGCTCTCAACACACTCCGGCTGCGTCTGAGCTCGGCGACCCTTCCACGCCAGCTGATCTGGGTCCCGATCATGCTGATGCAAAGCCCCAAAAGATGTACGGCAGGACGCCGGATGGAACTGGTATGTCGAGAACTAACACCGTGCCGTGTACCATTTCCTCTCTGTGGGCTAATACCGTCTATAGTTTTTGTCGTCCCTACTACCCACGACATGGTTTCACAGCTTCTTGACCCGCGCCAGCCAAAGAATCTTTCGGATCTCATCGTCATTGCGATCCTTGCCCTTCACATCCTCGCCGCCTACATGCTGCCCGCGGCCTGGAAGAAGCCGGTCTTCGCCATCATTTTTCTCTTCTGGCGCTCCTCCTACAACGTTGGAATTGGTGTGCTTCTACACATACAGTCCAATTACAACCGTCTCCTCAGCTGGGCCATCCGCTGGAAACTCTTCGAGGATCCCAAGTCAGGCAACAACCCTCGACCATGGCTCTACAATCTACTAAAAAAGGAGCTCGAGGCAAAGATCCCGGAAGACTACGATTTTGAAAAGGCCCCTATTGAGTACAATACTTGGCTGGTTTTCCGACGGGTAGTAGACTTGATTCTCATGTGTGATTTTACCTCTTATTGCCTCTTTGCCATTGTCTGTGGCCACACGCCCGACTCTGAAAGCGTCTTCGTCGGCATCGCGCGTTGGGTTATTGGCATTGCTCTAATCGGCTTCAATCTTTGGGTGAAACTCGACGCCCACAGAGTTGTAAAGGATTTTGCCTGGTACTGGGGTGACTTTTTCTATCTCATCGACCAAGACCTGACCTTCGACGGCGTATTTGAGATGGCCCCCCATCCCATGTATTCGATTGGCTATGCTGGCTACTACGGCATCTCAATGATGGCTGCTAGCTACGAGGTGCTCTTCATCTCCATTGCAGCCCATGCCGCCCAGTTCGCCTTCCTCGTCGTTGTCGAGAACCCGCACATTGAAAAGACCTACAACCCGCCGCCCCCGCGTAACACGCCGACTCCTTTAGAAGATGCAAGTGCAAAGCTCACGCCCGGAAAACCTACTGCCCAGCCGTCGCCCGATGGCTCCATCCTGGTCTCACCCCAAGACTCCCCGGACACCGTGCATAATCTTGTCGGATTCGCAAACATGGATCTCTTCCGCGTCTCCGACATTGCGGTGGTGCTGATGCCTGCATACGTGGCAACTCTTGCGCTGACAACTTCTGCTACTCCCTTCTGGCAAGCCATGTTTGTCGGCCATGCTATGCTCTGGCGAGTTTGGTATCACGTCGGTCTCGGCATTCTTCTTGATGAGCAGTCCAAGTCTAAATTGTGGACGCGGCACTTTTTGAAGTACGGCGAAACTGCCCAGGAAGCCTGGCGCCAGTGGAAGGGCATGCATCATATCAGCATGATCATGACGAATGCTTCCTTCATGGCGGCGTGCTGGAAAATGTACTCGTTCCCCGCGGACTGGGGCTATGGCCTGGTGCTACTCAAGCATGTTATTGGTGCTAGTCTTATTGCACTGCAACTCTGGACCGCTTTCAGCGTGTACGAGTCCCTGGGCGAGTTTGGGTGGTTCTGTGGTGACTATTTCTTCGACCACCAAGCAAAGCTTACCTATACCTCTATCTACCGCTTCGTAAACAACCCAGAGCGTGTGTTTGGCATTGCAGGGCTGTGGGGTGCTGCGCTCATCACCTGGAGCCGCGCCATATTTCTTATGGCTCTTTCGGCGCAGCTGATGACTATTTGGTTCATCTCGTACGTTGAGCGACCGCATATGCAAAAGATTTACGGTAGAGGTCTCCGCAGCGAAGCTGGCCTGACCAAGTTCATCAAGCGCTCGCTGCCGCCTCCTGTCAAGACTCTTCAGGAGAGCATGGACAAGGTTTTGGATGACACGACGCAATTTGTTGAGGATTTCATCGACACTGCCCGCCCCAAGTTTGCTTCCGGAGTCAAGACTATTGTCCGTGATACTTCAGCAATCTTCAACATTGCACCTGCCAGGCTGACTCTCACTCGCATCTCGTCGGATGTCGAGGGCCTAGACCCCAAGCAATTCTCGCTCAAGGTTGACGGCCAAACCGCTACGGTAGCGTCGCTTCATGAGAGGGCAACTGGAAAAGAAGGTCTCACTGGAAGATTCCCCAAGGACGTTAAGACCATGACATTCGAATATGGCGCCCCTCTCAAGGTGAAGTGGACAGCGCCAGCTAACCACAGTGCCAAGGATTGGATTGGTCTGTACATGGTTAGTGACAATCGATCGAGGGACATGACCGAAGTGTCCTCTTTGGGCCGATGGGTACCGACAAATGCAAGCAGCTACGACAATCCGAACTTGGAAGCCAATGTTGTTGTTCCGCAGCACAAGGTTACTGGGGAGAATGGCGAGGCGGATGTTGTCGGGGGTGAGGTTGTTTTTGAAGGTGACAAGCTCTGGTGGACTCAGGGCGTATTCGAGTTCCGCTACCACCACGACGGACACCACAAAGTGATGGCGGTGTCGGAGCCTTTTGAGATTGCTCTAGGAAAGTTTGACGAAGAGGACGTGGATGTGGATGCTAAGGGCATGTACGCCGGGGCTGTTGAGTCTATCCTATTGCCAGTGGTACGCAACTGCTTGGACCGCGACCCCAAGATTGCGCCCAAGGACGAGACAGAAGTGTTTGGCAGCCACGTTGAAAGAGATGGGAAGTACGCCAAAAGAATTGTTTATGCTGTGCGGGAAATGTTTGGCATTGAATTTGCACCAGCAGTTGTTCTCGCGGATCGGAACGTGCGCAAGCTAGCGTGGAGAATATGCAACGCAAAGCAAGTCCTGGTGAGTGGTGGATCAATATCAATCGGCATCTATGGTAACTAGAGTGCGTGCGGCTTGATGCTAACTGGTGCATATATAGGCACCGTACAGTTTGTCACATTCTAGGGGCACCACGACGCCGAGTGGGTGAGTTGCAAGTGGTAAAAGTTGTGGGCGAAATGTTTGGGCATGGAGTTGAGGAGCACTTGGGGATGTTTCAATTACTTTTACAAGATAGGATACCCAAAAGCAAAAAGAATACAAAGAAGTGTCAGCATTGGATTAAAGAAGACACTACAGTGCGACTGCAACCAGAGACAGCGAGTGAGCTAACTGGAGGTGAGATGATCGGTGGGGGATGGCGATGTCGACGAAAGGCATGATTGGCGATGTGTGGGGGACGAATGCAACCTGTAAACGTTGCGAGTTCACCTCTGGGCCAAGCCTACTTTTTTACAGTAGTAGTAACTAACCTAACCTACCATTTCTTGGAGCATCGCTGATGACCCCTCCCTCAACTTGGGCAGCGGAACCAGTAACTCCTGAGGTAGTAACCCCTACCCTAGAGGCCCTAAAGGCGGGAAGCGCAAAGGTTAGGTTCGTGGCGTGTTACAGCCCTGACCACGAGTCATCAATTTGTCTATCTGGTAAATGCTGTGGTGTGAAACAACTGTAATACCGGGCGAGCACGGGGCGTTTCGATCTGTGATTGAAGAATGGCCAGAGTGTTATGCAGGGGCTACCCGTCTCGCGTAGGCTGCTGCCAGAGAGGGTGGGCGAATCGCTGGCAGCCTCTTGTGAGATTCGAATAGGTACAAGTAAGCTCGCTGTGCGGTTCTCGGTCCTTTGACTGGTGGGATATTATTACCACGTTACGCAGGTTCAGGTTGCCTGTCGTGTGGTAAGAAAAGTCACAACGATGGCTGAAAGAAAGACCAGATTTGAAGAAGAACCCCACGAAATGAGCATAAAAGGAAGCTCACAAAGACACCCCTGGTCCAGTTTCATTGGTAAGCACAACCTAGGACGTGGTAGGTAATATGCAAGCAACCCTGCGCTATTGACCTATTGACTTTCTTTGTGGGATACTCCGTGGGGGTAGAAAGAAGGGAGGGTCACAGCGGCAGCCTTTCTTGCAGGGCGAGCGAGACAAGGGAGATGCAAGCTGCAGATTTCAGGTGAATGACATCAAATCAAGTCTCGCCAAGCCATTGCAAAGAGTGACAGACAAGGGGAAGCTTGATCCTACTTTCTGCTTGCTGGTTACGGACCCCAGTTACCAGTGACTACTGGTATGTGGACGGGAAAAGAAACGCCGCCTGGTCATCGACGGGCGGCTGGGGCCGCATCTGACCACTGGAACGAGGAATACTAATGAACTGGAGTGCATAGTTATGGAGTAACGTTGGTCAAGATTCTCTCCCCTGCGGAGCCTAGACAAATTTCTACACAAATTCAGGGCCGGCGCATAAACCAGGCCCAATGAGTGTTGGCCCTTTCTTTGGTTACATCAAAGCTTTGTCCCAAGTTAAGTTAATGTACATACATAGGTAGTAGCCGTGGATCGCCCAAACAAGGGCCAACCCAGCCAGAATTGGTGCTGTACATTATTAGCACTTGATTACTTCTTACAGTGGTGAATGACGGGCAGAGTCTGGCGCCGTCAAACAGTGAGTGAGAGTTGATTTGACTTAAAAAGCCTGCGCCTGCCCGCTCTTGTACCCCGTCCCATGTTCCTTATTAGATCGGAAACTTATGCTTAATCTTGACGTCTCACCAACTTGAATACACGTTGTGCGCCTGGTCTGCGCCTCCTGATAAACCCTCCCTTCCCCCTTCTTCCTCTTGCCAACAAACTCCAAAAACCTACAGAAAACTACCCTAGAAACAGAGAAAACATGGCTCTCATCTCCCTCGCATCCCTCCTGCTCCTCGCCGGCAGCGCCGCGGCCAACCCCAACATACTCTACGTCACCTCGTACGCGGGCACCATCACGACGCTGAACCTGACGGAGACGACGCCCCCGGCGGGTGGCAAGTACCCCTCGGTCAAGGCCGTGGCCACCAGCGACGGCTGCAAGGCCAGCCCGTCGTGGCTGACGCTCAAGCAGCCGTGCCCGATGCTGTACTGCATCGACGAGGGTCTCGAGACCCCTGGCGGCTCGCTCTCGTCGTACCGCACCAACGACGACGGCACGTTGACCCAGATCGGCAAGGTCACCACCGCTCCGGGCCCGGTGAGCGGCGTCTTTTACGGCGCCAAGGGCCACGGCTTTGCCATGGCGCACTAGTACGTCCAAGGCTCTTAATATCATGCCAACTCACCGTCTTTCCAAACCCAAAATTAACAAGTATGTCCGTAGTGGCGGCTCCACGCTCAGCACCTGGGACGTTAGCGATCCGGCCAACATCAAGAACGTGCAGTCGACCAAGTTCACCGAGCCCGCCGGGCCTAACCCCCAGCAGAACGCGCCGCACCCGCACGAAGCCGTGCTCGACCCGACCGGCCGCTTCCTCGTCGTCCCGGACCTCGGCGCCGACCTGGTCCGCCTCTTCTCGCTCGACAACCAGACGCTCCAGGCCACCGCGCTGCCGCCCGTCAAGGCCAAGCCGGGCAGCGGCCCGCGCCACGTCGCCTTCGCCGTCCACGGCGCCAAGACCTACCTGTACCTGATCACCGAGCTCGGCAACACGATTGTCGGCTACGACGTCGGCTACGAAGGCGCCGGTATCAGCCTGAAGGAGATCTTCGACATTGGTGTGCACGGCGAGGGGAGGCAAGTCCCCGACAAGGCGGCCGCGTCCGAGATTGTCGTTTCCGTGAGTACATCTCCGGGATCAAGTGTGTGCGCTTGGATTTGATGACTGACCACAAAACATAGCCTGACCAAAAGTTCCTTGTCGCGTCGTCGCGCCGCGAAAACATCTACAAGGTGGACAGCTTCGACGACAAGACCAAGCAGATCGACTCCGACTCCATCATCAACTTCTCCATCGACGCCGGCACCGGCAAGCTCACCTTCCTGCAGGATGTGCCCTCGGGCGGCAGCTTCCCGCGCCACTTCTCGATGAACAAGGCCGGCACCAAGATCGCCATCGGCCTGCAAAAGGACTCCCGCGTCGTCGTCATGCAGCGCGACCCGGCGACGGGCAAGCTCGGCGACTTTGAGTCGTTTGCCAACATCGCAGGTGAGATTACCTCGGTCATCTTTGACGAGTAAGATGATGAGGAAGGAGGAGGACTGCGAGACCTGGGCCGGCCCCGGGATCGGAGGTGGGGGGTGTTGAGAGATACATAGCGGTGGCCTGGCTTTATACGTACATATGGCATCATGCGCAGACATATATACTTGGACTATAGCAACATGTCGAATTTCAGCAGCATGGCAAGATTTGAACAATATTTGTCTCGTAATGCGTGACAGCGCCGATCTTTTTAGGTAGTTGACAGCTGGTAATTTCACTTTGCTCAGCCAGCACAGCTACTGGTAGCCTGACCCACCACATCAACGTTCGCTCCTCCTGGCAAAGGATCGTGAACTAAACATCAAACAGCGCTTCCAAGGCGTCGATTGCCTGATCGACAGAAACATCCCGAATGGCATAGCGTGGTGTTGAACTATAGCCTTTATACTACTAAAAATCGGTATCGAGCCTTCTCGTTCATCCGACGCATCTCGGCCGCTCGACAAGTGCACTCACTGGTGGGCACCGCCCGTTTGCCATACCTGCTAAGGAAACAATATCCACGGGCATGATCCTCTTCCGAGCCGGTAGAAACCATTCTTCGCATTCCATTTAGAGTTACCGTTCAAGAAGGGGCATACGTGCCTTTCTTAGGCCTCACGCCGCTCGAGCTTCCCCAGCGCTACGTGAGGCCGTTACGCTACTGAATCGATCCCTACAGGTAATCTTGACACAATACATGGTTGATGGGTAACCATGGGTTCAAAACCAAAAGTCACTCAGAGTTCGCCTCCCGCCACAGCTTCGCGTAGCTTGTTGAGGGACGAGGACGATTATCCGGATGAAGCGTCCAGCTCAAACCCACTCAAAAGACCATTCGATGACGGGGTCGTGGATTATCCACGGAGGAGGGCCACTATTGCAGTACGTAAAGTTGCCTCCTTCGCTACCTTAAAACTTCGTTCTTGTAAGTAAATACTGAATACCGTCGCCAGTGCGAGGTGTGCCGCTCGCGCAAGTCGCGCTGCGACGGCACCCGGCCCAAATGCAAGCTCTGCACCGAGCTCGGAGCCAACTGTGTCTACCGCGAACCAGTCGTGAAGCTCGACGTTGGCGATAAGATGATCATCGATCACCTCAATCGCATAGAGGGCATGCTGCAGGCGAGCATATCGCACCAGCAGCAACATTATCGCACCAGCATCGCGGCCAACCCGTCACAGCTGTCTCCTTCCCCGAGCAGCGCCGCAGCCACAGTTACCAGTCCCAACGGGCCATTCGCGACACCAAACGGGCCCGGGGCTGCCGTACCAGTTATTCTTAATGGCGGGCTGGGGACCTGGGCGAACGCAGCGGCCACGAGCGGGACGAATATCTCGACCATGCCAAAGTGCCACACCAATGCCGCGTTCCATCTTCTGCAGTGGCCGCTCATCCGCGACCTGGTTCCTCATCAGTACGATCCACAGATTCTCGTTCAGCTCGAGATGGAGCGCGAACCACTAGACCTAGCATCCAAGCCGCTACCAGCGGCTGTCGACCTGTCCAACGCACCGGCATACGTCGAGGCCTACTTTGCCAAGGTCAACGTCTGGTATGCATGCGTCAACCCGTACACGTGGAAGGCTCACTACCGAGCGGCGCTGGCCAGCGAGTTCCGCACCGGCCCGGAGAGCTGCGTCGTGCTGCTGGTGCTGGCTCTCGGGCGGGCCAGCCTCGGCGGGCCTAGAGCGCGCCGGGCGTCGGGAGAGCAGGAACCGCCAGGGCTGTCGCACTTTGCCGCCGCCTGGGCGCTGCTCCCGGGGATGCTGACGGCTAGCAGCGCCGTCGCCGCGCAGTGCCTGCTGCTGGCGGCCGCGTACCTTTTCTACCTCGCGCGGCCGCTCGAGGCGTGGAGCCTGCTGAGCAGCGCGGGCGCCAAGCTGCAGCTGCTGCTCATGGCGCGTGGTCAGCAGACGGAGCTGGTGGAGCGCATCTACTGGAACACGCTCCTCTTCGAGAGCGACCTGCTGGCGGAGCTGGACCTGCCGCACTCGGGCGTCGCCCAGTTCGAGGAGCAGGTCGGCCTACCGGGCGGCTTCGCGGCTGTTGATGATGGTGAAGCCGAAGACGGAGACGTGGACGCGTCCCCGGGCGCCGCAGACGAGCTCTGGTACTTTCTGGCCGAGATTGCGCTCCGCAGGCTCCTCAACCGGGTGAGCCAGCTACTGTACGCCGACGGCGCACTCGCCGAGACGAGCAGCAGCCTGGCGCCGGTCGTGGCGGAGCTCGACTACCAGCTGACGCAGTGGTACGAGGGCCTGCCGCCGGCGCTGCGGTTCTCGTTTGCGCGTGCGCGGCCGCTGCGGGACCCTGTGCAGACCGTCCTGAAGCTGCGCTACCACGCCTGCAAGGTCATCATCTACCGGCCGTACGTGCGGCGCGTGTTGCGGGACCCGCGGGCCGTATCGGATCCCGTGGTGCGTGAGGGCTGCCGCAAGTGTCTAGACGCATCGGTGCGGCAGCTGGAGCACATATCAGAGCAGTAAGTGTCGGATTTTGGGAACTACCGCGCTTATAAATTCATGCGTTGACCCATTTCACAGTCATGCCGGCCACATGCCGTATACGTGGCAGGGCGCGCTGTCCATGGCCTCGCAGTCGCTGCTCCTCATGGGAGCAACAATTTCGCCGTCTCTGCGAGACCTGGTCTTGAGCCTGGTGCCGGACGAGAAGGCGCTGGACTCGATCATCCAGGGCGTGATTGATGAGCTGGGTCGCTATTCCGTCCTGGCGCCGAGCATCAACTTGGCGGCCGAGATTGTCAAGGAGGCCAACGTGCGACGGCGTGCGTTTCTAAATGCAGAGATACAGAATAGTTGATCTGTGCCAGGCTGAAGGATTATTTACTAGCATCTCCTTCCTTTTGCGCCTCTGTGACGCGTTATCAGCAAGCAAAGACTGGGATGAAAGCCAACAACCAACTGATTGCAACTAGCTCTGGGCGATACATGCATCTCGAAGGACGAGGAAGCCTGCAAATCCGCGCTAGCAGGAGGTCTCGCCCAACTCGCCTGCCGAGACATTCAGGCTCGGAGGGCTGCCGGCCGCCTTCCCAATGAGGTCTCTCGGACCTGGAGGATTCTCCCGCGCATGCAAGCGGCGAGCCACGCCTAGTAGGATATGCGAGGACCTATCAAATTACATCATCTCCCTAAGGCTTTGACCTGATTATCTTTGCGGAATAAATCGCCGGAACACGCGGCACAGGCTGATGCTTTGATGGATGGCCTACCTGGGCTCTGAAGGAATGCGCAGAGGTGGGTGTCAGGAGAGACATACAGGAAAGGGAATAAAATGCACATTGATTCCCTTTGTGGGTAACTAATGTACGCAGCAAAGGATGCGGTTCATACTACAGCATTTCTTCAGTCCAAACTCTACGAGAAGTTCGACATCTTTGAAGCGCGGTCTACCCCGCGCTCTTCTTGGACTGCCGTCTATACTCGTCAAAGCCGAGCTTCGAGGCAAGGACAACTCTGAGAAAGCTGGCGGTGTGAGAACCTGATCTGCTGGTTTTTGTCCACTTGCGAAGCTGCAGCCTTTTGTTTTCCATCTCCCTCGCGCGGAAGCTCGGCCGGGGTCCCGAACCCAGTGGAAAGAGGAACGGGCCAGCTTTTTTCAGCCCAGCCTTACTCTGCGCATGGACTTGTCCATGTTGGTCATAAAAAGAAACGCCCGGTGGACCATCACCCTCGGGTTCGGCTTTTGTCTCATGCAGGCATAAATGGCCGCTCCTAGGCTGCGCGATGTTGAAAAATGACTGAATCCGTACATTCAGTCGAGAAAGACTCTGTCTTGTTGGCAAAGGATTGCACCGCCCCTCGTAGCCTTGTGCTGCCTTGGACTGATGCTTACACAATGCCTTACAAGACACACCATTCATTGTTGGTGAAAAGGCGGAGGAGGTGAGACACATGCGGAGATCGACGAGGGCACTGGCGGTGGCCCGATATAAATACTCTCCCATGTCCCTTTCAAATCGCATAACACAACTGTCACATCTATACTACACAGTACTTCTCCATAATCAACCACATATCTACTCATCAACTATGAAGACCTCCGTTCCCTTGGCCGTTGCTCTATTCGCACTCGGCGTTTGGTCCCAAGCCTGCGGCGTAAGCGAGCGTCTATCCCTATGGGAACGCCAATTGCATTACGTTTGTTCCAACTAACACGCCGAGCAGGTGAACGAGGTGCGGCAAGACTGCGGGCCGGTCTGCCAAGGCTGCGGAAACTTCCAATGCCTCGCCATCCGCTGCGGCGGCGGATGCTGGTGCCGACCGGGCTTCCTCCGAGACAGCGTACGTGCCCGTGTTCTGCGTTCATTAAGATCCAAGGCTAACGACAACCTCGCGTCAACTACCTGTGTAGGCCGGCACCTGCATTCCACGAGACCAGTGCCCAAAAGACAAAGTCAGCGAGCCAAGTTCGCATTAGGTGCGGAAATGTCACGGCGAGATCTACGGCTCTCACTTTTCGGAACAGGTGGATGAATGTGCCGATCCATGGGGCCGGCCGTTGCCGCGACCGAGCCGTGTTGATAGAATACGATAGCGCATCAAGCTCGGAGGCTTTGCTGCAACGTGAATAAAAGTGAGCCTTGATTAGTTGGCCTTTTCCGCTGCCTTGCAAACTTTGCAACTTGTGTCGGCCGTTTCTCTTCTAGGATTCATGAGGCGCGCCAACCCCGCCAGCTGCCAACTTAAAAGCAAGTCGCTTCTTGTCCATCAATTCCCATCAACGCGGTGAATACCATCAAGAATAGAAAACGTCTCATCTTTAGATGAAATAGCCTCGAATAAAATTCGTCAAAGATATTCCCCGCTTCCCAGACGACGTCCCGCTTGCGTCGATGGACACGGTCTCGCTTCAGGTCTACGTCGGGACGGTGCAACAGCCGCGCAGGAAGCCGCGAGAGCCTGCGAGGAACTCGGCTTCTTCTTCCTTGACCTTCGCGGAGACAGCCTGGGCGAGGCAATGATCGGATGTATCGACGAGCTCCTCCTCATCGGCAAGGAGATCTTTTGACCTGCCCGGGAGCGTCAAGAACCAGTACCTGCAGGACATTCCAAAGAGCTCCTGGGGTATGTAACTCCTACCCATCACCCTACCGAGTCTTGGTAGAAGCAGACTTCTACTTACACTACTGCGGCTAAAGAAGAAAGAAAGAAGATTCCAGTCCCGAGGCATCGTGAAAACAGAAGCCGGATAGGTTCGAGTAGTTCAACCTGGGCCAGGACGGTCTCGTGGGAATGACTGACCCGCAGCCCTTGCCTGAGCTCGTGCTAAAGCGCATCGACTGCTTCAAGCGGTTCGCCCGACCAGGGGCAGCAGATTGCGACCATCCTGAACCGGATCCTCGCGCAGCACCTCGCTCTGCCCGAGGACACCATCTCCGCGGTCCAGCGGCCGGCCTAGCCGTCCGGCATGACCATCCGCCTCATCGAGACCTTTTCGAGCCCCGCCGACGAGGACCTCCGCACGAGCTTGGCGCACCACACCGACTTTGGCACCGCTCACGCTTGCTGGCCAACGTCGTCGGCGGGCTGCAGGTCCGGAGGCGTGGCGGTCGGCGCGCCCGCGCGGCCGGGCAGGCTCATGGCGAACCTTGGCGCGGTGGATAGGTACAGCCTGGTGATGCTATTCCGGGCGGAGCGGGGGGCGAGCATGAGGGCGCGGGTGGTGCCGCGGCGGGACGGCGCGGGGGGCCGAGGACACGGACCTGACGGCGTGGGAGGGGGAGGTTCAGAGGATGATGGCGTACAGTCGTGGCGAGGCAGGCGCAGGTTGAGGGCAGGGGCGGCTTGTCTACCCAGGCTTGACCGGCGTATTTACAGTTCTTATTGATGAATATTAATTTTCGTTTAATGAACAGTATTTTTCCCAGTCGCGATAGTGTGATTTGTTGGCCTGTAGGTGCACCCACCCTCCATGCAGTGGGTGGTACTTGTTAGCATATGTCCATTAGCAGAAGGTTAGTATGCCACTGTTCTTGTTATTATCAATTTTCTGCCAGTCAGAGAATGGAGAAACATGCGGCAGGAAACAAGGGGGAAGAAAAGGGCAAGTGAATGAGTATTTTTTTTTTTTCTCCTTGGGTTATCACGGGAACTGCGAACTGCCAGTTCTATACCCTTCCCCACCTGTTAAAGCAACATTGTAATCGACTGCTTATATCCGTGGATATTTCGCCTTGGTTTGTAAATGACATCTAGGTTATGCGTGGCATCGTATTATTGGGTGCGCCATAGTCCAAGGACGTCATGTGTAACCGACTGTCTCGGCTACATGTGATGCATCAACAGATAGAGCAGACGCTTGTGATGCTGCGTTCAAATATGACTCCGCGTCGGCCCAAAGGGGCTCTCTGTACGCTATTAGTCTATTGCGATACCAAGGTTCAAGGCTGAAAGGCTAGGTAGTTGCATTAATATCCCGCAGGAGGGCGTCACCTCTGTCCATTTCCTAGGTGCAGTGGCGTGGTCATGCATGCGCTGTCGACGCATGATGTCCAGTCTTTCGGCCACTGTAGCCCTGTGGGTGGTCCTGTTTTTGCACTTGCTCGTCCCGTCTCGTCTCTCCTTTCGGCTGCCGAGTTTGGTTTGTCCAGGCGATTCGGTCAGGGGCCACATCCCTCCCGCTCTGGCTCCAGCTAGAGGCAACTAACTAGTCAGTCCCTGGGCTGGGCTGGCCAGAGAAAGAAGATGAAGTCAAACGACGTCAATCTGCAGTAGCATCCCTGTTTGTCCACTTTGTCAGGGGCCACTTTGGTCCTGGGATAGGCCACTCGCTTTGCTGTTTTGCGTGCTGTCTGACAAGTACAAGTCTGTCTGCATTGTTCAGAGTTCGTCCCCCCCCCAGCCACGTGACGCATTGGCCAAGTCCTCCTGGAGCCAACCACCTACATTTTGTGTCATGGACATCGAACAGCGTAAGCGCTGGGCAAGGAATTTTCCGTTTTAATAATTGCTGTTTTATTTCCCCTTCATCTCTTCCACCTTTCTTTTTAAACTTCTTGTTAATTAAACCTTTCGAGCCTTATCCCTAGCATCGCCCTTTTTCGACTCCACCAAACTTCCAGCTCACGCGGGGGCTTCCAACGAACGACAGTCCCCTTTTTCCTCGCATCGCCCAGTTTGCCCTCCGTGCTGCTGCTTTGCAGTGCACTGTCAGCAAGTTTGCCCAGTACAGGAAACAGATCTGAAGAGGCATCTGTCAACTCCCCATATCGGCCAATCCAGTTTCCCGCCTTTTTGGCCTTTCTGGCGTGGCTACGCTGACCGTGCAGCTTTAATATCCGCACCGCTTCCGCTGCTGTACCTCCAGAAGCCGCCTCCCAACAACTTCTTCGACTCTACCTAACTACCTAGTAGCAGCCTCGTCACAGACCTGCAGTGCATACTGCTTCATCACCTCTCTTTCCCTCAACTTAATGGCACCAGCGCAGCTTTTCACCGCATAGCCACCCTATAACGCCACTTCCGGAGTGATTCTGCCCCGCGGTGTGACACCACTGGACGCTTCAACGACGCTACCGACTGTGGCTTTGTCAACCGTTATTTTGGGCATTCGAAAGCTCCCTCATCAGGCTGAAACGGCTGCATATCAACGACTGAGCGCCCATCCCCATCCCAGTGCCCAAGGCCTCTTTGCTTTGGCTTCACACGCAGCAGCAGCCTATATACTCTCCGCTACCATAATCTGGGCCGCCCTCCACATGTTCGTGACATTCACGCGCCACCCCCCAGATCATGCCTGCTCGAATACCTCAAGAGCAATCCGGCGCCTATGCGAGGTCTCCCTACCCATATGAGGATGATAGAGGCAGAGCCCGCGATTATTCAGATCGCCCACGTGCTCACTCGTCCTCCCGCCGAGGCTCAGTATACGAAATTCCAACTCTATACGACGATGGCCGCTGTCGTTCCAGGGAGCAGGGTCGCTACTTAAACGCCGAGGATATTGAAAGACAGCGACGGTCTATGAGCGATCGCGATTCATATGGCAGACCCAGCTCATCAAGAACACCAGAACGAAGCGAGTCTTCCAGAAAGAGTCGACATCATTCGTCTCACATCATTGAGGATTCGCGACCACCTATTAGTTCGAGAAGCCATAGAGACGTCCCAGATGTTGCCTATGTCTCGGGTCCCCCGCGCCGGGACTCGACATCGTCCAGAAGAAGCAGATCAACGAGCCTGTTCGGTCGGTGGCTTGGGGTTGGATCTTCGACTCGCGCCCCATCCCCGGAAAAGCAGCCCAGGAGAGAAAGACGGTCACGATCGGAAAGGCCTAGTCGGGGTACTTCTTGCGTCGCATGTCTTGAAGCAACATCATCGTCAAGGAGCGCTGATCTGAAATGCGGACATAGAATGTGCAACTCTTGCCTCCGACGTCTGTTCAGCATGTCGACCGCCGATCCGCAGCACATGCCGCCTAGCTGTTGCCAACAGCATATCCCCCTCCGATATGTGGAGGATCTGTTTGATGCAGGGTTCAAAAAGAAATGGAATCGCAAGTTTGCCGAGTACACCACCCGCAACCGACTCTATTGTCCGTCGCGCAAGTGTGGCGAGTGGATTGTGCCAGAATCTATTCGGAGAGAAAACGGCCGCAAGGTAGGTCGTTGCGGACGCTGCCAGACCAAGGTCTGCGGCTCTTGCGGTGGTAGATATCATGCGTCAGCGGAATGCCCAAGTGACGAAGACACGGCCAGGTTTCTCGATCAAGCCAAACATGCTGGTTGGAAGCGCTGTTATAGATGCAAAGCTGTGGTTGAGCTGAGAGAAGGCTGCAACCACATGACCTGGTAAGACTATTCCACCAGACTGGAGCGGATAACGAATGAGATGGCTAACGGTTGATAGTCGGTGCGGTGCCGAATTTTGCATGAAATGCGGCGTCAAATGGAAGGGCTGCGATTGTCCGTGGTTTAATCACGACGCGATGGGTGCCGACTACAATCCAGGGTATGCCGGGCAGCATCCCCAAACTTATAGCGAAGAAATACGATTGCGCCGCCTGCAAGAAGTCCGTGATAGAGTGGTCGCTCGAAACATGCAGAATACCTACGAGTACGATTTTGGCAACACGGCGGGACACCACATGAACGAGAACTACAGGAGGGACCACGGCGCACTCCCGTCGCGGCCACCGCCTGCCAATGCTGGTTATGTTTCGGGTGTCCAACAAGCCCGGGGTGGTTACGGGGCAAGCTTCCTGGAGCGCCAGAGCTCGACGCGCAGCCGGAGCGGACGGCAGCCGTCTCCGGCAGCGCCACCGCTGCGATACCAGCCGGGTTACGAGAATCTGCCGCTGCGACGCGGCTCGCACGGGCACCATCGCTCGGTGGACGAGCGAGAATACCGGCAAGAACCGCAACGATCTCAGTCGGAGCGCATCGTTCCCACGCGCATGTCCCGACGATACGATGACGAGGCTGCGATCCACTCGCCATACAGCCGAGGACGCCGTGCCAGCGTTGGGCCGCCGCGCAGCTCCGCCATGGCCGGCTTGAACGGCAAGGACCGGGGCATGGGCCGGGTGGCTGAGTGGAGGGACTACGTCGAGGACGGCGTGCCGGATGGTGAATCCGTTGCAGGCCACCTTTGAGCAGCTGCTTGGCGTTGATGATGATGGGGCTTTGGTATGATTTTCTTTAACGGGGATTTCTTGACGATTTGACGAAATGGATACGCATTGCATTGCATTGTTGTACGCGCATACATGAGCGAACAGAATAACCACGAACGACATTTGAGAGCTTCTCGGGATCCGAGGCCCCGAGGGCTATGTACATCTAGATGGATTGGGATAGCAATATGATGACAGATAGCCTCATTTTTGTTTAATGATATACAACAAGTCTCCAGTTTTGAATTTTGAGACAATGACCCTGCTCGCATTAACGCTGTGTGAGCCGCAGCTTGGGTGTGCTGAATTACGTCATGGCGGCTACCAAGATTCAAAGCTGCTCTGGCCCGGTGCTGCTGCAAGCCACGAACTGCAAGCACTTTGTCCATCACAGCTCGGTACAGTGGGCGGCAATATGTATTGGTCCCCTGCCAGGTATCTGACCTATTCCTACGATAGTTGAGATAGTTGAGATAGTTGAGACAGTTGAGACATGTGAAATACTAAAGATATGCAAAATGCTTAAGATATGTGAATTACCTAAGATACGAGAGATGCCTACGATATACAAAATACTCAAGATAGGTGAGATATGCCTGAGAGGGGTGAGATACCTCATAGGGGACTAATGTATGTTGCTACCCACTATAGATACTAACTAATCACAGTGCAGGGGAAGGCGCTGGTGTGCTTGTCGGTGCACTGGCGGCCTCAATTTGGGGGGCGTTAGCACTCCTTTCCACGGGCAGCACGCGCTTCTGGTACAACCTTGCCTCAATTTCAGTGGTTTCATCAGTCCTTTGTTGGGGCACTTGGCCCGCTAGACCCAGCCAGTGACACGCCTGGATTGTGCTGTAACAATAATCCATCCCTCCGGGCAGTTCTCCTCTATCACGAGCCAGCGTTCCCGCCCCCCCCCCCCCCCCGGTCCATCACCATCTATCTCATTTCCCTATCCAGCATCATTTTGCTTTCTCTTTCCACTTTCACTCTCCGATCTCCTAACATAAGCACCTAAATAACCCCCTGCGCCCCCCAGCTCCGATTATACCAAAAATCATGCTACTACATCGCCTCCGATAGCACCGATCCGTCCATCTGCAGCAAGCACGTGCCAAGCTGGCCGCCGTGACGACACCACGCAACTGCCCCCCGAACCCACCCGTTTGACATCTCGACATCTCCCCTCCGCCCCTCAAGCTCTACCGCCTTCGCGGGTGACCCGCGGCCGAGGTCATGCTTCTCCTCCACCAGCTCGGCACCGTTAAGATTGGCGAGGTCATCCGCTACACGGTCACATATACCCCTTCCCAAGATCGCATCCTGCCCTCGCCCGAGAAGCTCTACGTCCGTATCCGCAACACCTCGGCCATCGCCCTGCGCGCCGCCTTCGTCCACGGGCCCTACACCCTCTCCGTCGCCGCATACCCTGCCGGGTTTCGTCCCAACGAAAAGTGCCCCGACCCCCAGCAGTATGGCGTCCCGGAATTCCAGCCCATGGTCAAGGCCGGCGGCTCCTGGGAGTGTGAGCTCATGGTCCCCGACAATATACGACAGTCCGCGGGCATCGGTGGTAGCGGCAGCACTTTTGGCAAGGACGCCGCCCACGACGCCGAGTGCGCCAGCTGGGTCATTGAGATCTCCTCGCAGGTCATCTTTTCCACCTCCGCCGCCGTGTCGTACGAGGTCGTCGTCGGGCGCGATCACAAGTCGCTGAGCCTCAGCCAACCTTCGGGCTCGTCTGCCGAAGGCAGCCGGAGCATGCGCCCGGGCCAGTTGGCTGACCACCAGCAGAGCGTGGGCGCCAAGGATGGCCACCACCCGGCGCAGCCCCAGGGCATATTCTCCCGCGCCGTGAAGCTCAAAGTCGAGGACACCGCGACGCTCTGGAACACGCCGCGGCTTCCGGGCTGGGATGATCTTGGCGATAAGCGCGTTAAGGAGAACAAGGGCGCCGACAAGCCCGTCGAGAGCGTCGTCAAGACTGGCGATCCCGAAACCGCTGATGACAAACCCGTGCGCAAGCAGAAAAAGGTCCACCTAGTCTTGCTCACGCACGGCTTGCACAGCAACCTCGGCGCAGACATGCTGTACATGAAGGAGTCCATAGACGCCGCGGCGAAGCAAGCAAAGATAGATGCCAAGGCTAGGCGGCAAAAGGAACGAGCCGAGGCTGGGCAGTCGGATGATACATCCGAGGACGAGGATGACGAAGAAGTTGTCGTCCGCGGATACTCTGGCAATGCGACAAAGACAGAGAAGGGAATCAAGTATCTCGGGAAAAGACTCGCACGATACGTCTTGTCCATCACCTACCCTGATCAGCCCTTCATCCCCCTCGGCAAGCCCTCTGGCGAAACCCTCATCAAACACTTCGATAACGAGGATCTGCTCAAGCAGCACATATTCAAACAAGCACATAAAAACAGTAAGATCTCGGAAGACACATCAGCGCGCGGAAAAGACCCCGCCCGGCCATATACAATCTCCAGCATAAGCTTTATTGGACACTCGCTCGGCGGTGTCGTCCAGACGTACGCTGTCGCATATATCCAGAAGCACTCCCCTAAGTTCTTCGACCTAATCCGCCCAGTCAATTTCATCGCCCTGGCATCACCCTTTCTGGGCCTGAGCAACGAGAATCCAGTCTATGTCAAGTTTGCCCTAGATTTTGGTCTTGTGGGACGAACTGGAAAGGACTTGGGCTTGACTTGGCGAGCTCCCACAATTGCCCGAAACGGCTGGGGGGCCATAGTTGGCAATCTCGGTGAATCTGCACACAAGACCGTCTACGGCGACAGCCAGCCTGACTCAAAGCCGTTGTTGCGTATTCTGCCTACTGGGCCTGCGCACACAGCGCTGAAGAAGTTCAGAAACAGGACGACATATTCAAACGTTGTCAATGACGGCATTGTCCCACTGAGGACAAGTTGCCTTTTATTCTTGGACTGGCAGGGCCTAGGACGTGTCGAAAAGGCCCGTCGAGATGCAGGCCTTGTTGAGACGGTTGTCGGGTTTGGTTGGGCTGAATTAACCGGCTCAAGCATGTCCACTACCACTAACAAATCAAAGCAGCAGCTTGTCCTGGAAACGGGTCAAGAATCAGGGTCAACCACACCTCGAGAAAATGCGCAGCAAGTGCCACAGCCAGATGAGCATACCATGGAAGAGGACGACAGGGCCAGCTTACGTTCTATACCGACGCCTTTTAGCGAAGGCAGCCAACATCAAGACCAACCCAGCCCGTCCATACAAAGTCCGTTGTCAAGCTTCTTCAGTCTCTTCAAGAGCAGCGAGCCGCCCAAGCCGGATATAATGTCTAAGAAGCAAAAGAAGATGATCCGCCGAGCACAAACCATCAAGTTTGATTCGCAGTCGCAAACTTCGAGTTCCAGTACCTCTGATATATCCAAGACTACAAAGGCAACGTCTGGTCATGAATTCGAAGCTGGCGAGATAGGTGGTGTGATGGCACCTCCCAAGACGACATTTTTTGAATCGGCTGGTGACCTTCTGAATCCCAAACTGCCAGATGTTGACTTCTTAGTCGACCCGTCAAAGCGGCCAAGAACCATCTTCCATGACAGGGTGTATCAGCCCTCTGACATCCCTCCACCGCCTCTCAAACGCCGTAACACCCCCTCACTCATGCGTAAGACTTTTAAGACCTCCTCGTCGCAAAAGTCAGCGGAGAGCGGCTCATCTTCGCCATATCCGACTATCAACCACGAAGACTCCCTCGCCTCTGCCCAAGACTACGATGACACCACGCACACCGGCCCGGAGGACAGGCATCCCAACGAAGCCGTCGACAGCTCTGGTATGCGGGTTGAGGAAAAGATTGCGCGCGGCTATCATAAGGGTCTCGCCTGGCGCAAAGTCCTCGTCAAGCTCGAGCCCGACGCGCACAACAACATCATTGTGCGGCGCATGTTCGCCAACGCGTACGGGTGGCCGGTGATGAAGCACATGGTTGACGTGCACTTTAGCGACTCGGTCATTGCACGCATGGCGACGCGTGACGAGCACCTGGGTGAGCGTGCCCTGGATGCGAACCAGCCGCCCGACGCGCACGGCTGTGAGACGAAGCACCTGAGCGAGGCGCTTGAGGCTACTCTCATCGTTGACGAGGGTAAGCCCGCCGCCGGCGACAACGGCAGCACCGAGTCGCGCGATGCAGTCATGGCGCTGCCCCCGCCGAAGAGCCCCGACGGGGACGGCCCCCCGGCCTGGCTCGCTAACGGCGGCCGCGCGGGCTCGGTGACGTGGAGCGAACGCGACTGGGTCGATAGCGACGACAACAGCGACGCGGAAGCGACAACTGGCGAGGAGAAGAAGGCCGCAAGCGCCAAGGGCGAAGGCACGCTGAGCCCGCCGTCGTGGAAGTGGGCGGCAGAGAAGATTGTGGGCAAGAGTGCGACGGCTGGAAGGAAGAGCCCAACACCGGAGCAGAAGCAAAAACAGGCATGACTTTGTATGTATATATACCTACTCTGACTAGAATAATAATTACATCCGAATACCCAGGGTTAGCAAAGGGTGCACCGCTGCTCTGTGCAGTCTCCGCCACTATTGCAGTTCTGTCAAGTTCTCATTGGGAATTATTCTAATAGATAAAAAAAAGGGACTCTAATCCAAGATTTATATACCAAGCATCAGCAGTTGATATAGTAGTAATAGGGACAATAACAGCAGACAAGGGATTAATTAGGTGGAGTGTGGCAGAACAGCCAAAAAGGAATGGTGGATTCAAACCACCTTTGTTGGACGAACGGGGAATCGAACCCCGGACCACTCCCAAGCGGGATCTTCCAGTTGGAGGATGGATGCTAAGGGAGTATTATACCACTAAACCATCCGCCCGAACTTGTTGGAAGTAGGAGACCTATTTTGCTATATATATTTCAGGGCAAAAATTTCAACCGCTGTCAAACCGCACACATGGCACGGTGTTATCAGAAAGCCTGATGGACCGGTCGCAAACTTGCTACTGTACGATATTTGGTGGTTACAAGAACTATTTTATTAGCTCGGGCTGGTTTAGATGGGTATGGATGGCACCGGCCTGGTGGCACTTATTACCAACCTGGTGGTGCGTCGTTGACGGTTGTTAGTGGTGGTCTTGAGTGCGCCGCCTCGAGCTTAAAGAGTTAGAATACGAGGGATGACCTCCGCGGCCCGTATAAGATACTGAGCCACAAGCCTCGACGAACTAGAGACTTGGCGGGCAGCGTTGACAGATGTAATAAGGAGAGAGAGAGAGGAGGAATGCAAGGCGGGCACCTGCAGAATCGCGAAAATTGAGCGTCGCAAAAGCGGCGACGCGCATGCCGACTATCCGGGGCTGACGCAAACCGAGACCCAGCATTGCCCCACGACCAGGTACTCCCCTCGTTATGGGTACTTTGCAGAAGATGCCGGCTTGGCACACTTGCCCCTCGATCTTGTCGCCGCTTTACTCCCTGCACGCTGGCGAGCGACGGATAAGTCGGCCTCGTCATACAACCCTCGCCTGTGCCGTGGCGCTCGCCCTGGAGCCAGCGTGCCTTGCCTTTTGCTACTACCGGCAAGCCCAGCCTATTTTAGCACATTCACTGGTGGGATGGCAGGGGGAAAGGAGGAGCTATATTGTATCGAAGAACTCAGGGGAGAAATAAAACGTTGGCTGGTCCCGCGCCGGTGGGAATCGCGCGTCGCCTTTTCACTGCTTGTCTCAATTTGAACCAACAGTGCAGTATCGCCGGACTCGTTACTCTGCTGTTTTAACACGCACAACGCTCGCTTCCTTTTTCTTTCTCCTTCTTCCATCGCGTTGGTTCTAATACTTTTGTTCCGATTCACTCGCTCTCGCCGGTACCGTACCTCGACATTTCTCCAAGTCCTCCGTCGCTGGCGCTTGTCTCCTCGCTAGTTAACGCCCGTTTGCGCCTTCCAATTGGCATTCCTCCGCCCGGCCATTCATTGCTCTGACGCGTTCTGTACTCTCACAGCTTAATTGCCGCAATATCGCGTCTCAATCACAAGTTTTGCTTCCTTCCATTACCATTCTCGCCTTGGCATCGCAAAAAATGGTCTCTGCCAAGACTCTGATCGCCAGCCTGGCTGCCACTGGCGCCATCGCTGCCGATGTACCCTCGCTTCAGATCAAGGTATGACCCAACTTGCAGGGATCGTTGGAACTGCCCCGGATGGCACCACGTCGAACCGCCAAGCTAACGACTTGACGCCGCCCGTCGCAGGGATCCAAATTCTTCTACCCCAATGGCACCCAATTCATCATTCGCGGCGTCGCCTACCAGCAAGACTCGTCGGCCGGTGGCAGCGACGCCCCCAAGTCCAATGCCACCTTCATCGACTCGCTCGTGAGCAAGTCCAACTGCCAGCGCGACATCCCCAACCTGGTGGCCCTCAACACCAACCTCATCCGCACCTACGGCGTCGATCCCACCGGCAACCACGACGACTGCATGCAGATGCTCGCCGACGCCGGCATCTATGTCATTGCTGACCTGGGCAACCCCACCATCTCCATCAACCGCGCCGACCCCCAGTGGAATGTCGGCCTCTTCACCTTCTTCCAGAGCGTCGTCGACACCATGTCCAAGTACCCCAACGTCGTCGGCTTCTTCGTCGGCAACGAGGTCACCAACAGCAACAGCACCACCGGTGCCTCTGCTTACGTCAAGGCTGCCGTCCGTGACATGAAGCAGTACGTCAAGAACAAAGGCTACCATACCGGAATCGGCTACGCTGCTGACGACTCCTCGGACCTGCGTGACACGATTGCCGAGTACATGAACTGCGGCGACTCGTCGACCGCCGTCGACTTTTACGGATACAACGTCTATGAATGGTGCGGCGACTCCGACTTTGAGACCTCGGGATACAACCGCATTCTCGATTTTTTCCAGTCGTACTCTGTCCCTGCCTTCTTTGCCGAGTATGGCTGCAACAAGCCTGGTGGTGCTGCCAAGCGCGAGTGGCAGGAAACCGGTGCCCTGTACGCCAAGAACATGACTGCTGTTCTCAGTGGTGGTATCGTGTACGAGTACTTTGAGGAGGACAACGATTACGGTAAGCTCTTTCCAGAATTGCCTTCCATGACAACTCGGCCCACCGTGGTCCTACTAACACACTTGTTAGGTCTCGTCAAGGCATCGGATAGCGATAGCACTGTCACTAAGCTCGACGATTTCGACACCCTGGAGAAGGCCATGAAGGACATCGATCCCCAGGGCGTCTCAATGTCCAGCTACAGCCCCTCCAACAAGGCCGCATCGTGCCCCACGGTCAACTCTACCTGGGAGGCTAACGGTAGCACGCTCCCTCCCACGCCCAACGAGGCCGCGTGCGAATGCGCCGCCAACGCCTCCACCTGCGTCCCTGCCAAGAACCTCGACACGTCGGCCTACGGTGCCATCTTCAACTACACCTGCGCCGACGCTTCCGTGTGCTCCAGCATCACTGGCGACCCCTCCACTGGCAAGTACGGCATGTACAGCATGTGCTCGGACGAGCAGAAGCTGGCTATTGTCCTCGGCGCGTACCACACCAAGCACTCGGACGCCTCCGACTCGTGCTCCTTTGGCGGCAATGCCACGGCCCAGAAGGGCTCGGGCAGGACGGACTGCTCCAAGCTGGCAACCAGCTCCGCCAACGGCACCAGCAACTCGACCAAGAATGCCGGTGCGACCGTCGGCGCTCCTGGCTATGGAGTGGTAGCGTCCCTGGCATCCCTTGTGGCGTTGGTGGCATCGGCGATGGTTGCCCTGTAAATGGCTGACAAGTTGAGGTGTGATGTAGATGTAAGATTTGGGGAGAACATCAGTTATAGTACAAATGAGATTAGCTATAGTGTAAATTAATGAATGCCGATTTCGAAGACCCCCACTGACCTGCCGCTGCCAATGACGGAGCCTCGATTACAACTGCAAAAGGGCTTACCTGATCATATGTTGGGGCATGGAACGCCAGGTAAAAACAAAAAAAGCTCCAGTTCTTCTGCAATAACATATCTCTTGCTGGGAAGCCCAATGCCTGCAGCTTAGACACTTTAACACCAACCAAGCAACAGTTGCAGTAAACGTCGTTCACTGAGGCCGCCCGGAAGGCCCATGTGCGTCAGCGAATGGCTGACCCAGCACCCAGAGACCCGCCGTCAAGCCGATCCCTCTAGCGGACCTGGAAGGCCAACCCAGTCCAGCTCGAAATTTACGGCCATTACGTAGACTTTCCTCCGGCCATCATCTTCTTGTTCCTTTTTGCTTCCCTTCCACAGTGTTGCTTGTCAACCTTTTTCTTGGGCTTATCGTCTACGTTTTTTTTTTCTAATCCGGAACAGACACATAGCTAGCATCACCATGGCGCAGTAACCGACGGGGCTTGCGACAACGGCCTGCACGCGAAATCGACGAGTGGGTGTGCCTTGAGCTTCAATTCGAAGGAATAAGGTAGCCCCCGCGCAATCACGCGAACCTCTACCAACGCGCTGCCTGTTCCATCCGTTGGCTCTGCGCGACCCCCCCCCCGGTGGAACCCTGATAACATACCTCCAACCCGCAGCGGCCCCCTTCCCTTCCCCTTTGCGCCGCCGCCATGCGCCTCTTCCTCGTGCCCGTCTCGACGCGGCGCACGCTCCTGTACGCGCAGCGCCTCGGCGTCACTACCAAGGAGCAGGCCGCGGCGTCGCCGCTCGATCGGGCCGTCGCCTTCGCCGCGCGCACCTGGGCCGGCTGGGAGAAGCGCGAGCGCGGCTGGCAGCGCCGCGTCGTCGACTACGGTAACCACGCGTTCCGCCGCATCCCCTTCCCGGAGTGGGGGCTCAAGTCGGTGCCGCCGCTGTCGGCGCGCCGGCGCGCCGAGGAGCTCGCCGGCCGCGACGACGGGGGCAAGGTCGAGGTGGTCTTCCCCGCGTCGGTCATCCCGGAGGCGGAGGTGGAGAGCGTGGCGCGGAGGCTGGCGACGGAGCGGCAGGCGCTGCACCGCAGGCAGATGATGTGGTGCTTTGCGGGCATGCCCATCACGCTCCCGTTTGCGCTCGTCCCGGTGTAAGTTTTTTGGGGGGGGTTTCGAAGCGTGCGCGACGGACACTAACGATGGGAGGACAGAATACCGAACCTACCCTTCTTCTACCTCGCTTACCGCGCCTTCTCCAACTGGCGCGCCATCGCCGGCGGCAAGCACGTGCAGTGGCTGCTCGACAACAAGCTGCTGGTCCCGGCACCGTCCAAGGCGCTCGACCTGGTGTACGCGCAGTCGCGCGCGCTCGTCGGAGGCGGGAAGGCAAAGGTCGACCCCGAGGCCAAGGAGGAGATCCTCCTGACGCACGCGCAGATTCGCACGTGCACGGACGCTCTGGGGATTCCCGAGCTGGAGACGGAGCTCGACAGGGCCGTCTGGCAGATCGAGGAGGAGTTCAGAAAGGAGGAGCAGAAGAAACAGGCCGGCGCGTCTTCTTCGCCGAGTAAACCGCCAGAGGAGAAGAAGACCGGGGCGAACGACAACAAGAAGAATCAGTAAACGGCCCTGCTCTGGTTCTTGTGTACTATTCAGGCACAACATGTACGCGAAATGAAACGGGATCTAGGAGGGTTGCGTGGCGTCCAGTTAGAAAGGGTATACTTTTAGAATTGCCGCTCCATCACTATCATATATTTCACCACTTTATAGATCTATGGGGCAATTGTCATGTAAATGCGGAGTGTATTAAAAGGGTTTATAATATGGGAGGTGTATCTTGCGCAGACAGGCGTCATAACGTGAAGCGGCAGAACCAGTTTCATATCCAATGCCAACGTTTCTCTGCGTCGGGTCGCCGATGTACTACTTAGGTTCGTTCAAGCGTATTAAAAAGCGAAAAGGAGGTATCCAAAGTTTCAACAAACCACCAAATGACTAATTTACTCGGACGGTGTCTCGAGATCCGAGATAAATGTGGCTTCGCTGAAGACTTGACCCTCCTCGGTAATTTCCTTGCCGCCAGCCTGGAGCTTGAGCGTGGCCTTGGTGGCATACTTTCATCCCGCATTAGCACTCATTCACGCATGACCTCAGAAGCGGGTTCAACAAACCTGGTAGATGTATGGCTTGGTTCCTACGGCGCCGGCAACGATGCGCTTGACGAACGCGGGGACCTCGGCCATGACGTCGACGCGGTCCAGACGCTTACCGAGCGCGGCGTCGATCTCGGCCTCGACGGGGTTGCCGTCCTTGTCCTTGGCGTGCCAGGCGAAGGCGACGTTGGTCGGTGCGGGCCAGCCGCTCTCCGTGTCCGCCTCGATGGCGGTGTGGGTGGCGCTGTTGTCGCAGCCGGCGCCGACAATGGTGCCGTCAGCCGCGACGCCGCCGACGCTGACGACGGTGCAGCCGTACGAGGGCGGGGTGGTGAACTGCATCATGACGGCCGAGTGGCTGGGGCCCTGGAAGGTGAGGAAGTTCCAGCGGGCGGCGGCGTGGTGCGGCTTCATGCCCTGCAGGGCGTAGCTGTAGAAGCCGCGGCCCTTGAAGTCGACAGGCCCCTCGTCCTTCGTGGTGATGCTGCCCTCGACGGCGCAGCGCGGCCAAAAGGCATGTCGCATCCAGCCCCACGGCTCCTTGGGGTCGGTGCCGTAGCTGCTGGTGCCCGTCTTGCCGCCCTGGAAGCCCGGCGCCGTCTTGGTGACCTTGATGTTGACAATGGCGCGCTCGTCGTTGAGGCTCTTGATGGTGTACGAGTTGCCGTCCTCGGACAGCTCGAGGGCGCAGTCGTCCGCATAAAACGACGCCTTATCCTCGCTAATCTCAAAGTTGTTGAGCGGCGTCGAGGACCAAAGGTGAGGCTTCGATTCGTCGAGGGAAAAGACTTTCGAGTTGAACTGGCACGTCTTGCGAATGCCGCTATTTTGGTTGGTGCAAACGCGGTTAGCAGACCGGTGTTTTGGGGGGAGCGCGCGGACTCGTCTTCACTTACGCAACGTTGCTGTAAATAACTTGCGCCATGCCGATTCTGCCCTCGTCGGAGAAGAAGTAAAAGGTTTGCGTCTCGACATTGGTCCATTCCATCTCCTTCCACTTCAGGTCGTCGCGGCTGATCTCGGTGTAGGGAGTCTCCTTGGCCTCCTCAGCCACCGATCGGATGGCGGAGGGGCCATAGATGGGCTCTTGTGTGCCGGCAACATTGGCGATCCTGCAGGCAAGATTGGTTCGCGTGTTAGCAGCGGCCTCGTTTGCTGAAATGCCCCCGACGCTGAGCTTCAGGAGGGGCAATTGTGCGTTGGAGGTCGGGCAAGGACTGCGACTCACTGCTGCTGAACCCAGTTGAACATGGCTGGTTTATAGGTTGGGGAATCACTGGCTGAATAGGTAGAATAAGGAATAGGATGGTCACGGAGCAAGGTAGATGCTTGAGGAAAAGAAGAAAGGCCTTTGTAGCAAATCTGGATCGACCCAGTCGGTAATAGCCGCTGTTACCTTCACACCGCTGGAGCTGGAGCTGGAAGCCGGAGGGGCAGGAAGAGTGGGTGTAGTGGGGTGATGGTTTGGGCTCTCTGGGCGCGATGGCAGGCTCAGTCTGGGAGGACCGGAAGCGTGGGATTTGAATGTTATAGGTCAAAACGTGGAGAGTATTATTCTAACAGATTTTATCCATATGAAGATGTAGGTATTCAATTTAGATTTTTTCGGTGGGTTAAATTGGCTTCTGCTGGCTTTAGTTACTCCTGCAGACAGTGACGTAGTCGAGCTTTCTTTCATTCATGTTGTACGAGAACTACCCCAGTGAACGATTATCGATGCAATGGCAACAATGTATAAAAGAAAATTATAACAGGCGATTAGACTTCAGCACCGAAATTGAAAACGTCACGGGCTCGAGGTTAATCCCTCCGAACCCCAAGCTACGAGTTTCGCTACAACCAACGCGGGTAGGTTTCACTACAGGGTGAGTACACAGCGGTCCTAGACCGCTGTGGCTGGGTACCTAGAAAGCGCCACGAATGAGGCGCGAGAGGCACCTCTTCGTTCCCGACGGGACGATTTTCGATTTTTCAAAGGCCCATTTCATTCGCCCAACTGCCTACAGGTACTTGGGTAAGTACTAAAGTTCTTAGCCGCCACCTGATACTTTGCGGCCCATAAAGATTTGCTCTCGACGCGCCGTCCTCGTACAACCTCTTTTACTTTTCCATTTTTTTTCTCGGTTTTCTTTCACCCTTGACCTTCGATTTCTAGTGTCGATATTTACATTCATCGCTCCTGGATACTTTGTCTGCGTATCCTCTGAGCGCTACTGCAACAAATCCTTCTTACCGCCTCGCTTTCTCTCGAACCGAATCCCTGTTTCCGCGCTGACTCCCTGCCGTCGACACCGAATCACAGCTAACGACCGACACTTACTGGGCAACCGCACTCGAATGCTTCATTGCCCGACGTGCGCGATCACACAAAAGTTGCACACACTTGCGCCGCTTGCTCCCACAGCCTCTTTGCGACTGGCTGGCCGTCAAAGCGACGACGCGAACCATTTCGAAGTGGCTTGCGCACACCGGACTACTTGTCCTAAATAACGACATGACGGAGGCTGAAGCACAAGTCTTGCATGCGAATGTGATAGACGATATTACACAACAAAGCTCAATGTCAACACCAGAGTCAACATCACTGGCTCAACAGACAATTTCCGATATCGCGACGTTGGCTACGAGTAATGCCAACGATGCCAACATAACGTCAGTTCTACCATCGAGGTACGTTCGACCCGGCTATTCAATTGCGCAAAGGGATAGCGTATGATTATCCTGGCGTATCTGTATCTCTTCCGACTGCCAGCATGGCATGTCACTCCTCGCGATAACGACTGGCGATTGCAAGGACGCTGACCGTTTATCTTTAGAGATGCATCATTGGCCCAACCCCCACATGCCATGCACATGGAAGGCTCACCAGCAGCTACTACTGGCGGACTGGCTGGCATGGTAAGTTTATCTTTCGTTTACCTCTGATACGCTTTATTCCCGTCGCTATCTGTCTTGTCGCATCCCTGGCAATCAGACGCATGTCCCCTTTATCGCTATCGCGGTCCCGAGAGCCCAAAAACTTTCCTGCCACTGGACCAATCAGCGTCGTCTCAATGGAGACTGCTGATGGATAAGCCACAATCACGTGCTCCACTCCCGGCTCGTCCTCGCGCTAGTCTAGAAGAGGACAGATAAGTGTCTGCGCCAGTCCTTTTCGAACCCGATAAGCCAAATCGACCCGACGGTGGATCAAATTTTTTTCTGGTTATCTGGCTTATCAGTGACGGCGCCAGAGACAACTTTTCCTATCGAGCCCGTCTTATCAACATCCTAGTATATCAATATACTATATCGGGCCTGCATCCTCCTATCGCGACATCATAATCGCAGCTACATACCGACACAATGATGGCAACTAACGCTTCCTCGCAGCCTACCTGCCAAAACTGCGGCACCTCACGGACTCCGTTATGGCGTCGCGACGAGTTTGGCTCTGTCCTCTGCAACGCCTGTGGTCTCTTTCTCAAGCTGCATGGCCGCCCACGACCAGCGTCTTTGAAGACCGATATAATCAAGAGCCGCAACCGAGTCAAGACTATGCGGCCTGATCTGGTATCAAAGAAGAAGGTATGCACAAACCTCAACTCGAATGTCTTGCAAAAGTGCACACTAACGCTGCCAGCAGCACGCCCAAGGTTTCGGAATGGTTGGTGATACGAACGGTGCTCAGCATACCGCAGCTCAAGCGGCGGAGGCTATGCGCCGCTCTAAAGTTAACGGAACCGACGGACTCGACTCGGCAATATCTCGAAATGGCACTACCTCGATGTACAACAGCGCCCTCTCCTCCTTTATGGTGGACGATGCGACATACCAGCAGGCGGTGTCTGGCTTCAATGGCGATACCCAGAATGGAGACCGCGGCTCCGACGGACCTCAGTCACAAGAGCAGCTCATCGCGCACAACTCGAGCCTCAAGACGCGCGTCAGCGAACTCGAAGTCATCAACGAGCTCTTCCGCGGCAGGCTTAGCCAGCTGGAACAACAAGAGGCCGCTGCCAGACATGGACAGGTGCTGGCCGGAGCCGAGCAAAGTCAACTTCGAACGCAACTGGAGACGGCACAGGCAAACGAGACGCAACTTCGTGATCAACTGGAAGAGAGTCATAGAAGAGAAAACATTCTGAAGCGTCGCCTGGATGAACTGGAGCTGGAGCTTACAGCAGCTAAAGAAGCGGCAGGTGAAGAGCCAGAGCGCCCAGCCAAGAAGCTTCGTACAGAACCTACAAGTGAAGCTGAAGATGATGCTGCGACCAAGACTGCGGACAAGTCTGCGGAAGAGCCTACTGTAAAACCCGACGAGCCAGCAACTGAAGAGCGTGTTGCCGCGCCTGAAGCTGTCGAGGCGTCCGCATGAGCGGATTGTCATTGAACTGATGCACCACTCTACTCTACGACTCTATATCGTTCTTCAACAGGCGTGCTGTCAGCTGAACTACTGACAGACGGCGGCATCTGGATTGTCAAGTCCGCCATGCCAACTCCACTGTTTTACTATTACCTTGTTTGATTTCTTTTGCGGGTTCACGAAGGGCTTTGCGACTATGAGGCGTCGTATGCTTATTCGTAGGGCTACTGTTTCATCATAGCGAAAACTATGCGGGATTGCTTTGGCGTCTAGGAAGGGAGGGGGGAAGTCGATACTACGATAATGAGCTCGTCAACGAGATGATAACGAAGAATTGGAGGCGGAAAAATAAAAAAAGGTCAACATGGGCTCGGTTTATTTCACGTGGATCTGCGGGTAAACAAAACGAACTCGGTTTCATAGTTGTCTGTCTTGAGCTGCGCTGCTAAGATGGCGGCAATTCAAGGCCATGTGGCAAGGGCGACGAGTGTTTGCTTCTTATAGACCAATATCGAAACGATAATCTGATATGTATACGTTGCACAATTTAGTGACATGTTATTTACGCCTCGGTGGCGGGTGGGCTTGAGGCTGTGCTCACTTGCCCTCTCACTTCCACATTCCGCATTCACTGCCTCTGCATTCATCATCTCCGTCACATGAAGACCTTGCCCGCTCCTCTTGCACAGTAGTCTTTTTTTTTATGTTGTTCAAATATACAGCAGCATCTCGGCTTCACAAACCAGCGGCGCGATCAAATCAAGTTACAGCGTGGTTTGCTTGTGTCTGCTCGCTGTTGTCTCGGAAATCCACTACAAAAGCTCCATCTGCACTCCCCCCCTACACCCTCGTCCCTAGAACCTCACTCTCACTGATGATAAGCCTCGACGCTGTCGACGCAAAGGAGAATGAACACGGTCAACCGCCCCTTCAAAACCCAGACGGCGCGAGGGGGCCCTCAGCAGTTTAAAAAGGGCGTCGCTGCGACGAAGACGCTCAGCGCGGAGCGCCACCGGTACATTCATTCTTCTTTGGGAATGCCTCTAGCCACTTGGCTAGCTTGCTAACCAGGAACTTCTATCAGAAAAATTGCCAGGGACGCGATTCAGGGCATCAGTACGTATTACTCACCAAGAGTCAAGATTCCCAGAGTTCTCATGGCTAACAAGATGTTTTTGTCCATGACAGCCCGCCCAGCGATCCGGTACGTTGAGGGACTTCGTCGCCGTTGTTGTCTCGCTGGCACACAGAGTGTTTCGCTAACGACCGTGATGCCAATTTAGTCGTCTTGCTCGCCGTGGAGGTGTGAAGAGAATCTCGGCGGAAATCTATGATGAGACGCGCAACGCTATTCGCGATCATCTGACCGATGTACGCACCCCTCCCAGCCTGCAGGAGCCTGCCGTCGCTGATTGCATGAAAAATAGATTCTGAAGCTCTGTTGTGTCTATGTCGAATACAGAAACGCAAAGACGGTCACCGTGCAAGATGTAAGAACCTTCACCCTCCTTGACCCCCCTTCCTTTTTTCCCACGTTCAAGCTGGCTCATTCTGGGTTTGTCTGCTAGGTCCTGCATGCTTTGCGCAGGATGGGTAGGACGCTGTACGGATTCGACCCCGCGATGGACGGCCTGCGCGCGGAGAAGGCTCGCCGTGACAAGCACGTTGCGCTTCGTCGCTGATGGAAGAGCGAGAAGCATGAGCTGAGAGCTGGGAGACGACGAGTGATATACCCGCATTGTTTGCATAACATATGACGTTCGAGAACACATTATGATAAGAATTGGCTGGAAATTGTAAGGGGGAGACGAGATACTTTGATCATGGTTGGAAGATACACTCGCTCAACTGTTTGCGTCGACAATGAGTCATATGAACCGGCTGAGCGCTCCTTCATCGATACTGGCATAGCAGGATACTGCCCCAAGGCATACAGAGTATAGATACAAATACAGATACAGTACAGCACAGTCACACACGCACGCCTACATACAATTATTCTTGATTTAGGAGAAGAGAAATTGCGACCTTAGTTGAGGCTATGCTGGGTATCATATAGTAGTATCCAAGACGAATTCATGCGCGCACATGTACAGACAAGTATCAAACCCATTTTTGATGGGGTTTATTTATTCTTCCTCCTCTTCATCGGCGACCACTCGCTTACGGCGGCACGCAGCGCCCTGTCGGCGCCTATCTCGACTTTGTGGAAGAAGCCGTGGAACATGCGGTGGAAGACGAGCCGGCTGTGCGCGTGGTCCCTGATGAAGCCGACCTCGGCGTCCCTGCCACAGCGCTCCCTGGTGATGCGAACAACCTCGTTGAGCAGCTCCCTGCCGACGCCGCGGCCGCGCGACTTGCGGCGGACAGCCCAGGCACGGATGAGCCCGCGACCGCCCTTGAACGAGAGGCTGCGCGCCGCGCCGCGGCGACGGTGGCCGTGACCGCCACCACCACCGGGGCCGCCGCCGGTGGGCACGAGCTTGGGGCTGAGGCGCAAGACGACAACGCCGAGGAGCTCATTGTCCCTGCCGCGCGCGCCGACCATGATGTCGCGGCCGGGCCCCTCCTCGTCGAGCCAGGCGGCGGGGTCGTCGCGGATGTCGCGCGCAAACGCCTTGTACGGAGCGGCGAGGCACCAGACGAGCAGGACGTAGAGCAAAACGGCGCCGTAGGTGCAGCAGGCGGTGACGCGGAAGTGGCCCGGGACGGCACGGCGGGCGTAGTAAATGACGGAGAGCAGCGTGGTGAGGGGCACGAGGCAGGTCGGGTGGGAGACGACGGTGACGGTGGCTGGGGTGCGCATTCCCGCGACGGTGTCGGCGAGGAGGTCGAGGCCCTCGCGCTGCTCGGGCTCGGTGCGGAGGACGTCGAGGGACAGCTCGGGGATGTCGTCGAGGGGCACGAGGTCAGCGCCGGGGGAGCTCGAGGTTGATTTTGAGAAGGAGGAGGTCGGCGTGGAGGATGTAAACTCGGTGATTTGGGAGGACGGGTCGACGGAGGCGTAGATAGGGTCGAGTTGAGGCGTGCTCGAAGGCGAGGCCGTCATGGAGGAGCTGAGGGCGAGGTTGGCTCGTAGAAAGGTGAAGAAGGCTACATAGGACGGGCCGTGTTAGTGGATGGATGTACGGACACGGGTCGGGTAAGTCGGCGAAGGCAAGGCTTTCGCCAGAAGGAAAAACGTACCGGCACTGCATTTGAGCCCTCGGACGACATTGATGCCGTCAACAGTTGAACTGACCTTGCATTCGCGAAGGTCGAGCTCCCGGACCCTTGGGGTCCCTCTGTCCTCCATGTTGGGCGAATACGGATGGTGGAGAATGGGGTAGAAGTAGATGGGAAACGGGGAAAGAAAAACGAAGAGGAAGCAAAAGAGCAATAGATATAAGATGGGGATATAAATAAACAAGTCAAGGTGATTATATGATTGTTGTTATTATCGACAGGGTATCAAGGTGAGGCGAGCGAGGCAAGGAGAGAAGAGTTTTGTCTGTTGGTAGCGATTCGAAACAAGGGTATCATGTACTGCAACAGTAGCAGTAGGGGACGGAACCATGCGGTTAAATCCCCGACAAGTTGTTGTGGTGTTGAATAGCAAGGGTATCGGGTTGCGTATGGGTAGTTGAAGCAACAAGAGAAATAAATAAAGGGGATAAAGAAAAAAAATTAAGAAGAAAAAATGCCGAGCTGAAGAGGAATGCTAATATGGGTTGGTTAGTTGGAGAGAAAAGAGGAAGAAAAAAATGTGGTTGTGGTTGGAGGGACGGAGGTACTTGGGTACTTGAGGCAAGCTCAAGCAAGCAAGGGCTGTTTTTTTCGTCCTTATTTTTTTCTTTAGCGCAGTCACAAGCCGGCCAAACGTTGAACGACCCCCCCCAAAACTGGGTAGCAACAGGGTCTCTTTTGTCTTGGGTGCGCGGCGAATGGGGTGGCAAGGGTGGCTGATTATGAAAGATTTGAAGGTGCGGATAGATGTGGTTGAAGGAAACGTAGGACAAGAAAAAAAAAGGAAAGAAAGAGTACGGATAGATGCAGGGATGCAAGGGCCAAAGGGCGGTTGTTTGCCCTGCTTGCGCTGCCTGGGAATCCCGTGTTAGTTGAAGGCAAAAAAAGGGATATCAAAAACAGTCAAGGCTTCGCTACTGAAAAAAGGGCAGCCAGAGACAACGGAAAGATGTGCGTCTTTTTCTTTTCTGTCGTCTTCTTCTTTCCTTGAAGTGGCGGGCTTGTTGCTCGGGCGTTGACCAACCAAGCAAGCCCTGCCTTTGGGCTTGACGATGCACACAGACAGAATTTACAGTGGCTTGCTTTTTCGTTGGGTCCTCCCTCGTTTCTTCTTCTGCCCTTTCCCAAACACGGAGAAAATTAAAGAGGAATGAAATTATAATACAAACTTGATGAAATCTTATTTGCTCACCAGGCTTGCCAATAATACCTACCCCCGGTGGCGTCAGCTTGGTGCTATCGGAGAGCTATCAGTGGATGACTTCAGTGGAGGTCTTGGGGATTGTTGGGCGTTGGATAACCCGTGATTGTGGAAATGATCGCTACGCCTCGCTTGCTGACGAGCATTAAAATTTGAGAAAGTCGAACTTCTAGACATCGTCTGCTGCAGTCTCGCATCACTCGAGTATACATGTACGGAGTAGTCTTAAATACAGAATACTAATATCATCCAAGTTGTGCAGTTGCCGGCCTGGAGCGGTGGCGTGGCCGCTCCCGCTTATCGTTGACTGATATCTGCAAGACGCAAACACGCACCACACCTTACAACCAACCACACATTGCATCCGTAATCCCTTCTCCCCATCTGCCGCTCGGAACTCCCTTCCACGCCATCCATCCATCTACCGATCGTCCATGATTACGTTGCAACATGACGGAAACCAGCTGCTGGCGTGCTTCCATGGAGCCCCTCTCACCACATTCCACCTCCCTTGGCCAGCCTCCGTCTGTGCTGATCAAACTCATCCCCAACGATCGCCGCTCACGCACGCACGAGACTCCTTACGAAGTATATACGGAGTATACGTTGCCTGTCCCTTGCTCCCATTTGCAACGGAATTCTCTCGAACAAAGCTGTCACGCCTACATGCTTGCCTCGACTTCCCGGCATCATGCTCGCAGGCCCTCGGGCCAAGTAGGAGGCTCAACCCTTCCATCAGACCACCAGGCGAGCTATCAAAGACGTCTTTATGCTTCAACGCTGCAGCCAACTAATGAGATAGCCCTCTCTAGCGCTGCTGGTCCGCCGCACCGGTCTGCATCCCCCCGCTATTTCTGCTGTCAAGGACGGGTGGTATCCGACATCAAGAGCTGACGCTATTAGCTTTCTCGCTATATTGACGCCACGGAAATTCAACAAAAAGCCATCTTAAGGTGTCTTCAACCTGCTCATCGAGACTTCCATGATCCCAAGTCGCGTCACCGGCCATTGTTACGCATCACTGCGGCCTCGACGGTACGAAACCAGCAAGCTCTGGCTCAGGCCACCTTCAACCGCTCATCCCCATGGGGCCCCCGACAACTCCAAGCTCGACTCTCTTCAGCGGTCAATGACATTCCCAAAGCTCCCACTGAGCCAACCCTTGACCCGCTACAGCCTCGCCTGGGTCCCCCTAGTTACTCGTTCAACACTGGCGTTCTAACATCAGACTATCGGCTCCAGCAAAATATAGCTTCCTTACTAGTGCCTCAAAAGCCGTCGATATTATTGGTAGCCTGCTCCGACTTGCAGTTGGTTGACCCGGCCACGTAGGTAGGGCGCATGGAGCCCAGACCCTTGCCTGGAAGCCACGACACGGCGCCACGTAAACGAAAAATTCATGCAGCGTCGCATCCGCCGCATCAAGCACGCGATCAAATCGTGCAGCTCTGCAGACCAATAACTCAGTCTGCTGGCACTGCCGCGGACAGGGCCGCTTGGCAGGCAACTATATGACTGGTACGGTATCTACTTGGAATAGACTGACTGCCTGGTAGTTACGGAGCCGAATGGCTCTTCGAGCATCACGAACGAGAGAAAACCCAAGTTTCACCAGGCTTTTAAAAAAGATATTACGAAACCTGACATTCTCTTTACTCGCTTCTTCAACTCGAGTCGTGAGCCGGAGCAGCGCCTCTGCAGTTTCAGCCTCGAACAGAGCAGTGCTCGGTGACGACGACTACAACGACATAGTCGATCCCTGCAGACCAAGACAGAAAACTAATGAGCCCTGGTGTGAAAAGCCTCCAGCCCACTCCAAGATGGCCTCTTCCCAAACCCAAACAATGCCCTGCTCCCGAGCTTGGCGTTTCAAACAACCCCTGCCGAGTCGTGAACCGCCCCTCGGGAGGTTTTTGCTTCTTTCGTGGAACAGAGTCATGTACATGCGAGATCCACCGCCACGACTAATACCATAAATTCGACGTCGGCTTGAAAGGTTGTCGTGGCACGGCCGCCGGCGACCTCGACGCCTCAGCTGATAGTCTCGGCGAGGGGGGCTTTGAACAGGTGAGGCGGCGCGGGCAGACTAAGATTAGCAGTTGCCCAATCACCTTGGCGGCAACGTCTTTGCCCAACGGAAGGGACGGCAGTGACTTTGAGCAACCCCGCGACCGTGATAGCGTTCCCCAGACTTCTCTTGCGTGGCTTTCCGTCGCGCAACTTCTGAGCGATTAGTTAGTGGCACATTGTAAAGCCTACACTCTATCGATTCGTGATCCACGAGGAAACATGGAACCCTGCCACGTTTCTAAATGATTGATTCTTCAGCCGCCCCTCATTTATGCGAGATTGAATCATTGCAAAGTGTAGAACCTTTGGATGATCTGATGTGAGTGCACATGATACGCCTCATCCGTGTTGCATCGCGTCACCTTGCATCGGGGGGTCTTTGACTACCTTCTCGCTACCCCCACTGAATGGGCTCATCTTCCTTGATCCTGAAACATAACATTGTTCTGAATTCCAGAGGCTGTCTTCTCTTTAGGAAAAAGATGCACGAATGACAATTCAAAACCCTTGATCACCGTCCCGATCGGCGAGGCGGGGTAAAGCTTAGCGTTTGCGAGTATGAGGCACAGCGCAGCTTGGATGCCTCGCCCCGTTCCTTTCCCTGCCTCAGACGGTGGGGAGAGACTCTTGTTTTGTCTGCTGCGGCGGAAATTGTCGCACTGCTTCTAGTCATCTCAACAGACCTGGCTCGTCTTCTGACTGGGCGCGCCTCTCGTATTGGCTAGTCGCGGGCCGACTCCTACAATGGTGGCCGACTGAGACGCCTACGGTCAAGGCGGTCAGGTTCGGATATGCCCCGACAGACGGCATAATAAATGCTATGCATGGCTGTGACTTTGAGACACGAGAGTCTGATGTTTGCAAATATTGCCCCGCCCCTAGGTCTGCCCTCTCAGCACGGGCATGGATGCGCCATGTCATTATGATAGTTCGTCTTTCTGACGTCGGCTCGCGGGCGTGGAGAGGGGGCGATCGCCCTCACCACTTGTCGAGAAGAGCGCGTCTATTCACGGCCTGCTAGACGAGGGCTGTGATATCTCTACTGGAAATTGGCCAAATGTGCTTCGCGATAGCGAGGCTCTAAGCATGCGCACCCTACCAGTATGCTTCACAGCTCATACCCAGGGGTCGTCGCAACCGGGGCTCCCTCGAAACACCCAGTCTCATATGTCTTGCCAGAATGCTTCAAGCCGGTCGGCACTGATTTGAGTTATGAGAAGCTTCAGTGTGTGATTTTCCCAACAATTGTCACTTATGCTTCTAGTAGCCAGCCACGTATCGGTCTGGACCAATTAGCAATGTAACTTTCACCCGCACCCTGGCCGGCGAGAAAAAGGACTGTCTTTAAAATATGCTATTGCGTTCAGCTGTCGAACGTCTTGGGCGAAAAATTCCGTGCTACCTGGGGGCAATGTTTTTCCAGACAGACACTCCTGTTTGGCAGGTGTTTGGGGTGGGGTATCGACTGCCTATGATGACGGCTTGCATATGATTTTTTTTTTTTTAATTTCGAGAGAGATTTTTCAACGTCTCGGTTCTCATCCCCTCTCGCCAGCCGCTGCCATCGATCCTCATCGATTGACGCGCCTGTCTGCCCGGCCTCATCGTCATCATGGCACACCAGCACATTACCCAGAGCAACATCCACTTCAAGTGGTCGCGCAAGCTCGCCCCGGCCCTCACCGTGGCGTCGGGCGCCGAGGTCACCTTTGACCTGCGCGACGGCGGCAACAACCAGATCACGCCCGAAAACCAGGCCACGATCCTAGACCACCTCGACTTTGGCACCATGGACCCGGGCTTCGGTCCCGTCGCCGTCGAGGGTGCTGAGCCCGGCGACGTGCTGCGCATCGACGTCCTCGAGCTGCAGCCTGGCGCGTACGGCTGGACGGCCATCCTCAACGACTTTGGCCTGCTGAGCGACGAGTTCCCCGAGCCGGCGCTCAAGATCTGGGACCTGAGCGACGCGGCCACCACGGGCTACGCCGAGTTCAAGAAGGGCATCCGCGTGCCCGTGCGGCCCTTCCTGGGCGTCATGGGCCTCGCGCCGGCCACGGACGAGGAGCTGCCGACCGTGCCGCCGTACGACTGGGGCGGTAACGTCGACTGCAAGCACCTGACGCGGGGCTCCGCGCTGCTACTACCGGTGCAGACGGCCGGCGCGCTGTTCAGCTGCGGTGACGGCCACGCGGCCCAGGGCGACGGCGAGGTGTGCGGCACCGCCATCGAGACGCCGATGCGCGCCCGCCTCCGCTTCACGCTGGAGAAGGGCAAGCCGTGGGTGCGCTCGCCGCACCTGATCACGCCGCCGGGCGAGCAGCCGTACGCGGATCGGGGGCAAGAGTACGCCGTCATGGGCATCGACGCGGACCTGCGCGAGGCGACGCGCAAGGCGGTGCGCTCGGCCATCGAGTGGCTCAGCGCGGAGAAGGGCCTGGAGAGGTCCGAGGCGTACATGTTGTGCTCGGTGGTCGGCGACCTGAAGATTGCTCAGACCGTGGACATGCCGCACTACGGTGTCGTCTGCTCGATCCCGCTCGGCATCTTTGTTGATGAGTGAATGAGTGACGACTTGATGATGACGATGGATATCAGGGGACGCGGTCAAGGTTTGCAAGTGCTATGAGCAAAGCCTTTAGAACAGCACGCAATAAAAATGTAATCTTTAGTTCAGATGTTCCTCTTACATTCCACTCTCTAGCAGCAGAGCCTAAACTGTCAACGTAAAAGGAACAGCATGCCGGGAAAATGCTTAAATGCTCATTGCTCGAGTAACTCGATTAACAGCAAAATGTATCGCAACTATACCTCAATATACTACGAGAGACATGTTAGCCCCTAATCACTTCCTCTTCATCTGTTGAGTCACTCCACGCCTTCTAGTCTACATCTCGCAACGGCTTACGCCTTATACGGCCCCGCCGCAAAACGGCCCCGCCATAAACCCATAAACCGGCTCAATCCAGTCATCCGTCCGTTGTAAAAGCCGATCCGGCCCCCTCCCTCCCCGTCAAATCGACCATACGTCTATCCTTCTCTTCTTAACGATGAAAATCACAGCGGTAAGTTCATCTGCTGCAAACCTCCCCTCTCTCCTTCCACCGTGCTGACCGCCATCCACCGGGCCATCACAGCTCTACGTCTACCCCGTCAAGGCCCTCCGCGGCATCAGTCTCGACGCCGCCGAGCTCGGCGGCCAGGGGTTGCGCCATGACCGCACCTTTATGCTCTGCCGCTTCGGTGCCGACCGTGCGCTGATCCCGATGCAAATGTCCGAGCACGCCGACTGCGCCCTCTTCCACCAAGAGATGGTCGACGGCCCCCGCGGCCGCACCGTCCGCGTCCGGTACGGCCGGCCGGCGGAGCCCGTGGCGCCGCACCACGAGCTCCAGGACGCGGTGCTCGAGTTCTCGGCGGAGCCCGAGACGGACGGCCTCGAGCGCGCCGAGGTGAACCTCCACCAGAGCCTCGTGCACGCGTACCGCGTGGGGAGCGAGTGCGACGACTGGTTCGCGGCGTGCTTCGGGTTCGAGGTGACGCTCCTGTACATTGGCCGAGAGCGCCGTCCGGTCCTCGGAACGTTCTCCCCGCGCAACCCACCAGTGGCCGAGGAGGCGCCGCAAACGGGGGGCGGCTGGTTGCCGTACCTCTCCGGCTTCGTCCCCGGGCTGACGAAGCCGGCGGCGGTGCGGGATGAGCCGGACTGGCTTACGTTTAGCGACATGGCGCCGCTGCTGCTCACCACCGAGGCGTCGCTGCGCAACGTGCGCGCGCGCTTCGCGAGCGGCGACGAGCAGGCCGCTGTCGACATGTGCAAGTTCCGACCCAACATCGTGGTCGACGGCGGCGACGACGACGACGACGCGTGGGACGAGGACTTTTGGGCGGCGCTGTCGGTCAACGGCGCGCCGGCGCTGCTGCTCACCAAGCTCTGCAACCGCTGCACCTCGCTCAACGTCGACTACGCGACGGGTCGGTTTAGCGGCGGCCTCCTCAAGGCGCTGATGCGCGACCGCCGCGTCGACGAGGGCTGGAGATACGCGCCTGTCTTTGGCCGCTACGGCTTCCTGGACCACGGCGTGGCGGCGCCGCTGCGGGTGGCCGTCGGGGACGAGGTGGCGGTGACGATGCGCGCCGAGGAGCGGCCGCGCTGGGACTGGCCGATGCGGCCGAAGCCCGGGGTTGCCAGGTACTACCGCTATGCTTGAAGGGTCTAGTCTCTTGAGGGGGAATTCCTGCGAGCCTGTAGACGATGGACGGGGATGTTTGAGAAGAGGTTAGTTTGATTGATCATGTTTTGAAAGCGTTGCTTGGCGTTTTTGCTCTTGTCGTTCAACACTCGACAAGATGGAAAGAGGAAAAAAGAGGCTGCATGCTTTGTGCTGTGCAACGAGATTTAAAATACTCACGCGATATACCAAATCTGTTACTTGTTTCCCACCATGGCCATGGCCCTCGTGACAAGGTGTCTCTACGTCGCTACTTACTCTTATTGCTGAACGCCGCGATTTATCACAGACCACGACACTGTCCCACGCAAGCTTGTCTGAAGCGTGAACAAACCTCCTTTCTACCTGCGTCAACTTTCAACGCCGCGAGAAACTCCGAGAAAAGACTCGACAGGGGAGCGCCGTCCATGACGCAGGGAAAACAGCAGAAGCACCGTTTGTCATGTACAATTTTCCCGATCGAGCACGTTGACGTGCGTGCGGTGGTTATCGTCGTTGCCTGCTCGTAGGACCCTTCTAGAAGTGTTCTCTGCAGGAGTAAGCAGGCAGGAACGGCTTCCAATAGGCCGGCGCTGGTGGGTGTTGGAACCAGGGACGGCGAAGCAGACCACGTCGCAACAATCGCCGAGTTGAGACGTGAAGACGGGTGCGACGGAGGGGACATTACTAGGACAAACCACAGGTCACTCGCAATGCCTTCTAGGAAGGAAGCTCTGCTAACGTGCTTATTGGAGTGACTGAGTGCGGTGGGAGTCAGGCAAACAATGCGTTCTGAACCCGTCAAGCACTTTGTATCACCCATAGCCCCGCCCTCCATTGTAATTCCTTCTAGAAGACTTGCTCGAGGGCAGTGAGGGGTAGGTAAAGAGCCGACTGTCTCAGATTCCACCCAAGTCATCCCTGTAGCAGCCTGGTTGTGCCACAGGCTGTGCAACATGCCAGTGAAGAGGTGTACCCGAGCCATGTCAGTAAACAGAAAGAAATGAGTCGTAGAAGTAAAAGGCAAAGGAATAAGTAGAATGACTAAAAAAATCGATTGCGTTGGGTTGAGCTAAGCAGCTCATAATAACAAGCGACTGTTTGAATTGCCAGCAAGTTAATGCTATGCAGCTCGTCTATTCTCTATGTGAAACACCAATGCCCGCGAGGGTCAAAAGCAGCACCAGCTAATCTATATATCAAAAAGAAAAACAAAAACGCCCATCTCAAAAACTCAATCAATATACGCAAGCCAATCATTCCAATAACAAAGCTTAGAACTTGGCCCAGTTTGTCCGGCGGAGAGCAAGTACTGGGGGGCATGATGCTCTCCAAGCACATGGGCATTGAGAGGCAGCAAAGGGCGCAAAATCCCAAGACTTTGAACGAGCGCAAGAGAATACGTGATTAAATGCACCTCATCTTTGTACAGGCTCGCCAATGGGTTGGCCGTAACGTTTGGACCGAGGCCGGCGTCTCAGGCGGCGTCGGTGCACATTCGGCAGAGATGAAGCTTGCAGTATGCGCACTCGTAGATCATGTGGCTGGGCCCGGAGCGGCAGAAATAGCAAATCCACTGCATCAATGTACTGTCTGATTTGATCAGAGTGAAGGAGTGCACGCAAGAGACAGACATGTTGTTGAAGGCTGGTCTCTGTCGGGTTGCAACGTGGATAGGCGCGGGGGGTTCTGAGTAGAGAGACAAGCGATGCCGAGGGGGCGCAGGTAGTAAGAAAGTGTGGCAGATGAATTGAAACACCGACTGATCTTGGAACAAATGGGCTGGCTGCGCTTGCCCTTTATACCCGGCTCAACGCTCGGGAATGAGGTTGCGTGGGAGGATGGTAGCCACGTCGTTTGTAAGAAGGCGACGAAGAAGGAAGTCGTGAAGGATGCGTGGGCCAGACAATCAGATATGACCAAGGTGAAACAAGCCTGAAATAGAGTAAACAAATTGACAGGGTTTCCGCAAGAGCTGGCCGTGGCGCAACAAGGCTCGTAAGAAACAGTGACGTAGGTAGGCTGCAAGCTGCGAGAAGAGTGCGTCACGAAGTTTGGCTAGATGTGAAGTAGGCAACCGTTCTTGTAATACGGTCTTGATCGTAGAAACCCAGGTGAAGCGGAGGCGTGCAGGCAATGGTTCAAGGGGTAGCGGAGAGGACAGATGCAAGTGACCAGATCAGGAAGTCGAGTTAATTGTGCGAGTATAGGTCTGACCCGTAAACGACTGGTCCGGGCTGGAGGGAACTTGTAACTATGGGTTTGGTCTGGCCAAGCCAAGGCATCAAGGGGAGGAGCTGAAGCAGGCGAGACCAGCCAGCCTTGCCTTGAATGGGGGAGAACTGAGACGGACGGCGATGTGCAGAATGACTGGGCCAAGTGAAAGGATATCGCAAAGAGGCCGCAAGCCACCCACGGTCCCGGGAACGTGGCTCTGGGTGGGTTGCAGGAGAGCTACCTGTGTGCTAGTGGGAGTTGGCGGCTTGCTTGAGCTGGTTTCCTGGCTGGGTCGGTGTGCCTGGGACATGGCCTTGCAGGTGTGGGTTGAAACTTGAGGCATGCTGGGCATCCCGGGGCCATAGAAACTCTGTTCTTGCTGGGGGGACGTTTAGGTCGTAATACGGATACTGGGCGTTAGCTTGTTGACCGCGGAGCCGTCGCTCAGCGGCGCTGAAGCTATGTTTGGCCATCCATATCCATCCTTGCAACGGCCCACAGTGGACTTAAAAAGGCTATCGACCGCTGCCGCCGGTGTGTGCGTCTTGGCTTTGGCTGATGATGGCGTCCGTCAGACTCTTGAGGACGACGCCGGCGCGGACCAATAGACATGACGAACGGGTGTGGCGAGCTGGCTGATGTGATATCTGAGGCGCGGATGCTGTTCGAAGGTTAGCCCTGGAGGCGAGGCGAGCGCCATTGTCAGCTGCCAGACAGCTCCGGCAGGCTGGTTGAGCACGGGGCTTGGGAAAGGTGATGATGGATCCGTGCAATCCGTGCTGTCCTGTTGAGAGCGAAGGAAGGGGAGGGGGAAGAAGGAGAGAAGAGAGGCAGGCCGGCGTTGCCCCTCCGAGTGGACGAACGAGGGACCCTGGCTGCAAGGTACCTGGGCCATATTAGCCAGGTGCTTGAGGTACCTGCCGAGGGTGGCTGCGAACGTCTGCGAGCCCCTGCACTGCAGAAGCAGACGAGCAGGGTCTGTTTGCCATGTGCTGGGACAAGAAGACCAGGCACGGCAGGTACCGGTAGGTGCGGCGGGTACGGACCTGACAGGGGCTGCAGTGCTGGCAGTTGCCAGCCCCCATGCCGCCAGCTGCCAGCACGTCCCGCAATGCTGACGGGCCGCCAGTTCTTCTCATTTGTTTGTCTTCACAGGTTAGGTCTATGTATGTACATCGCTTGCATTATCCTTCTGCATCATCATCTTCGTCATCTCCAAAACAAGATTGCAACAAGCGAAATCACGCGACAGAGCCTTGCAGCGTGCGGATACACATGCATACTTTATGCCATCTCGCTCACCCGCGTTTCTTTCTGTGCACGGCAAGCAAGTTGCTCGCTCCTCATTGGCTACCCGTCTTGCCATAAGGACAAACAGGGCAAATTCAACGACTTGACCACTGAGACAAGTTTCCTAAACGGTTTTCTTCTGCAGGCGCCTCGAGTTACATCATCTTCCGCCTGACCCTGTGCAATCATCCCGGCTCCAGCGCCGTCGCTTCCGAGGCCACGTCGTACACCGCCCGCGCGCTCCCTGGCACTACCCAAGTTTTCGTACGTACATGCATAGGTTGATAGGCTGCGCCAGGGCCAACTCCACACCGTCCCATCATCCTGGCAAGGCGAATCTTCTTCAGCCTGTTCCATGAGTCTTCTTCATTGCGGATACCAGTACGGATACATCGAACGGAACATTGCCGCCGTCCCTTGCCTGCCACGGTCCTGCGCGGTGCGGACCGGGCCATTGGACCTGGGCGCCGGGAGCTTTTCTGTCGCCATGCGCGGCTCAAGCGGCATCTTCACCTTGGTCACCCTTGTGAAGAACAGCCTCCCCAAGTTTCTCGGCTCGTTGTCCATCCAGCTTTGCCAATAACCGGACGAACGCGCGTCAGATCGACCACAAGCCAGCCCTAGGTACTCAGCTCACAGTTGCCTGCCACGTCGGCTGCAGATTTCTCCGCCCGCCTCCCTGCCAAGTGTGAGCTTTCGATCTTTTTACCATTTTTTATTTACCGATGGCGCCTACAACAAACCTCGGCAGTATTCTTTGTCCTATTGGGCTGGAAACCCTGCGACATAACGCCACTGCATAATGGGGAAATCATAAGAAACGGTGTCAGCATGCAACAATCACTAGGTCCTTCATCGACAACAAGGTCTCAGCTAGCCCTATTACTGTCAGCAATGCACGACAATGCGGCTCCAGGAGACGACAGTTGCACATGTTCTAACTAGCCGTTCCGTGGCCTGCTTCAAGGTAATGCAACCAGGCTACTCATTGTCTCGCCGTACTTCCTTCAATACACGCTTGTGACTTGCATCACATGCAAGCCGTAGTGGGCCAACGCACTGTGTTGATTAGGTGCTCTGACTGTCTGCAGAATAGACAGTGTCTCACTCGGCAATGCTTCCTAGACCTATCGAAGAGAGCAACTGTACCTATCGCATCTCTGGTTGAGAAGTATCAGTCACCGAACTTTGAGGGTGTCTGTCTGCATGCGTGTGGCAAGATGCCCCAATCCAATGGCTCATAGCCTGCTGTCAAAGCCTCTGATACTTCAGCCTTGTCTTTAATTAGCACATGCTCCTTTGAGTTGACAAGGTCTACTGGTACGGAAGTAACCTGACAAGGAAATCCGCCGACAGGGGCTACTATTTTTCTTTAGTCAATTCTTCCTGGTAGGCCAGCTGACTGGTCGAGGTGAGTCTTGGCTGCAAGTTGCTGCCCGAAGATGGGATGTCATGTTTGTCTGAAACAGCCGCTGGGGAGGTGAGTCAATTGCCTTGGGGGAAAGGGGAGCCAAGACTCAGGCGACAGAAAAGGGTAACATGAAAAAGCCCAGGCAGTTCAACAACATGATTCCATTCTCACACCGGCCCACATAGAATCACAGGGCAAATAAGCCACAATGGCGGGATGCCACAACGAAAAGGAACCCTCGGGGCAGAATTCTCAGCCAAGGCGAAAGGATTGGAGGCCGCCCATCGCACGGGTGGCTGCTTCAAAGGGGAGGGATTCTTTCAGCTCCTGATTGCGAAGCAGGGGTGCGAGTGCAGCCCAACCGCCTGGTCAAATACGAGGACCATGGATGCGTATTTCGATTGGTGTTTGCGAATGGCAATCGTATATGGAGGTAATGCACTAAAAAATGCCGGGGTGAGCTTGGAATTTGTGCTCTACTAGCCATTGCCAAAGTTACGACGCATAGGATGACAAGTCCCGATGGTCCTGGGAGATGTCGAACCTGGCAGTATTCAGGAAGCATAGGCATGACACCTCCCCATGAATATTGTACTGTGCTCTTTGTTTTCTATTGTACACTATGTTATGGCATTATCTCGATGCGTTGTCTGCATTGCCAATGGATATCCATAACTGTATTGCACGCTCACCTTGGGCGTTGCGGGTTTGATGCTTTTTAAAAATTCCGTCTCTTTCCTCTAGCATAGACCAGCTCTTCCTCAAGAGGGGCGTTTGAAGGGATGCGCCTCCGTGTTGAATACGTATTCGTCGAGGCTGATGACATCCGGGGGAGAAAAGATGAGATAGAAGTATTTCAGCGTCTCCGCCGTCCAGAAGCTCTGCAGGGAACAATGTCGTTAGCACATCATTATCCAGCCAGCACCAAGCTGCAAAACACCATAAAGTGGCGTTTCTATTTCCCCATGTCCTGTTCAAAAAAACCGGGGGTTGGAAATACTCTTACACTTACCTCCATGGAGTCCAGCTTGTTCGTCTCCTGCTCGGCGCGGACGTCGGCGATGGCAGAGTTGGCGTACTGTGTGGTGGTGGAGCGCATGATGGCCTCGAACATCTGCCAGGCGAGGTCCTGCAGGTCGGCGCGGGCGGTGACGCGGTAGAGCACGAAGAGGCTCTCGATGGCCTCGGGGCGGAGCAGGTAGCGCGGGTCCCAGGCGTTGACGAAGCCCCGCGGCAGGACCTCGTCCCCCTGCTTGGCCCAGGCGCGCTCGTCCCAGGCGCACAGGTCGCGGCGCTCGCAGGGCATCATGGTGAAGATCTCGGGCATGACGCCGGTGGGGAAGGCGGCGTAGGCGAGGGCGCAGCCGCGGGCGAGCTTCTCGCCGACGGCGACCTGGGTGTCGTTGGTGAAGAGGCGACCGCCGAGGGCGAACATGCCGCCGGCGAAGCAGGTGAGGTGCTGGCTGCGGGGCACGAGGCGAGCGGCGCCGGTGGCCTGGTAGTCGCCGGCGAAGAGCACGTCCTCGCCGCCGGGCAGCATCGGGCGGAAGACGAGGTTGGGCTCGGCGGCGTCCATGGCGACGCGGAAGAGCCGCTCGTAGGTGTCGTCGAGGCCGCCGAGCAGGGCGTGCATCTTGGGCAGGTACTCGTAGAGCGAGTCGGCGAGCGCGCCGAGGGTGAACTGGCTGTCGCGGGCCTCCTCGTGCTGGAAGTCGAGCACGGTCGGCCACATGCCCGGCAGCAGGGTGTCGTTCTGCACGCGCTCGAGGAAGCGCGTGACGCGGTCGGTGGCGTCGTAGAACTTGGGGTCGCCGGTGAGCTGCGACAGGCGGGTGAACTCCATGCACAGGGAGGCGGGCGAGGCGGACGGGTCGGCGGTGCCGGCGAGGAGCTCGCCGGCGGCGGCCTCGCGAAAGTTGAGCCAGAAGCCGGGCAGGCGGTTCGGGGTATCGAAGCCGGCGTAGAGCATGTTGCCGAGCTCGACGGCCTTGTCGAGCAGGCGCTTGTCGCCGCTGAGGTCGTAGGCGCTCAGCAGGCCGCCGAGGTGGCGGATGGTGGTCTCGAAGATGTTGATGGCGGTCGAGTCGGTGTGGCCCCAGTCGAGGTGGGTGACGGCCTCGGCGGCGTGGGCGAACTCGGCGTCGAAGCCCATGATCCAGAGGGTGTCGAGGGAGTCGACGAGAGTGGCGGCCCAGCCGCCAAAGGTGTCCTTGCCGCGGCCGGAGACGGGGGTGACCTCGTCCTGCATCCAGGCGTACTTGCGGTAGGCGCCGAAGCTGCGCTCAAAGGTCCTGCGCACGGCCTGACGGCGGCGCTCGGTCTCGGCGGTCTGGGCGAAGTCGGCGTCGGCGGCCTGGACGCGGGGCATGCGGCGCGGGGTGCCGGTCGGCAGCGGCTTGATGGAGGCGGGCGGATGGAACTGCTTCGGGTGGACGGGGTCGAAGCCCTCGAAGACGCGGGGCCGCTGGGGTATGACGCGACTGGCGACGTAGCCGCCGCCGTGGGAGGGCAGCAGGCGGATGACGAGGAGGACGAGGAGGGCGGCCCCGGTCAGCACCAGCAGGCGCGACGCCCGTCTCGGGAAGGGCATGGCTGTCCGGGCCGGATGGGCGGGCTCGGTTCACTGGCGAGGAGGGAGAACCACCCCGGGGAAGGCGATGCGAAGCCGGCAGGCCAATTGGGGAAGGGCGATGGCCGAAGCTGGTCAGAGTCGCGGTCGAGAGGTGGATGCAGCGGAATGTGGCACCATTGGACGGGAAATGCGCGGAGCGGTGCCTGGATGTACAAATGGATCTTGATGGTGGCAGAGGACGCCTTTGCTGGTCATCGTGGGATCGTGGGCCCAGGCGCGGAGGGGCCAGGCTGTTCGAATCAGGGCACGCGACTTAAGCAGGCTCTGGAGAGTGGCTGGCGCGAAAGGTGGAGGACCCCTAGTGGCGGCCATGGTTGGGGAAGTTTTAGCGAACTTTAGCGGGTTGAGCTGCTGACGGTCGGGGGTTGCAGAGCTGTTTTTGGGCTTGGTGCCTGAGCTCTCAGGGGATGAAGGCGCTGAAGGCGGAAGAGCAGGGGGAGGTGCTTGTTGACTGTAAGACACAGGCCAGCACAGGTCAGGCCGGGACAAACAGGGTGAAAAATTGAAACGGAAAAACAAAGCACGAGGTTATCGAAGAACAAGCTAAAGGAAAGAAAAGTAAGAGTTGCACCAATTCCTGTTGACAATGGCCTCATCCGGTTTCTTGTATTTCCCGCAGGGCTGTCTCTGCGTCGGCACAGCCCTGCCAGGCTGGGCAACGCACCCGGCACCCGTTGGGCTCGATTATTATAGTGGGTTTCTAGCGATCGACACCGCTGTGACTTTTCCGGCGCGGCCTTCCACCAGCTTTCCTAAACGGGAAAGGTTTTCCGCACCACAAGAGGCTTGTGGAGGCTATACAGTTTCAGAGATGGTGCGGCAATGCGGCAGCGGCAAAGGGGGCTTATTAGAAATGGAAGGGCATCGGGTTTCGATGGAGGCGTCCGGGATTGACACAGGTCAGAACGCGACGAGGCGAAAAAAAAAAAAAAAGAATATGCTGCGCGTGTTTGCTTGTCTTGCTTGACCCTTTGACTGTGACGCTGGTAGGCACGGCCGGAAACGGTTGGCTAGCAACGTTGAGCTGCCTGTGTTGGTAACTCTCACTTCTGTGACGAGATGGTAAATACATACATGGCTTGTTAGTCTCTTAGTTTCTCATAATAACCTCATCCCGCCGCAGCCTCTCAAGTCGTCCGCAATCTGACAGCGCCATGCGTCATCATGTCAGACTATAGTCGTTCCCGCCTCCGATCCAGAGCACCCTCGACGAACCATTGCCTATCGCGAATAAGAAATGAGCCCATGTACATAAGTTTCTCAGTCTATTTATGTAAAAGATGCTGCCACCTCGCGGCGCCGTAAGACAAATGTCCCTGCCTCGTTGTAAAGTTTGTTGCCGCCAAACTCCACCACCACCAACCAGCCAGTCTTACCAGAGACTATATAGAGAAAGCAAGGACGAAATCGAGTTAAAAAAGGTCCCAATCTCACTGCCGACAACTAGAGAGTGAGCAAGAAACACTCTGGCTTTCTTGTCCCCCTCCTTCATTCCATCCTCCCTCTCTCTACATCCCTCATCATGGCGCTCACCACCATACTCATCGGCCTCGTCGTCGTCACCTTTGTGCTTCGACGGGTGATGGAGTCCTTGCGCCACGCCAAGAATGCCCGCGAGATGGGCTGCAAGCCACCCCCGCTGGCCCCCATCAAGGATCCCCTCGGCATCCTGTCTCTGTTCGAGATGATCCAGGCCGACAAGGAAAAGCGAGTCCCGGCCCTGACCGAGGAGCGCGTTAACAAGATGCGCGAGGCCAATGGCGGGAACTACGTCACCACGATGCGGCTGCGGACCGGAGCCGTCGAGAACATCCTGACCATCGACCCCAAGAACATCCAGGCCATCCTGGCCACGCAGTTCAAGGACTTTTGCGTCGGCGCTCAGCGCGAGACGTGTATGGGACCTCTTCTCGGTGCCGGCATTGTGAGTTGCTGCTGCCCCGGAGCATGATGGCCGCTTCAACTAGACAACCTCATTCTGACCGTGCACTTTACGTGTATATAGTTCACCACCGATGGCCCTGCCTGGTCGCACTCGCGCGCCATGCTCCGCCCGCAGTTCACGCGCGACCAGATCAGTGACCTCAGCCTGGAGGAGGTGCACGTGCAAAACGCCTTGAACGTGATGCCGCCCGTCAACGACCAGGGCTGGACCGAGGTGGACATCCAGACCATCTTCTTCCGTCTTACCCTCGACTCGGCCACGGAGCTGCTCTTTGGCGAGTCGTGCAAGTCGCAGCTCGTCGGCCTCGCCGCCGGCAACATCACCGACGCCGAGTTCTCGGCCCGCGGCACCGACTTTGGCACCAACTTTGACCGCGGCCAGTGGTACCTGTCGCAGCGCGTGCGCACGCCCTTCCTCAAGTTCCTGTACAACGGCGATGAGTTCAAGAACTGCTGCCGGGAGGTGCACCGCTTCGTCGACCAGTGCGTCGAGCGTGCGCTGAAGGAGACGAGCGGCGGCAAGAAGCAAAAGGTGGACGCCAAGGGTAACCCGCTCGAGGGCGAGCCGTACGTCTTCCTGCACGCCATGGCCGCCGAGACGCAGGACCCCTTGGAGCTGCGCGCCCAGCTGCTCAACGTGCTTCTCGCCGGCCGCGACACCACCGCCTCGCTGCTGTCCTGGACCGTGATGCTGCTCGCTCGCCACCCGGACGTCTTCCGGCGCCTCCGCCGCGACGTGCTCGAGGCCTTTGGCGACTACGAGAACCCGCGCAACCTGACCTTTGCCAACCTCAAGGCGTGCACGTACCTGCAGCGCGTCATGACCGAGGTGCTGCGGCTGTTCCCGCCGCTGCCGATGAACGCGCGGTACGCCACCGTCGACACGAGCCTGCCGCGCGGCGGCGGGCCGGACGCGGAGAGCCCCGTGTACGTCCGCAAGGGCCAAGCGGTGCTGTACAACGCGCACATCCTGCACCGCCGCACCGACATCTGGGGACCGGACGCGGGCGAGTTCAACCCGGACCGCTGGGAGGGCCGCAAGGGTGGTTGGGAGTACCTCCCATTCAACGGCGGTCCGAGAATCTGCATCGGTCAGCAGTTCGCGCTCACTGAGGCCGGATACGTCCTCACCCGCCTCCTGCAGCGCTTCGACGGCATCGAGGAGGTTGGCCCCGGCGACAAGGTCTCCTGGGGCCTCACCCTGGTCAGCCAGCCTGGCGAGAGCGTCAGGGTTCGCCTTCACCAGGCCGTCTAAGTCGTGGTAGAGCTGCCTCGGATGGTTGATTCAATTGCTTAAAATTTATGACCACGGTTTCACTTGCACTCTTCTCAAAAACGGCACTCCTTATTTGTTTCATTTATGTATTGTTCTTGGTTCTTCTCAGAGATGGGTTGACTGTTTAGGTCTCATAGAATAGCGGATGAATTAAATGTACCACACTCATTCACAAGCTACTCGTGATCCCGCAAGCTACTAGTGAACCTGATGATTGACCACCAAATCGAGAAATTTACCCAAGTAGCGGTCAGATGCTTTCAAACTCAGCCTGTTGAACATGCATAATTACCCATTTGGGAAACGCTTGTCATGGTCTAATCAATGCGGAAGGCGTCAAGCAGATTCGGCAGCTTCGGAGCAGTGCTCTTCTAAGCACCAGGACCCGTTCAAGTACATGCAAAAATAAAACTGTGCATTATGCAGCTCGGAATGGCGAAGACCGGGCAAATCGATGGTGGTGCCGTGCACCGACTAGTTGGCCCAGATCAAAAATGCTAGTTCTCGACCGTGGTGCTCTGCCGAACCTGGTTGCCTAGTTGTTTAGGAAGTAGGGCCATCTATCTGCACAGGGTGGGTTGCTGACGTGGTAGAAGATTATGAAGAATATTTTAGTTTATTGTCAAGGATATAAAGCACAGTCTATCGAGTGTATAAAGGCAATCCGCAAGAAAATCAAAACTCCGCCGGCGCCGGCTCATGCTCATTATTTCCATTCCGTGTACATGTTGAAACAAACGAAAGACGAGATTCATCATCACTGCAAGCTGCCTCACAGAACCTGACCCTGAGGACCACCAGGCATGACGTAGCCGTGGTTGATCTTGTCCGTCGCCGCGGCAAGCTGCGAGTCGGACGGGCGGTTGACAATGGTCAGGTACAGGATGTTCTCCTTGATCGACCGCTCCGGGCCCATCTCGAGCTCCCTGCGCTTCGTCCGGAACTCGGCGAAGCGGGGCTGGTAGTCGCGGTCGATGTACTTGATCTGGCGCTCCGTCTCACGCGTGCTCTGCCTCTGCTGGTGGACCTGGTCGACGCGCTGTTGGTACTCCTCCCGCAGGCGCTCCTCCTCCTGGCCGAGGCTCTTGAGCTTCTTGAGGCGCCGGGTCTCGGGGTCCTGCGCGAGGGCGCCGCCGGAGATGAAGCCGAGCAGGCCGCCGTTGTTCATGGACGAGTTGGGGTCGAGGAACTTGTTGGAGAAGCCCTTGGTGAGGGGCGTGTTGAGGATGTCGCCCTGGTTCTCCGAGGCGTACTTGGCACGCGCGCGGCGGTCCAGGTAGTCGTTGAAGTTCTCAAAGGCGCTCTTGGCCTTTTGCTTGGTGGTGACGGGACCGGCGGCGGGCTTGTCGCTGACGGGGGAGACGTTGCCGTCGTTGGCGAGGTACTCCTTGTGCGCGCGGCGGTCGTCCATGTAGATGAGGGGCGCCACGGCCGAGGGCAGCGAGTTCATGCCGTCCGAGGTACCGGAGACGGGGTCCTTGAGCCAGTTCTTCTGGCCGTTGTTGCCGCCAAACCTGCTCATCAGACCGCCGCCGTTGTTGGCAGCAGCAGCCTTCTCGGCGAGCGCGGCCGGGTCCTGGCCGATCGGGTCGTACTTCATGATCATGCAAAAGAGGCCGCGCGGGCCAAACACCTCATTGTTGAACTTGTCGAGCGTCGAGTTGGTCTTGTGCTTGACGTAGCCCTTGTTGGCCACGTGGGCGCCCATCTGCACGGCCGTGGCGACGCAGGTGGTGATGATCTCGGGGGTGAAGCCGACGCCGAAGGAGACGACCTGGACGCCCGCGAGGAACTTGTTGCCCTGCATGGCCGTGTTGAACTCGTCGAGGAAGGACATGAAGGTGCGCTGGTCGATGCCGGCGGACTCGAGCATGGGCGCGTAGGCGGCCATGAAGCCGCGCTCCGGCGATCCGGGACGCTGTTGCGGGATGACCACGGGGAGGGAGAGGGGACCGGGCGCCATCTGGGGAGACTGCGATCGTCTGTTGTACTGCTGGAGCTGCTGGTTCTGGTTGTTGTATTGGTTGTTATATTGGTTGTCGTAGCCGTTGTCGTAGCCGCGAGGAGGGGGTCCCTGAGGGGGAGCGTAGTCGTCGTAGCGGCGTTGAGCGGGAGGAGCACCCCGAGGAGGAGCAAAGTCGTAGTTGTCCTGAGGGCTGTAGCGAGATCTCTCCTGGTAGCGGCGCTTCTCTTCGTAGTAGTCGTCACGCTCGTACGAGGACGGCTGGTGGCGAGAGTACTGAGGAGGGGGCTGGGAGTATTGAGGGGGAGCAGAGGACGTTTGCGCGTAGTAGGCAGACTTGGACATTTTGGCGGGCGTTTGTATGTTTGTATATATAATAGAGAGTAGCTGGTTAGACTGATGAGATCAGGCTGGGCCCGCTGTGGCGCTAATGAGATGGTGAGATGGTCAAGTAGCGGTGGTGGTGATGGCAGAGTGAAAGTAAGATGAGTGTTATCAAGCCGAGTTACTTGAGGAAGCTCGGGATGGAAGATGAAAGATGATGTTGTGATGGAAATTCTATTCTTTGGGACATGGAGGGGGAAGCGATCTGTTTATATGGAGGTGGACGTGAAATGGGCATCACACAGCCTTGTGAGCGCGATTTGGGAGTTGAACCGGGATTCAGGAAACCTTGCGTCACCATGGGAGAAGTGTGGTGTGGGTGTCCCACCCTAGGCGATGCGATTGTGGCAGTCGCAGGGTCCAGGAGAGGACCGGGTTTGGGATAGGAATAGTGCATATCAACTGAGACAGACAAAAGGAGGAATCTCAAAGGCTGCAGTGTCCCGTGTCCCTCCCGGATGGCGTCTGCCGGAGCTGTCACCGTGGATGCCCCTTGCGGCGACCGGGCGCTAGTCCTAATACGGCATGCTCGATGTCCGCCGATGTGATTCCCGGCCGCCCGGACCCAATTGCCTAATTAGGCAACCTCTGTGCGCGAATCCCGCTCCGAGCAAGCCTCTCCGAGCAACCGTTTCCCTTTTCCTTTCCTACCCATCGCCGCTCGTCCTGTCAGCTTGACCCGTGCAGGACCAAGCAAGCCCAGGCCGGCCGCAAAACTCTGGGGACAAACCATCACCAGCTTGCTTATTGTAGCAAGAGATGGGCTCACTTAGTACTTGATGCGGTAATACTGAAACTGACGGATGCTAGACGATGTAAGAGGCAGAAAAAGATAAATACATCTGACGATCCAGGGTTTTGAAATTTTGAATCATCATCAACAATCACAGCTTTTGCTTCAGCAGCACCAACGGCACCCAAATTCTACTCTTTAATTCTATAATCCACCACCGACCAAGAAGTCCTTCACAATGGCTGCTCCCGCCGAAAAGACCGTCCTTGACCTCAATGGCAACTGGATCATGGTAAGGCCACCGCACCACCCTACAACTCGCTAGTCCGCAACACTAGCGAAACTCACCTTTTATAACACGACTAACAACCTTCTTTTTCCAGAACGCCAAGCTGTCCGACTCCTCCGACGCCGTCCTCAAGGCGCAGGGCGTCAACTGGCTGATGCGCAAGGTCATCACCATGGCCACCGTCACCCTCATCGTCACCCAGACCAAGGACGCCGCCGGCAACGTGCTGCTCGACATCGAGAACAAGCCCAGCGGCGGCATGCCCGGCGCCGTCGAGAAGCGCGTGCTCAACTGGGAGCCCGTCGAGCTCAACCACACCCTGTTCGGCAACATCCGCGGCCGCTCCCGCGTCGCCAAGCTGTCCGACCTCGAGAACGAGTGGCTCCGCGGCGGCTGGGAGGAGGGCGCGGAGGAGGTGCTGCACTTCCGCACGGAGCACATCGACTCCAAGGGCGTGGTCACCCAGCAGGTGCTCGGCTTCGTCCGCGTCGAGGGCGTGAGGTACCAGGCCCGCCGCGTGCTGGTAACCACTGAGGGTGCGCCCGACAAGAATGTCGAGATCACCATCATCTACGACTACCTTGGCACCGGCGAGGTCTCCCAGTAAAGGGGAACTTGGCTGGCGGAACCTTTTTTGTTTACTTCATGGCATAAAACACACCCGAGCCAATAGTTATGATATAGAGCGTTTTTCCTTTCCGATAGTCTTTGTCTCTTTTTTTTTTTTCTAGTTTAGTGCTTTAGAGCAGCTGTTACCTAGTTTGCCGTGCTCACCCGCGCACGGAATGAATGCTACAACAACTTACATACATACGCACATCACCCTTACTCTGCACACTCCGCTCTCGAATCCCGGTCCCACGCGATGACGCCAGCTCTTCCAGACCCTTGAATCCAGTCTCGATTCTAGCATCGATCGACTCCACTTGAACATGTCGTAAAGCAAGCCCAACAAGGCCTGGGCTGGGCGCGAGTCCCGACAAGGCAGTTTGCAGGTGCCTCGCACTAGCGGGAGCACTCCCGAATCCCGGTCCTGCATGACGATTTCTTTCTGGAATCCCTTGTCTTTCCCTAAGAAAGTGGATACGTGGTTACGAGTACTTATTTCTTTCGGCCCGCAGAGAGATAAGTTTGAGGCGATTTTGCTGCGTTGGAGACACGGAATGCCACCTGCTCAGCCACCAGCGTCGTCAACCACCAACACGATGCACGTAACAGGGTTGCACTCGACCGGTATTCGGTGAAGAGTTTTTTTTTTCACTCACCGCTATTAGTTCCAGATGGGGCAGGATTTATATAAGGTTAACCATCTGCATGTTGGGTTTCGACTGTTGAATGCATGGTACTGGCAACAAGTGGCTTCCCGGCTCTACTTGTCCAGTACAAGACCAACGAGCAACCAATACCAGACACATTGGAGAAAAATCAAATACTAGGACTCTCGTGTCGGTAAAGGACATACATTCCAACTTCTACTTGAACTTCTACTTGCACTTCTTCTTCTTCTTCTTCTTCTTCTTCTTCTCCCTTTTGTTTAATTACTTATAATATCTACCCGCTCCTCTGACCCCGATTCAGAGTCAGGCACCACAATCACAATTCAGGTGAGAATATATTGAGCCCTAATGATTTGTATTTTATACCATCATCTTATATAACAAAAAGGAAATAATGCATAAATGCCATGCAATCATGAAAGACAGAAATCTATGACGCTTTGAGACAAAAAGAAACAAAAAAAGCACAGAGAAAAGTGTTTTTTGGGAAGAGGCAGTTTATGCCTCATGGTGACAATCTGAGTAGAAGAGAACTTTCTTTGTAGAGTAGAGGGTGAAGTTGTTTACCGCTCAAGGAAGCCCATGTTCTTGCCTTTGGCATCTTGCAGGGACATCTTCATGGTGGAGAACTGGTATCTGAAGCCGGCAATCTTGGCCTTGCCAACCCAGACGTGGGCGGGGATCAAGGGCCGGTCAGTGTTCTTGTACTCGTCCAGCGAGTCAATCTTCTTGATCACCTCGCCAATGTCCATGCGGACGGAGCTGTAGTGAGAGTGCTTGCTAAAGGTGTTGTCGGTAGAGACGAGAGCGGACATGGCCAGATCCACGACGTCGTCCGAGAGACGGTCGGCGGGGATCAGGTCGTAGTAGCCGCGCCACGTGTCGGGGTTGGGCAGCTCAGGCATCTTGGCGGCAACGTCGACAAACTCCTGCAGGATGCTGTCGAGCTCCTCACCCTGCGCGGTGCGGCCCTCGGGAACGGGAAGCTGACGGTGGACGTGGACGGGGAGGCCAAGCTTGTCGGCGAAGCGCTGCAGGAACTGCTCACTCGCCCACTTGGAGGCGACGTAGCCGTTAGAGCCGTCGGTGGAGGGCTCGATGCCGGCATCCTCACTACCGGACATGAAGTGGAAGGGAACGACCTTGTTGGAGTCACGGAGGGCAGTGGCGGCCATCAGAGCAAGCTCCTTGGTGGACTGCACGTTGGGGGCGCGAACCATGTCGTAGGCACTCCAGAAGGAACGGTTGGCACCACTGTGCACAATCATGTCGGCCTTCTTGGAGAGAGTCTGGAACTCGGGCTCGGAGAGACCAAGGCGAGGCTCAGAGAGATCACCAGGGTGGAGCTGAACCTTGTCGGTAGCGGCAATCAGGGCCTTCATCTTCTGGCGGGAGGGGCTGTCCATTTCAATGTTGCGAACGGCCACACAGTGAATAGCAGAGACGTTCTTGTCTTCAATCAGGCGCTGGAGAAGGTGGCGACCAATGAAGCCGGAAACGCCAGTGAGGATGACAGTGAGGCCAGAAGTCTTGGGTCGGGTGGTCTTGGCGTTGACGGGAGTGACACTCAGCATCTCGTCGCTGAGGGCGGTTTCGACATCCCAGTTGATCTCCTTGTTAGAAAGGAGCTCGTCGAGGGTGTTGCCGAGACCGGCGAGAGTGGAAGACTCCATGATCTTGATGAGGGGAACAAAGACACCGTAGATTTCACGGAGGCGGGACTGAAGGCGGACGGTGAGGAGAGAGTTACCACCAAGGACGAAGAAGTCGCTGGAGCCGTTGAGGGTGGTGTTTTGAATGATGGACTCAGGGAGGATCTCAACCCAGATATCACGGATGGTCTTGGCAGTTTCCGTGAGCTCAGTGTTGGAGCTGTTGTCAGAGGAGGCGTTGCGGAGGGGGAGGGTGGCAATGGCAAGGCGGTTGACCTTGTTGTGCGAGTTGACGGGAATGTCGACAATGGGAACCATCATGTTGGGGCGCATGTACTGAGGAAGAGGCAGCATGGGAATGAGCTTGGACAGGTAGGCGTCCTGCTCGGCGGCAGGGTAGCCATCAGCAAACTCAGCAAAAGCGACAAGGTAGCTGGCAGGGCCGTCGCCACGAACACTGGCGACAGCACGAGTAAGAACACCCTGAGAAGCGTGGACAATGCTGGACTCAATGTCCTCAAGCTCGATACGGAAACCACGGAGCTTGATCTGAGTGTCACCACTAATGCGGCCCTGGACAATGAGAGTACCGTCTTCGGTCAGGTAACCCTTGTCGCCAGTCTTGTAGGCACGGTTCCAGCCCTTGGCGGCGTGAGCCTCGGAAGCATGCTTGTCGGCGATGAACTTGTCCTTGGTAAGCTCGGCGTTCTTGTAGTATCCGACAGCAACACCGGCACCACCAATCAGGATCTCGCCCTGGACACCAGTAGGAACGACGTTGTTCTTCCTGTCAATTATGTAGAAGGAGTAGTTGGCGAGAGCAGGACCGGCGGGGATGAGGGTGCCCTTACCAGGGTACTCGATGGGGTGACGAGTAGCCCAGACACTGGCCTCGGCGGGACCATAGTTGTTGCGGATCACGAGCTTAGAGAGCTTGAGGTTGGAGAAGGAGTCACGAAGGGTGCTGTTCCAGCCCTCACCACCGACGTTGGCAATGCGCCAGCTGGAGGCCTTGGAAAGCGTCTCCGAGGCAAAGCCGATCCAGTTGGAGTACTCGGAAGGAGTGGCGGTGGTGTAGTTGATGTTGTTGTTAGCAATCACTTTGGCAATCAGCTCGGGGTTGGTGCGCTCCTCTTCGGAGGCGACGTAGAGAGTACCTCCGTGGACGAAAGCGGTCATGATCTGATCCAGGGAGATGTCGAAGCTGTAGGCACTCTGCTGGAGAACGTTGACACTGCCGAGCTCCCAGTTGCGGCTGTCACCCTCGAAAAGGTTGACCAGGCTGGAGTGGCGAACCTCAATGCACTTGGGGACGCCGGTCGAACCAGAGCTGGAGACAATGATGGCAGAAGAGTTGCCAGTGGAAAGGTTGAGGCGGCGGGCGACAGTGGCATCCTTCTTGCGGACGTCATCGATGTTGATGATGCTGGCACTGGCAGGGGCCGCAAGAGCAGCGACGTCCTTGGCGTTGGCGTTGTCGTGGATGATGGCCTGGGGCTGGACGACGCCGACAGTGGAAGCGAGACGAGGCACACCGTTGCGAGGGTCAAGGGGAACATAGACAGCACCGGCACGCCAGACGGCGAGAAGAGAGCTGATCCACAGGCTGGAGGGCTGCTGGAAGATGCCGACCTTGTCACCGGCCTTGACACCACCCTGGACAAGTTCCTCGGTGATCTGATCAATGAGACGGTTCATGGAGCTGTAGGTGAATTTGTTGGAAGCATCAGCGAGAGCAAGGCTTTCAGAGGACTTGGCAGAGATCTCATCAATCTTGAGGGAGAGGGTCTCGGGCCACTGGCCATCGAACTGAAGACCCTGACCAGCCTCGACGGCGGCCTTGACAGCCTCGGGGCGGTAGAGAGGAGCAGACTCGACAGAAGAAGTTGCACTGTTGGCGAAGTGGTTGAGAAGGCTCATGTAGCTCTCCATCATGGCCTCGGTGTGCTTGGTGTTGTACAGGGCCTTCTGGGTCTGCCACTTGATCTTGATGTCGGCCATGGCGTAGTCGGTGACATCAAGGATGACATCGTAAGAAGTGGCGCCGAAGTTCTGCTCACCCTCAGCGTTGGACTCGAGCATAGGAGGAGTCTTGACAGCCAGCTGGCGGTAGTCGAGGAAGGCCTGGAACAGAGGGCTAGTAGAGGAGGAGCGGGGAAGGTTGAGCTCCTCGAGGAGGAGATCAAAGGGAAGCTTGGAGTGAGCCAGGCTGTTGTAAGCGGTCTGCTTGGCAGCAGCAAGGACACTGGAGAAGGGAGCCTTTCCGTTCAGGGCACTGAAGCGGAGGGGCACCAGGTTGAGGAGGAAACCAATGGTGGACAGGGTCTTGATGTCGCTGCGGTTGGCATCGGCGATACCAATGCAGAGATCGTCGACCTCGAGCCACTTGGAAAGGAAGATCTGGAAGGTGGCGAGGAAGAAGTGGAAGGTGGTGCAGCGGTTCTGGCGGCAGAGGTTGCGGATCTTCTGGGCCATGGCGGCGTCCAGGCTGATCTCGACCTCCTCATGCTCGTACTTGACAAGAGGCATGCGGTTGCCGACACCAGTGAAGGGGAAGAGAGGGAGAGGATCGGGGATGGTGGCAAAGGTCTTCTTCCAGAAGGAAATGTCGTTGCGCATGCGGCCGGCCTCGACATCACGACGCTGCTGGATGGCAAAGTCGGTGAACTGGGCAGGGATCTGGGGAACGGGCTTGCCCTGGTACATCATGTCGAGATCGCGGATCATGAGGTTGAAGGAGAAACCGTCCATGGCGATGTGGTGAACACCAAAGATGAAGACATGGTCGGTCTCGGAGAGAGAGAGGAGGCGCATGCGGATGACCTCACCACGCTCAATGTCGAAGTTGTAGCCCATCATGTCCTTGTAGGCCTTCTCAGCCTGGGCGATCTCCTGGATCTTCTCAACCTCGAGGCGGAGAAGGGAGTCGGACATGACACCCATGCGAGGTTCACCCTTCTCAGAGACGAAGAAGGAAGTGCGGAGAGACTCGTGGCGGGCACCGAGCTTGCGGACAGCCTCCTGGAGACGGGCAGCGTCAATCTTGCCGTTAAGGCGAGTCTGGACCAGGACGTTGAAGCAGGTCGAGTCCTCGAGGTACTGGCGAAGGAACCAGAAACGAGAGCAACCATAGGTCATCTTCTCCTCACGGACAAAGTGCTTCTTGGGAACGACAGCAACAGTGGGTGCAGGAGCAGCAACAACTTCCTTGGTAGGCTTGGTGACGGCAGTGGGGGCCGTCTCGACAGAAGTGGCACTATCACGCTCGTCGCTGGAGGAGGCAGAGTCACCGCTGGAGGTCTCGACAGTAGCAGGGGCAGCAGGGGCAGGAGCCTCGGGCTTGGCCTCGGCATCGTCAGAAGAGCCACCGCTAATGTTGGGACAGATATCAGGAGACATGTTGGCAACCGTGTCCTCAACCAGGTCGGCGAGGGTGGCACCACCAAGAATCTTGATGACGGGGATATCGTGCTCGAACTCGTTGGAGAACCAAGAGCGGAGATCGACAGCGACGAGAGAGTCAACACCCATCTCGACAATGGCAACATCAGAGTGAACACTCTCAGTAGGAGGAAGGTCAAGCTTCTTGCCGAGCATGGCCATGAGAGCGTTGAGAATGATGTTGAAGGCCTCCTTCTCGGTAGTAGCCTCGAGGAGCTGGGCCTTGGTCGACATGGCACTGTCACCACCCTTGTCACCACCATCACGAGAGGTGCGGTCAATGACGTAGTGGGAGAACTTGGGGTCGACAACCCACTTGGGAGGGTTCTTCTCCGTCTTGTTGACATAGCGGAGACCGGCCGAGACCTCCGGGTTGCGACCAGAGTCGGCGGCACCGGCCATGACGGACTCGGCAAAGAAGTACTTGTAGTCAAGCTCGGACATGATACCATATCCAAGAATGTCGAGCTTGCCGAGAATGCCATGGTCGGTACGAGTGATGTAACCGATACCACTGATACCACCGAGGTTCATGACGGAAGCGTTGAGGCCACGAGCACGGCGGCCGTGGACCAAGCTGACCATGAAACCGTTACCGGCAGCATACGAAGTCTGACCAATGTTACCAGTAACATAGACAAGCGAAGAGTAGAGGATGAAGAAGTCCAGGTTGGTGTTGTAGAAGAGGTCGTCGAGGAGGACAGAACCGGCGACCTTGGGACCCAGAGCTTCGTTCATGGTGTCACAGCTAGACTCCATGAAGAGACCGTCACGCATGATCAGGGCACCGTTGGCCACACCAGCAATGGGAGGCATGGTGTCGTTGATGTCGTCGTGGACCTTCTGCAGACTGGCACGGCTGGTGATATCAAGAGGGAAGGCCTTGACAACGGCACCATACATCTTGCTGACCTTGTCGAGCCAGCGCTGGTCAACGTTAGGGCGACGAGAGGACAGGGCAAAGAAGCGGGCACCACGCTCCATCATGTACTCGCAAGTGGACAGACCCAGAGAACCGGTCATACCAATGAGGAAGTAGGTGCGGTCGGGGCGGAAGTTAACCTCGTCCATGGCGAGAGTAACACTGGCAGGGAAAGGCGTAGCGTCAGTCCAGTCGACGGTGGTGAGGGTCTCGGCAAGATCAGCATCGCCGGCGATCTGCTGAATACGGGTGTTGGCAACAGTGTCGAAGGGAGCTGCGCTGCGCTCAGCGACGGCAGTCGAGTGGGCGCTCTCGAGAGCGGTGCTGACCTGCTCCTCAGTGCTGTCGGAGTAGAGGATAGAGCGGGAAGGCAGGAAGTCTCCGAGCTCGTACTTGCGGGTACCGAAAGGAAGACCCTCAGTCAGATGGTCGACGACATCACGGCGCTTCTCGTTGTTGGAGAAGTCAACAAAGACAGCAGTGTTGGCAGCAGTGATCTGGCGCATGTCACGGTCGGTGCTGTAGGCGTGAATGTGCTTCCACTGAGCCTGAAGAGCAGCCTTGCGGCGGGTTGTGGTGAAGAGCAGCTGCACTCCGGTGTTGGCCACACGCTCGGTCAGAAGCTTGGCAAGAACCGTGGGAGGCTCGTGGAGCACAATGCGGTCACCAGCAGTGACCTTACCAAGGAGGTCAGAAGCAAGCATGTTGCAGGCAATGGCCACAAGGAGGCTGTGCTCTTTACCCTCAGGGATGTCGACAGGGAGGAGGCGGGACTTGGGGAGGGTGAGAGACGACTGGTTCTTCTCGGAGAAGGCAACAACAGTGGAGCCAGTCTCGGCCTCCTTACCGATGCTCAGGTGCATGAATCCGAGGTTCTCAACCTTGATGGCAGAGGACAGGGACTGGTGGACAGTGATCGTGCTGTTGGGGATGCCCTCAATCTCGACAGTGGCCTTGGGGGACAGGCGGTACTGCTGAAGCGTCTTCTCGGGGGTGAGAGCAACGACCTGGTCCTTGGTAGAGACATCCTGGACAACACGGCGACGGAGAGCGTTGTAGCCAGCGTTGAGGGTCTCTTCGGAATCGTAGCGCATAACCCAGAGCTTGTCATCCTTGAGCATGTACTCACGCTCGACGGTCCAGAGAGGATCATAGGCAGGTACCTTGTCCTTCCAGGTGTCAGAGATGTGAAGACGCATGACAGACTCGACAATGGTCTGGGAGTGCTGCTCAGGCTTCAGCTGACCCTCAATGTTGAACATCTGGGCGTGAAGATGCGGGATCTCGACCAGCATGCATCGGACGACACCCTTCATGACGTTGGCATAAGGAGCATCGCCGTTGGCACCCTGAGTGGCCCAGATAATGTAGCGAGAACGGAAGAAGAGAGTCTTGAGAGCCTCCCACTTAGTCTCGGTCAGGTTTTCGAAGAAGGGGTCGTCAAGCTCAGTCAGCGAGATGATGTAAGGACGAGTGGCCAGCATGGAAGCATCGAGATCGTTGAGGGAGCGGATGGTCTCGATGTTCTTGGCGAAAGGAGCCAGGGACTTCTTCATGGTCTCAACCATGCGAGAAACCTGGAAGCGCTGACCACCAATGAGAAGGACGTTCTCGAGGTCAACCTTGCTAGACTGCAGAGGCTCACGAATGTTGACGATCTGCTGGTCAATGGCCTGGGAGACAAAGACGGTGAAGGGGCTGGCAGAGTCGGGAGTGACTGTATCGATGCCAGAGAATCCAGCAGTGCGGAAGATCTCGTCGTACTCGCCGAGGTTAGCAACAAGAGAACCAGTGCTGCTGATCTCTTCAGGCTGGAGGGCAACGCTGGCGACCGTCAGACCAACGTGAGCAGACTCAGAGTTGGTGATCTGCTGGGCAAGGAGATAACCACCAGGGCGGACGAGAGAGCGGAGCTTCTGCATGCCTTCGACATTGTCCTTGATGCCGTGGAAGCCGTTGCCGGCAATGACGAGGTCATAGGCATTAGCGAAGAAGCCCTGCTCCTCGAGGTCCTCAGAGAAGTCAATGGTCTTGGTGGAGATGGCGGGGTGCTCCTTGGAAAGCTGAGCGAAGTGCTCATCAGTGGCGCCGGTGCAGGTGTAGGCGGAGAAGAGGGAGCCAATCTTGTCCATGATGGTCTTGGTGACGCCGCCAGAGCCACTGGAGAGGTCCAGAATGTTCATGTGGGGGTAGCGACGGACGATTTGCTGGGCAAGGACACCAAGAGCCTCGCGAGCCTCAGCGGCACCAAGGGAGGTCTCGTAGAAGGTGTTGAGAAGAGCAGCGGCCTCAGAGCCTTGAGGAAGCTCACCCTTCTCGATGCCGGCACCGATGGTCTTCAGGATGTTGAAGTTGGTCTTGTAAGCCGAGGTGTCATGCACAGCAACATCGGACTGCTCGATGACGGGAAGCGAAGCCTTCTTGCCGAGGTTGGCCAGAACAGTCTGGGCCCAGCCCTTGAGCTGGTCAGTCTCGTGGCTGGAAGACTGGAGGATGCTGCGGAGGTAGGAGACGGCGAGACGATCGAGCTGCGACTTCTCAGTCTCCTGGGTGGAAGAGATGCGAAGAGCAGTGGCGAAGGAGTCGGCATCCGGAAGGCTGTGGAAGAAGTTGGTCTGGCCGAAGAAAGGACGGTCGTCCTTTGCAGTGGGAGGAGAGACGGGGCTGACCTCGAGACCCTCAACCTGGCAGAGAGAGTAATCGCTGTGCACGGGGAAGATATCGACACAGCCGGAGAAGGTACCGTCATCGGCGCGGTTGGAGGTGGCAGAGAAGCGGACCTGCTCGTCGACGCCGCCGTTCATGGGGCAAACGACGGGGTTGATGGTGACGCGACGGATAGTGGTAGGAATGTGCAGAGCCCAGAGAGCACCGTCACCGGGGAAGGATATGGCAGCGAAGATGGCCTGGAAAGCCACGTCGAGGGTAGAAGGGTGGAGGAGGAACTGATCAATGGGCTCGTTGGCCAGAGACTCGGGAACCTTGGTGGTGATGACACCCTGGGCAAGGTCAGTGGTTCTGCGGAGCGAGGTGATGCCCTTGAACATGTCGGCGTAGTTGTAGCCGATGTTGGCGAGGTAGGCATAGAAGAGGTCGGCATCGACGTCCAGCATGCCGAGGCCCTCCTCCTTGGGGTACTCGACAAGAGCCGTGGAGGAAGGAGTGCCGTAAGTCATGATAACATCGCCGCTGGCAATGGAGACGAAGTTGTCCGACTGCTTCTGGAGACAGGCGTCGCAAGCAAAGCGGGCAGTCAGGACGGAGCTGCCCTCACCAGTCTCGGTGATTGTGACGTTCGACAGGGTGAAGAGGGTCTCAATGCCCTTGTCTTCACTGATGGCCAGAGCACGGTGGATGGCAGAGTCCTTCAGCTCAATGGCCTGGATGGCTTCAGCGCGGCCGGCGATGCGAGCAGCCTCGACAGCCATGACGAGGAAGCCAGCGGCGGGGAACAGAGTCTGACCCTGGATGTTGTGTCCCTGAAGCCAGGGAATCTCACCAGAGTGGATATAGTTGCGCCAGCGGAGTTCACGCTCGTTGGTGGTGTCGGTGCGGGTGCCGAGGAGGACGTGGGCAGGATCCTCACGAAGACGGTTGACACGAGACTTGCGGGCCTCGTACCAGAAGAGACGCTCGTGGTTGAAGGGGTAGCTGGGGAGGTTGAGCATGATCTCAGGGGTAGAGTCGGCGAAGAGGCCGTAGTAGGCCTTCCAGTCGGCAGAAGAGCGACCGAATTGGGCCCAGAGGTAGGCGAAGCACGAGGCCATGGCGCTAACGTCGTTCTGGCCACGAGCAAGAGTGCCAGTGTAAGGGATGGCAGACTTGATGGTCTCCTCAATGACGGTGGAGGCAGGTCCCTTGAGCGCGGCGTGAGGGCCGACCTCGATGGCCTGGGTAAGCTTGGGCTCAGAGTTGGTGAGAGCCGAGCCCAGGGCAGTGGCGAACAGAACAATGTTGACCATGTTGTCAACCCAGTACTGGTGCTTGAGAGCATCGCAAGGCTCCATGACCTTGCCGTCGTAAACAGACGAGTACCACTTGGTGCGTCCAGACGGGGTCATGATGTTGACCTTGCAAGCGTCAAGAGCCTGGTAGTACTTCTTGGAGCAAGGGATCATGTGGTGAGAGTGGTAGGCAGTGTCGACCTTAAGCTGGCGGTTGAACATCTTCTCATCCTCAAGAACCTCCTTGACCTCCTCAATAGCATCCAAGTCACCAGAGAGGGTGACGGAAGAAGACGAGTTGTAGGCGGCAACGCTGACACGGCCCTCAAAGGCCGGGAGCTCGCACAGCTCGCGGGCGTCCTCAAGGGTGGTACCAGCAGCCAACATACCACCATGCTGACCCTCAGGACCACGAGCCAGGTAAGCATAGCGACCACGGTAGTACGCAATGCGGATGGCATCGGTAGCGCTAATGAAGCCAGAGGCATAAGCGGCGCCAATCTCACCACTGGAGTGGCCAACAACACTGTCAAACTCAATGCCGGCAACCTTGAGCATCTCGACCAGCATCACCTGGACGGCGGTGCAGAGAGGCTGCGACAACTGACCCTCGGTGATGCGCGACTTGGAGGGATCGGCCATCATCTGGTCCTTGAGGGACCAAGAGGGGCGATCACCCTCAGGAAGCTCACCAAGGGACTTCTCAAGCTTGTCGATGATGTTCTCGGCAAACTTGGAGGATGAAATGAGATCTCTACCCATAGTAGCCCACTGAGCACCCTGGCCAGTGAAGACACCGAGAAGGTTCTTCTTGGCCGAGGTACCGCGGGTCACAGTGGACGAGTTTCCAGACTGCTGGTCCTCTACAGCCTTCTGCAGCTTGGTCACGAGCTCATCCTGAGTCTGAGCAGCGACCGAGCTACGGTACGTGAAGGTAGAACGGCGGTCGTGCAGGGTCCACGCCAACTTACCGATATCCACCTCCGAGTTAGCAGTGAGATACTCGAGGTAGTTAGCCATCAGGGTGGTCAGCGACTTCTCAGAAGTAGCCGAGAAGGTTAGGGCCAGCGGGTTGGCGACAGCGGGAGCCGCCTGAGTAAGCGCCTTGGGCGCCTCTGGCACGTACGCTTCAATAATGGCATGGGCGTTGGTACCACCGAAACCGAAACTGTTGATACTGGCACGGGGAACCGAGCCGGCAGCAATCTTGGGCCAGTTCTGAGCAGCGGTAGCAATCTGGAGCTTTCCGTAGTAGGGAGTGATCTCAGGGTTGAGGGTGTTGAAGTGCATGTTGGGAGGGATGGTCTTGTTCTGAATGGCTAGGGACGCCTTCATGACACCGGCAATACCGGCGGTACCTTCAGTGTGACCGATGATAGTCTTAATCGAGCCAACCCAGAGGGTGTCATGCTTGTCATCCGACTCAGGGAAGAAGGCCTTGTAGATAGCCTTGGACTCGACACCGTCACCAGCCTTGGTACCAGTACCGTGAGCTTCGAAATACTGGGGGCGGTCCTCAGGCTTGGAAAGGTCGAGGCCAGCTCGAGCGTACGTCTCGTGGATGAGGCGAGTCTGGGCCTCCTGGCTAGGCATGGTGATACCGGGAGTGTGACCATCTTGGTTCACGCCAGTCTCGCGGATGATGCACTCAATGTTGTCACCATCGCGGATGGCATCGGAGAGACGCTTCATGACGACAGCAGCGATACCTTCACCACGGGCATAGCCGTCAGCGTTGGCATCCCACATCTGAGAGTGGCCGGTGGGCGACAACATGTTGAGGTTTGACTCGGCAATGAACATGTTGGGGGAGAAGATCAAGTTGGCACCAGCGGCAACAGCGACAGGGGCAGTGCCGCTGCGCAGGACCTGCACTCCCTGGTGCAGGGCAACCAGAGACGAAGAGCAGGCAGTGTCGATGGTCATCGAAGGGCCTCTCCAGTCGAAGATGAAAGAAACACGGTTGGACAGGATACTGCGGGCAGTACCGGTAGCAGCATAGGTAGGAATCGACTCCTGGTCAACGTAACAAATGTTGCCATAATCGTCACACATGACACCAACGTAGACAGCCGTGTTGGATCCGCGAAGGTTCTCAAGGACCAGTCCAGATGTCTCAACGGCATCGTAGACGGTCTCGAGGATCATGCGCTGCTGGGGATCGATGGACTCGGCCTCACCAGGGGGGATGTTGAAGAACTGGGCATCGAAGAGACGGGGGTCTTCGTTAAGGAGGTACGAGTGCTGGACGTTGCTAGCACCGTGGTAGTGACCATCCTTGTTGTAGAAACCAGCCGACTGGAAACGATCGATATTGCGCGAAACCTCACGGGGTTGCTTCAGAAGCTCCCAGAGCTTGGAAGGGGAGGTAGAGTCGCCGGGAAATCGGCAAGCGTTGCCAATAATGGCAATGGGCTCGTTTTGGTGAGAAGGCATTGTGTAGATCTTGATGGATTGTATGCAGATATGTGGGCTCGTTCGTTGTTCAGAATTTTCTGTGATAGGTTGCTGGTATGTAGATGGACAAGGTTGGCTGAGTTCGTAGTTCGAAGTTGAGTATGTTCAAAGATGAATATGTTATGATGAAGCTGATAGTATAAACAAAAAAGTCGTTGGTATGATTGTAAGTAGCAAAGAGAGAAATAGGGCTCGAATTTCTCAGTTTGGTAGATACAGATCAATAGCAGGGCAGGAAGAATGTGAATAGGGCTTTCACGGAGAGGAATGGTGACTTTGATGGTTTGAGACTGGAACTCAAGAAGCAGCTAGGAGAAGGGCTTTATGTTGTGTGAAGCTGAGCTGAGGCGTAGTATGGGGACAGTGATAGAGACAATGAAAAGGCTCCGGATGAACGGCCCATAACAAATGCTTTGGTAAGATACTAGGCGTATAAGCGCATGTTGACCAGGGTTGCCTCTTTGCGTGAGGATGATGGCCAGGAGAGATGTGGTAGTGTGGTAGGGCCGGTTCGGGCAACGATGGCGATGGACTCACAGGCCGCTATCCTGGTTACAGCCTCGCCGTGCAGCTCTTCCGGATCCATATTTTGGGATGAAGAGCTCCATCCATGCTGGAGCTGATTGATGAAACAGGCAAGGCTACTGCTGCAGAGCATCTTCCGCTGAAGGTTGGCTGTGGAATGTGGTGCTTCGCGGGAGATGGGTGTCATACTATTCCGAAATAATCTGACGAGATGAGCTATTCCGGGCCTAGGTCTGATGGAAGACTATCGCAATCCTAGCTTTGAGAGCGTGGGAGCGGCTGGAGCTGTTTCCATCGCGGTGCTGATTGGCCATGGGCATCCATAATCACGGTGCCGAAGCCGTTTTACGGAGCTTCTGTAGGGCGAGCTTGATGGCCACAGCTTACCCGACATGGGGAATGGGGTACAAGGGGTGGAGGGCAAAGGGGAAAACGTGCTGAGAAGGTGGGAGGGTAGCATCAGCCCGTCGTAAAGACAGCAGATTGTCTTACATGAAGCTGCAAGTGCATGGATGGGTGCGGCATCTCGAGGCTCAGGAACCTTTTGCCCCGGACGGTCTGGCCAACGAGAGCTTGATCAAGGTGGGAACCAGCTGAGGGTGTGTGCGTATGAGAGAAAGGGACATCTGAGGTGCGGAAAGTCACAGGAGAAGACCGATGCAGGGGGTGCGGACGGGTAGTTTTGTCAGCCAAGGTCTTGCAAGACAAGGCGTGGGCGAGAACCGAGGAGGTGTGGCGGCCGTTAGGTTGACCGGAGTCCAGGAATAGCATCCCCAAGACGCACAGAAGAATGGAAGGCAAGTTCCATGTGCCATGAATGGCCACTAGCGGCAGGGGCTCTATGCATAAATCGATGTCTTGTGCATGTGTGCTGCAGAGACGGAGAGGAGGAGCGGGGCGTTGGCGTTGGGCGTGATGATGGGCGGCGGCCGAGTGGGAGCAAGCGCTGGAATCCCATTGGTTCAATCTCTCTAAAAAAAATGACGTATCCGGTATTTGATGCCGGATTAGATCATGAAGGCGTCCTGGTTACCACGATGGGAAATCGGGGAGGCTTAAGTCAGCGATGCTGATGGCGCTACCGGGTGGAAAGGGGGGTGGATGGAGATGTCGCTTACAGGTAGCCGCGCGAGAGCCAGTCGAGAGGAGGGGGCAGGGGTGTGTCTCGATGAATGGTGAGATGACATCCCAGATCTCTTTGCCAGCATGGACCCGATCTGCTGGTCTGTGGTGTGGTTACAGTCCAAGCAAGGTGAGGTTGTGGGAAATGCGCCTTCCCGTCCATCCCACCCACCGGCCGGCCGGGTAACGAGACAAGGGTAATTGAGCAGGGGTATCGGGCGTCTTCTTGATTCGGTCAAGGGCATACGGATAGATACATAGATGGCCAAGAAGGCAAATTCGGAACAAGGGATCCAGGTCTGTTTGTCTCTTCGCAGACTAGTTAGCTAGTTGACAGTTAGCGTTGACCACGTGGAAGCAAGACATGCAGGTCGTCAGGCGAAATGGAAGTATCGCATCTCGAAGTGTCGCATCTGTGTAGATTTTGCCGTGTTTTCTTTCACGCTGACTGACTGCTGCGATGGGATGGAAGGCCGAGAAAAAAGCAATGTGAGGTTGAATGGTTTGTGCTTGTTGACACGTGATACACAGCAAAATTGAAACTACGAGGCGCGATCAGTTGTTCAACTCGCACTCACGAACGGCAAAAATTGAAGAAGATATCATGGTTAAATAAGCTCTGAGACTGAAAATCGCATTATCACATTGCCCATGCTCCGGATGGTGCATTTTGCTGACTGAGACGCACCGCCCCATGCATGTGCCCGTCAGCACTTGTCCACGCAAACTGCCGTCCAGCCGGCCACGTTCAGGTTGACTAATGAGTTCAGCTCTAAGCCGGCAGATTGTCAGTACAAACGATTTGAATTGCTCTGACCAGAATTATTGCCAACGACGGTTAGCCCTTGAACAACCGTTTCGGCTCACTTTGCGTGTTATTGGTGATGGATGTGATTGATCAGCTAGCAAAATCAAGCTCAGCCGTAGTCACGACGCCACGCAGTCGCCTCGTATTAGTTTTCATGTGTGGTAATGCCAAAAAACAGTGTGAATATGTGTAGGATACAATCAACCTCGTCGGCTCTCTCGTATGCAACACAACATTTCAATTGCCAGCGACTGGGTTGAAAGGCCGCTAACGGCGGTGATAAATCTATGCCTCAAGATTACAAGTCAACAATGCGGAATGGCATCATCGATGTTATACATACCCCATCAATGAACTGCTTTCAAAGAGAAACCCAAGTTTCAGCGAGTCTATAGGGCTACCGGTCCCGTTGTGTAGACATTATTATGTCGTACCCTATATGGGACAATGCATTGACATTCCACAGAGTAGCCCAGACACATGGCCCAAGCCAACCAACGTTATACTCAACGAGAGACTTGATGCACCTTCTGCCCCATCATAATTCTTGCTGCCGATAGGGCAAATTCGCCTACATACCGAGTAGGCACCGGGCACTGGGCACTGGGCACTGGGAAGTGGCAATAGGCTGTGTTAATTCAGCCCTGCGGGCTAATACATGAGCCTATTAAAGCTCACCTTGATTTGCGAGTTGTGCAGGGCTTGCAAGAGGACTATCCACGTGTTGCGGCCATCACGACGTTGTGCAATTTTGGATGCGAACCTCCGCAAGCCACCATCGTGAAAAACTCCAAATTAGGAAATTCGTGTATCGCCCTGCAAGATTCTGTTCCAGAGTCATGCAGACTTCTAAAAACGCGCTGGTGAGCTTAGCTAAGATTGAACCAGGGCGGGCTATTGTCCCCGGGATGCGACACCACTCTGGTTCATCTGGGCGAGTTGCCCGAAGCTAATCCAATCACCCGTAAAAGGCGTAGATCATGTCAGAGTGCATTGACACAATATTTTAGCAAGTGTTTGAGTGAATTGTGTAAAACTGCAAGAAAAGTAACAACAATCTATGTAAATCGTAAAATGTTCATGGCTGAGCGCGAGTAATCAATCAGATCGACAATAGAGCTGAGAAACGAAAAAGACAAACAAAGCCAAAAATAGCCCGCCACATTTGTCGATCCGAATAAATGTGTGGCTTGTTTATGCTTGAACAATTGGCATCCTCGTGGCTTGTCCATCAACGGGATAGTTGCTATCCCATGGTCCTAGTGGCCATGTAAGCAGAGGCTGAGCCCGTACTGGCACTAGCAACGGGCCTCACCGGACCCCTCCCCCCTGCCGAGATTGTGTAAAATGATGTAAAAAAAAAATGAGGCAAATAAATCAAGGTCGCTTTTTTTAGTTGGATTTTTGAGAGATTTTGATTTGCCGCATTGGCTGGTTGGTTCCGGACTCGGCCGAGAGACTTTTTTTTAGTTGACGGGGTAGACAAGCTTGAAACCATTGACTTCCTTGCGGCGAATCATCTCAATGCCCTCAAGGATGCCCTCGAAGCCGCCCTGCATGACCTGGGCGGGGTGGTTCTTCAGCTCACCGGCGTCCAGGCGAACCTGGGCAGCGGCGTAGAGGTCCTCGCAGAAGGAGCGGGCAGTGGCATCGGGCTCACGGCCGTAGGGCGCGGGCCACATGGAACCGCGACCCTTGACGGTCGAGCCCAGGATCCAGTCGGGCTTGACGACGCGGCGGGTGGCCTGGGTCTCGGGGAAGGGGTCGAGCGCGCAGTAGCGGCCGCCGGCGCGGCCGACGGCCTCGTAGCAGATCTTCATAGAGGAAGTGAGCGTGATGCAGTCGATGGCGTAGGCCAGAGCGTTGCCGGTGTAAGCGCGTATGTCCTTGGCGCAGGTGGGCGAGTGGTAGTCAAAGACCTTCTCAGCGCCGTAGGAGAGGACGAACTCGTCGTGGCGCGGGGAGCAGGTGGCGATGGGGCGCAGGCCGGCGTTCTTGAGCATCTGGATGGCCATGGTGCCGGTCGAGGTCGAGCCGCCGTAGACGAGGACGTACGGCCGCTTGTCGCCGGTCGCCGGGCTGGCCATGGTCGCCGGGATCTTCATGCTGTACCACAGCGCCATGCCCGCCGAGGCCAGCGAGGTGCTGATGCACGCGGCGTCGGTGAAGGACATGTCGTCGGGGATCTTGAGAGTCAGACTGGCGGGCGTCGATGCGTACTCGCAGAAAGCGCCGCCGCTGGGCCGCTTGACGTCCATGCTGTCGGCTGAGCCGAGCACCCGGTCGCCGACTTTGACGTCCTTGGCGATGGCGGAGCCGACGGCGACGACGGTGCCGGCAAAGTCAAAGCCCAGGATCGCGCCCTCGGCAGCGAAACCCTTGAACATCTTGGTGTCGACGGGGTTCAGGGCCAGCGCAGCCGTCTTGACGAGGACCGCATCAGGCTCAAGCGGGATGACGGGAACATCGCTGGCGATCTTGAGGGTGCCCTCCGAGTCGGCGGCAATAATGGCAGTCTGGGTTTGGGGGACAGCGACAGCAGCCATTGTGTGTGCGTGTGCGCGGTGTATAAGTGGGATCGGGAGAGAGGAGGGGAGTTGGAGAAGTTGGAATCCAACAGAATCAAGACTCTAGTTTATGTGAGCTTCGTTTGCGTGTCAGTATGTAATGCGTCGATAAAGTTGAAATACTTGATTGTGTAAGTGTTCGATGTTTGCGAGGTATATAGATGTAGTGATGAGGCAAAAGAAGTGAGAGGTGATGATCAAAAAAGCATTGATTCAGACTGGATTGGACGAGACATAATATACACAAGACATCTGACAGAAAGGCAAGGCAATGCTCAACTATTAAGCGGGAACCGAACAGCACTGGGCTGGTCGCTGGAAAATGCAACGGCAAACTGGACCGAGTTGTCCAAGTTGAGACTCCATCATGCCTCCCAGGGACCACAGAGCGCCGGGCCGGGGCGGTCGTGCGTGCCCTATGGAGGCACTGTACAGGTATCAAGCAGACCCAACAAGGCAAGTAAGCTCAGAAGAAGTGCTCACGAGCATGTCTTGAGCGAACTTTTCGAGACGTCTGGACGCTGTTTTGAGGTGCGTCTGACTGCCGGCAATTATGACTAGATTCTGTCGATGCGGAAAATGGGATTGGATGACGACAATAGGTAATGCGACCCCGATCGGAAAATTGGGCGTGGGGGCTGCAGCGGGAAACCCGGAAGAGGCAATTGGGGGAGGGGAGAGCACTAGGCTGAATCGAAGCAGCATACTATGTGTATGTGTGTTCAGATCTCTTGGGCTGCATACGGAAGCCCTAGCTGGAGAAGTTAGAAGACTGCTACGAAAGGGCGCTGCGGTTACCAAACGTGATGCGCACAGAGCAGGTGCGCATTAGTATGATGATTATGGGTAGCATAGAGAGTGGTGCAGAGGGGGCGACGGAGCAGGAGACTGCTGGTAGTGAGTAGTCAGCAGTAAGGTAGGTAGCTTGTCGTTCTTCATATTGTCTACTAAGACTCACATTATTTTGTGAGGGCGAAAGTCATGGATGTAAACACACATCCGATGACGAGAGTGAGATGAGGCACGTTTGGCAGCTCGTGGAGCATTGGGGTTGGTACATGAGATTGATGACTGGATGGATGGATGGATGGATGGATGAATGAATGGATAGATGCCCAAGCACTGTTGCGAGAAAAGACGCTGCAGGTTTATTACAGGAACAGGAAATGGCCGGCAGTTGACTGCAACATTGAGTGGTAGGAGAGCGCATCGCAGCAACGGTATGGCGACGGCATGGTAGCGAGATGACATGCAACTGGCTAGCTGGCGCGTGTTTGACAGATGATGGTGGCCAAGTGGGTAGTAGATGAGTCAAGCTAATGTCTCAGAAGCCAGAAAAGTCAGCCTGGGACGTCGCTAGCTACGGCTTGGTGGTGGCTCGTAGGTTGTATGCGGTATAGATGGGCTGCAGGACAATCGGGGGAGCATGGGGGGCGGGTGAAGAAGTCCGGTGAATGGGGGACGAGGTGAGAGAACAAAGGGCTGATGCAACCAGAGGCACGCTCGGTGTGTCTTAGCTCGGGTATAACATGGCGTGGGATGACTGGAGCAGGGTTATGTTGTAAACGATGAGAGCGATGTGAGGCATGACACGGGTTAGCATCGCGTAGGTTCCGGGGATACGGAACAGGGATGGAGCCAGCAAGCGGTGTCAGTATGTAGGCTATAGGGAACACTGGTTGGCAGGGGCAAGATGGGCAAGCTGGAGAATGAACTGGTAGGGCGCATGCTGGGTAATTTGTGAGTGCGGCTGATTGCTGATGAAGATGAAAAGTGCCCTGTGGAGAGTGCGCGAGTGAGTGAGAGTGAAGAGCCGACAAGGGTAATCCGCAAGATTGATTGCCCTAACTAGACAAGGCGATGCCAAGGAGGAGATCTGTTAGTGGCACCGCTTTAGCGGACGTTGGCGCTATAAGACCGCCAGAGAAGAGCCCCGAAAGCGCCCGATAACGCCGGAAGTCGCTGGTCGCTGTAGTGGCGCTGTACGTACTGGTGCTTGAATACCTAAATTACAGGGCATTGGCAGACAACATTGCGCTTAATGCGCATTCTTGTTCCCTGCGGTCCTTGCTGAAATTGATAACTAGCAATTCCGGACAACTATGATAAATACCTGTCATGGAAATAAATAAAACCAAGGTACTCGGCAAACTTTACGCCACACCCCCCCTTCAAGGCACAGCCAACAAGGAAGGGGTCCAGTGCGAGCGCCGGCAGCTAAGATCTGACTGCAAAGGACGATCCCCACCATTGCGGATGAGCTGGTGCCGTGTTAGCCGGGGAGTATGAAGAGGGTGTGTGTGTGTCTGTTGCGAGACGAGATGGCCAAGACTTGCATCGCGGGTTGTGACAAGGCTGGTTGTGCTTGTGCATGTTTCGTGTTAACAACTAACTGTAAATACGAATAGCTGGGAACAAATTTGAACAATAAATACAATAAAAAGGACCAGATTTCACAGATGATACAGCGTCATCCTACCTATCTATGTATTTGCAATCAACATGCCCGCGTCAGATGAGCACAAAATACAAAGTAATACACGCCCCAACACCCCCGGCTTCAGCCCAAACTCTCGCATTAGCCCGTATATGTATCCGTAGCGCAGTATCTATTTGTTAGCTAGTGCCTAACCATCATTCTTTCTCACCGTGAGCTCCGTCTGACCATTCACCTCGAGTCTGCTCCCATTGATCAGCACGCCATTCGCGGACCTATTAACAGTCACAGGCGCCCAACTGTCCACTTATAGCGGGCGGCCAGGCACCTTAGCGCCTGGAATCGGCGACCCCTACCAGCCCAGAGGCCTGGAACTGGGTCAGTTTCTTCATCAAGGGACCCCCCCAGGAAGAAATTCCGATACCCGTCATCATCGCCATTCATCCAGGCAACTTTTCCATCATCAATCAGCCTCCTCATCCTCCCTCATTCATTCACACCACCGTCCACCACCCGTCCGTCCGACCGCCACCCATCGTTTGCCCACCCACACTGCAACTCTTCCACGCGCGCTTCCATTTCTTTGTCAGACTCGCAGTCAACTATTTTTCTCTTGCCTTCCTTGTTGGCTTGTTTGCCCACTTGGCCCTGCCATCATCCGCCATCTTCAAGGGCCTCTCTTATTTAGATACTGCCTTTCCCGCTCGACATCTTGTCGTAGAGCTTCCTTTTTCCGTCTACTTTTCCGTCTTCTCTCGCCTTCTTTCTCCGTTTCCATTTCCATCTCCATCTCCATCTCTATCCCCACCACAGCTGCTGCTTCCCGTTTGCTGCCCTGCGACTCTACCTCCCTATTCCTTGTCCAACCATACCAATCCTACCTACCTCTCCATCCCGTTTCTCCATCCCAACGGTTTTTACTCGCTGCTTGCTCGCTTCGTCTTCTGCTACAACCTTGTCGTCTCAACGGGTAAATCTTCCTACCCCTGGTGCCTTGCGCACAGATACTCGATCATCTTGACTCGACACAAACGGCTGGCCGAAGCGATTCCACCTCGCCCACCATGGTTTACTGCGGCAGGCCGTCCACAAGTTGCAATAACTGCAGAGCCAAAAAGAGACGGGTAAGTTTGGCCACATCCCCCCCCATAAGACTTCGTCTGCCTCACTTGCATCCTCCTCTCCTCTGTTGGCGCTGGTGCGACGGGAATGTATCAACGCTGCGGGCTTCACGGCGTCGGCTTTAGCATTTGTAATGCGCCCGCCGCAATGATGCCACCAGCAACTCCTCCTTCTTTCAGCCGACCAACCAGCCGCGCAATGCAAACTCGAGACAGCAAGAAACGTAGAGTTTCATTCTGTACCACGCGCCGACAACGGGCCGACAAGAAAAGCTACGCATTTACTAATTTACAACCTCCTCGCAGTGCGATAAAGCTCACCCGGAATGCGGACAATGTCGTCGCATGGGCCAAAAGTGCCCAGGCTACCGCGACCCCTCCAGCCTGATTTTTCGCGACGAAAGCAGCCAAGTCATTGATAAGGCTCGCTCGAGAATCAACAAACGTTCCGCTCCCACTTCTCAACAAACTTCACAGCCCTCTTCCGCCCAGCGCTCGCCAGTCCCTCATCCTGCCACCGCTCCGCGCTCACAACCCTCGCCGCACCAGTTCCCCCCGCAAAAGATGTCCAGCGTCGAGGATATGCTCGGCGACATGGGCGACGGCATGTTTGCCAACAATTCATTCAACTTTGACCTACTCGGCTTCAACACGCCCTTCAACACGGATGGCGGTCTATTTAGCCTAGCCACGGACAACTCCGACGCCATCATGACGGGCACGGATTCTACCAGCGCCAGCGCCATCAATTCAGGTGCCGCCTCTGCCGTTGATGTACCCCGCGACACGGTTGGCCGTAGCTCCTCGGCTGGAATGGAGCTTGCCCCCACTGCTGCCTCGCCTGGTGGCTCTAGCCAGGACGGTAGCATCCAGCGCCCGCTGTCATTGCCGCTGGACATGATCGGCCTCGACTTTTTTCTCACACACTACGTGGTCCATCAGTCGGGTCCATCGTCGGGCTTTCTTGACTATGTGGTGACTATTTTGGCGCGCGAAGAGGGCCATGAGTTGCTAGAAGGCGCCGTCCTTGCCGTTGGCTTCGCTGGCCTGGCACGCACCACCAAGCAGACCGACCTAATGTGTCGCTCCATCATGATGTACACGCGGACCATGGAGCGTGTCAACCGTGCCCTAGCCGACCCTGTGGCTGCGCGCCGCGACAGCACGATTGTCACGGTGCTTGTTTTGGCCCTTTACGAGTTTAGCAAGGCTTCCCTAGATGGCTGGAAGCAGCACATTGACGGTGCCGTCTCCTTACTCAACGTCCGCGGCAAGGCTCAGTTTACCACGCCCACCGGTCTGCAAATATTCAAAGATGTCTTTACACAGCTCCTCACCAACTGCTTGCGCGTGGGTGTACCCATACCCTCCAGCCTGCGTATGCTGCGCACTGAAGCATCCAAGGCCTTTTCCGTCTCAGACCCTTACTGGATTGCCGCCAGTGCCATGGTCGAGCTCCTCGACCTATACCACCAGATCTCCCCTGGCGGTTACAGCTACATCAACCACAACCACAACGCGCCCATCCCTGGCAACTCATCATCCTCAGCCACATCCGCTTCCTCTTCCAACTCGGCCAACAAAAAGGCTGCGCTCAATCTATCCATTGAAGATTTGGAGCGCTACCTGTCACAAGCTCTCGACCTTGACTACCGTCTAGAGAGTAGCTTTGCCGAATGTCAACCGGAATGGTGCTACGCCATTATGCCGAACCCGCCGCTCGCGGCCCTCGACACGTCACGTTTCCACGGTGAAGTGCATCACCTTTATCACGACGTCTACATTGCCAATGTTTGGAACAGAATGCGCACATGCCGCATTCTGGCCAACCATGCGATCGGATATCTGCTCCTGCGCGGTGCCAATATTGACCCCAACTGGTTCTTCTCAAACAACTACGTCGATCGTCTCCAGGCTGTCTCTAAGACCATGGCGCTCGTCCGTGCTGATCTGCTGGCTTCGGTACCTCAACTCATGGGCTATGTGACTTCGCTAGCTCAGCAGCAGGTGCAGCATGAGCAGCAAATGTACCGTCCCAAGGGCATGACCCCCGTGGCGACGTCAGACTCTGGCATCGACGTTGGAGATGCTACCTCCCCGCCCTACTCCCCCACCTCCATTTTCGGATCGTCAGAGCCCGTCAGTGGCTATACGGGCTCGGCCGCCGGCGCGTACTTTGCAACCTGGGTGCTCCTTACTGTGGGCTGCATGCACAGCCTGACGGACGAGACTCGTGCCTGGACGGTGAATCAGCTAAAGCGTATTAGCACGCAGGCCGGCTTTACGCAGGCCGATGACTTTGCCAAGTTTATTGAGCACCACAACCTTCGCCCTCCTCTGAAATAGAGGCTTTCTTCCCTTCTCTTACAAGCTTTCTTCTTCGCATACTTGCTTCTTGCACATGGCACGGATAGACTATTTTTGTACATATTCTCTACATGGCGTTTTGGGGTTGGACAGCCTGTGGCGGCTTACTGGGCTTTGATCTACATGTCAGTGACCACTCATATGACATTTGTTTTCTCGCGACACTGGATACATATTCTATTTCTATTTGACTCGCCGATGTAAGGCGCAGTTATCTACATCATTTCTCTCGGCAAAATGACGTCTCCACAAGAAAATTAATGCATATTTGACAGCGGCCCATGTCGCCTCTTCCGCGAAGGAACGGCGACTTACAGCGCCGATCCCTGCACCTTTCGAAGCTAGTTGACTATCTACTACCAATTGTGGTGGTTTCGGTGGTGTTGAGTTGCGCCCGTGGCATGCTGCTTGTACCTCAATAGTCAACTCCGACAATTCGTACCTTCCAAACCCGTTTTTAGCAGAAAGCCTGCGCTGGCGCTGCTTTTACCTGAGCACAGAAGGGTTGCATAGAAGCCAGGCGCTGCTTTACGTGAGTCGAGGCCGAGTATCTCTTGACTATACTTCACGACTGCTTCATCGAGAACGTTCGGCAACATTGAGAAATCGATAGTCTGCTCATTCAGACGCTCGCCAGCAGCGTCATCAACGGTAGCGGATTGATCATTCACATCGCTATCGTTGGCATCGCTATCATCGGCATCGCTATCGTCGCTGGCTTCGAGATTATCCTGGTCATCTTGGCGACTGAGCGTCTCATCGATGTCCTGCTCGACTGAGATAATGGACAATAGCTGGTGCAATGCATCCGTTGAGGTGCTGAGGACAGTCTCGGCGTAGCTTTCTTCCTGGTCCTTGCCGAGGGTCGCGACTTATTGTTGGTGGCTCTTGGAGCCCTTCCTTCCTTGATATCGTAATCTTGGAGATGTGACCCCCATGGGCGTAGGGGACCCTCGTCGCCCGCTCGCTTCCGTTTGCGAGTTGGCGATATCTCAACCTGCACCTCGATGGATAGAGGTCGTGGGAAGGGGTCGCAATTGCTCCAGTGCGGCTTCCAGGAAGGGAAAGGACGCTTTCCGTGGATACCGATGAGTCCCTTACCTTTCTAGTATTAAGTAATAATTTAAGCGGGGGCATTAGGATGAGTTACATGCGCTTGTCGATAATAGCTAGACAGGCCAATCAAAACCATGCACACCTAATAGAAGAGGGCATTGCCCCACCAAACATTGCTGTGACTCGCTTCCGCCGTCTTCGGAGCTGCGTCCACAAAACCTCGATAGCTCGTCCCCGCGCAACAACAACATTTTGTCGAGATATATCTATCAGTCACTTCCAGCATTAACGTCTTGTGTTGTCCACGAAACTTCGAACAGCATTCATCATGGCTCCTGAACGTGTTTGCCTGTAAGTCATTTTCCCACTCAATTGTTTTGGTTCGAGCCAGCTAACTGACCCTTGTCCAGTGCCTACTCTGGCGGTGAGTTGAGAGCTCCAGAAGCGATATCATCAACATCAACATCAGATATTCTGACCAATGGACAGGCCTGGATACTTCCACTATTCTCAAGTACTGCGCCCTATGTCTTGCTTTCTGACGGATTGCGGCAAGGAGAAGACTTCGACGTTGTCAAGTCTTCGAGCTCGGGGTGGAGCCGACAATCATCGAAGATGTGGGATTATTTAACAAGAGCTGACCAACGACTCTTAGGTGGCTCGTCCTTCAAGGCTATGAGGTCGTGTGTTTCCTCGGCGACTGCGGCCAGGAGGAAGACTTCGATGCCGTCAAGGCCAAGGCGCTGAAGCTCGGCGCTGAGAAGATGATCATCGAGAACGTCCAGCAGGAGCTGATTGACGACTTGGTGTGGCCCGCCATCCAGTGTAAGTCTTCACTGGATTTTTATGGTAATGCAGCGGGTTTACTAACGGAATCCACCAGGCAACGCTATCTATGAAGGACAATGTAAGACGGTTCACCTCGGACGCTCTTCGATGACATCGCTAATGCCCTGAAGACCTTCTTGGCACAAGCCTAGCCCGGCCGGTATTGGCCAGGGCAATGGTGCAAGTTGCGAAGGATAACAACTGCACGATCCTCAGCCATGGATGTAAGTTTTCTTGGTTCAACTGGCTTCATTACTGTTCGATCCAGTCGCTAACACGTGACTCTAACCCTAGGCACCGGTAAGGGCAACGAGTAAGTCCTGATCATGATCCCGATACATATGTTGTCGCCCTCTGTCGCTATTGCACCGTACTCACTTCCTTATTCTAGCCAAGTCCGCTTCGAGCTGGCTTGGAAGGCATGTGACCCCAAGATGAAGGTTCTGGCCCCCTGGCGCATCCCTGCGTTCTTCAACCGATTCCAGTAAGCCTCCTTTTGTGTTCACTACTGCATATTCAAGCTAATCATTCCGCAGGGGACGTGCCGATCTTCTCAAGTTCGCCGAGGAGCAGAAAATCCCCGTCAGCTCCACTCCCAAGGCCCCCTGGTCTATGGACGACAACATCATCGTATGCATGAAAGGTCCCATTGCTTCTTCGTTATACTAACTATCGATCCGACAGCACTGCTCATATGAGGCCGGTGTAAGTCCTCCTACGGGAACACCTCTTTTTGCGCCCTGTTGACCCTGAACTTGCTAGATTCTCGAGCAAACAGACATGGAGCCCCCGAAGGACATGTGGAAGCGCACAGTTGGTGAGGCGAATCAGCCTACACGCTTCTAGATTTTGCGCTAATGCCTCTCCAAAGATCCCCTAGACGCTCCCGATAAGCCCACTCGCTTCACCGTCCACTTTGCTGAAGGTGTTCCCGTTAAGCTTGAAGTTGGGGGCAAGGCCGTTACTGGCTCCTTGGAGATCTTCAAAGAGGCGAACGAGTTGGGCCGTGCCAACGGTATGATTGCGAACCGAAGGGCCTTCAAGCGAGTACTGACGTAGTCAAAGGTATTGGACGCGAGGATATCGTCGAGTCCAGGTTCATCGGTAAGCCTACTCTCGGGGAACTCTAACTTCAGGCCGCGATTGCTAATTACTTATTTCAGGATTAAAATCCCGTGGTTGCTACGGTCAGTCGCGTTTATTTCCTTGCTTTTCTAATGATTTGTTGTTGGGGACGTCTTTCAGGTTGCGAGTGCATTGTTGATATTTTGGTGTGCGCGGCTAGCGACGTAGATCATGGCCGCGTCGCTGGCGACACCTGTTCCGCTCTCCCCCATGCACTTTGACAGGATGTTCTAACCTTGTATGCAGATACCCCCGGCCTGACTATTTTGCGCAAGCTGCATCAAAACCTGGAGGTAAGTTGTCACCTCCTTGAGCACTGGATTGGCTCATGCTGCAGTGTTTGATATCCCTTGATGCGATTCCAGAGTCGTCTCTTGGGCCGAAATCCTCTTGCCGTTTACAAGCGGGGCTGCCCCAAGATCCCTCGAAAACCTAAAGGGCTCAAGCTATTGGCCAAAGCAGCTGGACCTCAGCCCCTGAGGCCCATGGCTTCTGCAGTCCGGCTTTTCTCGTGGCAGTCTTGACCAGCGCTCTGGGCTTGTGCCGTTGCCCATTGCAATACAATACCAACCCAGGGAGTCAAGAGTCACCTGAGCATGAGCCAATCCAAACACTCCAAATTTAATAAGTATAGGACTCCAGTTAACGATTGCTCAGGGTCTCGTGATGGATAGCAAAGTGCGCATCATTCGCGACCGTCTCTCGGATGACTGGGCGCAATGTATCTACAACGCGAGTAACCCCTTCTCTTCAAGCTCTGTTGAATTGGACATTGCTGACATCTTTTTAGGGAATGTACTTTACGCCTGAGCGCGAGTTCGTTCAGCAGTCGATCTCTATCAGCCAGAAGCAGGTTGATGGCAAGGTTGAAGCTCTGGCATACAAGGGCAACGTTATCATCGTTGGCCGCTCCAGCGAGACATCCAATCTCTACAGCGAAGAAGAGAGCAGCATGGTAAGTACCTGAAGAGGACCACTTCGGATCAAAACTAACAGAAGAAATGCAGGACACTCTTGATATGGATTGGAGTGTCGAAGACACAACTGGGTTCATCAACGTGAATGCTATTCGCATCGCCAAGTATGGCGAGCGCAAGATCAGGGATGGCGAGCCCCTTTCCAAGCGTAAGTAGACAGACTTGGGATGCTAGCCTTCCAGCGCTGCAGAAGCTTTTGGTAGACGGGGGAAGATCGGCGAGAAATGGAATGGCTAATGTTGTGCTTGGAAATGACGAGTACTAGAAACAATAAGAAAAGCTCATGTGTAATACCTTCTTCAATGTTACCTACGCAGGTTGTGGGCAAAAGCCCTGCGATAACTCATTGTCCGACCGTCAGTTTTCGTGATATACTACCAATGTATTTGAATCAAAGGAAAAGGAAAAGGCCATTTAATAGATAGAAGAAATTCAAATCCTGTGTACGAAAAAGACAAAGAAGATTCGTTTCTATAAAAGTCCGGCCGCCATCGGTCTCCTTGCAGTCAGTTCAGTTCGTGTACTTGACTTGGCAACACATCACCCCAGCATACCGAGTATCTAGCTCCAATTTTCGCTTGCCTCCCTCTTCACACACTAACATAGGTATCATGCAGAGACGTCCATGGGCTCGGCTGCCGAAGGGCCGTCACCAACGTCAGGCTCAGCCTTGACCAGCAGTGCGGCCAGGTCAAACTCGGCATCCGGGTCGTTGAGGATGCGGACGAGGCTGGCCTCGAGGGCGGCGTTGAGGCCGCGGGCCCAGTCTTTGGACATGAATTCGTACCCGGGCCAGGTGGGCACGTACGAGCAGCGGATGCGCAGCTGCTCGTCGGGCCGGTCAAAGCCCTGCCAGAGCTCCATGAGCAGCGGGTAGCCGGTGAAGGTCTCCTGCCAGGGGGGCAGGAGGTTCTCCTCGCGATTGAAGCCGGGCAGGTCGTCGACGGCAGCAGCGCCGGAAGGGGAGGTTGGGGGAGGCTTGGGGTAGGCCTGCAGGATGATGGAGCTGTCCAGGCGGCGGCCCGTCTTGGCGAAGTCGACGGTGGTGCAGGGCATCTGGGCGTGCGGCATCTGCTCGACGTGCTCGGCGAGCATGTGGCGGACGGCGTCGCGGTGCGTCATGCGCGGCGCGGCGGCGGCCTTGTAGTTGATGTAGGCGGGGAGCGTCTCGAGCATGAGGGCGACGCAATCGAGCGACGCGGGCGTCTGGCGGCCGTGGATGACGGTGCCGAACTGCACCTCGACGTCCTCGGAGAGGCTGCCGCTGGCGTCAAGCTTGGCGACGGTCTGCGCCAGCGCCATCGAGTAGGCGGCCTGGGCGACGGCCAGCGCCGAGTGCAGGCCGTGTCGGCGCGTCATTTCGTTGAGGTCGTCAAGGCTGAGGCTCGAGAGGAGCGTCTCACATGCGACATCGCCGTTGCGGAACGACTCGGGGAACTCGCCCGGCGCCGGCAACGCGCGGTCGCCGAACTTGAACCAGCCGGCACCAGCACGCTCGCGCATCCAGTACAGGCTCGTCTCGAGCCAGTCACCGCTGTAGTGCGCCTCGATGGGAAGGCGCACGCCCTGCGGGCACTTGGTCGCGATGCCGGCGACGCTGGCCGGGTCCGCGTACGCGCGCGCAATCTCGCGCCGCAACACCTCGAGGCTGACACCGTCGTAGATCATGTGGAACAGCGACCAGATCATGACGCAGTGCTCGCGCGCCTCGTCGTAGACGAACGTGACGACCGCACCGGGCTGGTCCAGGCTCAGCACCTCGTAGGCCGACTTCTGCGCCTGCTCGATGGTCTTGGTCCACAGGCTGTCGGGCCGCTCGTCGTGCGCGGAGCAGATGATGCGCACGACGGGCAGCGCGGCGCGCGGCGAGTCCCGGGTCAGGACGACCTGCGCGAACGGCGTGAGCGGGTGCTCGACTGGGCAGGTGACGGTGCGGAAGGCGTCGTGCTCGCCGAGCACGGCGAGCACGGCGGCCTCGAAGCGGTCCAGGTCAAAGGTCGGCGGCACCTTGTAGGGGAAGTGCTCGATGTACGGCTTGGTGAGGCCCAGCTCGTCGACGCACTCTTGGAAGAAGGCGACCATGCGCGTCTGCATGCCGGTCGCGGGCAGCACGTGTGCAATCTCCTCGGCGGGGACGCCGAGGCCGGCAACGCACTGCGGGAGGCACTGGGCCTCAAAGTGCTTGAGCTTGGCGACGAGCGGGAGGAAGAGGAGCTCCTCCTCGTCCTCGATCTCGATCGGGCCGTCGTCGATCTCGGCGGCGGCGGAGTCCTGGGCGGCGGCGGCTTGCAGGGCGACGATGCGTTTGGCGAGGGCGTCGAGGCTGTTGCCGACCATGATGTCGTTGAGCGTGAGGCCCTCAACCTCGTACTCGCGCAGGGCCTGCAGGACGCGCATGCCCTGGAGACTGTCGATGCCCCAAGTATACAGCGGCACGGTAGCGTCGGCGGACGTGGCCGCATCTCCGATGACGGAGGCGATGGTGGCGACGATGAGCTCGCGGACGCTGTCCTCGCTGGTAAAGTCCACCGTCATCTTGGCGGCCTCGGCAGCCGCCGGGACCGGCGCGGAAGCGCCCAACGCTTCCTGCGCCCACTTCTGGAGCACCTTGCGGTCGACCTTGCCGCTGGCCGTGCGCGGGAGCTCCGCGAGCACCGTGTAGTCGCTCGGTCGCATCCAGGTCGGCATGGTGCGGTCCGCGACGTCGCGGCAGTCGGCGATGGCCAGCTCGCGAGCCTCGGGCGAGTCAGTCGCCTCGGCGAGCGAGATGTAGGCGACGAGCTGGGCCTTGCCGAGGACGACGGTGGCGACCTCGCGGACGCGCTCGGAGCGGGCGACGCCGGACTCGATCTCGCTCAGCTCCACGCGGCGGCCGTTGAGCTTGACCTGCTCCATGCTGAGGCGGCCGAGGATCTCGACCTTGGGCCGGCCGTCGGCGGCCCAGACGATGCGGCTGCGGTCGCCCGTCTTGTACACGGGGCCGAGCCCGAGCTTGCTGCCGTCCTTGAAGGCCGCGTTGGTCTCCTTGGGCCGGTTCAGGTAGCCGAAGCCGACCTGCGGGCCGATGATGGCCAGCTCGCCCGTCAGTGGCGACGGCGTCTCGACAAGCTCGTCCGAGTTGGGGTCGACGATGACGATGCCGGCGCAGCGGAGGCAGTCGCCGATGACGGAGCCGCGCGTAGTGACGGCCGACTCCTCCGTGGCCACGGCCATGGTGGCCTCGGTCGGGCCGTAGATGTTGATCAGGTGGCGCTGGGGCTCTCCTGGCCCGCGGAGCGAGTCGTGGGAGAAGTTGTCGATGGTGTACTTGTTGAGCAGCTCGCCACCGACGACCAGCGTGGTCAGCGAGGGCACTTTAGCCGGGCGCAGCAGCGTGGCCAGGCTGGGCACGGTGAAGATGGTGTTGGCCTGGAAGAGCTTGATGGTGCGCTCAATGTCAGTCAGCATGAGTGTGCGCTCGGCGACGCAGAGCGTGCCGGCGTTGCCGAGCGTGACGAAGATCTCGATGAGGCTGAGGTCGAACGTCGGCATGGCGAACTGCAGCCAGCGCAGCGCCGGGCCGACGGCCAGGTGCGGGAATGCCTCGTCGTGGCCGCCGATGGCGCAGCAGGCCGAGATGTGCGAGATGAGCACGCCCTTGGGCTTGCCGGTCGAGCCGCTGGTGTACAGGATGTAAGCGAGGTCCTCTTCCTTGGGCGTCCGGGGTTGCGCCGGCGCGAGGGACTCGACGGGCCGGTCGGCGCGCCAGGCCGACAGGTTGGCCATGTCGACCCAGACAATGTTCCGCAGGAACTCGGCGATGTGCGGCTCCGCGGCGTCGATGGCCAGGCCCGGGAACGGATTCGCCCCCAGGCCAAGCACGACGGGCGCCTCGATGTCCTCGAGGATGACCTGGACGCGCTCGGGGGGCGCGTCGAGCGGGAGCGGGCAGAAAGCGCCGCCGGCCTTCATGATGCCCATGTAGCCAGCGTAGAGCTGCGGGCAGCCGGGCAGGTAGAGCGGCACGATGCGCTGGCCGTTGAAGGGCTTGTGCCAGACGACTTTGGTCTCGAGAATGTGCAGCTCCTTCATCAGGTCCTCGGCGAGCGCGTGAACTTCGCCGTACGTCCACTTCTCGATGCTGCCGGAGGCGTCGGCGATGTACTCGATGCACGAGCTGTCGGGAGACTCGGCCGCGCGGCGCTCAAAGGCGCTGTGGAAGAGCGCGGGGCAGTCGGCCTCGCTGGCGTAGAGCGCGAGGTCGCTCTTGAGCAGCGGCGGGCGGCTGATCATGGTGGGCGGGCCATTTTGGCGGCACGAGAACGGCTCGGCCCTGTTCACGGACGGGTCGGCGGAGGGCTCGGGGGCGAGGTAGCGAGCAGCGAGCTCGAGGAGGTGGGTGGTAGATTGCGCGTGGCCGTTGCGGACGTCGACAAAGAGCTGAAGATCGGCGACGTTGACCTTTTCAGTAGGGCACACTGCGAGGACAAAGGTCTAGAAAGGAGAACGGTCAGACGAGGTGCAAACGGAAAATTGCTTGGCATATGCACAGTGAAGGAAGCTGCATTGAAGCTGCAGCCATAGACCACCACAGCTCGCTTCTTCTTACTTACACTAGATAGCTGCTTGGGAACTTTTGAGGCGCTCTCGGGTCCAATGATTTGAATCTCAAAATCGAGAAGCCCGTCGGCAATTGGAGCTGTGAGGGGCGAGGAAGAAATTGCTATGTTATCGGAAGAGAAGGATCGCAGTTGCTCGTTGATGCCAGGCGCCTTGGCCGTGACCAGCAGACGCTCGGAGCCGACATGGGCTGTGAAGGCGGCGTCTTCCAAGTCGGACACGGCGAGGACAAAGGCACCAAACGCCTTGAGCAAGGCATCGTTGGAAGCGAGTACCGGGGTCAATTGGCGGGACACTTGGTTATAGTCTGAGGGCGCCTCGTAGTGGCCGTCCTCGAGATTGCGAAAGGTAATGTCGAAGAAGGGCAGCTTGGTGCGGGGGAGACTGTTGATCTCTGGCGCCGCCATGGTGATGAAGTATGACTGATTTTATAAAGACACGCAGGATGAGGCTGGATAAGTGTATGTAGGTAGCTGTGATCAGATAACGGAGAGACAGGGCTTGTTAGAATAATGAGTGAATGAACAAAATGGGAGGAAGCCAATGTCGATGGTAGCGGCGTCCTCTATATTGTTCACCTCAAAAATAGAGTACCATTACTCTCATCAGCTACTCATCAGCTATGCACGAATCTCACGCGCAGCAGCCCAGAATCTTTTTAAGGCACTGGTCTGTTGACTCAATTACGGCCCTTTCTGTTTACGGTCCTGTAATACGCAGCTTTCCGCGGGCCCTTTTCCGTAAGACCACCATCTGATCCATCAATTTCGCAATGAAACCATAATAATAATGTCCATGACAAGCACGTTCCGAGGCAGAAGGGGTCAGGGATGGTCTGTGTCGATGCTCACGCTGTAGGGAGACTGCGCCGGCCCGCGCAGGGCCTCTCCTCGTTGGCCCTGGTCCGTCGTCGGGCTTACATTTGCTTACACCGGGGGAACCGACCGGATGCTTTATTAGGCGAAAAGAGGTGAGACGGTATAAGCACAACTTGCGGCTACCCAAGTTGGGCGCTGTGGGACTGCAGCTCTTGATTGTGCCGTCCCGCGCGCCAAGGATGAAAGATCTTCAGCACTATGGGTGTGGTTGATGCAGGCTGTGCCCTTATATTACAGACTCGAGTCTCCCTCGCTGGTAATCGGCGGACATGGTTGCAACGTGGGTTGGTTGTGGACACTACCTGGAGAGGCAGACAGACAGACTCCAACCTACAAGGGTGCTACCACTGATTTGCTTTTTTATTTTTTATTTTATTTTATTTGTATTTTTATTTTCTTAAAAAAAACGCCATAAGCAATGAAAAGAGGGATGTTCCAGCAAGGCAGTTTCCTACGAGTTGCGGGAATAACGCTACGCAGGGCTGAAGCTTCTAGAGCGAGCGCTACCAGGCAGTTAGCTCGCAACAGTTGAGGACTGCGGAAAAGTAATCATGTTGTTCGAAAGTTAGGTGGTATTGTTAAATAACCAACATGATGGATTGTTCAGTCGACCCTATGTTTTGTCACTCTCAGAGCCTGCACAGCCACACAACAGATGCCAGCCCCGAAACGCCTCCAAGTTTGCCTCAAGCTCTTGCTTGTTTCCCGGCCGAGTCGAGCTCAGCCTCAGCCTCAGGGCGGGAAATAGAACTGTGGCTTTGTTACGCGGGAAATCTTACCCAATTCGGATACCTTGGAGACGGAACGGCTTTCGGTTTTGGGACAGCCTTGTGCGGTAGATGATGCCGCTATTCCTCTTTAGGTATGCTTTGGTGCTGGTTACCTTTTCTTGTAGCAGATCGGATATCGGGTGCCCTGAAAGACTCACACATTTACACAGGTCCCTTGACCAAGACCTTGCAGGAAGCTAGCACAAGGAGTTTGTCCCCCGGAACAGCCTTACAGCTCCCCATGCCTCCTGCTCTCCCTTGCCCGGCTAACACGGCGCATCCTGAGACGTGGACACTTACGTGTGTCGAGCGCCATCTCGCTCTTTCGTGCCTTCGGCTTTCGTCGAGGCTACTTGCTAGTAAATACCACCGTACTGGTTGTGCGTTTCTATGCTGGATGAGGAAACTGCTCTCGTTCATCCGGCTGCTCAGGTCCGAACCGTCTTGGCAATCTGGGTCAAGTTAAAAGTCTCCTGCTACCTCGCCATCATCTAGATCTAGAATCACACTTCTGCAGTCATCAATCAACCCGCACAGCCCTCTCAACAATCTCCAACATGACCAGCTTCACGTACCGCGATGGCATCGCCGTCCTGCAGCTCATCGCCTTCATCCCGTGCCTTCTCTTCGCCACCGTCCTGTGCTTCAAGCAGGGCATCCGCGCCGTCTCCGCCTGCTGGCGCTTCCTCCTCATCCTCGGCCTGCTGCGCGTCATCGCCGCCATCTGCCAGCTGCTGCTCATGACCCACGACGACCGTAGCATCGTCGTCACCAAGCTCACCTGCGACCTCCTCGGCATCGCCCCGCTGACCCTCGCCGCCGTCGGCCTCCTCCGCCGCGTCAACGAGACGGCCCTGACGCTACCCAAGCGCGTCTTCCTCCTCGTCGACCTCGTCAGCCTCGCCGGCCTCGGCGTCGGCATCGGCGGCGCCGTCGAGGCCGTCGACAGCAACACCATCCCGTCCCTCCTCAAGATCGCGCTCGCCCTGTTCGTCGCCTGCCTGGGGCTCATGTTCTGCATCCTCGGCTGGCTGACCGCCTCCGTCAGCCTGCTGCCCCGGAACGAGAGGGTGACGCTCTACTCGGTCTACCTCTGCGCGCCGTTCCTCATCGTCCGCATGGTCTACGCCTGCATCGGCGACTTTGGAAACGATCCTCGGTTCAGCATCTTTAACGGCGATCCGACCATCTTCCTCTGCATGTCGGTCCTCGAGGAGATTATTCTCATGATCATCTGCCTCTACGTCGGCTACATGTACCCGCCCACTGCTCTCAAGAGCACCGCCCCCAAGCCTCGCTACATGAGCGAAGCTTGATAACCGTCAAAACTACCCTCTAGTTTATACACGAAACAATGAAAATACCGGGACAAGCGTTGCTTTTTTTATGTATATCTTTTTTACTGCAATTTGAATGACATGGCATGGCGTCCAGGGATCTTTAACAGCGCCATAGTCGGCGACAGTGACAGACTCACTCGGAGCAAATTTCAGGCTTGGTTTGAAAATAGAAATAATCATTATCAGAATACAGCTTCAGATTACTCAATAAACTTACACGACTTTAAATTTGCCCAACTTGTACCCCGCCTTGTCTCACTGCCCTCCACTTCCCCTTGAAGATGACGCCGTAAGAACCCCTCAGGCCGGCCCTGGACCATCAGCCACTGGGCCTCTGTCAGCACTTGTCTTATTCACGCCCCTTATTACTACGTAAAGTACTGTGTGCCCGCTGAGAGGCGGACATGCGACAAGCGATTGTTCAGGACATTGATTGATAGCTGTAAACTGTGGCGGGCAGGATTTGTGCGCAGGGCTGAATTCCGAATCCCGTCCTGCATGAATCGACGCGTAACACTCGGGCTGTGTCGCAAGAAAGCGACCAAAAAAGGCCAAAATAGAGGTTCAGAAAAAAATTAAACATTCAAAGGGAATTTGAGCATCTCTCTTGTGGAATGCTCAGCGGGTGTGGGAATTCAAGTTGCATAGGCACAAGCAGCGTTGCATCAGCACAACTCTCGGATCCAGGCGGGGAGGAGAGCTTACCTGTAAGCGCAGCAGCCTCACCAACCGGAATAGAGTGGCTCAGGTATATACGTGCGCTATTATCCCCGTCTAGTTTTATCGATTAGTTTGATGATTTGCTTGGAAGAAGGCTGGTGCTATATGTGGAATTATGGCCACCACCAAAACTGCGTATGCGCAAGCCATTGTTCGTGAGATGTCCGTAGCAAGAGAGTACGAAACGTACGTCAACGTGTTGAAAATACCTAGCTGGTTTATGTATAGACACCAAGACTGCGCCGTCTACATTACATGAGCACCCCTCTCATCAGCTTTCATATGTGGTTGACTAGCTTCTGGTATTGGCTTCTCCTCGACCATGTGTAGGGTAAGGAAGCATCGCACACGGGACCTGGGGTTACTGGTCTACGCAGCCACGGCTGGGGCGTAGGTTTACGAATCAACAATAGGTCACGATCACTTACATTTTTATCCTGGATAGCAATTTTGAATTTATAGAATTGTGATTTGATCTTTTGCAGCTGCTTTAACAATCTTATGTGGCTTGCCTTGGCGTAGCCTCGTCTCTAGTTATTACTTACTAGACTTGGAAGGTTAGCGACGGAAAGCGGGCGCTTCGTTGTCATCATCCTTCTCAACGCCCAGCAATTCATCACCGGCATTAGAATACGCATCGCTTGGTAAAGCCAGTCTACATACGGGTAAAAGCTAAATACTTCAAAAATACCTCACGAACCTTGGAGCAAGCATGGCTTCGCAGGATCCACCACCGTCGGCACGCGCCGAAGCTGCAGCGTATATCTCGCAGACCAGCTTCCATAAAAAGTTCACCATACCGGCCACGTCCAGCCATGGTGAACTGACGTTCAGCTACAGTGATGTCGGCGCGACTCCGGAGGAGCAGACGGATGCGGCACAGGTCCCGGTTGTCCTCTTCCACCCAGGCCTGTTTGCCTCGCGATATGTGGGAGTGTCCTTGCACGCGTTGGCTACGCATCTGGGGATCCGCGTGCTCACCGTCGATAGGTACGGCATGACCTGATACATTGGCTACATGGCTTCACTTTCAGCTAACCGCGCGCCTAGGCCGGGGTTCGGCAGCTCCACGGCGGTTCCTGTCGAGAAGCGCGTCGACACCTGGGTCGAGTTTGTGCCGCTGCTACTCGCCCATCTCGGCATCCCGCACATAACGATCGTGTCGCACTGTGCCGGAACAGTCTACGCACTCAACCTGCTCTACAGGTGTAGAGATCTCCTGAGCCCCGAGCGTCCAATGGCTGTGTTGATGGGTATGCAGACCGATGAAACGAGGAAGTCCAACTGCTGATACTGTGAATAGCACCCTGGGTCGACCCGCAACACTCTAGAATGACAATGATGCAGGCGGCACAGTATATCCCGTCCCCCGCATACTCGCTTTTTAACGGACTGAGCCGCTTCGCAGCTCGCGGCATGTTGACGACGGTTTCCAGCAGTGAGGCCGTCTTCAACGCTTTCGGCATGGGACAGCGATCAGAAGCAGAGGAGCAGACCGTTCAAAGCTGGGCAAAGGACAATTCGATGAAGCTCGAGCGAGAATGCGGCCTGTCCACCAAAATACAGGGCGCCCTACAGCTTCAGACCGTGGAGCACATCTTTTCGGAAAACACGACCGGTTCGAGCGACGAGGCTCGCCACTGCGCGCGAAAATCGGCGCCTGGTAGCTGGGGGAAAGCAGACGACTATTCGGTTTTTGTGGAGGAGGTAGCCCGACAGGAACGTTCGAGGCGCGGCGGCGACGCAGATGCAGCCTCGCCGGCGAAGCTGAAGGTGATGGCCTTCTTCGCCGCCTCGGACCACATCATAGGCGAGGGAGGCCGAGGGTACGTGGAAAAGTGCTGGAATGGTAAGGCGGGGGATTTTGGCGATGCCTTCGAGTTTAGGTCCAAGACTGTTGCTGGGACTGGTCATGATGAGCTTGTTGTCGGGTTTGATGTCTGGAAGGAGATTGTCGCCAACATTCGTGGTAATGAGGTTCCGTAATGAGTCAACTGTTCATAATAATGGAACCTTTTCCGATGAGACGGATTCCTGTAAATTGATTGCGTTGCATCATGAAAGTCGGCGTTTGAGCGATGGTTGCACGAGGCCATCTCTGACTGTTGGAGCACTAACTTATAATAAGAACTGACTATGTACTTATAGCCGTGCTGCATTCTAGCGGTCAAGACTGAGCGACGAATGTCGGGAGAGAGGTACACCGCTCGAGACTTGATCTCTAAATTCAAACTGCTTTTATTGGTTGACATTGATCTCAGTTCTCATAAGCTTGCTAGTTGGGTGACAGGCGTTTAGTGAATCCATTGTGCACAAGGCTGTCGGCTCGGCGGATCTGCAAATGAAGAGGGGTCATCAACCAACGACGTCAGCTTCGCAACAACCACCTCCTGGCATCTGCTTTCCACCACAGCCCTTTTTGTAGTTTTCCAGAGGCATCAAAAAAAAGAAAATCATCAACGATTTCATCATGAGCAAACATAGCAGCCGCAGATCTGGCCACTCTACGGACAGCGAAGCCGCATGGCATTACTTTAAGCACTCGGGTGGCAAACGCACCAACACCAACGCTATACTCGCCACAGCCCTCAAGAAGCAGTATCCCACCCTCCATCTGAGCATCGTGCCAGCGTACACCGCCGACATCCTAGCCTTCGCATCCAGCGGACAGGCCAGCTTCACCGAGGTCGAGGACGACACCGGCGACGACGGCGTCCCCGCTTCGCTCGGCCAGAAGCTGTTCGTGCCGCCGCCGAGGCGCGGCGACGGCGGCGTCGTCATCCGCGCGCCCACCTTTGCCAAGTTCCTCTACCAGCACGGGGGCCACGAGTTTATCGTGTACCTGGCGCGCGCACAGGACGGCACGTACGACGTCCAGGACACGTACTACATCCTGTCGACCGACGAGGCGCGCACCGACGCGCTCGTGCGGGCGGCGGGCGCCTGGGCCAGCGTGCTGCACAACGAGATCTGGGTCTTTGACGGCGGCTTCTGGCGCAAGGACGCCGGGCTCTACGCGAGCGTCATGAAGGCCTCGTGGGACGCCGTCATCCTCGACGAGGAGATGAAGACGGCGCTCATCGAGGACCACCTGTCCTTCTTCCGGTCGCGCGCCACCTACCGGAACCTCAAGGTGCCCTGGAAGCGAGGCATCATCTACTACGGGCCTCCCGGCAACGGCAAGACCATCTCGATCAAGGCCATGATGCACACGCTGTACAAGCTGACGCCCGAGGTCCCTACGCTCTACGTGCGAACTCTGGCTTCGGTACGTCCACAGGCCCCCACGCTCTCTCGGCTTATACTTGACCGGTGAACTAACAGCCACACAGTTCTTTGGTCCTGAAGATTCCATCAAGAAAATATTCGCTCGCGCTAGGCAGTTTGCGCCCTGCTACCTAGTCTTTGAAGATCTCGACTCACTCGTCTCCGACAGCGTGCGGAGCTACTTCCTCAACGAAGTAGACGGCCTTCAGTCCAACGACGGCATCTTCATGATTGGCAGCACCAACCACCTCGATCGCCTGGATCCCGGTATAGCTGTACGTATTACCTCGCGTCCCAACCTCGCCACAGCTAACGGATAACCAGAAACGTCCCTCGCGCTTCGACCGCAAGTACCTCTTCCCCAACCCCAACCTCAAGGAGCGCATCGCCTACTGCCACTTCTGGCAGTCCAAGCTCGCGGGCAACAAGTCCATCGAGTTCCCGGACAAGCTGTGCGAGGCCATCGCCGGGATCACCGACGCCTTCAGCTTCGCCTACATGCAGGAGGCCTTCGTCGCCGCCCTGCTCGCCATCGCGCGCAGCGAGGGCCGCGACGACGACGACGACGACGACTCCGTGGACGACGAGTACGGCGTGGCCACGGTCGACCTGGCCGACGAATGGGTCGGCGTGGTGGACCCGGCCAGCCGCGACGACGTCGACCTGGAGCACCTGAAGCTCTGGGTGGAAATCAAGAAGCAGATCCGGATCCTCCGCGAAGGAATCAAGGAGGATCCGGAGGAGTAGCTGATAAGGGCCCTCCAGGAACGCCACCGGACGTTGCGACCAATATTTTATAGGTAGCAAGTTTTTCTTCGTTATTTCCTAGCTTCGTCAAAATGCTCATGTGTACAACTCGGCACCCTATTATGCCCGCCCATCCGCCCTCAGTCTCTTCATGCGCTGACCACGATGTTCCCAGTGAGGCGGATGTCCCTGCTACTCGCACCGACGTATATCTTGTAGTCTCCCGGCTGCAGCGCCCATCTCTGCTGCACCACATCCCACTGGCTAAAGTCCCTCCTCGTCAGCTCAAACGTCACCCTGCCCGCCTCCCCCGGCTCGAGGCGCATCTTCTCGAAGCCGCGCAGCTGCCTCGGCGGCGCTCCCGGGATGCCCAGGTACAGCTGCGCGACCTCGTGTCCCGCCACGGCGCCCGTGTTCTCCACGCTGACCGCCACCTGGGCGACCACCTCGAACAGCTCGTCCAGGCCCGCTTCGCCGATCACGCCCCTGTGCACGCTGTGCGCCGAGACGGACAGCGCCGAGTAGGCAAACGTCGTGTAGGTCAGGCCGAAGCCAAACTCGAAGCGCGGCGTGACGTTGCGGGCGTCGAACGCGCGGTAGTCCAGGTACTGGCCCTCGTCAAAGTCGCACTGCGGGTCCGTCCCGTTCGCGCGCCGCCCGCACGGCTGGTACACGGGGTAGTCGGACTCGTTGCGCGCCAGCGTGTACGGCAGACGGCCGGAGAAGCCCGCCTCGCCGTGGAGCAGGCGCACCAGCGCGCGCCCGCTGTCCTGCCCCGGCAGGTGCGCCAGCACCGCCGCCGTGACGTTGGGGTGGTCGATCCAGCTATCCACCAGCCTCACGCCCGCCGCGTGCACCACCACGATGGTATTGGCGCACCGCGCCGCGACGTGCAGCACGAGGCCGTCGCTGAAGTCGTCGCGCAGGCCGTCGCGGTCCCAGCCCTCGGTGGCCATGGCGTTGACGAACACCAGGCAGGCGTCCGAGGCCGGGTTGACCTGCGGCGCGCCGGAGGCGGTGTCCCAGTTGACCCAGGTGCCGTCGCGCGCGGCGCGCTCCTGCAGGGCGTGCAGCGGGTCGAGGATGTACGGCGGCGCGGTGGCGGCGGCGCGGCCGCCGCTGATGATGGTGCCGAGGCGCGCAGCCTGGTCAAAGTACGCCTCGGTGCCGAGCACCGCCTGCGCCATCTCCGGCGACGAGTAGTAGCCGAGCTGGAACAGGACGTCCGTGTTCTTCGTCGCCGGCAGGGCCGCGTCGTAGCCAAAGACCGACAGCATCTTCATCTTGCCCTTGAAGGGAAGCGCATTGTTGGTGTTCTTGACGAGCACGTGGCCGGCTTCGGCGCCTTCCAGGATGGTGGGCGCGGACGCTGGGCTGCGGGCGTCGACGAGCTCGTGCGGCTCGGTCAGGTTCTTCATGCCGACGCCGGGCGCGGGGAAGTCGCGGTCCTGGCCGACGAGGTACCAGGAGGCGACGATGCGGGTGGCCATGTCGGTGACGCGTGGCTCGGGGACGGTGCCGTTGCGCACGGCGTCGGTCAGGTTCCGGCCCCAGCTGCCGCCGAGGGGCATGAGCATGTCGAGGCCGGCGTTGGCGCTGCCTAGGTTATGCTGCGCGTTCCAGTCGAGCATGACGAAGCCGTCAAAGGCGAGCTCGCCCTTGAGCAAGCCGTTCATGAGTTTGCTGTTCTCGCAGCCGTACGTGTTGTTGATGCGGTTGTACGAGCACATGACGGACCCGACGCCGGCGCGCACGCCGTCCATGAAGGGCCACAGGTAGTACTCGTGAAGCGTCTTGTCGTCGACGTTGGAGGAGGCGGCTTCCACTCCAAAGTACGGACGGCGAAGAGTTTCCTGCTCGTTTGCAATGAAGTGCTTTCCTTTTCTGTCAGTCATTACTTCAGCTCAAGTAGCAGAGGTGCGCACCGTACCTTGATGTTGGCAATGACGCCAGCCTTTTGAATGCCGGTGATGGTTTCCGCGTTGAGCTGACCAGACAGATAGGGGTCCACGGAGAAGCCTTCCCAGTTTCTACCACCCAGGGGCGTGCGTCCCAAGGGGCCGGCATTCGGACCGAGGGCAATGTTGATGCCCTTTCCCTTGAACTCGCCTCCCATGTAAAAACCACGCTGATGCGTCAAGTTCCTGTCCCAGCTTGCGCCGGCGTGCAGCGCCGAGGGGTACGCGTTGACCAGCTCGGCGGCCCGGACGCCGTTTCCGGCATCGTGAAGGCACATGCCGGGCCAGTTGAGGCGCGGCACGGAGCCGGTGGTCCCGGCGCAGGTATTGTCCGCCTTGAAGCCGCGGGTGATGTTGACCTTTTCCTCGAGCGTCATCTGAGCAACCAACGCGCGGGCATTCTCGTAGGCGACAGCCCACTGCCCTTTGCCTTGACCCTGAGCTATTTGTTTGCAAGAAAGGGCAGTTAGAAGAGGCCTGGTAAATACGCTGAAATGTCATGGAATAAAAAACTCACGGGTTGGATACACATCTGGTGAGGTAGCTCTGCCGGCCACAGGCGCGGGCAGCAAAAGGCCCGCCAGGCTGAACAAGGTAGTCGCAGAAGGTCTCATGATGCAGGAAAGCTATTGAGTAGTTATCGGGTATAGGAGCCTTCCCAGTCGTAGGCAGCGGAACGGCCCAGAGCCTTGTTAAATAAGAAACCAAAATTGCCGAACCAAGGAATGGTGAATGAGGAAGGATGGACGGGGAGCCGTTGGCAGCGTCCGGCGCGTTGTCGGGCCGGGGAACAATGCCGCAAATTCGGACCGATGAGCCGCCTACCTACCTAAATAGTTACTGCCTTGGTATTGGGTACGGAGTCCTCCGTCAAAGTACAATGACGTTGAGAGCCTCGTTGTGGGTGCCGAGGGGGGGCTTTGGACTCGGGACCCCAGAAACAGCAGGTCATGCGGTGTAGCCGGTGTGTGGGTAATTCCAGTCCAGTATAACGGGAGATGCAGCTTGTATTCCGTCGCCAAGAACCTTGGGAACCAGGGCGTAGAGGAGGAAGCTTCGGCGCTTCTTCATAAGAAAGAAAGGAGAGTTAGTTGTCAGTTGCTGCTAATCGGATCGCCTCCCGCTGGTCCCCGGAAAGCCCATTTTGATTTGACCCCCACCTATGTACCTACAGTATGTACAGTATGTACCTACCTTTGTACCAGCTGTATATATGTACATAACTACGGATAACTAACTAGTCAATAACAATTCCCACAAGAAGGTTGTTGATCAATCAATATGACCGACGGGTTTAGAAGCCGGAGCAGTTGCAGCTGTCGACCTCAAGCCACACTGTAGTTGACAGGCATCTTGCGGCAAATCCTATTGGTACAGAAACAATGAAACTGCGGTGAGATCATCGCGGTAACACGAGGCGGGATGAGCGAGGACCGGAATGCCTCCATTCAGTATGACAAGACAGGCTATCAAGACGGAATAATAATTCCCTCATGGATATACATCAGTTATCGTTTGTCTCATTAATTTCGTAATCAATCTCAGCGACATCATCACCGTGGGGTGGCGAGGTCCAAGGAGAGAAGCTGTTGCCACACATGATGGACCCTTACCTCCCTCCCCCTCCGGGATAATCGAATGCAACTCAAGAGCATGTCATGAGTTGCAAGCATTCTAGTCCTAATTCCGGCATTTACGCTCCTCGTAAATAATGTCCGCCGCCAAGTTGGCCATGGCATATGTCGCGACCTGCAAATGAGCCGTGATGGCCACGGGAAAGACAGAGGTGTCCACGACACGCAGCCCTGCCACTCCCTTCACACGCAACTCTGCGTCGACAACCTTGCCCATCGCCGCTGTACCCATGGGGTGGTACGTTGATCTATGTATGTACATAGCTTCTTGTTAGCATTCCGTCCTAGCAAGTTCCCCTACGACTGATCCCGCCTACCCTAGACCTGCGGCGAAGCGCTTCTCAATGTACTCATCTGTAGAGTCGGTCGTGAAGACCTTGTCGAAGCCCGGAGCACCCGCATCGCCGGCAAGGACATCACGACCGAGCGGCGTCTGTCCCTCGGTCAACGCAAGTAATCGTCGCATTCCATCCCGCGCAACAAATCTGTCCACTGCTGTCGCGTGGTAGTTGGGGTCGATCAGCGGCGCGTCCTTCACATCTGCAGATGCGAGCTTGACGGTGCCCCGTGATGTCGGCAGAAGATTGATCCTGGCCGTGCTGATCGTCGATCCGTCGGGCAATCCGGCATACAGGAGAATGTATTCGTTGAATGTGCGATCCTGACTCAGCAGAGGATGCGTTTCGGGGTCAGGTTTGCAGCCCTCGTCCTCTTCAATGGCACGTGCGAGGCCGTCCTTGTCGCTGACACCAGCTGACACCAGGAAATCAGAGGGAGTGCCCCAGCCATGCCGCGTCTCGCTGAACAGAGGGTTGTCCGAGCCGAGTGCGTGTCCGGCCGAGGGATCCTTCAGCTTCCACATGACGCGAAACAGGCCGTGGTCAGCCAGGTGCCGCCCAACATCCGGCGCATCGACCTTGGCAATGATGCCGTGCTTGGCCAGCTCTGACGGCGGCCCGATGCCAGACAGCATGAGAATCTGAGGAGTGCGCACCGCACCGGCAGACAGGATGACCTCCCTACCTCTAACCTCCGTTCCGTTGCCAAGCTGGATGCCAACCGCACGCTGCGGTCTGTCAGCGTCGGCGTCGGGCTCCAGGAGGACCTTGGCCACCAACGTGTCGGTCAACACCGAGATGCCGTCGAGAGGGTACACGACGGAAGCGATCTGGCGACGACCCTCGTGCCTGTTCTCGAACAAGTCACCGACGCCGTTGGGCTCGCCCGCGTTGCCGTCCAAGCATGGCAGCATGTCGATCCCGATGGCCTTCCAGGAATCGAGCACCTTTTCGCGCAGAGGGTACTCGCGATTCGTCGAGACCACGCCTTGGACGGAAACGGGCCCTTGCGTACCGTGCTGCTCGGGGTTGACGGAGGCGTTCGCGACTCTCTCGGTCTCGCGAAAGTACGGGAGCAGGCCGTCGTAACTCCAGCGATGTTCGCCCACCGTCTCTGCCCAGAGGTCATAGTCTCGCCTCGCGCCACGACTCCATCCTCCTGCTCTGATTGGTTACCAAATCACGACAACAGTGTGCGACGAGGCCATGGCTGGCTAGGGAAAAGAAACCACCATACCTGAATTGATGACCGTGCCGCCACCGAGTCCCTTTCCGCAAGGTAGGTCGATTTGCCGCCCGTCGAGGTGAACTTGCGGGACGGTCTTGTATTTCCAGTCGTACTCGCCGCCTATTAGGTTGGTCGAGTTGGGGTAGACTATGCTCTGATCATTGCTTGCATCCGCGCCAGCCTCGACGACCAGGATCCTGAGCGCCGGGTCATGACGGAGTAGGCGGTTGGAGGTGACGGAGGCCGAGAGGCCTCCCCCGACGAAGATGTAGTCCCACAGCAAACCCGGTGAACCGATGTCGTTTTTGTCTCGCCACATGCCGAGCATTTATGAGGGAAGACGGGGTGTGCAGCGCGGGGAAGTGTCGCCAGTCGGCAGTGAGCCGCCTGCATAGATACTGGAGACGAAGAATCAGGCTGCTGTGCAGCTTGCCAATGGGAATCTACGGGGAATTCTAACGACTAAAGGTGCTTAGTGAATGCTGCTAATGCACGTATTGCGCAAGTAGGATTTAATAGCTGGCCATGAGGAGCGGAATAGGCCGTAATTAATTGACTGGTGATCCTCTCTCTCTGTCTTCCCCTACTGTGCAGCGCCATCCCTGAGCAGCTTTGAGCGGTAATCGGAGCCTATCACCCTCTCCCCGAGCAACAAGTCCGGTATGGGGTTGTAATTACAACTTTTAAAAAAGGAAAAAGGAAAAAGAGCAGCGCCAAGCGAAATTGACGTGAATTGCCGTGAAGCATGTCTTAAACATGCATGCACGCCATGGAGCGACCCATTTTCGCACGTCACGAATCTACTGGTAAAAAAAGGGTTTAACCGAGTTGGGACGCTGAGTTCTAGCTTCTAGAATGAAACGTCTTGCGGGGCTTCTATATGATTTGTGACAGAGTTCGTCGGCGGGAGTCTTGGCTTTTCGGACATTACTTACTTATTGCTGAATCCTGTCAACATCGCTGACGAGTTGTAGAGCAAGATCTAGTTGATGATGATGGCATCGAGGGAACTGCCTCCCCAAATAACGGAAGTAACAGTGCAAGATCATATATTAGGAGACGTCCCGCATTGCAGGGACCTATAACCCCGACTTTATTAGCATCCCGGCTGTGAGTACTAACAGCCCCGAGCAACCACAATTGTCCCGAGAACCAGACAGTACTTATTATTCAAGTGCATCTGGGAACTCCTCACCTCTTCGTATGTTGGTTGGTTGGTTGGTTGCTTTGGCCTTCCTCTCAACAGTCAAGATTGGCAACGCAGGTCGCAGCAGCTGCAACTGTCAGTCAGTGGACCACCGGCTAAGTTGGCCTCCAAACCCAGCTACCGTCAAGGTTACAGCCAGTTTGCCAGATACTATCCGTAGTGGACGCGGGAGTACAGGGCAACAGGGGTGGTTGGCAGGGTTCAGAGCAGCTCCAGCTGAAGCATCTCTCACCGAAACGCCCAGCATCGTATGCACGGAAAAAGGCTAATTAAACGTTGGTGCGGTGAAGGGAGAGGGGATCCCCAATCTATGGATACAGAACAGGCCATGGTCGCGTTTCGACGCATTGGAGTGTCCGGGGCAAAATCGCCAAGTGAGCAGCAGTCTATGGTTGGCTCCAGGAACCAACCCCTGCTTCCCGGACGCAGCTAGTAGGGTAGTTTGTTCATGGAATCTTGGCAGTTACCGAAGTATGGCGGGCGGTGGTGGCAGGGAGACATTTGCCTCCTTCGAAAAAGCTTATGTAGTGTACGGCCGGTGGTGATAGGTTCACATCTGGCCATACACTGACTCGGGCGTTCATCATCATGCGCCGATTAGACGATAGAGGAGTGCCATCAGGTCAGCTCACGTTGTGAATTATTGAACCCGCGCCTCTCTATTGGCGTCCCAAGCGCAAACTTTGGGGTAAAATAGATTGTGGGTGGGTGGAGGAGGCAACCCATTGACACTCGTTGAGGCAGGTGTCAGTTTCTTGAAATAATAATAAAGAAAAGTCTCGACACAGGGAGGGAGAGGAAAGGAAAGAAAGAGAGTCACAGGCCACGGCAGATAACTAGTTGAGAGAATGAGCAAGGTTATGAATTGTTCCAGATGAGCATGGGTTTGCCACAGCCCATCCATGCTCAACTGGGATCCGGCGGGCGCCACTCAACAAGATTCTCATGTAGGAATATTCACAAGTAAAAAGTACTCGGCACAGTGAATGAGGGTGGTGTATAAACTAGCTGATGAACGAGCCGGCCCTCAGACGGCTCAGTAGATCGGACCGGCGCCGCTAATAATAACTGCCTGGAGGTACAGTGCACAGAAGATCAGAAGCGCCGAGGTAAGAAACAAGATGCAGTTGGACCCCATAGTTATTAGCTAGTTAGTTGCCTCGAGTCTCCTCCAGTGGAAGGCTAGAAGCAAACTGTGGCGTCGTGAGACATGGACTTGGACGTGCGCCCACCGTTGCCGTGCCCCTGCATCTACGTTTCCATCTTCTCATAACGAACTACGAATTCATCCATTTCTTCTTTGCCGTTTTCACACATATACGTCCTCGTCGCCAACCCTTCCCGCACCCTTTCTTTGCCCAAGACGTCGGATGTCGAGCGCTGCTGCTCAAAGTTTCCCCTTCTACTAAGTAGTTGTGATGGCTCAGCAGCGGCGCAGAGTTAGCGCGCGCCCGACGACCAAGACAGCCATCACAGACTGCTGGGCAGAAGACGAATAAAGGCCAAAAAAAAAAAAAAAACCGGGGGAGGATAAAAGAGAGAGAACAACTATTGACCATGGCCGCCATGACCCCCCCTTTCAGTGCCGTGATAACACGCCGGCACCCGCCCATCACCCACGCCGGCGCCGGCCTCATCGCCACGGCCATCATAGTGCCAGTCATCGCCACGCTGTGGACGTTTCTGCGAATTTGGACTCGGAGGATAAGAGGCGTCTCAGCGTGGTACATCGAAGATGTCTTATGCTATCTTGCAGTTGTAAGTCAACTGGTACTTCGACATCGCTCGCCCCTTCCTCGGCTGACTTTCTCCCGGCTAGTTCTTCTTCTGGGGCCTTGGGATCAATTACATCTGCAGTACGCACCTACAGCGCTCCGTCGCATTTCTTGTACAAGTGACCAGCTGCTAACATGTCCCTCCTGCAGCGGTGACGCTCGGCGGCGCCGGCAACCATCTTCCCCGGCTGACGGGGGCCGATGACCGCGCCCGATTTTCCCAAACCACCTTCGCCGCTCAGGTCCTGTACGCCCTGACGCTGGGATGCACCAAGATGAGCATCACCTGGATGATCAAGCGCATCTTCTTTGAAAACTCCCGTGCTTGGATCCCCTACTGCCTCATGGCTGTCAACTTTTGCTGGATGGTGCAGACCATCTTAACAGGCCTGTTTCTCTGTCGCCCGATCACACTGAACTGGGACCCTGATGGTCGAGGCACATGCGGCAACAAGGCCGTCGTGTTCTCCGCGGTTAGCATTGTCGACATCATCACCGATCTGTTAATCATCGCACTCCCTGCTAAGATGCTCTGGGGTATCCAAATGCGGACAAGTTACAAAATCGCTGTTGGCTGCATGTTCGGTGCTGGTTTGATGCAAGTCCCCCTTCCCTTATCGCTCTCGATGCGTTTTGCATTTTAACAGTCTGTCAGCACGATTGCATTTACTACCGTCCGACTATACAGCGTCATCACCCTCGACTTTTCCGACCTGACTTACAACTTTGTGTCCATCTCCATCCTTGGCATTGTCCAAGCCGGCGTCGCCATCATCGTCGCCACTGCGCCTCTTCTCCGCCCTGCTTTCGACCGCACCGTCGAGTCTTGGTCTTATTCCTTTGGCCGTGGTCCTCCAGCATCGACTGCTCGAGCGTCAAAGGGGAGGCTGTCACGTCGCAGAGTCTCAGCGCATGCTAAAAGCTCCACGTGTGCCTCGTCGCTCAGCATCAGCAAGAATACGAAACCGCTCCCTGGGTTTAGGCAGTTGACCGAGAGTGAGGAGAATCTGCGGTGGGAGCTGGACGTCATGCATGCTGACAAGGGCAAGACTCTGACAGAAGTGTCCAACGCGCGGAATGGCTCCGGTATCGATGAAGAAGAGCTTCCGTCTGGCCAGATAAAGGTCACGCAGTCCACACAAGTCTCCCGTGGATAATCTTACATGAATCACATGATACCTCTATATATTTCTCGGATGTTACATTAGCCCTTTTTTACGTATCCTCTTTACCAAGGTTCTGCATGTAGACACAGAGCGGCGGTTGGCCTTGGAGTCAACGGTCTTTAATACTATATACGACCACAATACAAGGAGGAAACAAACAGGATATGAGGAACAAAACAGAACCGTTAGGTACAGCCTGCACTTGAAACGGTAGTATTTGGGCCGGCCTGGTAACTTTGCTGTCGCTTCACTCCATCCAACGCACGACTGTCAATGGCACAGTCGCCAGCCACCACACCTTGGGTAGCTCACCATCACGCACACAGTTACAGCAGCCCGAGGAAGCATATGAAAGACACCCTTGGACAATTTTTTCATTTAATCTGAATATTCGTCTGGCCTGCAATAAAACAATAAATCTCAATAGAAGTGGGTCACGTGATCTTGGGACTTGGCTGCTTGGACAAATCTAAGTCTATCTATCTCGAGAAATTGCAAGTCAATGATTTCACCTTGACTGGAATTTTCGATCCTCATTTTCTCTGCTCTTCATACTTTAAGTCGTTGATCCGCCGCCGCGAACAGGTGAGGCTGGCTGGCTGCGGTGCAGAACTGGTGATTTGCCCAAGAGAAGTGCCCCGCCAAAGTTTTTCGACACTAGCAGCAGGCTTCAGCCTGGCGATCTGGAGGCACCTCAAAAATCTTGGCCATACAATACCACAACGCGAACCAACGCAACAGCGCTTCCACCTACAGCAACGAAACGACGATACAATTCAGACGGCAGACTCCTGGACGCTCCAAAATAGCATAATAGACGGTAACAGACAGCCGCGATGAGGCTCACCGCAGACCTCATTCGGGATTCCCTTTCCTATCTCAACCCTCTCAAGGAGCGTGAGCTTGACCTTCGAGGTGCGTTTGAAAAGAACAGATACTACATGACTTGATGGCCTTGGGGGCAGGATATATTCATTCGTTATTTTTTTGGCATTTCGCAGGACACCGCATTCCCGCCATCGAGAACCTGGGTGCCGCCGGGGTGAGTAGTCCTGACAGCCCCCACGTTTACCGCCTCGAGGATTCACTTCAACTAACCACGACCCCTCCGGGCAGCCTCACGACTCAATCGACTTTACCGATAACGACATACAAGTGCTTGGCAACTTCCCCCTATCACCGCGCATAACGACGCTGCTGCTGGCGCGCAACCGGGTTGCCAGCATCCAACCGACGATTGCCAAGTCGATCCCGAACCTGAAGAACCTGGTGCTCGCGTCAAACAATGTCGCGGAGCTGGCAGACCTGGATGTCTTGGGGAAGATGTCCCGTCTGACGCACCTGGTACTGGCCGATAACCCCGTCACCAAGAGAGAGGTATGGATGCACCTTGTCGCGTGACGATGGCCCAAACCCAGAGCACGTTTTTAACGAAGAACCTCTAGAACTACCGCTACTGGATCGTTTGGAAATGCCCATCCGTGCGCTTCCTCGATTACCAAAAGGTCAAGGAAGCAGAGCGCGAAAGAGGGCGCGAGCTGTTCGGCACCGAGGAGGAGCCGACCGCGCTCGCCGCCAAGGTGCGTCTTACCCAGCAGCTTTTGACTTTCGCAGCGCCGCCGATGCTAACCTCTGTCGATGCACAAAGATCATGGGTAGAAAGACCAAGTTTGACGCGGCGGCCAATGGCGATGCGGAGCCACGCTCGAAGCTCTCAAGGATAAAATTGACCGACGACGAGAAGAAGAGGCTACAGGAGCGGATCAAGAAGGCGACCAGCTTGCAGGAAATCATCGCGCTGGAGAAGGAGTTGAACGAAGGGCGCGTGCCGGCTGGCGTTCTCGGAGATCCCATGGAGGAGTAAACGCGGCGCAAACCTGGATTGATCACTTGTGGATTTTGTTTATTTGAGGGGTTCCATTTGCATTTGGTTCGGTCAGGCAAACAAGCTATAACCCATGGTGTTTTCGGATTTATTTAGGGTGTTAGATGACAAAAGAACATTCCCTTCCATCCACCCGTCCATTTTCCATGAATACAGTGCATACGCTGCCCAAATCGACATGGCCCGCTACCTACTGACCACCCATGCGGACGTCATGGTTCCTGGGCTCGGCCGCCTGCCTCATCTCGAGTTCCAGCTGGTCATTCGGCTCGTACCTGTCGTCTGACCGCAAAGCAACGCTAAAGGCAGCTCGATCCCCATTCACAAAGGTGTTGCCGTTCCCGTTGGGCGGCGCGTCCTGCGTGGACTGGAGCCCCTCGTCCGAGGTGACGTTTTCACCGCGAAGGCGGGCTTGTGTGATTTTGGCCAGGGCCATGGCCTTTTTGAAAGGTATCGTCTTGGGGACAGTGTCCTCCAGGAATTCAAGACTGTCCTGGTGCGCCACTGCGTTGGCTGATGACAGCATGAGTGATCAGTGCCCGATTTTGAGTACAGCAGAAGGAACATGGACAAACGTACCGACATCCTTGTATTGGATGTTCTTGCGTGGCTTCTTATCTAGCTTGGCTTGGGTGTGAGCCTCGTTGGCGAGATGCTGAATGAACATCTCCTACTATACTGTTAGAGTATATTCGGATGAAATTTCCCGGTTGTTATGGACATACTGCAGCCAAGGTAATGACAAAGGCAGCATTGTTGGAGCACATAGCTACATCTGGATCTTGGCCGATGATCTTTTTCACCCTGGACACTAAAAGAATTTAGCACTTGGAAAAAATGGTATATCGGCCTCTGATTTGTCTTACAAGGAAGCTGAGTCTGCCCAGTCGGCTCTTTTCTGGGCGGAATCGCTGTCGTATTGTAAGGCATCATGGATATGTTGTGAAGGGTTTCGTTGAGGGTGGATAATAAGAACGACTTGTGCCGTAACGTGTCTCAAATATTAATGTACTGATATATCGACAAGTACCATGTTCTGGCTGAGACGATGATAGTAGAGGATTGGCAATGCACTGGGTAATGGGCGATGATGCGACCGTGTTGACGCAAACAACGCGACAAAAGTCAAAGCCAAAGAAGTACTTTACGCGTGGATTGCCATAGCGTGGCGGTGCGTGGGTCTTTTCGTGGTGGCATTATGGCTCGGCCGACCGCTGAAGCCCCTGTCTTGCGCAACCTTGTTAATAAACCTGCAAGTCGACTTCAGCCCAGCTCGTACCACGCTGGCCACAATATCGACAATTTCCTCGCAACTTCTACGCCGAATACCATTATTTAACAACACTCGATCCGCCCGATTCAAAAACCTTGCCCGAACCCGACCCTTCTTCGCCGAGGACCTCATTCCGCCAGCCGCGGCGCCCGTCCGTCAGCTCCCGCCTCTCCTTTGCCATGTCGCACGCCGAATCCGGGGAGGGCCGCGGCGCCGCCGCTCCCGCGCAGGCGCAGATCGCGGAGGAGATTGCCGAGATCAAGCGCTACGAGGACTTCACCACCATCGACTGGGTGCAGGACGCCGCCCGCGAGCAGGCGAGGCGCGAGGCTAAGCAGCGGCGCGCGGCCGGCCGGCACACCCGAGGGCTGGCGAGCTGGCGCCATCGCCTGTCGCAGTCGTATGATGCTGCGCAGGGATGGATTGTCGTCACCATCATCGGCGCGGCGATCGGCCTCAACGCGGCCTTCTTGAACATCGTCACCGAGTGGCTGGCCGATATCAAGCTCGGCTACTGCACTACCGCGTTCTATCTCAACGAAAACTTTTGCTGCTGGGGCGAGGACAATGGTATGGCATCTTTAAGCAGACAGGGTTTGCGAAGATCTCGTGGTGCTGACCATTCACAGGCTGTCCCCAATGGCACAGATGGACTGGCTTCGCACCTCTCAATTATTTCCTATACATGGCTTTCGGAGTAGGTTTCCGTAGCATTTCTTCTACAACTCATGCGTTACTGACAATCATAGACCGTATTTGCCTTCGTTTCCGCCGCCCTCGTCCGATCGTTCGCGCCGTATGCCGCGGGCTCAGGCATCTCCGAAATCAAATGCATCATCGCAGGCTTTGTCATGAAAGGCTTCCTGGGCTTCCGGACACTCGTCATCAAATCCATATGTCTACCCCTCGCCATCGCGTCAGGGCTGTCCGTCGGAAAAGAAGGTCCCAGCGTACACTACGCAGTCTGCACTGGCAACGTCATCTCGCGACTCTTCCACAAATACCGCAACAACGCCTCCAAGACGCGAGAAATTCTCAGCGCCTGTGCCGCCGCCGGAGTGGCTGTCGCCTTTGGCAGTCCCATTGGTGGCGTGCTGTTCTCGCTCGAGGAAATGTCGAGCTACTTTCCCCTCAAGACCATGTGGCGTAGCTACTTTTGCGCCCTGGTTGCCACGGCTGTTCTCTCTGCGATGAATCCCTTTCGGACTGGACAGCTTGTCATGTTCCAGGTCCAATACGACCGCGACTGGCATTTCTTCGAAATATTCTTCTACATCATCATCGGCATTTTCGGCGGTCTCTATGGCGCGTTTGTTATCAAGTGGAATTTGCGCGCGCAAGCTTTTCGCAAAAAGTATCTCGGCAACTATGCAATTCTCGAAGCTACTTTGCTCGCTGCTGGAACTGCTCTCATTGCGTACCCCAACGTGTTCCTGCGCATTGACATGACGGAGAGTATGGAAATTCTCTTCCTCGAGTGCGAAGGCGGCGAGGATTACCAAGGATTGTGTGACGCCGACAAGCGCCTCTGGAATATCATGTCGCTCATCATTGCCACTGTCTTGCGAGTCTTCCTCGTCATCATCTCATACGGCTGCAAAGTGCCTGCCGGCATCTTTGTGCCTTCTATGGCTATCGGCGCGTCCTTTGGACGAACCGTCGGCATCATCGTCCAGGCGATTCACGAAGCAAACCCGACCAGCGTATTCTTCTCGGCCTGCAAGCCGGACGAGCCTTGCATCACGCCTGGCACATATGCGTTCCTCGGCGCCGCTGCTGCTTTGAGTGGCATCATGCACATCACCATCACCGTTGTCGTCATCATGTTTGAGCTAACGGGCGCCCTGACCTATATCCTGCCGACCATGATCGTCGTTGGCGTCACGAAAGCCGTGAGCGAGCTGTTCGGCAAAGGCGGCATCGCTGATCGCATGATTTGGTTCAACGGGTTTCCGTTCTTGGATCACAAAGAGGACCATAATTTCGGCGTGCCAGTTTCGCGGGTCATGCGTTCTCCCGTAGTTTCGCTCCCTGTAAGCGGCCTGACGCTGGGCGAGGTCGAACAGCTCCTGGTCGACGACAAGTATCAGGGATTCCCGATTGTCACGGACAGCAACAGCAAGACTCTTGTCGGTTACATTGGGTGTACGGAGCTGCGGTATGCGGTCAATCGCATCCGACGCGAGCGGCCTATGAGTCCGTCCGCGCGATGTTTGTTCACGCCACCGCCTCCAGCCACGTCGCCGACGTCGATTTCTGCCACTGTCACCGTCAACGTGGAGTCGATGTCGTCAGCGTCTCTCGACCTTGGCCGCTACGTCGATGCTACCCCAGTTACGGTTCACCCGCGGCTGCCGCTCGAAACGGTCATGGAGCTGTTCCGCAAGATCGGTCCCCGTGTGATCCTGATCGAGTACCACGGCAAGCTGACTGGTTTAGTTACCGTCAAGGACTGCCTCAGGTATCAGTTCAAGGTCGAGGCGGAGGAGAACCCGAAGGATGACCAGCATATTATTGAGGGACAGGAGCAGTTGTGGGGGGCTATTCGTCGCGCAAGTAATTGGGTATCAGATCGCATTTGGACCGTTTCCGGCGGCAGGATTCGCCTGAGTGGGCAGTTTGACGAGGAGAGATCAAGGAACCGAGGTGGTGGTATATTAGATGGCGATGAGGATGTTGGCGAGGAGGGGGTAGAACTAGAAAGGCGTCAATTGTAAAATTTAAATACAAACATCGTCTATATCAAGATAGTAAAATTTTTTTTTACAATTTCTCAAATCCAGAAGTATGATGTGATGAGTCTAATGGCGAAACACAATAATGTTTAGGATAAATGGTTAAGACTATCTATTGTACTGGCATGCCCGGATCATCCGGACCCTCGTCGCCCTTGTCCGCAGGCTCCGCTGCCTCCTCAGCGTAATCAAGCCCATCACGGGGGAGAAGCGGTTCCCGCTCCACAGCAGCGTCCGCGGATGCAGACTCGTCGCTATCGTTCTTGCGCCCGGCAATCACGTTGCCGACCACGAGGAGGGCGGCGCCAGCCCACCACAGAGGGGGGAGTCTCTCAGAGAAGACGGCGATGCCCAGCAACGCGGTGACGATGAAATTCGTCGAGGTGTTCATGATGGACACTTGCGTGGCGGATGTACCCTTGGCCAGGGCCGTCGTGAACAACGACCACATCTGACAGACGAGTTAGTGAAGGCACAACAACTATAAGAACGACTCGGGTGACTTACTACACCATTGAATACAAGATTCAGAGTGAAAAATGTCTGCGTGGGAGAGCGTGGTTAGCATGATCCTGTCGTCTTAGTACGGGGGACTTACGGCTCGAACAACATATTCAATAATGCTCTCATGTTTCGACAGGCCAACGAGATTCGCAATGGCGTTGGACAGCTTCGTGGTCAACTCCGTTGTTGTTCTGTGCTGTGTCAGTGGCGACCAACGAGGTGAAACCAAACACGAAACTCCAACAGGCCGGAAGGGCACACCACACCCGAACCATCGCGAACTTACAACTTGGCAAAGGCACCGTTGAAGGCGGCGCAGACGCCGCTGGCAATGGCAAAGAAGATCCATTGCGTCCGTGTGCTCCATCGCGTAGCCGCCGCGGACTCGGCTCTGGCGGCTGGGTCGACGGTCATCTCGGCTGTGTGTGGCTTCTTGACAGTCGCGACTGTGTCGGAGGCTGGTTTACGGCGTTGTCGGACCATTGTGAGATTTCCCCAAAGTTTATTTCAAAAAAGATTAATAAGTTAGGCGCAAGACGTGTGGTCTGCTCGTTGCTGCCAAGGCCCAGCGCTGGATAATAGGGGGGTCTGAGGCAACGTCATGGGGGGGTTTGGGTGGATTGGTTGGCGGGCTAGCGGCTTCAACGGAGAGAAGTTGGACATGTCACCTGAACGGTGGTGGCTACAAATTGCTGCTACGCTGCAGATAGATGCACCATCATTTACAAGTTGATTTCATATCGTTTCTCAATTTGGCTGGTTTCGAAAAAAAAAAAAAAAAAGGATATCATGTTTACTAGTATCATGATTGCGCCGTCTCATGGCTCCCGTCTACCCGCATGGCAATACGCCAATAACCGACCGTAACTGTTGCGCCAGTCTCCGAGGATCCGTTGTCGATGAAAAGTTCCGAGAAATAAAATAACGCCCGCATAAAATGCACACAAAGGTCGAAGCCCACGATGACCAACGAGGGCGCCTCCATTTTCAGGTTCCTACGCTCCCTCGCCCGGTCGCTTGGCGTTGCAGCTGACAATCTTGACCTTGTCGGCCACCACCGTCTGGCTGCCGTTGTCCATTTTGAATGTCACGTTCTTGATAAGAAAAGTCCACACCTCATCGCAAAGTCGATACGTATCAAGACTTCCCTGTAGAGCGGGGCAGAGGCAGAGGCGACTCGTTAGCAAACTTGCGTTCCTTACTCTTCGCCACCAGCGAGCCGGGGGGGTGGAATCTCCTGTGCTATTCACCTTGAACTGCAGACGGCTGCGGACGTTCTTCTGCAACGCCTCTGTAATGGCCTGATCGAAGTTTCCCAAGATCTTCATGGCCAGCTGCGGATGGATGCGAGACTCGCTTATGAGATCGTCGAGCGTATCCGTCAACGCAAGGCCGATGCTGTCAGGGATGGTCAGCCAGAGTTCCCCAGAGTTCCGCCTGGCGCAAGCGGGCAACGTAGACTCAGTACCTGCTCCGCCGGTAGAGTTCATAAAACGACTGTGAGCCGCTCGCCATTTTGACCGATTTCGTCCGCCTGTGATGGTATCCTTGCGCCGATTTTGAAGTTATGCAGCGAAGAATGACGGGGTGCAGGAGTTAAGTCACTGCGACGCACCATGGAAGCTGGTCAAGTTCAATCTTGCTGACTAAGGCGCAATTGCAGCCTGCTGCGTCATGTGATGCACGCCAATGTTTTAGTGGGTGCCTTACCTGAGCGGCAATACGTACAGGCGGCCGTCGCGCCAGATTGACTAGGCTGGGAGCTCCGACCAAGCTTGCCAGTTCAAATGCCCTTTGCAACGATACAACGCATTCGTCGTCACGCTCCAACACCAACCACGCCGGCGCAATGAGTCTCTACTATGGACTAGGCGCCATATGGTCGTTTCTGACCGTCGTCGGATTATGTATGACTCCGCATTGATGGGAAAGGCTGGGTTCCAGGCAGCCCAGATCCTGGTTTGTGCTCAACGCAGCTGACGTCGTCACTTAGATATGCTTTTCACCGGCAGCGGCGAATCCTTCAACGTCGGAGCCTTCCTCGAAACTGTCTCGCCCTTCACGTGGGCTGATCTGGGTATTGCCCTATGCATCGGCTTGTCGGTGGCCGGCGCGGCCTGGTGCGTTGCGCTCCTCTGGCATTCAGCTTCTCTTTACGGCTAAAATTACTAACGGGATGATGTTTGTAGGGGTATTTTCATCACCGGCTCTTCTATTCTCGGCGCGGCCGTTAAGGCCCCTCGAATTCGAACCAAGAACCTGATCTCAATTATTTTCTGCGAAGTCGTCGCCATTTATGGCGTCATTATGGCCATTGTCTTTTCCTCCAAGATCGACGACGTATCCGGCCGCGACCTGTACTCCGCCGATACCTATTATACTGGATTTGCTCTTTTCTGGGCAGGTCTCACTGTCGGCCTTTGCAACCTCGTCTGTGGTGTTGCCGTTGGAATTAACGGCAGTGGTGCAGCTCTCGCCGACGCTGCCGACGCCACTTTGTACGTTTCAACCAAAGAAACACAGCAATAGTGGAAATCATTTGCTAACTGATGGTGCAGGTTTGTCAAGATTCTAGTCGTCGAAATTTTCAGCTCCGTCCTCGGTCTCTTCGGTCTCATTATCGGCCTTCTTGTCGCGCAAAAGGCCCCCCAACTTGGCAAGAGCGTTTGAGGTGGCGGGGAGGCGTACACCTGATTCAGCTCTGTTGAATCAGAAATCGTACAGCCAAGGTTCAATAATGACATATATGCATTAGACTAACACGCGTGGTCTGGCGTTAGGAAGATCGGCCAAGGAAGCAAGCATACACTTCCTGGATGTATTACTATATCCCTGGGTTAGCCGACGTGTACATCAGCACAAGGATCAATAAATTGAAAGAACATTATCGCTTCGGTTCTGGTTACTTTTCTGTCTGCTGTGATTGTTATGCCCCTTGCTCTCGTACCTGGCAGCTGAGTAGTCTTCTATGAACTCCTAACTGCATTCATCAACAGGGCATGAACTTGGGAACCCTTCTCCATTTTTCCTTTGCCGCTTGGCATACATATCAATGCGTTTGCAGACCGCATGCTGCCGACTCTTGAGCTTCTCTGTCCACCAGTGCTGTTTGCTGTTAACCGACCATCTGCTCCGACAGTCAGCACAGCGCGGTGGTACTCAGGTCGGGGATCCATGGGAAACTCGTGACCCAAAATCACAGGCACTCTAGAGAGACCGACTGGGTAAATGCCCGACTGCTTGTGGAGCGACGGAAGGACAAAGAGGTGAAAGGTCACCAGCGCCGAGGCGGGATTTCCGGGGAGCGAGAAGATGACCTTGGACACTCGCTGACCAGTATTGTCCTTGACCGGTACGGTGGCAAACGTGGTTGGCTTTCCTGGTTTCATCGCAACGCGACCAAAATGAATCGTCCCTCCGAGAGAGCGCTCTATTGTCGGTTTCAAGAGATCAAGCTCACCCATGGAAACACCACCCGTGGTAATCAAGACATCGGCCTGTCGCAGACCAGAACGCAACGTCTCTTCAAGCGAGTTCGACTTGTCCTTTGCAATCCCCAGATCGACAATATCGTATCCCCACTCCTTTGCAGCAGAGATCAGCGTGATACGGTTTGTGTCGCGCACTTCGCCCAGTTTCAGCGCCCCAGGACGGTCGTACTCGATAATCTCATCGCCAGTGGATAGAATACCAATGACTGGTCTTTTGTAGACAGAAGCCTCCGCCACTCCCACGGAAGCCAAAAGACCAATCTCACCGCCGACGCCAGAGATTTGCTCCCCTTTACTCAAAATGGTAGCGCCTTGCTTAACGTCGCTTCCCACCTCACGAACGTTCTCGCCTTCCTTTACACCTTCGGCTTGGATCTCCACTTCCTTCTCTTCCTTTCCGTCGTCAGTCATGCTCTTCAGAACAGTATCTTCGACCATGATGACAGATGTCGCTCCAGGAGGCAGCGGTGCTCCGGTTGTTATTCTGGCAATCTGACCTTCCTGAAGAGCACCGATTTCTCCCGGCGCCGCATGCGATACGCCAACGACGGGGAATGCGCCCTTCAAGTTGCCGTCCTTGGGCGCGACAATGGCATATCCATCAACGATGCTGGCTCTAAAAGCGGGGACATTCTCGCGTGCCTTGACTTCTTCGGCCAGCACTGATCCGATAATATTTTGATCAATCTTTGCGCGAACGATTTCTGGCTGTGGTGTGAACTCATTGATCATGGCAAGTGCATCATCGACAGATACCATGGGATATGGTGATTCTCGATGCCGGCGTGTTGGTCCAAGCGATGGGTCGTTGGAAAGAGGAGTAGCGCCGGGCTTCGAGTGGCGGACCAGGTTACCGTGGCCATGTCCATGGCTGTGGCTGTGGCTGTGGCTGTGGTCGTGGCCATGATGATGGTGTTCATGAAAATGAGAGTGATCATGTGTATGGGAATGCTCCTTGACAACGATCCCAGCTTCTCTCTCCAATTTCTTGGTACCGCCGGAGTGTAGTTGTCTTGAATTGGCACCAGCAGCTTGCAAACAAGCATGTGGCAAAGTCTTGATGATGGCCTGCAAATTCTCCTTTGCTCCCTTTGGGGAGCCCGGCAGCGTAGCAATAACAGTTTTGTTTCTTACGCCCGCGGTAGGGCGAGACATCATGGCAACTACGTGGAGTCAGCAATGAGCCCAGTAAGTTCGACGGTAGGTAGACCTACAAGGGGTGACGTCCAATGATGTGGATAGCATGGCATGAACCAGACCTGGCGCTTGTTTGTGAAGCAAAGCAGAAACCGCCTGTTCCTTTTTCATCAGCACATAAAGTTCCGCACAAAAATCATTCTTGCTCATACCTCTGGAGTGGCGTCAGTGACGGCAAACCCAGTGCCTCCTGTTGTGATGATGAAGTTTGGCGCATCGGGACCATCTGTCCATTGCATTATTTGCTTTTGAATGTCGATTATGCTGTCAGTGACAATTTTCTCGTCCGTGACAGTCCATTTCCCTGCGCCGTCGACGTTAAACACCTCGTGGAGAACCGCAGCGGAGGCGTCCGTAGACGGGTCCAGCGCTGCTGTCGTCGACACGATGAGGATTGCCGCAGTTAGTGGTGCATCCATGCCGGTAATTTGGCTTTTCAATAGAAGTTTCAGATTTGATGGAAGTCCCTTTCAGATTTTCAACTCTAGCTGCAAAGAAAGTCTTCGTCGAATTAAGGCATCAACTGGTTGATGGTAGTTCAGAGTTCGGACTACGGTGGCGGGGCATCGCGGCCGAAAGCGACCCACCCTATATCGCCCAGCCATCAACTCCAAAATAATTCGGCGCTGTGTTTTTACACCTTGGAAACTACGTTCATATCACCGTTACTTACCCGCAGCCCACTACCATGGTCCGAATAAAGGAGAGATATCTTCTCGTCAACATTGTTTACCCACCAGAGCCTAGCCGCAACGATAAATCTGTCGTGCCCTCCTTTGTGGTGCAGCATCAGCCGACAGTGGAAAATCTGACGGCGCAGCTCCTTGTGAAAGCCATTCGCCATGAGGTCACTCAGCTTTTCGGAGACCATGGACTAGGAGCGCTGAGTTCAAACTTATCAGGTATGTGTATTTTTATAAACCCACGGCTGTCAAGCATGGCTAATAATCCACAAGTCAAATATTTATCCCTGGCAACATCAACCATCATCCTCAGATGTCACAGGGAGCACTACCGCATGCTTTGGGCTACGCTCACTCTCATGGATCATGTCCCGGTTAAGGACGGCCGTCCCTGCACATTTCGCGTCGTGCGAGTGAGCGGCACGATACGAAAGGCTGAGGAGGAAGCAATTCGCCAGGCACGCGCTCTCATCTTGGCAGCCAAAGATGGCAGTTCCCTCAGTGCATTTCTACCTGTCGAGTCAGTCGACAGCCACACAAGGGACAGATCGGAGGATGAAGATGAAGAAATGGTCAGCGATAGCGGCTGACGGGGTATCATTGTTTCCTGACTACTTTGATGCCACTATCAGCTGGGACGGACATGTCCCCAAAGTCCGGGTCCATCTCAGGGTTACTTGGCGCCGATGGTTGCGACGGCTGTATATCCAGGTCCATGGCTTGCTGCTCCTGCTCGCGCCGGGCCTCATCTTCTGCCTCTTGCTCCATCCGGTCATATTCGTCTTTCTGGTCTATCCATCGCTCTTGGATATCCTGAACATCCATCATGGATGCCTCGTTCCGCATAGCTACTGCCCACACGGTGTCATTGGCGCCTTCGGCGCTACCAAAAACATACCCACCAGCTCTGTCTATTACGCGAAGAAGATGTGTCATGCTCTTCTTATTCTCGACCGCAAGCACCTCATAGCGCACCAACCCATAGTTTTCGATCATGTTCGCAATAGCCTCGTTCAGTTTCCCGAATTTTTCGCTTCGCAGTACGGGAGATTCGGCCTCAAGATAAGGCGTTAGATATGTTAGGTCGTCGACGTCGGTGTAGTATTCGAGGTTGAACGGAAGCTCATCATATGAGGCGACTTTGTCGATTTTGGAGAGGACGTTTACGTGTGGCATGTCCATTTGAATCATGGCCCGGAGGGACAGCAGGACATTGGAGACATACAGGGAGGGTTGGCTGAGACAAATTGAATCGGACAGGTGAACAGCAACAAACTTGACGCTGTTAGAACAGACGGGCCAAATCGGCAGGCACAAGTGATGCAACTTACCCGGAACCCGCGCTTTTGCAGCTTGAAGAATATGTTACGCAAAGAGTTGTGATGTGTGTATAGCTCGACTTGGCCAGGGCAGTCAAATAAAACGTAGTCCTGGTCGAATTCCTTCAGTCCCTCCTCAAGCCACTCGTAGTTGTGTTCCAGCTCTTCCAGGGCATACAGGATCCCGCCGTTAGGGCCGAGCCTGTCCTCTCGCATGATATCTTCAAGCTTCACGAGGCTTCTAATGTCGAGGGCGCAGGGATAGTTGGTATGGTCGTTCGCTGGATCGAGATTCACGACGGAGCAAGCGCGGCCGATTGCGCCCAAGAACTGGTGCACTGTCGCCAAAGTCAGCACTCGATGTAGCTCTTGGTGGTGTGGTCTGGGACGTACTGCCATCGCAGTAGGTGCTCTTGCCCGACCCTGGGCTGCCTAGTACAAGCTGAGCAAAAGGCATTTGCAAGTTTTGACCGTTATATCGCTGTTGAGCTGTCCCGACGGTTTCCGACAGGATTATGTATAGCTTGAGTTTGGACCTGCGACTGAAGAACAGAGCCTCGTCGAGCTACCTACTGTAGGATTACAGCGCGTGCCCCTCCAAAGCCATCCAACTTTTAGGTGGGGCAGGCACCTGAAGCGGCGAAACCTCGGGCTGAGCTCCCTTAACTATTCTTCGCTAGCTAAATTCCCCCCAGCTGCTGAAAAGCTCTCCTTCTTTTTCCCTTACCCACGCGAAATTCTCCTCTATTTCCGCCACGCAGCTTTCCCGCCGACTGGCACGCGGACCTGCATGATGCTCTGCCACCGCGTCGGAAATCATAACCAGTCATGGCGTCCGACTTGTCCACTGCCGCCACCTTGGCGAGCAGTTTCACGGTCGACGTACCGGTCATGAGCACCTCAGCCGTTGAGGTGACCCCCAAGGCTGGCTTTGGCTGGTTTGGCATCCTCGGTTGGATCATCCTCACTGCTATTAACCTTGTGTCCATGGCCCTCTACTGGGCTATTCGCATCGTCACTATCACTATTCCTAGCTTGCTCTACACACTGCTCTCTGCTAGCTGGACGGTGACGATGAACGCGACCACTCTGTACGTCCTCAAGTGCTCCTAATTTCTACTGCCAGTCCTAACCCGTCTCAGCATCTTCATCATGGTGGCGATTGCATCAGCTGTCAGCTGGGTTGTAAGATACCGTATCCTCAACATGTACTCGCGACTACCACCTGAGCCGCAACGCAAGGAGCCAGATATCGATCTCTTCCCCGATACCCATGAGGAAGGTATGAAATCTGGACTCTCCAATTATTTGGACGAGTTCCTTAGTGCCATCAAGATATTCGGTTATCTTGAGAGGCCCGTCTTTCATGAGTTGACGAGGAGTATGCAAACCCGGAAACTGATTGCGGGAGAAACCATCAATCTGGAAGAAGAAAAGGGTTTCTGCATAGTTGTCGACGGTCTAGTTGAAATTTTCGTCAAGACCGGCCAGGATGCCCGCAATTCTGGCTCCTCTTCAGCCGATCAGTCTTGTCATGACTCTTCTGAAGACGAAGAATACATGGCTCGGGGTCAGCAAAAGTACCATCTCCTCACGGAAGTGAGGAATGGCGCGCCGATGTCCTCGTTGTTTTCTATCATGTCTCTATTCACTGAGGACGTCAAACTTAGGCTTGCAGACGAGGAAGAACCCCAGCCAGAAGAAGGCGCGGATTCCGGCCCTTTCGTCCCAGCATCAATGCCTAATACGCCAAATCTCAACGCCAGGTCCGGAAGGAATGCAATTGTACCTGAGCATGAGGCACAACCCCAGGTATCTCGTGGGGTTGCTGGCTCCAAGATCCCCCCCATGTCTCTCAATGATGCAGTCCCTGCCATTCATCATCCACTGCAAAGACCCAAGCCACCGAAGCGCCGCGTTTCACAGTCGGTTCATCCTGACATCATTGCTCGTGCAACAGTCGATACCACAATTGCAATCATACCCGCTCAGGCATTCCGAAGGCTGATCAAGATTTATCCAAAAGCCACAGCCCACATCGTTCAGGTCATTCTTTCTCGCTTTCATCGTGTTACTCTCGCTCACGCGTTCAACTATCTTGGCTTGACTGGTGAAGTCTTGCAAACGGAAAAGAATATTCTCAAATATACTTCTTGCCAACTGCCGAACATGTTGCGCGGAGACGCGCTTTTGCGATTAAAGGAAAAGTTTAAGCGAGAGAGGGAACGAATGAAGGATAGCCAAGAGTCAAAAGGCATTGCCTTGCACAATTCCACCATCAATCACCAGAGACGTTCTAGTCCGACTCTCCGCAAAGAAGCTGCAATGCATGCTCTGTCTAAGCAACGCACCTCCTCCATGTCCAACAATGTCGGTTCACCACCCGAACGCTCCTCTCACCACCACAAGCCTCAGCCCGGCGACCTCTTGGCCAATATTAACCAGGCTCGGAACGTTCATAAGCCATTCGGCATGGATCCTAAGACACCACTCGCTCTGCGCTCTTTCAACCCATTCGACTCTGAGAAGCACGCAAGAATTTCTGTTGACCCACGGGATTTAGCTGAAGAAGATGACCTGTTCCGCACTTGCATCCTGGAATGCATTTTCAAGACGCTTGGTCTTGACAACGATGGCACAATCTCCAGAGAACCAGAATCAACAGAAGCATCTCCACGAATCGGATATATGGACCAGCGTCGAGCCAGGGCGGCCTTCCCGAGCAACGCCTTCGGATTCATGGCCCCATTTGAGACCTCTATCGACGGCGAGACAGAATCCGTTACTTCTAGCAGCATGGGCCTGCATGGGACACCCAGTGCGTACATTCTCTCCCAAGAAATGAAGAATGAGATGGAGATAGTCTTTTTCCCAAAAGGCTCTATTCTTGTGCAGCAGGGGGAGAGAAGCCCTGGCATCTACTATGTTGTGGACGGGTTCTTAGATGTTGGCGTGAGCAAGGAATCTTCGCGGGAGATTTTGCATAAGTCTAGACCGAAAACGCCAGAGACAAAGAGCCCGGACAGGCCTAGCAGTGGTGGTGGTCATGATGATCGCTCAGAGACTCAAAAACACGCCAGCCGTCGGCGCAGTGTTGCGTGGGTGAAGCCGGGTGGCATCGCGGGTTACATCGGCGGCGTCTCGTCCTATCGATCGTACATTGATGTGGTGGCAAAGACTGATGTTTATGTTGGCTTCCTCCCCCGTTCATCACTGGAAAGAATCATTGACAAGTACCCAATCATTCTGCTTACTATGGCGAAGCGATTGACAAGCATCTTGCCTCGTCTCATTCTGCATATTGACTTTGCCCTGGAATGGGTTCAAGTTAATGCAGGCCAAGTCATCTTCCACAATGGCGACGAAAGTGAGGCTATATACGTGGTATTGAACGGTCGCCTTCGGCTCGTCGAAGAAAGAAAGGATGGCGGCGTGGAAGCAAAAGCTGAGTACGGCCAAGGCGAAAGCGTTGGTGAGCTTGAAGTACTTACAGAATCCGCTCGATCTGGGACTTTGCATGCGATTCGAGACACGGAGATTGTCAAATTTCCGCGCACCTTGTTTAATAGTCTCGCGCAAGAGCATCCCAACATCACCATCAAGATCTCCAAGATCATTGCGGCGCGGATGCGGGCCATGGTGGATGATCCAATGAATCTCGTCGGTGCGGATGCCGGCTCTGGTGCTATTCGGAACCACGGCAAATCAACAATGAACTTGCGAACTGTGGCAATTCTGCCCATTACCGCAGGCGTTCCGGTGGTTGATTTTGCGAGTCAGCTCATGAACGCTCTATCTCAGATGGGCACGCCCAACGGTGCTACCTCACTCAATCAAGCTGCCATCTTGAACCATCTGGGCAAGCATGCGTTTAGCAAAATTGGAAAACTACGACTCTCTCAATATTTGGCCGATTTGGAAGAAAAATATGGACTCGTAGTTTACGTGGCTGGTAAGACCTCTCCCATTCTGTTTCACCTTTTTCTTTCAATCTCATGATGAGCAATTCTAGACCAAAGGCAATGCCGCTGATGGTTCTTTTAACTCTAATTTTTTCCTGACACGATTGACGCTTGCATACTTCAACAACCTTCCCATCTATTTTTTTTACCAGAAGCTAACGTCACGAACCAGATACCAACGTCAACTCTCCTTGGACGCAGACTTGTATCGCACAGGCCGACAGTATTCTTCTAGTTGGCTTGGCGGTAGGATCGCCTGAGATTGGCGAGTACGAGCGATTCATGCTCGGAATGAAGTCAACCGCGTGGAAATCCTTGGTTTTGCTGCATGCGGAACGATTTTCAAAGCCGGGTCTGACAAGATCTTGGCTGCGAAACCGTATGTGGATCAACGGTGGCCATTTCCATATCCAGATGGCCTTCACAGACAACGAAGTTAGGGTAATACCAACTTCAAACAAACTCGGCCAGACGTTGAAGCAGCAACTGCAAATTTTGCAGACTGAAATCCAAAAGTACACGACAAAAAGGGCGCAGCGCTACTATATCCCCGACTCGCCAATGAAGAGCGATTTCCATCGTCTCGCTCGTCGACTCTGTGGCAAGTCTATCGGACTGGTCCTCGGCGGTGGGGGCGCCCGTGGTATTACTCACATTGGCATCATCAGAGCTATTGAGGAAGCAGGTATCCCCATCGATATTGTTGGAGGCACATCCATCGGCGCCTTTGTGGGAGCACTGTATGCACGACATGCTGATGTGGTGCCCATGTTTGGTCTAGCGAAGAAATTTGCTGGGCGTATGGCGAGTCTGTGGCGTTTTGCTCTCGACTTGACTTACCCGTCTGCTTCTTATACCACGGGTCACGAGTTCAATCGTGGTATTTTCAAGGCCTTCGGCAAGACCCAGATTGAAGACTTTTGGCTCGAGTTCTACTGCAATACCACCAACATCACGAAGAGTCGAAACGAATTCCACACTAGTGGATACGCATGGCGTTACATTCGCGCGTCCATGTCCCTTGCTGGCCTGCTTCCGCCTTTGTGTGATGAGGGCAGTATGCTGCTTGATGGTGGCTATGTCGACAACTTGACCGTCTCGCATATGAGAGGCCTCGGCGTCTCGAGTATTTTTGCTATTGATGTTGGCGCAGTGGATGATGACACACCACAGACGTATGGCGACTCGCTGTCAGGCATGTGGGCGTTTTTCAATCGCTGGAACCCGTTCTCGTCGCACCCGAACCCGCCCACACTGGCTGAAATCCAAGCGCGTCTTGCCTATGTTTCCAGCATTGATGCGCTGGAGAGTGCCAAGCAAATCGAGGGATGCATCTACATGCGGCCTCCTATTGAAGCGTATGGCACTCTCGATTTTGCCAAGTTTGATGAACTGTACCGCCTTGGATACACCTACGGTCAGGATTTCATGAAGAAGCTGCGCGAGCAGGGCAAGCTTCCTCTGTCCGAAGAGGCGGAAGCTAAGCAGTCCATGCGTCGGACCACGGCTCGGAGAAGAGCAAGCATATAAATATATATATGTAAAGACTTACATTGCAGAGTGCATGATTATTGTACAGTATACGATTAGCGCGCATTGAATACATTGAATATTTAAACTGTCATAATGCTGGTATATGTATGCTCAAGTGATGCTTGTATGCAAAACACCTGTAGATCCTGTCACATTGTATATACAAAACGTTGCGTCTTGCCATGCCGCCAGCTACACATTTCACGTCTCTTCATCTCTCGCTCACTGCGATGTCATCTTCTCCTTGGCCAGCAGCACCTCCGTCTCCTGGACAATCAGGTCAAACGTGGACTGAATATGCTCCTCGCGGATCGCCGCCGTGCTCGTCGCGACACGGATCGCAAACACGCTGTTGACCACGGTGCTCGTCAGGTAGACCTTGCCCGACGCGTTGAGCGCCTCGTACAGGCGCTCCGTGCGCTCGTTGCGCTGCGCATCATCCACCCCGACCACCCTGAACGAGACGAGCGCGAAGCGCGCACGCGTGAACGGCACGAACAAATCCGGCCGGCCCGCCAGCTTCTCGTCGAGCGAGCGGCCGAGCTCGATGCCGCGGCTCACGTGGGCGCGCAGGCCCGCGACGCCGTAGCTGCGCAGGACGAACCACAGCTTGAGGGAGCGGAAGCGGCGGCCGAGCGGGATCTGCCAGTCGCGGTAGTCGGTGACGAGGTCCGAGTCGCTGAACTCGTTGCGCAGGTAGGCGGGCTTGATGCTGAGGGCGGCGACGAGGTCGGCGCGGGCGCGCACCCACACGGCGGAGCAGTCAAAGGTGGTCAGCAGCCACTTGTGCGGGTTGAAGTTGAAGGAGTCGAAGGCGGCAAAGGCCGAGGTGAGGTGCTGGTGCTCCTCGAGGACGAGCGCGGCGCCGGCGAACGCGGCGTCGACGTGCACCCAGATGTCGCCCGGTGTGTTGGCGGTGGCGGAAGTGCCGTTGGTTGAGGCGCCATTGGTGCCGTTGCTGGTAGCAGTAGCTGTGGCGCTGTCCGCGGCCAGCGCCGCCGCGATGCCCTCAAAGTCATCCACCGCGCACACATCCGTCGTTCCCAGCGTGACCGTCAGGTAGAACGGCTCCAGGCCCTTCGCGCAGAGCTCCTCGGTCTTGCGTCGTAGCGCCTCGCCCGTCATCGCGAACCCGCTCGCCTCGTCGACCGGCACCGTGTCGAAGCGCACGCCCAGGACCTGCGCCGCCTTCTTGGTGCTCGAGTGCGCGCCCGCGCTGCCCAGCGCGACCAGCCTGCTCCTGTGCCGCCACGTCGCCTCCTCCCTGTCCTCCTCGCTCATGTCCTCCGGCAGGCGCGCCGTGACCTTGCGCAGGTAGCGGTCGCGCGCGGCGACCATGACGGTCAGGATGGCCTCGGAGGCGGAGCCGTGGAGGACGCCGCCGCCGCGGGTCGGCCCGGAGCTCAGGAAGCAGGCGGGGAGGGCGAGCGCCTTGGCAAGCCAATCCATGACGATGGTCTCGAGCTCGGTCACGGCCGGGGAGCAGATCCAGTTGAAGTGGGCGCCGTTGAAGGCGTTGGACCACATCTCGGCGATATTGGCAGGGTGCGAGGCGGTGCAGGCGAAGAAGGCCATGAAGCCCGGGTGCGCCCAGTGCGTGATGCCGGGCAGGATTTTGCTCTGGATGTCGGCGGCGATGGCGTCCAGCGGCTCGCCCTCCAGCGGCGCGGCGTCGGGGAGCAGCGCCCGCAGGTAGCCCGGTGCGACATCGGCGAGGACGGGACGGGACGGGATCGACTCGTAGTAGTCGGCGACTGTCGGCGGGCGGGTTTGTATGTTAGCTGAGTTTCTTTGACATGAGACGAGACGAGGGGTTCCATAGTGGGGGAGGGGCAGCAGCAGCCGCAGCAGCAGGGGATACCTGCGAGACATGGGGGAGGGGGGGTTCCGTGGCATGGCAAAGAAGCGAGCAGGGAAGGCAGGGGTTTGCCATACTCTCATCGACGGCCTTCTTGGCCTCCTTTCTATACTCGTTGATATCCATGGTTAATTGTGGTTGCGCTAGTTGTAGGAGAGAGAAAAGGCGAGAGGGAGGGAGAGTGGGGGGGATATATAGCAAAAGAGATAATGAGGGCGGGAGAAGAACAAAGGTGGTCAAAGATGGTGGAGCGACCAATGGCCAAAGGAAACCTCCGAGTCTAGATGCCTCGGAACGTAGGACAGCGCCTGCAAGCCGAAATGATGGGTGGCCTGACAGGTATGGCAAGGCGACAACGTCAAAAGCAAGGCGGAGAGCTTGGACCAATGTCAAAGGAAAAGCGTCAAACGAAGGGCGCGGAGAAGAAAGAACGGATGGAATGGAGATGTTGATCACAATGGAAATGCGCGGAACTAGACTTCCGACACGGGAGGGAGTGCCTGGGTGGCTTTTTTAGTTGCTGGTTTTGGTGGTGTGGTGTGAGCGCTAACTATGTAATTGCCTTTTACCAGTTATTAGAGATGCCAATCACTCGGCCGAGGTCGCAAAGGCCGTGGTGGGGGGAGCGACAAGTGGGATGAGCGAAGCTGAAACAGACATGCCGGTCAGCTGAGGCAAGATGCGATGATATTTATTATTCAAGCATTCGCTAGAAAATTAAAATGTAACAGAGACAAGGAGATGTAAATGGTAAAGATTGCCTGGCGCAGTCGCACATGATAGTAGCGCCTCCCACAAGATAACAATGAGTCCTCCGTAATTACGCCGCTCAAAGTGCCAACATCTAGAGACGCCCGGGTTCTGATATCATTTCCGTCGTAAAAAAGGGATACTCGCTCAGCGTCGGTACTCAATCAACTTTAATGGCACTGTAAAGCGGTTAGCATATCTGCAAGTACTGACCCCCTCTCCTGTGTCAACATACCCGTATATCCGCCTCACAAATGCATACGCGCTGAGGAAGCCAATCGTGCCGGTCAGAAGACCATACACGCAGCACGCAATAAACGTGTAAACAAAAAATAGCATGCTGCTCACAAACCCCGTGATGTGCAGTTTGAACATGTAATACCACACCGAGTACGCAAAAATCCACAAAGCGCTGCCGCCTCCCACGAAGAACGACTGCCACCACCAGTGGTAGTTCTCCGAGCACAGCTGAATGTAGATCGTCACAACCGTCACCTCGGCAATCGTCACGACCAGAATCACCGACACGACGGCCAGGAACCCGAACATGTAATAGAAGCCGCTCTTATTTTGCCACAATGACTGGAACACAAACAGCAGCTCGATGAAGATGACGGCAAAAGGAATCAGGCCCGCTAGTAGCACTGCCTGCACCGACTTGCTGTACCATGCGTGGTTCGGCAGCTGGCGAGGAATGGCCGTGGCTTTCGTAGGGTGCTGCCACCCGCCAGCCTTTTCGAAGCCGTAGTAAGCACCAGCGAACACCAAGGGCACCTGGAAGCAGAGCCACAGGACCACGATCAGGACAAGCGTTCCAAACGGAATCGCCGTGCTCGAGGCCTGCGCCCAGACAAACAAGTTGACGATGAACACCAGCCCAAACATTAGACCAGGAAACAATAGCGCCGTCACCATTGCATTCTTCCGATAGTCCTTTCCGTCGAAACTCTTGAAGACGCGGGCAGAAAAGTAGCCCGAGAAGACACCTGCAAACACGAATAACCCAACACCAACACTGATGAAGCCGCCGCGGAAGCTAGGGTTCAAGAAACCTAGAGCGCTGAGTAGCACAAGTCCCATGGCCATGAAAAGGAGCTGCATGCCGGAACCAACGAGTGGCGCGAGTAAGTATCCATGTTGCGGCGCTCGGAAGACGTCGGTGTGGAGTAGTTTCCAGCCCGTGATATCTTCCAAAGCCTCTTCGGTATCGGACAAATCGTCATCTGCGGCACTGCTCCTCTGGTCGAGTAGTCCCGCAGGAGCGTCCTTCCTGACCCGCTTGCCGCGAGATTTGCTCTCCAACGTCTCCTTGTAGCCCTTGATGTCAGAGTGCACCGTACGAGCAAAGATAATCATAACAATGGCCGTCAGCATGCCGCAAATGATGAGGGAGTTGATAATGGCAAGCCAATGAATGCGGGCGCCGTCTTCTTGGTTGACAAAGTATAGATCCCAGCGGTGTGACCACTCGATGGTGTTGTCTTCCCTAAAGTACACAGAGTATGTATACGGCACCGTCAGAGTGCCGTCTTCGCTCTCGTCATCGGATCGTCGTTCGGTCTGTCGCGATTTTCCGTCGGCGTAACGTGGTGCAGTGTCGATCGTTATGTTGGGCCCGATGTGAAGTTCCAGTCCCCGCTCAACGTGCTCCAAGTCGACGGGGCAGCCTTGGGTGTCACGTTTGCTATCGCTACCAATACTCTTGGGGTAAACCTCGAAGCCGACGACAATGTTCTCGCCACGGTCACCCGCCTTGCCGGGCGCCTTACGATAGCGTATCACGATGGTGTGGTGATTATTGAGGTAGTAGTGCGTTTGACCGGTCGAAGGAGAGGTCTCGCTATAGCCAAGCTTGAAACCCGAAGCATAGTACTTCCGTGTCTTGTCGACACTGACGAAGCTGGTAGCGCCGGGCAGGTTGTCGACAATCCACTCAGTCACGTAGGTGTCCTGAATCATCTCCTTGGCGCGTTGCAAGTCATCCTTGTTGAGCTCCTTCGTACAGAGAGCGGTGCACGTCGTTTCCTTATTCATGATCAATTCGATATCTGATGTTCGAATGCGATCACCGCGGAGAACTTCGCCAAGGTTAAGGGGGACGTTCTTGCCGCTGAGCAGGCCACCGACCGACTTTGGATGATCGGACGGAGGGCATACAAAGGGGAGTTCATAGTAGGCATATTGAAGCTGGGTGCTATCGGAGTAGGCCTTGTTGACCATGAGAGGGATCGGCTCGCCAGGCTTGTAACTCTTGATAGAGTATCCTGGGTCTACGTCAGTTGCTGCTATGACTCTCGAGAGAGGCCGTGGCCGCACGTGCGGGGCAACATACCAGGTATGTAGAAAGCATCTACAGAAGCCAAAAGCAATAGCAATGCCAGGCTGCCAAGGCCGGAAGCTCGAAGTCGGACCATTCTGACAACCCGCTAGCTCGTGTGACAGAAGGCGGCGAAGGTTGGGCTCGGCTGCTTCGGACTCGAGGATAATGCCGGCGAGGCAATCTCGATAGCGAATATGCCGGGTCGGAGTTGCTCGTGCAGGGTATATTCAGGCAATGATGAAGCCCAAAGCCCTTCAACCAAAGCCCTTCAAACAGCTGCGAGAGTCGAGGTTGAATATTGTATCGTGGCAAAAACGAGTGTAATTGGCACTAACGGCCACGCAGGGGATGACAAGGACAGATACAAGGACAGGCCGTGATGCGAAAAGGGGGCGGAAGACACGAAGAATGCGTGTCACAACAATGTTGATTTCGATGGAGGACGGACGGTCGCGTCGAAGGAAAACTGTGAAACCGCGCAGTAGTGTCAGAAAGACGAAGGAAGAAAAAGGGTTGAGAGGAACGAGGCTAACGCCAAACGGCCAGAATGTGTCAATTCCATCTACTCTGCTTTGGCAAAGCGATAAAGGGCGGGGACGACCGATCTTTGGAAGGGGCTGACCTCAAGTACATAAGCTATGGCCTCGCCCTGGAGCGCCGCAACTGCGGTGGTTGCCAGTTGGTCACTTGGGGCGTACTCTTAGGTCTGTTTGGCGCAAGGATAACAGCTACCAAGGTGATGAATACCTCTGTGAATTTCGATCGAGTATTTAGGTTACAGATTACAGCCATGACTGATAACAAGGTCGATTGGGAAAAAAAAAGGGGCCCCAGGCAGCGAGCAGTGGAGGTTGCAGCTGAATTACCTGCTAAGGTACATCCCATTGCTTGGCAGCTTTATTTTTAGCGGCCGAGCCTAATCTTCCAGGCTGGGCCTGCACTGGACCAATCACCTGCGGCACTGCTGCCACGCCCTTGGCAGCCAGGCCCCAGACAACAAGTATAGCTGCATGGATCGGCAATGACAGGATGGAGGGCTCCCTTTTAGCGTGTGGGAGTGTGCAGACCAATGTCAATGAGGCCATCTTCAGGTAATGCAAACATTCGAGAATGTCATAGGAGCAAAGGTAGCTCGATTTGTAAAAATACGTGTTCTTTTGCCCATTCTTATTATCAGGCCGTCGCGTTTGCTATACTCTTTATAGCAATGCTAGCTACTGGACGGCCACCCACTATCATTGCTATCATTTTATCAGGATCATTATTCTGACTCTTTTACGAATCTCCAATTTGTAATTATATTAACAAGTCTATGTCATCATACCAAGTAGGTGCTTGGTGTTGCTTCCGGGCTAAAGCATGTACAGCAGCTCTCGCACCGTCTAAAGAAGGCACATCCTGCCTTGCATGCGCTTCAAAATTTTCCAGCTTGATATGCTCCTCTATAAGACAAATTTCCCAATCTCGTAGAACCATGGCTCGAAACACAGAATAGAATAAACAATGAAGGCAAAGAATTAAGGAACGACAAGTCGTGGGTATCGTTAAAGAAATTAGGCGACTGGCGCGACTGGTACGACCGCTCTGCGGCTCAGTTCGCTGTAGCCAGGCAAAAGTGTGTTGGTTTGGGGGGCGTCGTCCGACGCGGCGCGGCGGATGCGCGGACGGAGGTAGGTGTCAGCCTCGGCTTCCTCATCGCGGGCCATGACGGTCTCGAAGCTAGGCAGCTCGCCGCCTTGGGGGTCATCGTGGATTGTCTCGACACCGACCTGGACGGGCACCGAGAGCGTCATGGTGGTGTTAGTAGGGCCAACGCTAAGGCACAGCTGAAGAACGTAGGTGCGCGAGATGAGGCACGAATGGAACGTGGGCAAGAAGATCTTGCGGTTGGTGTTGGTGACGGTAAAAGGAACGTCAAGGGTGGCGACGTGCTTGATGGGCGAGGCGGCCTTCTTGTTGCCGTTGCCCTTAGTCATGGCATCGCTGTCCGGTGACAGGTGGGAGCTGGAGTAGCCAGAGTCGCGGCGGCCCGCCTCAACCTTTTCCTGCAGCCACGAGACTTTCTCTACAGGCATGTTCAAGATATTGTTGGTCGTGGTGTAGTTGAGACACGGGTTGCCGTGGTAGGCAGTCCGCGGGCCAAGGTTAGGCATGTAGTTGACCGGGGCGGCGCCGAAAAAGGTCGTTGACAACAGCTTGGCCGAGATAGAGTTGATCTTGGGCGGCGCGGTGTCGACTGAATCGGGGACGAACTCGAGGTCGATGTGCGCGGTCGACGTGGAGGCGTTGCGACCGTCGGCGGAGAACATGACGGCCTCGGGCTGGATCGAGGTAGCCGTCAGCTTGCCCGTCTTAGCGGAGAAGAGATTCTTGCGGATCGTCTTGGTCTTGGCCATGGTGTAACGCTCGTCACGGAAGGTAATATCGAGAGGCGCATCCTCGGGGCTGGCGGGTAACACCTTGACGACGTGTTGGCCCTCCATAACCTTGGAGGCCGGGACGCCGCCTAATTGCTGCTTAACGGCGCGGGCCTTAACGGCGTACTCGATCTGGGCCATCTCGGGGGCCTGGTCGTCGGCGCCCCAGAAGCCAATGGTCGGGGGTAGGCGCAGGTGATGGTCCAGGACGGGGCCAACTTCGCACTGGTGCTTGCAAGCTCCCATGGGGAGCTGGTGAGGAACAACGAAGTGGAAGGGAATGGTGTAGGTGTGCGCGGCCCTAAAGACGCGGTCTTCGGGAACGTCTTCCTCGGAAATAGGCATTCGCATCTTCAGGAATGGCCTGAAGGAGTGAGATGGGTACTGCTGGACAAAGTCCAGACGGGTGGCGGCGATGCCAGTGAAGACAATGTCAAAGTGGTCAAAAGCAATGTCACGGACTGTCTTGATGATGGCGCGGCCAGCAATAACGGAACCAGAGGTGTAGACCTTGGAATTGTAATGGCGATCGATGATAACGTCAATGGTGGGCTTAAGGGCGGCTACCGCCTTGGAGCGAGCAGCCGCCCGGCCAGTAGGGTCATTGGCGTCTGGCATTCTGTGGTTGTTGTCTCGGTGTTTCTTTGCAGTACACTTCGCCTCGATAGGTGCTTTGATCCGGTAGTAGGTGTTGGCCCGGTCAGTTCTTGAGGTGGTGTTGAGGTGCGTGTATAAGTGCGTTCACGTCAGGTACATAGACGCGCCGTGTCAATGGCGTGCTAGGTGCCTAGGTAGGTAGTAGGTAGGGAGGCGCAGATGCGGCTGACAAATGGCTGGCCACGAGGCTGCCAAAGGGCGTTGAATTGTCAAAGAAGACGTCAAGATTAGGTATTAGGAAACACAGGCTGCCGATCAACGAGCGAGCAAGTGATGTGGTAGGATGCAGAATAGTGGCCAGAAGGGGTTGTGTGGAAAGCAATAGACAGGGAGGCGAGGTAGGCAGGAGGGAGGGCATAGGCTCTTTTGTATTTCATACGAGATAAAGGATGGTCACTTGATCTGGGGACAAAGGGGTCCTTTTTTTTTTTGTTATTCCAGAACGAGCTTGACAGGTAATCTGGAGAGAAAAGCACACAACAAGCAAGAGCCACGGGGGGTGGCCAAAGTCGAGTACAAGGCTTGCTCATATGACTTGGAGCCTTCTTTGCTGCTCACAGCGGTTCAAGTGCTAGCCAGAGGTGTGGAGGGGCACAAAAAGGACCCGAGAGGGTCAAGCTTCCAGCAGCTGGCAGCTTCGTTTGCGGCTACCAGCTGCCAGCTGCCTGCGTTTGCTGCAGTACCGGTACCGGTAATCTGTGCACTCTGGGGTGTGGCGAATTTGCCGAAGGAGCCACCGGTTCGTGCTCCGATTCGGATTCCACTTCATGTCTCTCACAACTTTTACCAGGAGCTAGAAAATTTTGACAGAACCACCAATGCAAGCTCGTGCCACCAACAAAAAGCATCATCTCCATCACCACTGCACCACCGCAATCACACACGATGCTCCCCAAACTGCCTCACCAGCTTAATACCTTTTCAACACCGCCATCGTCAGCACTCATTTTGTCGCACCAAAGCACATGAACTTTCCGCATTTTCCTACCATGTCATCTTGGCGACTTTTCTTTTTTTCTGTTTTTCCTTTACAGCCACCTTATGTGGGAGGCTTGCTAATGGGAGGGGACAGAGGAACGGAAAGTCCGAGAACCGCGCTGGTACTCACACACACAGACACCAAAAAAAACATGAGGCTGAGGTTCACGATGCCTGGTCTGTCCTCTAGTCAGGCACACCCTGCTATGGCGAGAGGAGACGCCCCTGCTCCTCCCACCAACTTTCGAGGCTCCTCCCACCATCTTGACAGCGGCAACTTGCAGTTATGAGCAAACGCTACAATCAGCCGGTGGCAAGACAACGTACATCGAGAAGCTAAAAAAAATACAACAACAACTCAGGAGGATGAATCTCGATGTCATATTACCTCAGCTACTGATGAGCAAGTAGAGCGCACTGGTGTCGGGCCGCTTGTGGCTCCAATGATTTCATCTGCTCCATCGAGTGGCACCAGCGGTCCAGCGTGCCATGGATGGATGGCCAACGTGTTACGACCAGAGGTTGCAGAGGCAGCGGGTTACAACTTGCAAGTTCAGCAGGATGCGATTTGCGCCACGACTATGCGAGATCCAGTTTTTGGCTTGCTTCTGCATTTGCATCTTGACGCTCATGAGGCTCGGCGGGTGGTAACGGCTACTGACAAGGACAACAGGATTTGGCCACCACTAGAATCTCCTGGCAGTGAAGAGCAGCCCGCGCTTCTTTGGCTATTCTGGAATTTACACGTGTATTACCTCGCTCAATACCGGCAACGGACTACATTGCGTGCAGTGCACATTACCATGTCATGGCATAGGAAGACTCCCCTTTCCCGCCAGTCCAGGGTCCTTGTCATCTGTCCGTTGCCATCTATTCTGCTAGCCGCCGAAAACCACGAGGTCATGCTCGACCCCATCGCCAACCCATCTGGAACAAAGTCTGGTTCGGTCTCGAACTCGAGGAATGGGGCTTTGTCCTTGGATGGTGGATCGGAAGGTTGTGCGGGAATGGCGGGTTTGAAAAGAGCCTCCTGCAAGCCATGCCGCTGCCACGACCGACGCAGCCTAGCTCGTCTCGTCATCCCATTTCCCCATTATTCCCCAATAATTATATCCATCAAAGGTTCCAAATGCGCTTCTTACGCTACGCTTCCGTCAGCTGGTATGCAATCTGATGCCCTATTTGGGAACAATGCCGGCAGCGGATAGGGCAAGCTCAGGGCACCCCAAACATACGTTGCTTTGCACGGTTATTATTGTATCATCGAGTTGAAACCCCCAACGATGCAGCCCCAACTCAACGACCACGACACAAATGCTACCGAAATGTCCGTACACAGCAAAGTTTAACAAAAGGGCTGCGAAGCAAGATTGCCGGGGGGGATGATCAAAGATGATCACTGTCTCTCACTACAATGCACCAGTGATTGCGAAGTCCGCGACAATCTTGCCTCTTGCGGCGCCGCCTACCTCCCAACGCTACAACGCTGTGTTGTCCATGAGCCAAAAGAGGAAGATATACAGGTCCACCGGTTCATGCACTAAAGGAATATCTTGTTGTTCATGATGGTTTCACACCAACCAGGCCGCAGCATACGGCAGCCGCCACATAAAAGCGCCTGTCTGAAGTACTGCAATTGCGCAACCTTCTACTGCATCATCCCCCCTCTGCACATCTCCACCATAAAGTAAAGCTTTCTTCTTCTTCTTCGACTCTCAGTAGGCCTTCGAGAGGTAGTGACAGTGCTGCAAGATGGATTGCATCACCCCTTTCTCGCGGCGCACACCCCCCCTTAAACCCAGTTGCTGCAAGATGTGACTGTTCCTCTCCGATTCTGGAATAGAGTAGCCCACAAACTATCGGGCCTTGTTGTCCAAACTTCCGACCTCGTCGTCAATAGTTCGTCATTCATCGCTCATAGAGACAGCGAGAGAGAGACATTATCTCGTTACTTGTCAGCCTCCAGAAAGTGTACCCTTTCGCAATCAGGTTGCCAGCCCGTCTGTGCTCGTTGTGCTCGTTGCGCTCGTTGGGTCGCCATACAGATTCGATGTTCTACCCCACAGAGGACTAAGGGTGCGCGCATCACAAAGTACGTGTGTCTCTGACCGGTCGGATGGGAGACGAGGAAAATTTGTGATTGTCAGACGAGACGATACAACCGCGGGGCCGAGGTTTGCTTTGGGCTACAATGACCGGGTCGAGATTCAGGGTCCAAACGCCCAGTTATTCCACCCAACCCACCAGAGCCGGGGGGCAAGCTTTTTTACTGTTAGCGCCGCTGAGATTGGGCTTCCATTTATTGCTTATTGCGTCTCTGTGCTGAGAGCGGGCTGTTGTCCGCAGCTAGGTGAACAAGAATTTTGAAGGCCTACGGGGCTGTTGGAGCGGGTACTTCGAGTCGATGGGATAGGTGATTGCAACACTGGCTTCATTGGCAAATCCTCAATGAAGCATGGCAAGATTGGTGGACTGGCTTTTCCGTTGAATAGGCCACTGGCTCAAACCGCGACGGGGATTCGAATGCTCGAATATTAGCTCGTGAGGAAGGTATGGGACGCTGCGAGGATACTGATGCCCATGCGGGCGCGAGTATAATGCCGCCGAAAGCTATTCACCACACCCGTCAATACTCAGAAGGAATGAGTTTGGACTGGTAGGATGGCATTTATAATACAGGGAGGATACATAGGTAACTATACACTTCCTTCGCCACCTCCTGCAGCGACTTGCTTGTCAATTGCAGCCTGTGCCTCGAGGGCGCCCACCTCTCACCTCAATGCAGTGTCTACGATGTGATCTATAATCTTACAAATTCTAGTATACATGGCGTGCAAGCTTTCCGTCTCCCCATCAAGAAAGCCTCCTGCCCACCTAGCTTCGCTGCGCATGCCCTCACCTCATGCCTGGTTGACCTCCGCGTCGCACCGCCCGCAGAGCCCGTCCTCCTCCTCGGCCTGGTACCGCCAGCACCGCGCGCACTTGGCCTTCTCCGGCGGCAAGACGTGCACCTCGCCCCGGAACTTGTTGTCTCCGCCGCTGATGGCCGCGGAGTAGCGCCACGCCGGCTGCGCAGGCAGCGGGCCGTTGACGGCCACCGACGACACCACGAAGATGGCGTCCAGCTCGTCGCGGTACGCCTCCAAGCACGCCAGCAGGTCCGCGTCATCGGTGGCGACGACGACGGCGCACTGCAGCGAGCTGCCCACCGCCTTGGCCAGGCGAGGTCCTCGCGCAGCTGCGCCTCGTCGTGCGTCAGGCGTCGCGGGTCGACGACCGGCGCGGTGTAGGGCTGCCGCGCGGGGTGCGTGTCCGCGGCCATCCAGGCGGGCCGGTGCGCCCAGGCCTCCTCAACCAGCATGGGCGTCACGGGGGCCAGCATGCGCAGCATGCCGACCAGCACAGGCTCGACGGCGCCGCCGCCGTCGCCGCAGTACAGCCGGTCCTTGAGCGCCTCGAGGTAGAACGCGGACAGGTCCGTCGACACCCAGCGGTTGAGGACGCCGACGCCCTTGTGGAACTCGTGCCGGCCGTACGCCGCCCACACCTGCGCCATGGTCGTCGACAGCTGCAGCAGCGCGAGGTGGTCCAGCCGCGTCAGGGGCGCGTGTCGGCCGGACTCGTGCAGCGAGCCAAGGAGCATCTTGAGGATCGTGCGGTACCGCACGAGCGCGTTGTGGATGGGCTGCAGGACGGCGGGGCCGATGAGGATGTCCGTCGTGAAGTCGCAGCTGCCGGCCCACAGGCGCAGGGCGTCCGGGCCGAGGGCGTCGGGCTGGCCGGTGTCCTTGCCCTTGCGCTTCGCTGGTGGCAGGAGCTTGCCGTCCATGACCTCCTCCGGGGAGATGGTGTTGCCCAGCGACTTGGACATCTTCTTGCCCTGCGCGTCCAGCGTGAAGCCATGCGTGATCAAGGTCCGGAAAGGCGCGACGATGCTGCCGGGCGGCTTGCCGTCGGCCTTTTGAGCTGCGATGTAGCTGAGCAGGCTGGACTGGAACCAGCCACGGTGCTGGTCTGAGCCTTCGAGATAGACGTCCACTTGCTTTTCAATCTCTGTCCAACTGGTGCCGCTGTCAAACCAGACGTCCATGGTATCTGTCCCGCGGCGGTAATCGCCTTGTAGTGTTGGCGGGATCCACGCTGGGTCATCTGGGCTGTCCGAGAACCACGCGTCAGATGTTCTCTCCTGCATGACATTGATGATGTGATCAATGGTTTCAGCAGTCATTACAGCTTCACCCTTGCTATTGTACAGAGCTGGGATTGGCACACCCCATGAGCGTTGTCGCGAGATGCACCACTCGGATCTTCCCTTGACAAAGCTCTCAAGCCGTACTCTGCCGCTCTCAGGCACAAACTTGACCTTCTTGAGGGCACTCAGCGCGTCATCCTTGATGCTGCCCACATCAGCGAACCATTGCGCCGTGGCGCGGATAACGACGGGCTTCTTGGAGCGCCAATCATAGGGATACTTGTGTAGTATTTCATGAATCGCAATGACGTCCTCGGCTACGAGGTTTAGAACGGAAGAGCTCCCGCCATCCAATATCGATGGAGCCGAGGTGAGGAATTCCGGGTCGTCGGGGTATGCCTCTGCTGTGAAGCGACCGTCGTTGTCGATGGGCGCAAACGCCTCGATCCCGTGCGTAAGGCAGACTTCGTAATCGTCTTGTCCGTGGCCAGGCGCCAGGTGCACCAGACCGGTACCAGAGTCGGCAGACACGAAGGCGGCATGGATGACGGGTTGCCCAGGTGCCGATTTGCCTCGGAGCTTGTTGCGATACTGCAAGCCAGCGAGCTTTGAGCCGGGAATGGCATCAGTCACGACTTGCGCTCCTGGGATAAATTCACGTAGGGCTTCAACACGACTTGAGGCAACCAAAAGTCCGTATCCATCAACTCGTAAAACGCAATATGAAAGGTCGTTGTGAATGCCGATTGCCCTGTTTGCCGGGAGCGTCCAGGGCGTCGTCGTCCAGATGGCCGCAAAGAGAGGGTCGTTGAAATTTTGGAGCTCCTGGATATCACTATAGTCGGATGTTATGGGAAACCTAACGTAGGCAGACCGCGACAAGTGGTCGTCCTTGTATTCCAGCTCGGCCTCGGCGAGGGCAGTGCCCGACGACGGCGACCAGTACACCGGCTTGTGCTTCCTGTAGACCAGCCCGTGGCGCACCATCTTCTGGAAGACGCGCAGCTGGCGAATCTCAAAGGCGCGGTCCATCGTCGTCCACTTGTCGTCCCACTCGGACATGACGGCGAACGATCGGAAGCCTTTCATCTGCTCTGCGACCGTCTTGGTCGCGAGCTTGCGCGCCTGCCTGCGCACCTGCACGGGGTTGAGGCCCTTGGCACCCGCTTCCCCGAGGGCCTTCATCTCAATCGGCAGGCCGTGGCAGTCCCAGCCGGGGCGGTAGGCGACGCGCCGGCCGTTCTGCACCTGCACGCGCAGAATCATATCTTTGAGGATCTTATTGACCGCGTGCCCGGTGTGAAGCGGGCCGTTGGCGTACGGGGGCCCATCGTGAAGGATAAAAGGCTCGTCTTCGGTCGGTCGCGACGACTGCCAGCTGTAGAATTCGTCGGTGCAGCTCAGCAGATGCTGTCGTTGCAGCTTCGGGTTCGGTCGCGCACTGCGTTGTGGGTAAAGTCAGGTCGTTCGCGGATCGTGGCGGGGGGCGGGCAGGCTTACGGGAAAGGAGAGCGCGGGAGCCGCAGGGTCGACTTCCATGATTGAGACATTTCTATGCCCAATTCATGTCCTGGCAGCCGCCAATGCAGCTGATTTGAAGGCTGCTGCTGCTGGTTGATTGTGAGAGTGATAAGTTTTGGGACAATTTTTGGAGGTGGGTCTCGGGGAGTTCGGCGAGCCAGACAGCATCTCGATTTCGCATTACATTTACATACATGCACAAAGTTGTTATGGATTGTGCAGTAAAATACAGGGAGTATAGCTTCTAGGTAAATCACATCTCATTGAATCTGTCAATCTGAATTTCTGGGTTTACTGAGCATTTATTATCGTGAAGCCGCCATGCTTGAATCAGCTCGCCATGTTTTAGCAGCTTTAAGTGCATGTCGAATTCGAGCCAAGGTCGACCTCAACATGGAGGTGTAGATACAATTACGATCCAGCTTTTATCCTGCCAGAGTGTCAAAAAAAGTTGTTGTAAAAGAATCATCTGTGACCTACCAATTCGCTCGCCTAGGCGGCGAAGCACTGAACGCTCCGGATATGATCGCTGATCAAACCACAGAAAGACCTGTAGCCAGTAGAGTCAACTGTGACAACGAATTCAGCATTGCAGCCCTGTGCAGTGAATATGTCGCAGGTGACTCCAGGGCGTGTAATGGCAGAGCAAGCGTCAAAGTCCATCCAGCTCTGGCATGTATTGAAGGCGCCAACATTGAGGTACTTCCCGGAGCAATTGTCACCCGCGTACAGGGCAATATCACCTGTATCCGGGGGCGCACTGGGATTGCTGCAATTCGCAAGGGCTGTTGCAGCAAGCGCCAGGGTGTATAGAGCGAAGATCATGATGATAAAGTGAGGGGTTGAATAGAATGGTAGCAAATGAGTTCGAAGTCTGGAGAGATGGGCAGACAACTAGATTCCTAATGTCTATTTATACATCGGGAGTTATACGACAACCTCAAGCTGATTTCTCCTAACAGGAATAATTTTGCCAGCAGTCGCAATGCTTGCTAAAATTCACGTCCGCGTTGATGCTCAGCTGAAGGCTAGAGCGTCCAGAGAGCAGTTAGTATCAACACAGCTCAGCCTTGTCACTGTTGATCTGTCGATCGTATCGTAGGATTCGATCCCGTGAATTGTTTTTAGGGCCAATCACTTGCCCTGACTTTAAGCTTACAACCAGGTCTGATAGAATTTGCCGACATGAGCCCAGCCGGCTCGGGAGGGACGTTGCATTTGTGTGTCGCAGCTGCATCACCACTTAGACGGTAGCGCGTTACGCTGTTTCCTGTCGGGCCAAATAGAGACATCATTGCGAGCATTCAAACCCGAACACAAGACGCGTCTCTTGTGTGTTTGGAAAGAAAGAAAGAGAGAGTGCTTCTCTTGCCCTTCAGTCAGATCGCTACCCTGTACTGCTGAACATGGTGGGGCTGGCGGTGATGTCACGTTCACGATGAGTCCAAGCTCCCTTTCATCACCTTTGCAGTTCTTCAGCCTGGCAAGTGTCCCCCGGTGCAATGGCTCCTGTACGTCGATACCTCAGAATCACAAAATACTCCGTCTTGGAATGTCGCATATATCTCGATAGTCCAGCGCTTGCGCAATCCTGGTTGTTGCACCCGAGGCACCAAACCTTGGCGCGTGTGATTGAAGCCATTCGCCCCCTCGTGCTTCCGAAACTCCGAGAGGAGAGAGAACGGGAGAGAACCAAAAAGAAGCCGTCAAAAAAAGCTAGAGTCAAAGATGTCATTGTCAAAGGTATGCTTAGGCCATTGGCCACAGAATTGTGCGCCATTATTTGCGAGAGCTGACGGCGGACCGGCGACTCGCAGATGACTTTGAAGTGTCCATGTTCCTCACTGAAACGAGCACGCGACACTCGCTACTAGCCAAAACGAAGCATTTCCGAGAAAAGGGCCCGGCAATGATGCAGTCAAATGCGAGCAAGCTAATCAGCGAGACAAATGACCAACCGGTGGATGTTGACGCAGCAGACTTTGCCCCAATACGTATCGAGGAGGAGAGCGGCGAGGAGGAAAACTTTGACTTGTCGGCCATCCCGACTGCTGACACGCAAAACCGGACAAAGCGAGACCGAGATGTCATCGCAGATGGTTCTGGAGTCGGCGACAGCAATGCAGATGGGGCCGCCATAGAGTTGGATTCGGATGGCGAGGAGGAGCCACCATCCAAGCGAATTCGTGAGGCTCTTGGGCCGGACTCCGACGATGATACCGAGGAGGACAAGAAGAAAATGGCCATGGACGTTTCATATGAAGGCTTCGCAATCTACGGGCGCGTGCTCTGCCTCGTGGTCAAGAGGCGGGACGGGGGCGCCAAGACGAACCAGTCGACGTCGACCGGCAGCAGCGCGACCTCTGGACAGGCCAAGATGGAGAACTGGATTACATCTACGCAAATGCCCGCTGAGGATGCTTGATGAACAAGGTTCCAAAAATCGTGAAGGCATAATCAACGAACCAACAACTGCCGGTTCACGTCGCCTTGATTTCACGCGAGTGCCGAGGCTCCCACACCACATGCAGCACACGGCGCACACCGGCTGGCTATGTTGGCGAACGAATCCCCCGCCTGCATTGATTCTTGGCTGTTGGTGATCGCCAGCATTGTGTGGTAATCCACGCGTCTCGCATGAAACAACGTGCGCGCGTTTGTGTCGGATGGACGCCGACCTTGTCATCGGGCAACGAGATGGAGGTGGTAGGGGGGGTCGTGTACACGAAAGAAGCTTTACAGGGCTTTCAACGGCTTTATGAATAGTCAACAGAGTTTGGGGTCCCCCGGGGAAGGAGAAAAAAAAACGCATATGGGATGGCCAGAGCCGGTCTACGCGTGACGAGACGACTTGTTTTTGCTGCGGCATAATTGTCAAAAACTCGAAAGATGGAGGGGCTAAAGCAAGAACAAGGTTTTCTGTCAAACACATTTTTATTCACGCGTTCTATTGGCTCTTTCAAGCCGTTGGATGCCTCCTGGCCTCCGCGATGGGTTGACCTAAAACACCGATTCACGATTGAGTTGGGCTCGACTGTGCGGCTTTGCACGCTCGGCCCCGAGGAAAGGAGAGGGATACGTAGCATGATGTAAGCGGAAAATTTTCAATTCAATGTGCTACGGAAGACTGGATGGATTATTTTGAGCGAGGCCGGGGAGGAGGGGAAAAAAGTCAAAAAGTGATGCTAGTGTTTCAAGATGTCCTGTCACTTTTTTGTCTTTCGCGATTTTGCTCTGCTTTTTAGTAAGACACGCGCGTTGTAAAGAACTAAATGGGCTGACCGTTCAAGAGATTCTGAACGATTTGCTGCCGGAGGAAGGGGAGGATTTGGATTCCCATCATACGTCAGTCCTGTTATCACGACAAGACTGTGGCGTCATCACGACATAGTCCGGAGAAGAGAAGCCGCGGAAGATTTTGTCTCTTCTCGGAATATGCAACATGTCTTTGAGCCGCATGAATGAGAAGAGAGAACTGGATCCCCCTCCCCTCTGCATATGCAAGTCGGCGTCCATCTTTTTATGCGAGCCCAAAAAGCACAAGAGCGGAGTCGAGATGTAGTTCACAGACGCAGTCACAAAGTCAAAAAAGACGATGATGACAGCTGCACCGGTAGCCTTATCGCACGCCCCATCGTACGACGCATACGCTGATGTCTGGGGTATCTTTGCGTGTTTTTTTTTTTGCCCCTCGGGGAAGCATTTCCAAGCAACTATTCGCACGCCCTTGGTGAAACTGTGTATGTGAGCATCATCATGAGTTGTCACCGATGGCGAGGAAAAAAGGTACTTGGATCACAAGTACCATGGGCAAGTCGTCAATCCCATGAATCACTCTGGTGTTTTGTGCTACATGATGCGTCAACTCGGGTGCAATTATTCTAAATTTGACATCATTTCAACCTCTTGCCGCTCACTGGTCACTGGATGATCACAAGACACGCGCCACGCATCACCATCCAAGGGTGCATGCTGTGATGACAACTCTCCCCGGCCGCTGCTTCGTCTGCTCTACCAAATTAATTTGCTGGTGCAGAGATTTTGTCTCATTTAGTTGACGCCGTCCCCTCACAGGCAACGTACGTCACACAGCCACTGACTGTGTGAGAAATTGAGGGAGGGACTTGCGGATATCCGTCAGTCAGCAAGCCACCCCCGTCCAACCCCAGATGTGCCCAGGTATGCATGAGTTTCTCTAATATGCATTGGGCATTGGACTACCTTTGCCGCATCAGACCACAGAGTAGGCCATCTGCACGGCATTACCTGCGATGTGAGTCGCGCCTCACACCCGGATCTTTCAGTGATCATACGAGAAGTTGCCGGTTGCACTTACTGGCTGCACAGACAGCGTCGTTTCCGTGCCGCCTGCTCCCACCATCGGTGACTTTCTCTCGGCCATTTTGTTTTATCATATTATTGATTGGACGGGCGGCCAGGGATCTGCGAGCGGCATCGTAGTCACTTGGAATCAAGCCCGCGCACCATTCTACTGATGTTCCTCTGTGGAATCCTGTCAGCGAGCAAGGAGAAAGAACACGCCCCCTCCTTGGCGCCGTCATCGCCGGGAAGGCTGAACGCCTCACCCGTAACCCTACATAGTCGCCGCAATTGAATGTATGCATGCAGCATTATTCGTGCCATCAACCCCTGGCCATCCACGTGGTAAGGAGACTGCGAGGACCTCTTCCTTTTTTGACGGCGGCGGCGCCTTATGGCCAGCCCCATTTCGCCCGCGGCAACTGCAGCCTCACTCCGCTGCAATTGGTTACGATTTAGTAATCCTTTCGATAGATAGATTACACATGTCCCGCCAAAAGACCGCCGCCTCCTTGCGCTATTGGTCTTGTGCTAGCACACTGCTCAGTGCTATCGAATGCAATAGCCTGTTGCCTAGATCCTTCGCACACCATCTCTTGTACTAGCCTCGACGAAGCTCGAGCCAGCCAAGGCAGTGCGAGCAAAAGATGCGATTCTTGGACTAGAAATTGGTCTTGATACACTCGAGCCACCTCTTCCCGCTGGCAACCCCTCATGGCGAAACAAGAGGTGGCTTGTTGAGGCGTACGCGGCGCGCGCGACGTGGCCCTGGGGCTTATTGCTTAGGTATTTTATTAGTCCTGATCGGAAACTCAAGAGCATGAACAACAAGGACAACAAAATCAGTGTTTTTCAAACGCTGGATTGAATGCAGCACCTCCCCGTCGTCATCATCGGGTGATCAATGCACACTGCGCGAGACAGGCAGGGCAAACAAGCATTCTGCTGACCATGCGCCTCAGCTGAGTGAAACTCCTCCCCCATGGTAGCACTCGGCAGCGCCGGGGCTCACAGCCTGCAGTAGTAAGGAGTGGTGACCGGAGTGTTTCACGGGCGCTGGCCGAGGAGGGGGAGGGGCCGGCGGACTTCTGGTTGGATGCCCTTGCACGGAGACATTTCCTTTCCGTGTTGCTGAAAAAAGAAAAGAAAGAATGAAAGAAAGAAAGGGAAAACGAACAACGATTCGCGGGGCCGAGTTCTCTGGGACGCCGAGTATCACACGCCAAGCTGAGTCCAAGTCTAAGACATTGGCAGAAGCTGTTACCAGTAAATGGTACTTTGCATGTATCCGATATCAACGCCTTCTGTAATCTGTAATCTGTATTCGTATGTACTCCGTATTCTGGCACGGTTGTGGCTTGTTTCTGTTATGCGCGGCAGGCGCATCAATCAATGTTGTCGATCATCTTGCGGCGGGTTGGGGGCAAGCTCACGGGGTGGGTGGCTGCTTATTACTGGTGTGGTGTGGTGTGCAGGCGGATGGAAAGGAGCCGGACCTGTCTCTCCCGACTGCTAGCTAATAATAAAGCCGTATGTCAAAAAAAGCTTGAAGATAGTTGTCATCTTTCTCTTTGCCGGTACTGTAACGCATGGTCATAACCACCATAGTCTAACAGAAGCAAATCTTCATGACCTATATCGCAGATATTAATATCAATACCAAACAGACAAGGAACCAAACGAGACGCAAGGGTTTCGATGGATCGAGGGCTGATGTTTGCGTCCTGTTCAGTGTTGCAGCATCGAAGTGATCTAATAATGAGTCCATGAATGTGATGAATGGCCGGATTCCTGTCAACTGATTAATAATACCTGCTTTGGTCTGTTGCTGGACAACTGCAGATTGGCCTGGGATGCATGGATGGGGTTCCATCGTGGCCTCCCACTTCCCGTCGCTCGCCAAACCAAAAGCCAGATCCTTGTGTGTTGTGTTTCAGAGTCCGAGCTTCTCTCTTTTCCCAGAAGACACGAAAAGGTCTGTCTCGTGCTGTGAATTTTGGTCAACTAATTCGTAGTTGAGTGACAATTGCGTTGTGTAGGCCCGAAAGACACGCATGGGGGTGTCACAAGACAAGACCATAAAACTCCGAGATGAAAGTGGCTTGTTCCTGGCCCCCAAGGCAATGGTGATGCTGGCCCGAGCTCAAAGGAAAATTGTGCTTGCTGCAGCTTGATGAATCTCATCAAGCATCCTTGGCGTCCATCAATTTGCGAAGTCGCAAGGGGACCCCAAGCCGCACCGCCAACCCTTCCCCCGTCTGAGCCAGGGCGACAGTTGAGTGAGGCGCAGGGTTTGCTTGAGACGAAGTTGCGCTGATGTATTGACCGGGCAGAAGCAAAGAATAAAGCGAAGAATGGGATGGGGAAGAGGAAGGAAAAAGAAAATCCGCCATCGTCGGCATCAACCCGAGGAGTGCACAAAACGTGCACCACGCCAGCAATCTCCTTTGCCCAGCGAGATTGCCTTTGCGCCATGGCTTGTTGGGGGCGCTATTGACGGCAAAGCCAGGCGCATGACTTCAGGTCAATAGTAATGAAAGAAGAAATTATTATAAAAGGCCTGTTGTTATGAAGCTTGGCGCGCCAAAATGTGACCGTTACATGACGCCGCGGGTCATGCTGATATGCGCTGCGCATTTTTGCGAAAGTTGAAATTACAGACGCCGTCGAAAATCGCATTCTTTTTTTTTTTTCGGATGAAGCGGAATTTGGCAGAGGTTATACAACCCCTGCTACCCTATTTCGTATTTGCGTCATCGTTGCCAGGGGTTGTTTATCAAAGTTGTTCACGAGATGCCTTTTTTTTGCGGGCTACCCATTTCGTCACATAAATCATACACACCCCTGACGAAACCGCGGGGGGCTGCTGCGGGAGCTTTGGTATTCGTAAATGTGGCATGTCCAGTCTCGTTGGAAGGGCCTCCTGGTATGCGATGCGAACAATGGAGGGTCAATCTTCTGGAAGCCTGGTCAAGCCGCCACCATTTCTGCACTTGGGTGTAAGAATCGATCGCTTCGTTTCTCACCGACTGCCGTCATGTGTCTGACATTTCGCTCCGGCCCGGCAACTATCGTCTGTTGGGCACCAAAAATGCTCAGAGGCCC